TATATATGTGTGTATATATATGTGTATATATGTGTATATAAATAATTATTCATCTTTACATTTTATATTTTCATATTTTTTGTCTCATATGTATTGGACACAGTGGATATCCACTTCATTGTTATTTATTCACTTTGTCAATAAGAATAATTATTCTTGGACAATAAAGTACAGTTTGATTGATTGATTGATATTTAAATGAAATAAATCTATTGATAGTCAGGCCCAAGAGTGATAGTGAGACCAGTCTGGGAATGCCGGTCTGGCCGATCAGAATAGATTGTCGTTGCAACAAGAAAAGCCCAAAGAGTTTACTCAACACAGATTATCGGCTCCACTTGTCCGCTGTATGAGCTGTTGAGAAGTCCAAAACTTATGGCACAGACCCAGATGAGAAAATGGCTCAACAGTAATTGTAGTGGAGAAAAGAGCCTAGAAAAACTCATGCGGAAACCTTTATAAGCAGAAGAAAACTATTTAAATAGAGCATGACTCTTCGAATGAGTATATGGTTATCCAATGTATACCTGAAAGAAATAGGGCTGTATAATGGAGACCTCAACTTAATAGAAAAGTGTACAGTCAGTCCCTACCTCAGAACGAACAAAGATGACTCAGAGTTGAAGACTTGATAATAATACTTCTTCGATTCCAAAAGTTGTTTTGTAATAAGGTTATTGCAAAGTGGTTTTGACCAGTATTACATCACACAATAATATTGAATTTTTCAAAAGATATATGGTAGCTTTATCCTTTGGTTCAGTAGTATACAACAGAATGCAGAATACATCATTGATTTTTTTTTCAAATCATTTTTTCATTCTTGAACAAAATTAGCAGATCCACGTTTTAGAATCTATTGAATAAAGACTTGGGTAGTGTCACTCATTTAGATTCGTTTCAATTTAAATTGCATTATAAATTATGCATCTTTTTCTTATATATATACTCACTTTCTTAATTCCTCTTCTAACCATACACAGGCATCCAAATCCAGATGATTGGTGGGTTCATCGAGAAGCAACAAGTGGGGTTTCACGTACAGGGCTCTCGCAAGAGCGATACGCATTCTCCAACCTCCGCTGAAATCTTTAGTTTTTTTATTTTGCATCTCCCTTGTGAAACCGAGACCGTGCAGAATGTTAGCAGCTCTCGCTTCTGCTGTATCCGCAGATATTTCATCGAGACGCTCGTAAATGTCCATGAGTTGTTCCTGAGATTCGTCATCTTCGCAAGCAACCAATTGTTCTGCTAATTTTTCTAACCTCACTCTTTCCTCGTCTACCTCCATGACGCACTTGAGAGCAGACTTGTCAGAGGCTGGCATCTCACGTGTCAAATGAAAAATGTCGATATGCTCTGGAATAGGCACCTCTCTATTTCCTAACACAGCCAATATGGTGGATTTGCCACTGCCATTGAGACCTAACAGGCCATACCGCCGACCGCAGTTCAACTCGAGCAAGGCGTCTTGCAACATTTCGCAACCATGAAACGTGATGGAGAACGTGTCGATCTTGATGTCTCGCGATTTTGGATGGACCGCTAATGAACCGGTACAAGCTCGAGCCTCTGCATTTAGTCTGGCATCAGATTCTAACTTGGCACAAAGAGCCTCTGAAACAAACATTGAATTAGGTTCTTCGGCTCAATTAAAAATCATTTTTTTATTTTTTTGATGAACAGGTTACGTTGAAATACCTAAAAATAACTCAAAAANTACAACTATGTCCTTTACGAAATCTGGATTGAGTTATTGGAAGTATAGAGAAATTGTCAATGTGTTCTTTCAACTGAACTTCAATAGCTCTTTCAAGAACTTTTAACAAAGTTGGTAATAAACTAATGGCGCGTAGGTCTTTGTATTCTGTTGGATTATTTTTTTGGGAACAACTTTCAAAATTGCTTTCTTCCATACCGTGGAAAAATATTATTTTTCAGACAAAAATTCACAATATGTGTTACATATGGAATTATATAAGGACAGCACATTTTTATGAGTTTTATATTCAGTAAATCATATCCCACTGCATTTGTTTTTATATTAGAAATTGTTTCAAAAACGAACATATCATGTACTTCTTGAAATTTGAAGTCAAAGTCTATAATTTATTGTCAGTACAGAAAGAGGTGAGTTCGGGGGGTGGTTCATTAAAATCATAGGAATAGAGTTAACAAAAAAAAATCATTTAAAATGATTCTCAAATCTGTAGCCCTATCTGCACTATAGAAAGCAAATAATAGACGATTTGAAATACATTTCTCATTGTTGTTATCGAAAAAATAATCAATTCAAGAAGATTACATAAAAAAATACAGTTTGATTCTCAATTTATATTCAGAATAAATGCTTTTGAGACCCATCAAATTAAGATGGGCCTTCAACGAGTGCAAGCAAAGGTACTTACACTATTATGGATGAAGAGATCATATTGCTTGATCCAACAATATGAATAGAAATGAAAAATCCTGCTTTATAATGCACGATATGCCCACCCCGCCATTTTTTTGCTTGATATTTCAAAAACTACATCAAAGAGAGACTGACAAATTGAGTACTATATGACTAGAAAAACAAAATTATTATCAGTAATTTCAATTCTAATTTTGGACAGAAATACGATTTACCATGATGGAATTATAACATATGATACAATTCCTAAAAAAATAAACTGAAACTGCTTTCAAATTCAAAAATCAATTGAAAAAGTATTTGAAGAATCCAGTTGAAAGGACAGGATTATATGATTATTCATACAGCCAGAATCATCTAAATGTTAATATAATAAGTCTGCATAGTTTCACATGTGACTGTTTAAAATCTGTTTTTCCATTAACCAGCTGTCGCAACCCTACAAACGACAACCCTCAGAAGTTGAAACTTGTACGAGCTGAGGATTAACGAGGTCTTACCTTTTAACGTGTGATTCCTAATACAGGTTGGACGATAGCAAGTGAAAATTGATCGTTCAGACTGGGGCTTGAACCACTAACCAACACGGCAATCAATTCAAGTGAGTGAACAAAGCACCCAGCAGCAATTATTTTACTAGCATTTTCTTATTTCCAACCAGCAAAAAACTATAATTTTGTTAAACGTTATTCAAAGCAGGTTGAATTGTGAAACAATAAACAAACTACCTATTTGTAGGTGAGTAGGACCATTACTAATGTTCAAAATATGATTATCACAATTACAGTTCATAGGATGCTAATTATTTAAATATGAAATTATCATTAAAGACGAATTGAAATATAGGGTAGGTATGTTACATGAAAACGAGTTAAAATTATGCACACACTTTGCATAATACCCATTTTTTGAATATGTTACAATGGATGTTCATCAAGGATCCCTTGTTCTATCATATATCTATCTATGTTAATACTTTCATTGTTGTTATAAGTTTTTTATTTGAAAGAAATAAAGAACTAACCTTCTGCGCTCATTTCAGTTGATCCGTTAGAAATCCCATTCACTTGTCCATTGGTCTTAATAGCTTCACTTTGTTCTTCAGCTTTAGGTTTCTCAGTTTTTTTCCCAGCCTGCCTAGCCTTCGCGGCCTCTTTTTTCTTTTGCTGTTCACGTTTTTTGGCGTCGGATGGCATATTGGCTTATTCTGCAAAAATATAATAGTCACACAAAAAGTTCAAATAGAAACTGAAATATTTCGTTTCTCATTGCACAGTTGAATAAACAAGGTCAATAAACAAAAAGGGGGAACTATATTTGCAAATTACTTACAGTCAGAGATTTGGAAACGCCGTTGAAAACTTTCACCAATATTTAAAGTAAATTTGAAACTTACCAATTGAATTCCTAAAAATAAAATCGGCTCAAATAATTTCACATGTGTCCACGAAATGGAACTTGACAGAGTGACAGAGGCCAGGTGGGAGAGGAATAGGGCAGTTGGCAATTTAACATAATGTTGACACTTGACAACTGAGTGAATCACTGCCACGACCCATTTCTTACCTTCTCTGACTCCATACTCTCACCGGCTTGTCACAGGCAATGTATGTTTCACGTTCCATCTTAAGTACACGATACTTTTTTTTTTGATACTGATACGCCATTAAATCGGAAACTGTGAAAAATACAAAGTCGGTGAAATTGGAAAAGGGTTGCCCATTTGAAAACTTATTCAAAATGACGTTTGAAAATCTAGGCAATTCCAATTTAGAAATAAAGAAGTTCATGACTACAATTCGAGACAAATTATTAATTTATATATTATTAAAATCAACACTAAATTTGGAATGAATAGTATATTTCATGAAGGCTCAAACGAATTCAATAAAATACCACAATTTGTTAAAGAATATGATTCAATAAACTAATTTGAGTCATCATTAAAGATTTGGTAGTACTGTCTGAGGTACAGAACATTGGAAAATACGATATTTTTTCCTGAGCTTTTTTCTCCTGTATCCGGAATTTTCTTTCGATATTGATGCTTTCACTGAGAAAAAACTTCAATTGCCGTCCCAAAATTGTATACTGTGTCCTGTAATTGGGTCTAGTGCATATTTAGAGTTGAAGCTGCTCACTCGAGCTGGCACAGGTCATTGGATATATTTTTCAGGCTTTTAATGTCTTTGAAAGTAATGCAATAGATCATAAGAGATTTAAATTCACTCAGAGCACCATCGAGCGTCCCGGGTACCAATTTGAATGCAGATGCGATAGTGTTATTTAATAAAGAGGAAAAATACATTATTTCATAAGACAAAAACACTTTTAACGTTAGTTTCCTTAGGTTAACTTATTTTATAACCAACATAACTCATGAAAATATGAGTTTATTAGTTTTGTGTGTTAATAACTATTCATAATATACATTTTTTTTAAGTTGTACTTTCTTAAGGTTGGTATCTCTGCTATTTGAAATAACATAGGAGCAACACTAATCACCAAAGCACGGAATCACAGCATAGTATATGCTGTGACGGAATGCAATAAAAATATGGAAAATAAGGTTATCTAAATGGCAAATGTATTGTGTAGAAATTTGTTCGTATCATCTAGGAGATTATGGCACGTAAAAGAATTTTCTTTTTTAACCTCTCCTATAAAATCTGTTTTACCTAACAAATTGGCTTCAAAAAGAAATCATCCCAAATATGAGTATGTAAAATTTTATTCCCTGTCTGGGGAGGATAAGGATAAACATGAAAATAGTGGTGTAGTGAAAGAAAATGTAAAATTGAGTCTATTTCAAAAATTTAAAATAATGTATAGGGATTACTGGTATGTCCTCTTACCAGTTCATGTTGTTACTTCAATAGGTTGGTTCGGTGGGTTCTACTATATGGCTAAAAGGTAATTATTTTCAGTTTTATTATGAAGTTTTTCATGATATGTAAATTACAGTGGAATCGACATCGTGGCAATATTAGAATCTTGGAATGTAAGTGAGAAAGTTGTAAACCCGTTGAAAGATTCCAGTATGGGATATTTGGCAGTGGCTTACGCTTGTTATAAAATTGCAACACCAGCAAGGTATACTGTGACGTTAGGAGGTACCACTATTTCTATAAATTATTTGAAAAAATGGGGATACATTAAACCAGTCCCAAGCAAGGAGAGAATGAAAGAAATATATCTTGAGAAAAAAGGAACACTCACAAAGAGTATGAAGGAAACTAAGGAAGGAATAAAAGAAAAGAAAGATAATATAATTGAAACTCTACATGAGACTAAAGAGGAAATTAAAGAGAAAAAAGATAATTTGTTGAAAAGCGTTACAAAAACGAAGAGGAAGCTTGAAAACCAAAAATCTGGAATCAAGGACAAATTCTCTAGTATAAAAGAAAAATCGACCTGAAGCATTCAGTAAATATTTTCCCATGTATATATAAAATTCGTAGAAAGAAGATTTATATTTACACTTCAAATGGATTGTATTAAAGTTGATTTACTTCACAATTAAAATAATATTTTGACATACCCATAATAATAATGTGAATTATTGATAGAAAAAACATTTTTAAGAAATACATCAAATAGCAGGATTCAATTTCTATTTATGATAAGAATGTCGGCTCATCTACTCGAACAATAACAATTTTAAAATAAATTCACCCTCAGAAAAGTGTTAGGGAACCTAAAATGAATAACATTACACTGCATTCATGAATTCGATATTGTTTTGTTTGAAGTTGTAGACAATATAATGAGATGACTAGTATTTGACTTTATTGGTTAATGGTGTATTCTTCAAGAAAATGTCAACTTTTATTTAGGGTTGAAAAAAAAATTAACTATTTTCACATTTATCAGATTGTTATTTACAGTGGCAGTCATAGAGCTGGTGACAGAGTCAATCAAACCCCATGCCTGAGGAGAGCCTTGGGATGAGACTCTTTTGTCACTGTACATATTCTAATGTAAAGTGCTGGATATGGGGGCCCTCATAAAACAATTATTTAGAAAACCTCGAACTGATAACTCTGCCTTGACCAGTCTTCAAATTCTTATAAAAACCAACCCTGTAAATATTGAACATTCACTGCAAAGGTTTGACATAGATATTGGACATATAAGATAAACATAGAGCTGCTAGAAATATTGAACATAAAAGAACATTTTAGAGTTTTTGCAAAAATGTGATTACCACATAACTTGGTGGTCCGAAAATTGTGCTTACTACAATAATTTCAGATTTGTGTCTTTTGCAGATATATCTTGCATAAGTCTGTCGCTAAATAACTACTTCCCCAGTATTAGCCGGGGAAGTAGTTATTTTCTAGAACCTACGGTGTAGGTATTTGGGAGAGATGAATATTTCAAAATATTTATTTTCTAGTACCTACGTATCTCTCCTAGATACAGTCTTCAGGCATGGTTTTATCTCTTTCGAATTTTATGATGGTGTTGTATTGAAAAACAGACATTCACAACAATCTTCTTTTATATGCATACAAGTCTTTGTGTTGATAATACTTATGTATCAAGTCATACATGTGATGAAAAAAATACAGCAAGTTATCATATTGTCCATTATAAGCCTGACTTTCACTACTATACAGTCCTTCAAAGTGACTCAAACACTTTTCTGTGACACAATTTTTAATGCCACTATAATTCGGGTTCAATCCCCAACAATGTAAATGAACTTCGATTAGAAACTGGTGAATAGCTTCAATGGTAGATAAATACCATCTCGGGCTGCCTTTTTGGTGTCTCCAAAATTGGGATATTCTGTTTTGAATTACCACACATGGAATGCGCTTTATCCGCTCATCTTTGTAAATACCTAAAAAAAAAATTTAGCCCTCTTTAAGTATTCTCATAACTGAATAAATATGAATATTTTTTTGGGCAAATGTTAGATACCAAATGTATTAATAATCCAAATCATACTATAAGGAATTAAGAGCACTGAATGATTGGCATCATCTTTTGGTGGTATTTTCACCTTCTACAATCTAAAAAAAAAATATTCTTGTCATGGGACTATGAAAACCCAATTGTAAATAGCTTCACTTCTGAAATTTTCCTCGGAACTTGAAAATTCTTTCAACTGTCATACATTAATACAAATGACGTTCTTCAGTACTATTTTAATTTTTTTGGATTACAAAAGATTAAAAAAAACTAGAGTTAAAAAAACTTCTCTTGCCCATTTTTATTATCACCAACATATTATTAAAGCAATACCTCTACTCTGATTCCATGTGCTATCAATGAATATGGCTTTACTGATAGGCAACTCTTTAGTGGTCCTATTGAATTCATAATCCTCTCTCGATTCTGGAATATATTTCATCAACGTACTTCTATGGTGTCCTTTAGGTATCTCGTCCAGAGAATCATTTTTACATCCCTTTATTGAATCCAACGGTAAGTTACTAGAAACCAACTGACTAACATTGATGGCCTGCTGACTTGGGAAGATCAGAACAACATTTTCATTTCTATAATCCGGTATATTTGGATAGGTGTAGATGGAGACATCTTCTGGAGCTAATATTGCTGCGTGACCAGCAGTGCTTTTTCCATCTATTTCATTTTTGTGTTTTATAATATCAATTTTAATGGGAAGCTGAAATTTAATTATGTTTATATTCTTCAAATGATGACAGAATTTCTTTAAATTGTTCATTTATTGTACTTATAACATACTTAAGAAATATTTATTCAATAATGTCGTACAATACTCTTCAATTCCCAATGCTTATCTAGGAAGTACATTCAGGTCCACAATTTTTTAAATATTTTAGACACTGATGATGTTTAATGAACAGTACACGTTACTGCAATGGCTTCTTTAATCTTATGATAATTACTATTATTGAGTGAAAGTTAGGAAACTGGATATTATATATGCAACTTGGACTACCTCTAGAGCATCACAGGAAAGTTGGAAATATTTCTCCTTCAAACAGATACTTTCATGGGCTGTGCTCTTCTTTCTTTCCTCTATCTTTCCACCTCAAGCTCTAATGAATATAGGAAGTCACTGTTTAGTTAGTCAATAACTAAAGTTTCAGCAAAACTCAACCTCCAACATTTTGTAACACCCCAATTTTGAATCTTACAATGTTTAATGAACACTATAGACCAACAATTTCCTCTCAAGGGAGTTGAACTGTATAAAAAATTATGAAAGTAGTCTTTGTGCAAAGTATCATCGTAAACTCAAGCTGAAACTATCCAGGATTTTCTCTGTGTTCAAATAATCGAGCCATTGCAAATAGTGTTCAACTAGTAGCTCCTCAAGGTTCAATTTATCTCGTCTTATGAAATATTATTGATGAAGCATAGTACTATACTTACTTTCACAAAAGGCAATTTTCCTTCTAATTCTGCTATGGGTACATAACAGGAATAACAATAAAATTTCCTAGATTTTCCGCATTTTGGACAAGGTTGTCGACCTTCCAGCATATTCAATATAGAGTTATCAGCGATATTCATTCCTTGGAATGGTTTCGCATCAATAAAACTTTGTCGAGATTCTGCTGATTTTGGATTCGACATATTAAATTTTTTTGGGGATGAATATACTAATATGTGAATATAAAATGATTTCCGATTTCAGGGATATTTCCATGAATTATAAGTGCAGTTAGATAAAAACACTATATACTTATTTACGTTATAGCATTTTATTTTCATCTAGGGCGAGTTTACGTAAATAATAATAGTGGAAATGTATATGCATCTATTTCTGTTTTATTTCAACTAATACTATCACACTAGAAAAGTTTGCAGGCAGGTGTCACCTAACCTTATTTCAGATCTGTCAAATTTATTATTTTCTTCTTCTCTTTTTTATTCACTATCATTGCTCAAACTTCAAATCATGAAACCACACTGGACACGATGCCTTAATCTGGAAGCTAACAAAACAATACAGAAGTGCAATAAATGATCATAATATATGTAATTATGCTCAAAATACTGCACTTAATTTTCTTGGAAACCGTTCGCCATATCCAGGCTTTTTGATATGAATCAACTTTCCAGATATTAAAGAAAAATCAATTACATACGAATTATTATAATTGAAAATAAATTTACAATAAAAACATACAACCAAAATAAGTACTGCTCCCAAACACTAGAACTACAACATTATTCTCAACGCCCGTTTCACTAATCAAATTGGTGTCTTCTGAAGGCTTACTATATGTCTTCTATTACATCCCAGAAATATTTCAAAGTGAGATTCATTTGTGAGAAACGAGAGTAATATCTTCAAATTTCATGAATGAAGCAATCTAAACATTCATTCATAACTACTTCTTTTTTTTTATTTTGTTCAATTTCGAAAAGTATGAAAAGTGGGTTGTTGGAAGAAATAAAGCCTACCGTCAGTGGAATTTAAACCTAAGAAATCCAGAGAAAACTTTCAGGTTCATAGAAACAATTATCCTCTTGGTAACAAGTTGGGCCTGCAAATTTGATATTAATGTTGTTGGTATTTGATTATGGATTCCAAATGTCAGTCACGTAATCGGTGTTTCGGAGTCTTCAGTTCGTATGAACTCCCACCCTCGTAACTCAGACTTCGTTTCTCGAATGAATTTCCGTAAAAGTTCATCACTGGAAAGGATAGGTGCACAGTTGCCAACCGTCTCCTTACCGTAGAAACCTGTAAAATTAAAACATTTTTCAATAGTAATACTGAACTGATATTCAAGTGTTGCTAATAAGCATGGGGTTGCATGTCACCCCAAATACCACCCTGTGATGACGATAAACTATTATTTCCTGCCCATTATTGTCAGTCCATATAACGAGTTGAAAATGGTGATTTGGAAATCGGAATGTCGGAAATCACAACAATTTTCTCCTTGTGAAATCCAATAAGAATGGAAAGTATATGTTCGATAAGATTTGATCACTTTTCGACGCGTATTCTGAGTGAGGGAGTGACGAAGAAGTAATACATACATATTTGTTATTTATGATTTGTCACAGTAGAATTTTCAACTATACTGTGTACAGATGAAATTAGCATGGCCCCTGCGCAAGGATGACACGCAAAATCGTGAAGCGTTTCACATTTTTGGATGGATAAGCAACAGGGCCCGCTGTCGTTACATGACATTTTATTTGAACATTTGAATATTCATAACTTAAAGACATTACATTCCTTCCTTACCTCACCCCACCTCAAGCTGTAACGAATGCGATTTGCGCTGACATAGTTATGACCATAGTTATGCTTACTTTCCGAATAGACTCTGTGCTCACATTGCGAACAACCTATGTACTTGCTAGGGCGATGTCTTCGTAGTGCATGGACAACCACTGTTTTCGCCTGTATGGTATAATTGTATTATTTTAAGCTTGAAGTGATTGACAAGTTCCTGGATAGTAATTTCAACCCAAATGTGCATGGGCCTGCCCAAGGTCCACTTAAGTGTGGACACGTTTGGCTTTAACAACAACGTTCGTTACCAACTGGCCGGATAACCTTACTTGTTAAAGCCATTGTATCGAAAATAATAAGAAGAAGCTGTACTATGTTAATGTATTGTGTAATCGGTTGTTTCTTTGCCGTTGGGAGTCGTGGAATTCAAAAAATTAAGAAGCATAAGCAGTGTGTAAAGCAAGGCTTTTGCACTTCCTGGACAAAGGATCTTTAGTCACAGACTCTTAAGTGTAATGTATAACATATAACACACAACGGGGCCGCCAGAGGAAGCTGAGACCGTTCAAATAAGGAATGGAAAAGAACTTCTTTTTCCCTGGCATTTAAATTTTCATTCAATTTTTTTTATATCATGGATAATTCGGAGAATTCATATGAAATTTTGATATGTAGATTATGTTTGAATATTGTCAGTGGTAAATATGCTTTTGTGGATGATATTACTCTGGACAAACTCGAAAATATATCTCTGGAAATGGTAAATAGAAATTAAATATTTGAGAAAGTATAAGTATGTCTAGAGATCCAAATAGTGTATCTTGTATCATTTATAATAAGCTTCAAAACATGCCATTTCTCCATATTTCTTGAAATACTTAGGGTTATCTTGTCTACATCAAATGAACCTGGAATGTTTCAAGAAACAGTTAGAAAGGTAGGAGAGCCTACTACCCTTCTTCAAGTTTCCATAAAAATAATAATACAGTTCCAATCCGCTGACTGTGTGGTACTGACTACTGTAATGTATAAAAATATTTTTGATAATATTGATGACAAATAAAATAAAATTTTAATTCATGTGTAATATTGATAATAGAATCAATACCAAATTTATTGAATCCCTTGTAAATTGGATACATCTTCGTAAGCAGCAAATTTTAGTTTAATTGACTCGATCTCATCAGCTTAGATTTGTTTGAAAATATTCGTGTCTTTCTTCTATGCCACTCTACTAATAAAATGATGATAATAATAGTTTCAATACACTTCACAAGAAGATCATAACATAAAGACAACGATAAACAAATTCAATCTCAGATAGAAAATCAGTTGTTCTAATTCAATTTTACATATTATTTAGTCTTTCCTTATGTTTGCTTCTATAAACTTATCAGTTTCATTGGAGAATGCAGGTTTTATTTTTATTATATTCATGATCAGGTATTGCAATTTGATAAATACATTCATAATTTGAAAACTTTCATTTTCAGACGAAAACTGTACCGTGCGGTTCAATACTCTGCGATAAGTGTAATCAGCTTTTACTTAAAAATGTCTTTTTAAAAGCTCAAATATACAAGACCGAACAAACGTTTATGAATGACATTGAGGAGACTGAACATCACTTAGACTACAAACAAGTCGTATCATATATGGATGATACATCAGCTAATGTAAGAAATGTAGCGTACAAAGAATGGAACTGTAAGATTTGTAGTAAAGTGAATGAAGACACATTTGAAGATGATCTTGTGAAAGAAGCAATAAAAAAGTTATCCTACAATTTGGTAAATAAATTTAATTACTCTTCACTATTAAATGATATGAAAATTATTGGTCACTTAGATTGACAAAGTAGGTTTTTTCACTATTTATCGTTTTCCTAGTCCATAAATTTGATTTTCAATTTATAAGAAAGTTTTTATGTAATTTCATTTGAAATGATTTTGAGTCTTGTGATATTTTTTGATGATGAGCTGATAAGAGCAAGTGAGACCGCTTATTGGCAGTTACTGGGATATCATTTTCACCATGATTGGTTCTGAGGAGACCACGTGACTTTGTAAATATGTTGCTTATCTGCAGTCATAGATGAAGCATTGGGAGTATTTATTTTTTGTGCAGTTGTGTATAATGATGGAGAAGTAAAGAGCCGAAACCTTTCTTTCCCCAACTTGTTTTTGTTGCAAGAATCATTTTAATAAACGTAAAATATTTTCTGTTGAACAACAATAAAATAAATGCTCCGAAATATTTGGGTAAATCTTCCAGATAGTTATTGTTACTGTGCTTTGTTATGCTTCTGAAAGATATTTAGGACGTTGCCATCATTAAAACATTCATGTTGCAGCATCGATAATGATATCTTTCTAGGGTTTTCGTATTGCAAGAAATTCAAAAATCTGTAAATGTTGTACGGAATTAATATACGACCTCATCAGCGTCAAAAATATATGCATGAATACTCAAGAAATCATAAATAATTATTGTACAGATTTTGGGGTGAATGATTCCTCTGTAGTTGATCTGTGTCATGTTAAATTTCATCAGATTTACTCAAACAGGAGCTTTGACAATTTGGGTAGTTCTGTTGAAAGTGTGTCTTACACACCAGTATACGAAGATCACGAATCAACTGCTGTAATAGATTATTTGTCAAAGTTTGATGTGTCTGAAGTAGAACTTGAAGATTACCGGAACAGCCCAGTTTTAGATAATGGCAGTAACAAAGAGTATGTATAAAAACAAAATTGGATGTCATTTTTCTTTTCAATTAGGTGAATCCAATGGAAACTTTTATTCTATAGATAGATTGTAGAGCAGTGTTTCCCAGCGTGGGGCCTATGCTCCACATCGGGGCAATTTGATAGTTAAAGGGGGCAATTTAAAAATGGGCTCGACACAACTTTAACCCTTTCACTTTCGAGTCATTTAAATCCATTGCTAGATATCGGCGACAAATTTAACAAAAACGGCAAATTCTTTCAAAAATGCTGTAAATAATTATTAGGTATTATTTCGTTTGAGGTTACCAAAATATCAACTGGGTTATTAGAGTCGTCAAGTAAACTTCGTCGGGGATTCACCGCCTGTCGCGGGGAACCCCGGACGTTTTGAATCTCGCGAAACAACGCCGTTAGCAAAATAATAGAGGAAATGAGTGAGGATATTGAGAAACAACTTGTTGAAAAGCTGAAAACAAGAAATTTCTCAGTACAAATGGATGAATCAACTTTGAGAGAGAGTGAGGCAGATTTGATAACCTATGTAAGATATATTGATGAAGGGCATTTTGCTGATGGCTACTTAGATGTCGATGATATACCAACGAAAAATATAACATCTTGTGCTGTAGATGGCGCTCCTAATATGATGGGCAAGAAAAATGGCTGCTTAAAATTGATGAAGATTCAAATCCAGAAATGATTATTATACATTGTGTTAATCATAAGGAAAACTTGGTTGCTAAAAATATCTCGCCTATTCTACATGAAGTACTACATGCAGTAATAAAGTGTGTTAATGTTATTAAAGCTAGTGATAAATGTAAGCGTCTCTAAAAGTTATTTCGTGAAGAACAAAATGAAGACCATGTGAGACTTTTACTTCATACTGAAGTAAGATGGCTGTCCAAAGGAAACTGCTTGAAAAGATTTATGCAAGAAACATATTAACAACAAAAAATTTGAACAGTTTCATGGGCTCCAAAAATGTGAAGTAATTGATACCGCTTTACTTGTTATTGTCAATCATTTGGAATATTCTATCCGTTGATTCAAAATAAAGATTTTCTGATTTAAAACAAAATGGATGATGCAGCCAATATTAGCGAATTTCTCTGATATATCAAATATGCAGAATCAAGAACTCGCAGAATTGCAAAATGATGAATCAGTAAGAACTTTATTTAATATAAAAGAAGTGATGGAATGGCTTTGTGGAGACTTGAGAGATTAAAGTTGAGTAAATTGGAACCTAATATAAAATCTCTGTGCAGCAAGCATCAAGTCCAAGGATCGCACTAAGTGAATATAGAAAAATCAATATTAAAATTATTTTGAATTTCAGTTTTACATGTTTTGATAACAATTCCATAGTGATTTCTTCCTAAAACTCATTATTTATATTTCTTAAAGAAACAAAACCAGTTTTAAACTTTAAAAATTATGTATGGGAGGCATGAAAAATTTAGAAACGTTAAGGTGGGGCATGGCCTAAAAAAGGTTGGGAAACACTGTTGTAGAGTCATTGTGAATGTTGTCTGTTTCATTTATAATGGTATAGGAATGAAATTAATCTATTCATATAATAGAACAGTTCTAATTTATAATTTGTCTATAATATGCATGCATTAGGTAGTTTTTTTTAATCAAAAATTGAGGTATTTGAAACTTGAAGGTTTTTGCATTTCATCAAAGATTTTTTTTCAGAAATCACGAGGTTCTGACTTATGAACTTGTTGAAGTAAAAGAGAACCCCATGTATCATAATGGTTTTTGCACGTATAGGTGCCCAAAATGCAAAGAACTTGTTGAAAATGTTGAAGATCATTTAATACGACATAAAAATATCTCAACAGTTATAAAATATGGATGCATCAAATGTGAATATACAAATGAATCTAAAGAAAATTTGGAGACACATTTTTCAACTCATTCCCAAGTTTCTATTTCAAAAAAGGTTTTTTACAGTTGCAATCAGTGTCCTTTTAAAAGTTCAGATAGGGGTGAGATTTTAGTTCTTTTTTCTATTGATTTCTACCAGCCGTCAGGTTATTATTTTATTTAAAGTTTTACAAAAATCCAGACGATAGTTTTGTGTAACCTTTCAAGGTCTAAAAATGACTGGGTTTCATCGAATATTTTTTATATAGTGTCACTTATTTGAAATGGAAACATCCCTTTTGAACATAATATTTTTGAATCTTGTTTTGATGGTCAGCTTTCATTTTTCAATTTCGAAAATCCAAAAAAATTCTGTTTTTTTTTAAATCTGATCACACCACTGGATTCACGTAGTTTTGAAATGGTTTATGCCAATGTTACGTATGCTTTCGTCATAAAAAAAATTGATGAAATTTGTTGTTTGGATATTACATATGCATAATAGGTGTGCTACTATTTCATTAAAAAAAAATAGGCTTCCAACAGTTCCACTATTTTTATTCAGTCATTACCATTTTTGACCGTTCATCAATTGCAGGAAATTTCAAAACTCATATGCTGGTACATGCGAATCCTGAAGAAATAAAGATGTTCAAGTGTTCCAAGTGCAAATTTCAAGCAAGACAGAAAGGAAATCTCAAAACCCATCTCCTCGTCCACGAGAAGCCAGACGAAATAACGATGTTCAAGTGTTCCAAGTGCAAATTTCAAGCAAGACAGAAAGGAAATCTTAAAACCCATCTCCTCGTCCACGAGAAGCCAGAAGAAATAACGATGTTCAAGTGTAATGAATGCAAATTTCAAGCAAGGCAAAAGGGCAACCTCCAAACGCATAAATTCAAAAAACACGGTAAAGTCAAAGAAAACAGAAGAGGTTCATCATTGTTCATCAAATGTGAATTCTGTCCTTATACATCAAAAGGAGAAGCTTGTACGAAAAGGCATTTCAAGTCTCACAAAACATCTTTGTAAGGTTATTTATCAATACAAGGCTTATAACTGAATAATATTTTTAATGATCTTTGGTTTAATGTTAAAAGGAGAAATGTATTTACTTCAAAATAGGGTTCAAATGATTTTTATTTAGTGTAAATAAAATAAAACAAATAATTTACGATAAAAATGTTTGTTGATATATAATAGATATTACTATTGTATAGTGAAACACTGTATTGTATAGCGAAACTGTATTGGAAATCGCACAATGAATAAGTTAAATGTCAATTATATACAAATAATCAAAATGAAAAATAAAGTAATGAAAATAAATCTCTCATCTAAGTATCGTTTGAAAAAATGTCCCAATATTCGGTCAAATTATTTTAATACATTAGAAAATAATGCCAATAAATAAGTCGATAAAAATGTATATGCAACAAAATATGTACTAAAATATACCATAAACCATCAGTATAAAAAACAAACATTAAGAGAAAAAGAAAATCCAATCATCAAGTATCGTATAAGGCTGAAATATCAATATTCAGTTCTACTTTCAAATATAACTTCAATGATTTCAACATTTTAATCATATGTATCATACAACTTAAAAACTACTAATACAGATCAAAAAATATATACACGATTCCTAAAATTATCTTTGAAGAAATTATATGCTGTACTCAAAAACCCTGCATAAGTAAATCAGCAAAATTCAGTTACTTTGTTGGTAGTGGGGCTGTGTCGAATATATTTTTAATGAACATGTCTTGAAAGAAAGCATATCTGGTCCAAATCATTGTGGTATGTAGGATGACGCAGCCTTATAAGGTCAAACTCAGAAAATTTTTATCATTTTCATCAGCTATTTTAGTCAGGAACATTAAAATATTAGTTTCCTTTAATTTATTGTAATATCAGTTTACATAAATGTTAAAGTCACATCTTCATATTAAAGTATCATTCAAAAGATATTGTTTTGTAAGCCAGTATAATAATGTGTTTTAGGATATGAAAAACTTTTTAGAAGATCGAAAATTACCAAAGAAATTGAATAGTTTGGCTAAACTATATCAAATATTTTCATTTACACAATACCAAATATTTCAACCCAGTTCTTTGTTTTCCTTTAGTTTTGCATTGACGCTGGCGCCACCTAACGGCAACAGTCCACTCAAATATCTATTATAAGATAAAATAATTGCTCTCATTAAAATTAAATCAGTATTTTCTATTGAAAATTCGAGTTTATAAACTGAGACTTGTAAAATAAAATGGATAAAGCTATGTTGTTCCTTTGGTGGACCTAAGACTAAATAATAACTTAGATACCGTTATCACATAGTATTTGAATTTATCACATTCGAAACGACTTTACGCTTCCTAACTGTATGCTAGGGATTAAACATTCCCGCAGTGTCTATCAAACAGTGACATCCGCAGCCCGTCAGACAAACATCTCTGAAGGAAAACCACCACTTCAAACAATTCGTGTGGCCCCCATGCCCGCAAGACACGCAAGCGTTTGCCGCACCACGTACCGACACGTGACACACAGTGCACTTCAAAGTCAACTTTTTGCACGAGGTACAGTTACTGAACTTGGATGGTTTCATACAGTCTTCGCAGTCGCTGACGAATTCAACTCCTTTGTGGGGTTCTGAGGTGTTGCATAAATATTTGAGCACTTCTGTTCTGTTGTAAATCAGACCCCACCTGTGTAAGGTTTCCGCATAGGCAGTCTTATAGTATTCGTAGAGTGAGTTGGAGCGGCACTTTTGGACAGATTTGTCGACGAATTCTTCCACTCGAAGGTTGTCTAGAGAAGTTGATCGTGTCGTTCGTAACATTGGAATTACCCAACCATCGGCTATAATTTCTGCAGTAGGTATTGTGTGGTAAAGAGATCCTCCAGACTAAAAAGAAAGTTTCTCATGTAAACTTCAAATTTAATTTTGATATGCGTATGAACTTTAGGACATTGTACTTATCAGCTATGCGCTAATTGAAAAAATTAAATGACTAAAATCAAATCTGAAGACAGAGTGAGTTATAGAAGGTTGCCTTCATTGCATAATGTGTATGGATTAACTATTTTTTCATCTGTTTCTCTACTACTACTACTAATCAAAATTTGATCAGTACATTGTCCAGGCTCGAATATTTGGTCATCATTTTAAACAAATCACCGTATCACATTGAAAAGAGTCCAACATAAATTCCTGAGATCTGTGCTTATATTATGAATATGCACATAGATAATCATGATTATGCAATTCTTTTGAATGGTCTTAACATAGACTTGTTGAGCAGAAGAAGAGAAAATACTGGCCTTATATTTCCATACAAATTAATTAATGACCTTATTACATGCCAGAAACTTCTCGAGAGGATTCACTTACTCTCTATCTTACAAACTTTGGAATGCACTCTCCTATTGATCGTTCACTTAGAATGTTCACTGAGAAAAACTTGCATCTAGAGATCACATGTGTATTTTGAATCATAGTCATAGTCATAGATCTTTATTTGCTCCAGTTACATATAATGTACATATATAAACTCCAAGGAGTGTGGAACATGTCAGTAGTAAATAACAACTAAATAACAAATTGCATTAAACTATATTTCAAGTACCCAAAAGATCAAAGCAGAAGCAAGCAAGTAAATGAATTAGAAATAAGTTACCTTTAACCTTCTTTTCCCAGGGAGGTGCTATAAAAAACAAGTAGATTGATTATGAAATGTGGTAGAAATAGTACTATAATTTTTGATTATCTAAAAATTTGATTGAATAATCAAATAATATTTCAACTATAACACTTGATAGAATGAATAACTTTATAATAATCATTCATAAATATTTCAAAAGGTTTGCATTTATATGTGAAGTCATAATTAATTTTTCGAATGAAGGAATACCTTTGGGAGGAAAATAGGTACAGTAATAATAGTTTTGTTTTTGTGGCACAAAATACTACCATAAATTTGATATTTAGGCAATATTTCAATATTCTTCCATCTGAATCCCAACTGATAGTAATCTTAATTAGAATTAATTTCGAAACAATTATAGTGAATCTAATACAAATAGTTAAAAAAAAACTCTGATGACTATATTCATGGTAAGCAAGTCGTCACAAATTCTGACATTAATAATATACCATTGTAACAATCAAACATCATTATCATTACACAAATGAAATTGAGTCTACTCTTATCCAGTGACAGATCTGTCATTACTACCACGTACAACTACTATTACACTGATTCAATTTTAGAGATAATCAAATAAGCACTTTTGGTGTAGAAAGTTAAATCGCAAATTTGGTACACTTTCTAACCTATTTCATTGAATTTTTGATTAGAGTTTTGAAAAATTTCATTTTTCCAAAGGAATATTATCAGGAGCTGCTTAAAAAGTAAAGCCTTAAAACACTTTTTTCATCTACCTTTCTTAGAACCAACTAAAAATCTATATGAACCGACATCAATTCTATTTAAAAATTGAAAATTAGTACCTTTTAGCAGTTTGTTATAGAGAATCGATCGATCTCAAATCTGAATTAAAAAAAAAACCTATTTTACAAAGGAATAACTGCTTATAAATGAACTACCAAATGACATTAAACATTTTATCAACACAGAAAAATAATTGCATCAAAGAACTAATTGTTGTATCAATTTATATCTTCACATTTGTTTGTTTTTGTTATCAATCAAACCAATTTCAAAATAGCTCCTTTCGAAGTTACACATATACGTGGATTGTTTGAAAAATAAGGTGAATATTCAAATTTCGCGGGATATCTACATTCGATTGGCGATTTTTTATGTTGGTATACTCGTCTCGAACATATGTTCATAGTTTCAGCTGTTTGAACTTACAGTGACTGCATCAACTGGTTTCCAAATGGATGATTTGACCAAGACATTTCTTCATCTGCCTGTTGAGGATCTGCAACGGACTCAGCCAAAGTCCAAGCCTGAACTAAATCATATCGACCAACTAATGCAGCGGCTGCAGCATTGTGTTTACAAATGGTTCCAACATCCCCATCCAAAATATACTCTTCAGCTAATTGCCTGTTGACAAAAAATAACCCCAGAGCATCATAAATGTGAACTACAGCTTTGGAGAATTTAGTGTGATTTTGCTTTGCTCGCGACCTCTGCCTCTGATAGTAGTAAGCAGAAACCGTCAAATAATCATCATTGCGCTTAGCGAAAATGTTTTCTAAGGCAGATAGAGCGCGCGGAGTTGTAGAGAGAGCTCTAGGGGTTATGTCAGGATTTTTTGTTAGCTTTCGGGTGTGTACTGGTCTCCCGAAACATACTAAGGTTCCGACTGAACAAAATTTGGCACCTGATGTTCTAGGGAATGGTATGTAAGCGTCATTATATCCACCAAAAATACTAGAGGGTTCTATATAAGTCCTATCATAAATTCTGTTGCTTTCAGCGTCAGTAGACAACTGTTCTAAAGTTGTAACCATTTGACGTAGGCACGGTTCTAGACAAGTTCGATTCTTAGACACCCGTTGCTGCGCTAAGTGTTTCAACATCTGCAACAGTTGGACAACAATAGAATCATGTACTTTTGACTCTTCCTTCAACACTTCGAATCCAGGAGGAACTCCATGGGGATACGCACTAGGAAAACTAACCTTCAAGTTTACAGTAACTGTGTTTATGGTTGCCTTAACGAGTACACTCCTGGCAACAGCATCCATTTTTTTAATCACTAAATTCGGTATGTGCACGTTGAGCAACGAAAATTCCTGTTGCAATGGATGTATTTTCGGAGTAGTTTTTTTAAATAAATTTGGATTTTCTGTATTTTCCATAACATCATCTCCCTCTTTAGCTTCAATAGGATCATACCCACAAAGTTTCTGTATGAAAGGTTCGACCCTCCAAACAAGAAGAGTTTGATCTTTTGACCATGTCACCAGCTGAAAATCTTCATCTCCAGGTTTTTGCTTTCTCCAATCGAAGTCCAAAACAACATCTCTGTGTCCAACGAAAGTATGCATTGACGTAGCTCTATTGGCGGTGTTCCACAGCAGTAAACTGTTTTCCCCCCTTCTCAATTGAGGCACAACTGCTGTTAGCAGACCACTACCAAAAGGTGTGTGTCTAGCCCTCCAAACTGGTGCATTAGTGGTTATCGAATATCCCGACTTCCTCGGATTGGAAGTATCAAAAAACTTTACTGAATTGTCTTGACTTGAGGAACAAATATGGGTTTCTCGGAAGGGGTTCCAGTCCAAACCGTGTATCTTCGACACATGTGCAGCAATGTACTGAACGGGCGCAGATGCTTTTCTCTTGTCCCAAATTTTTATGTCACCTTCATGTGCGGAAGCCAAATAATACGGAGATAACGGATTCCATCGTACTTGGGAGGCTTCCTCTATGGCAGAAAGGGATAAGGTCGGACGTCTGGAATCACGTAAATCCCATATGTGTATGAACGTGTCTACTGAACATGAAGCTAACAAATTCGGTTCAAATTTGTGCCAATTCAGGTCTGTTATTACTCTGGTGTGATATCGCAAGCAATGTGTTTGTTTTAGTTCATCCGCCCTTACTATCAACACTTCCAGTCTCTGATTGCTCTGAAATAATAATGGTAATGAAAAAAAACCTTCACACTTGTGAACTGTGGATAAAATAAAAATCTTACTGATATCGAACACGTTTCACTATGATGAGAATTAGGGTTCCATTCAGCTGCTCCAACATCATATTTACTTTGTCGTGGGAATTTCTGAATTAACTGGTCCACATCTTCGAGGTTCCTAATAGCCAGACAACGTCTTCTAAAATGGAATATTGGGTTTGAATGAAAAGACATTCACAATTACCATTATTGCAATGGGCAAGTTTGCCTACTGCTTTTCTAGATAATACTAAAGCCAGTGGCAGGAATCCCCAAGGGTTTATTGAATGAATGAGTGGATATACATCAACAGTATTGTTGATAAACACTTTTGTAAATCGTCACTGGACAATTATGGAAAGAAATAACAAACCAAGAATCTATTGAAAACATAGCTCAATGATGTAGAAATAATAACATTTATTATACTTTTTCATATGTGCAACACAATTTTAACCTGCAGTAGTGTTCCGATGTATATATAGTCCTGAGGAAGTCATCTGTCGCTGAATATAATGGAAGGGATTATAAGAATTTGTGCTTCAAACTATGCAGAAAATTGGAACATGCCAATCTGATAATATCCATGTTGATGATTTGACCATGTTATTTGAAATTGATTGAAAATTCATTTCTCTAAATGTGTACATGACAGTGCCCAAAAAATTATATCAGGGTTTCTATACAACTTGCTTTTAGCTCTTAAATAGGAGTCTTATTATAATATCTTGTTTTCATGCTGCCTCTTCTAATTATTCTTTAAATTTTTGGAGGCATTATGATATGAAATTTTGGATTACAATTTCCCCATTCGAAATATACACCTTGACATGTGATCTGCTCACCCTGCAAGTAGAACGAAATTCCCGGAATAGTCAACTGCCATGGCATTTGCTTGTAAATCTTTGCTTTCTAGGGCAACATAATATTCGCTACTCCATTTCGGAGAATTCCGTAATGTGTTGTTGAATTCCATGTTGACAGAGTACCTATCAATTTCTAACGCTGTCGGAATATAAAAATTATATACTATTTAAATGCAATGATTACATATTACTCCAACATCAAAACAACACAAACACATTGACAATATTGTCATAACCTAAAACTAAAACCAAACATGAAAAATGCATATGCACACACTACAAATGCATGCACCACAGAGTGAGAAAATCAGAACAGTTTTCTTTGCATAGTTAATTGTTCTGTGCTAAATGGTTACATTAATCATGATCTTTACATTGATATATCTTTTGTTGCAAACTAGACCTGAACATACAATTGAAAAACCGAAAGAGTGTAATATAGGTACTTTGTTCCGGTGGAAAAAGTTATATAGTTGAAACCTCATGACGCCTAGATGTAAGTCGTGAGTATATAAAGAGCAGAAAACAAGATCGAGGATAGTCTCAACCAAAAGACAATAAGCATTGATAATTCCAAAGAAAATATTTTTCAAAAAATATCACAATTATATACTACTAATAACAATTGTACCAATAACAATAGAGAAATACATATCAAATAACAATATTGATAATAATTATAACTATACACAAACCTATAAATAACTGAAATATTAGTAATAATACAAGTAATACATTTCAAACCAATTCAATAGAAACAAAACAATAATTTCAACACCTGATTGAATCCGATTGTTTCTCGCCAGGTTCTATTCTCTATCTACCGTTTTCAGATATGTTACATTCTTTCTCACATTCTGTCCTGTTTTCGTTGTTTTTTTTTTGCTGAACATAAGCCTCTTATTCATTCACAATTGTGTGAAGAGTACACGTGAAATTTGTGAAAGCGTTTTATTCATACATTCTTTTTGTATAGACCTTGTCACCTACTTGAAGTTAATTATCTTGGACCTGTCTCATCTTTTCGCCGTGCTGAGCAGATTCCTTCTTCGACATCAAATTGAAAGATATATGAATTGGTCATTTGATTTATTCGTCAAAAAATGTCAATTTTTGTTATATTCTTTAGGGTTGTCCTAACGGCAAAAATAATTTCTTTCGACGTTTGAAAAGCTAGATAGTTGGAGATAGACAATGCTTCTGTTCGGGTTTTCACTCATATCAGTGACCCCTTAACATCGCCTGTTTGAGTTTTCACTCGGGCCAGTGATCTCTTAGACATCGCCTGTTCATGTTTCTACTCGGGTCAGTGATCCATCAGATAAAGCCTTTTCGAGTTTTCACTTGGGTTAGTGACACCTCAGACATCACCTGTTTGAGTTTTTACTCGTTTTTTTGTGTTCCGAGAATCGGGATTTGAAGTTTCTAGATGTTCTTCCAATATAAACTTTTGGGCACGAGCCACATTTCAGATTGTACCTAAGATGTTTATCGTTATTGTATGCTTAGTTGGTTTTCTGTTAATAGTTCACTTATGTGTCTTATCTGCCCATTCGATCTATGCACGCCATGAAGGACAAAAATCAAACCTGCTGGAATCCCTGGAAATTAATAAACGTTAACCATTACATTTCCTATTGAACTACCATTCAGAAGTTTATCTTTCACCACTCTCAAATTTATGTCCATGAAAAATTTTCTAGAATTAGTCGAACCATTAGTAACAATAATTTTCAGCTACTCACCTTACTATCTGTTCACCAATTAGTAATCTTCATTAATCAATGGCGATAATTTGTATATATTGCATTGTAAAGTAGTGTAGAGGACCACTCCAATTGAGGAAGCTACTTTTGCAGTGAAATCCGTTTTGGAAACCCTGGTCAGACCAGTCTGATCATCCAGATAATCTGCAAAATACGGTCAAGTTTGGTTAGCTCACAAATATGTCTCATCAGTCTATTTATTGAGAACCAGATTACATAATTACTAGCGAATTAATTGATTAGTAAATAATATCACTTCAAAATTTAATGTTTCGGCAGAATACAACCCTTCAACTGATGAAAATAAATATTAGAATCAAAGATTTATGATTTTATTAAATTCTAAAAAACAAATCTTGAAATTATAATACAACAACAAAAATTAATTGGCGCAACGGGGCGACTTCATTGATTCCAGTGGCGCATTTGCTTTTTCAGCTGCAGGAAAACCCGGAAAAACCTGCAGCACCACATCATCTGAAGATCTTGATCTGCAAATATCCTCTTTCTCGTAAAACAAAATGTAGGGTGTCTGCAGAGACTCCACTAAATTCAATGCACCGCCAGAACACTTAGTGACATGACTACCGTCAAACTTAAACCAGTCCGTTTCGTCTTTGACCAAAGCGTAATAATGACCAGATTCAACGCCAGAACCACAGTGAACAATGACTGCATGAAGATTATAATAATGGTCTGCTAGATTGAAGTGTTCATCTATTTCGAACCTTCGTAAGAGTTTGATGCTTCCGTCAGAGGTTGAGTCATGTTTGGAGATCATCAGTGTTGTTAATAGATTGATTGGTGCCTCAGCTATACTTGTTTTCTTATAACAGTCAGTTAGTTTGGCACATGTTTGGCAATACAGTCGATCATCACCTGCTAAAAGTTCTATTTTCAAATTATTTAACAATAAGCTTCACAAGGACTGGTTATTAGTCATATTCGGAAACGCTAGTTGAAGTTCCAGAAATTCACATACGTTTTTGCTACCTCTTGAACATTTACTACAAAGTAAACATGTGAGGATTTTTCCAGCAAAAGACGAGATAGACTGTTCGGAATCATTCAATCCAGTATTAATGACCTGAAAGCATATGATGGTGCAGGCAAACTGAATACATCCTAGCAGACACTTTATTCAAATCAATAAATCTATCATTTGAATCTAATATGTACGGAAGTTTATAAGGGCCACACTAGTTTTATTCTAACTCTTCACCCGGTATTATATTTTTCCGAGATTTAAATCGGAAATTCAGACTTCAGTATCAGTCATTACACAAAGTATTTTTGAATGTTTTTTCCTGTTCTTTTAGTTTGAAGTATATAATTTGTTTTTTTATCCACTCTGTGTGCATCTCCGGCGCACGGCACTGTCTTACAGTAACTTGAATATGAATGGGGCAATTTCATACAGGATGCAACAAACAAAACAGAGAATCAGAGGAAGTTTTCAACGAGAATCCAAGCCGACGTGAACCGAACCGACAGTTGTAAATGAGTGCTATGTATCGTCTAAGCAGAATTGCGGCTCCGGATTGGTGCTGAGAACTGTTAGAATGGTAACGGTGGTGGTATTGTTCAAAGACTTGCTACCTAACGCGCAAAAGTGGAAAGGTAATTCAAATTCGAAGAAGGGGGTCCTTTCTTTTCACTCGCTTGGCAGGTTAACCAGTTAGCGAAATGGTTAAATGTGTACATGGTAGGAAGTGGACAGGATACGCACGTGGTAGTGTGACAGCTGGTCGTGATTGTAAATAGTGAATATATAGTAACTTGTAGTTCATTAATTAAAATTTGATTCCTATCATTTCGAAATGGGTGAATCAAATCGCGAAAATAAAACTAAAAAGGACGATGCTTCGAGTACAAGTACTTCTTCGGGTGTTAAAATGAAGAAAGAACTGTCTTTGCTCGACGGGGTAGCAATTATTGTTGGGGTAATAATAGGTGCTGGTATCTTCGTGTCTCCAAAAGGAGTTTTGAAATTTTCAGGCTCTGTGGGAGAAGCGCTAATAGTTTGGATCCTTTCTGGACTTCTCTCAATGATAGGAGCGCTTTGTTATGCAGAATTAGGTAAGTTATTATCCAATTACAACACAATGTCACATCTCGGATGTGAACACAAGCTAAATGAAAATTATGGCTACTATTTATCCATTTCTCAATTTCATTTGAAGATTCTAGCTGATAATTTGGGCGTTTACAACTTCCAGCAGTCGTTTTATATCCATCTGCAAGGCGCTTATATTTCATAATAATTTGTCAAACATGTAAACACGGCCTAGTATTGCATCATATTTTTGCCCGCCGAAATATTTCATATCACCACGTGTATGCTTTGCTTTTATTTACCTGTTGAATAGCAAGCGAATTTTGTCTCTGTCGGTTTTATGAGACTAGTCAGTTATTCTCATTTTCTAATCCAAAAATAACATTTTGATTAATGAGTTTTGCTTACTTATTGAAAGCAGACGCCTCGATAAACATAAAAGTTCGACTTCACAGCGTGGCATGGGGTGTCAAATTTCCTACAGATACCGCCAAATAGCTTTCCGTTCATCACATGGCCGTGCGATTTATTTTTTCATAGGGTGAAGTCCCATTTAAAAACTTCGTGGAGATATATGTAATGGTTAATATTTCTTCTGGATTATCAGATGCAAATTTTGAAAAAGGATTCCATGGCCAACATAAACTTTTTTCAAAATTTGTAGATATTCAAATCATCTTCTGAATGTGTCTTTTCAGCTTCACCCCTGGTTCAATCAAAGCATTTTAATATTGTTGATTTGTAATTTCAATACATAATTCATGAAGGTTGATAGCATTGGTTTCAAGAAAAAAATGTATCCTATTCATAAATTCAAATCCATAAAGCCAATTCAGAATTACTGATTTACCTTGAAATTTGTAACTTTCAACGTTTATACATTATTGACATGAACAAATCGCTTTTCTTTCTCATCCTGTGGGTTCATCAGAGGCGTCGGAAATGAATAAAACATATATTTCGAACTATATACCAAGAGATCATTCATTTGAAAGGCGTCCATCCTATATCCTAAAATGTTTCTTCTAATGGACCATTGAACGATATACCAAGAGATGATTCGATTGTGACCCGTCTAAGGGGTGGTTTATACTGGAACGAAATTTTCAAAAATTTCGTTTATATCCTAAGAAATGTTTAGCCAAGTTCATGTTCGGTATGGACACTTCTAATGGACTATCAAACGAAATACCAAGAGATGATTCGATTGTGACCCGTCTAAGGGGTGGTTTATACTGGAACGAAATTTTCAAAAATTTCGTTTATATCCTAAGAAATGTTTGGCCAGGTTCATATTCGGTATGGACACTTCTAATAGACCATCGAACGATATATCAAGAAATGATTCGATTATGACCCGTCTAAGGGGTGTATTATACTTGAACGAAATTTAAAAAAATACCAATCAGAAAGTCTGTTAAGCTTGGACATGTTGATCTTGAAGGATTATAAAGTCGATTTTCAATGATACTATTTTTTTCAATTCCAGGTCATTTTCGTCTTTTTCATTCGACCACCAGCAATAAAATATCTCAGTCTAGCAGTTGTACATGAACAATTTCTTATGTTTGGACTTTTAGTAAATATTTTCATTATTTTGGGTAGCGAATCAGGACATATTATAATCGTATATTCATCTCAGACTAACAATGAGCATGTTATATTTAAAGCTGGTAGTTGTACAACTGCGCCAAAATAGAATTCATTATAACATAAGATTTTATGCCCAGTATAGTTTGTGGATGTAGACAACTTTAGACCCGTAAAACGAACATCCACTATTCATTCAACATAATATATTCACTTTTATTGTTTATTAGAGATACAGACACTTTCAATAGCCTCAACTTGTACTCATGGCTTAACGCAAGCTCAGAAATATTGCTAAGTGTGGTTTTTATTCTCAAGGAACCATGATACCAAAATCCGGAGGAGATTATGCCTACATTATGGAAGCCTTTGGAGCGTTACCAGCCTTCCTGTACCTCTGGGTGGCTTTATTCATTTTGGTGCCTACTGGAAACGCAATCACAGCCATAACTTTCGCGCAATATATTTTACAGCCTATCTGGGGAACTTGTCCAGCACCATATGAAGCAGTTCGTCTTCTTGCGGCAGCTACAACTGATTTTTGAGGTTTTCGTTTGGGAGTCTTCTAAGGAGTGGTTTTCACGGAAGTGTGGGAATTTTTGAAAAGATCGTTAATATTCCTTTCATAAGGATATGAAAAGGGTTTAGTCAGACGAAGTAGGACGGAAGAAAAAAACCATGTTCTTTAATGAAAAATATCATTGAATAATGGTAATCTCTATGCACCATAACTAAGGTTCATAGAATAATCTTAATTTTCTACCATTCTACGTGAGCGAGTAATAAGAAAGCGACTTGTGAAAGAACAATTCATGTATGCTTTAATCATTTTTGGCCAAGCATGGGATCCTTGTGTTGGAACATCCACCCTACTCACCAGATCTAACTCCGCGCGACTTTTTAATGTTTCCAAAAGCGAAGGAAGCATTGAAAGGAGACACTGGAAGCTGTTAGGGAAACAGCGACATGGACTATGAAAACGATTGCAGAAAATGATTGAAATACTGTTTTGAATAAGGAAAAGTTGGAGCGGAGTATTTCGAAGGGGATAATGAAGAGTTACAACAAAAATCCTGTTATATTTTTGCCCAACCTCGTGCCTCTTTTACTCTCATCATCGAAACAACTTTAATAAGTGGGTCGCCTCAACATGCAAATAATTTACCATAAAGTTGTTGACAAAATTCGTTTTAATGTATTTCTCCACAATTACAGCAAGTTGTGATTTTATACTTACATATCAACTTTATTATTTCGAAATGTGGGTTAAGTAGAAGTTTATCAAGTACAACATTCATTTGAACTTTCTCGGAATGAATCGTTTTTTTTTCAGAATTACTTTTCAAGAGATACGATGACGGATTTCAGGTCGTTTCTATAAAAGATCAATATATCTTTGAAATGAGTTAGGAGCTATTGTTGATCAGCGGGTATGGTAATTTGTTTATAAAAATTTAGGATTCACTGCCATTTTCATATTTTTTATGACCTATAACTTGTTAAATAATGCAAATACGGTAATGAACCTTCAGAACAACTTTGTTCAGTAATGATATATCTCCCAAAGTATTTTTTAATCATATCCATATACCTAGTTTGAACCATATTCGTGTTTTAATTAACATTTATGTAACTTGTATATACAGGGTGTAACATAAGTACGTTTAAATATTCAAGTGACGTATTTCTGAGACAATTTTAAGAAAAAAAGTCTATATAAACTTGTGTTGTCCGAAAATGCTTCGTATCGGAGATACTGGGTGTTGAAATAGAATTTTTTTGTTCGCTTTTTGAAAATAACTCTTGCAAAAAATTAGTTATTGGCACGAAATTCGGTAACCGGGGTTTCTTTGACGTGGGAAATCATAATTTCGTATTAATGTTCATGTATCATCTAGAGAGCGCTGCGTACGCTGTCATTATTTATTTCAAATTGCCCTAACTTTTTTGACAGTAAACTTTTGGTACTTTTCATGAAAAAACCTAATTCCCACACCTTTTCCAAGTAAAAAAGGTACACCTCAACAACGCTGGAGGTGATGGAGGTGAAATATTATTATTATAGGTGAGCCACATTAAACCCTTGCGGGTTGTGGTGGAGGTTCGAATATACCCATTCATTTTGGACCTAACCTAACCTAACCTTGATTGAAATAACAAAAAAGATTTATCGCCACAAGCTTATTATTATATTCATCAAAAACAACTTCAACATTCGTGACATAGTTATAACGTGCTTATCTTATGTGCTTTGATATCACTCTACATAGTATAAAACAAAGTCGCTGCCAGTCTGTCCCTATTGATGCATAATATTAGAAAAACACTGATAATTTCAGAGGTTTCTTATGTGATGTCGTAAATAAACACATTTTTTGCGCTTACATTGCAAACGCTTGCTGAACTCTACGATTTAGATCAAAAAATAAAAATTTACTACAGTATTGTACACCTTAATAAGGTCTACAAAAAGTCCGCGATGGCTATATGTCTATCTCTTAGGGATAACCCACAATGTCTTATTTTCGAAGCGATTTTAAACAATGCAGCATCTATCCTTATCCAATTGAGTACCTCAAATACATTGTGCATTCAAGATAGATCAATATGACCCTTTGCAGCATGCAATTTCAAATAAGTATTTTCGAAGATATTACAGATTTAAAATGCAGGGACACAGCGGTTGCGGCGGTACCGGCCCGGGACCCGACGAATATTATTTTTCGACAAAAGTCACCCAAAACTGAATTTTTACATACATATTGTTCGAGAAATATACATTTCTGTCCGCCAACTAATTTCTGATATCAAATAATTAAAATAAAAAGCAAAAATTCGCAGCTAATTTGCTTGACGCAGCGATCAGTTGTTCTATGCAAAAATACGCAAAATTCAATGGTGTTTCTCGGAACATTCAAAAGTTCTCTGTGAAAACAAACCATCCTGTTATTTTTTTAGTACCTACAGAATACATTTTTTCTATAACTGTATAAAATTGTTTTTTTTACAATCTTTAATATCTGGAGAACAGGGATATATGAAAAACTCGACGAGCTACTGCGAATGTTAGCAATTATTCCAATTATTTTTTCGGCAGGTTATCAATTGTTACAACGTCAAGTGGGTGACTAGAGTTCAGGACATCTTCACGGCAACCAAAATGTTTGCACTTCTGATTATCGTAATAGCTGGCATATACTACGTATGCGTAGGGCACGTCGAACACTTCCGGGAACCAATGGAGGGAACCAACTGGGATCCGGGACACATTGCACTTGCCTTTTATTCCGGACTCTTTTCGTATTCCGGCTGGAATTATTTGAACTATGTCACCGAAGAGTTGAAAGATCCACACAAGTAAGTAAAATTGGAAAAGGAAATGTTCGTTTCTGTTAAGGTTGTTTCAAAGGTTTTATCCGCTTTGATGTCATATATTTTTTGTAGCTCCACATCTCAATAAGTATTTATTCTACTGATCGATAGAGAATGTTGTGCTCTATAACACGAGAGCTAAAAAGTCCCGAGCTTAGGAAAGAAAACGCGTTTTTTTAATGGCTTTGTTCATCAACGTAAACCCCGCCAAGAGCCACACAATCATTTCAATACCACTTTTGTAGAGCGATTTATCTTTTGTCTCAGAATAGGCCTCACTTTCAGCAATAACCTCTTCATTCGAGCTTACTACAAAAACTAAAATAATAATAACAACAGCGAATAAACTAAACACAATATCAATTTCCGACCGTTTATTATAACTCGTGGTACCGTCGAATCCTTCGATACTACAGCACTGGCCGCGTTGGATGAGAATCTCATCCTAAGAGCGGTTGAAGGTCCCGGCAACTCGGGTGGATCACGTGGTAAGAGAGCCTACTGGTTATATTATTCAACTGTGCCAAAACAACGAGGCCATAATCTTTCCAGCCCATTGTTGGGCTTTCGGTCGCTTTAGACCAGTTGTTCTCGACTCAGATGACGATTGTTTTGATTCCAGAGTGATGTGATGGATCCATTGTCACATATCGACGCAAAAATTCCGGTTTGTTATGTTTGAACATGGCCAAACACTGCTCAGAATCATCAAGACGTTCTTGTTTTTGGTCAACAGTGAACTCGCGCCGCACCCACTTTGAACGAGAATAGAGCTTTCTCATACTCAAATGCTCATGCAATATAAAGCCAACACGTTCTTTTGATATCTCTTTAATGTTGGCTAACTCACGCAACTCCACTTTTCGATCATTCAAAACGATTTTGTGGATTTTTTTTATGTTTTCTGGTGTTACTGTCTTATTGCTGCTAAGAAACTCATCAGCAAATCTGAACACATTACTGATCAGTTCAGTATCTGGTGCCAAAGAAATAAGCTTATTCTAAATACTTCAAAATCGATCAGTGTTAACTCCCACTTCAGAAGAAATATTTCAATTGGTCGACGCTCAATAGCTATGATAATTCAAATTTCTGAAGAAATAAAATTTTTAGGGACCTACCTAGACGCCAATCTAAATTGGGATAGGCAGGTGGACTATATATGTGCTAAGCTAAATAGAGCTGAAATGGATGAAACTGGCTTACTCAGCATATATTATGCCATGGCCTACCCTCACATAAATTTGAATATTACGGCTTGGGGCAGAGCAAGGGAGTCTTTATAACACAGAAGCGCATCAGAAGGCTATTCTTTAATATGGATTTCCGGGATAGCTGCTGACCCGTTTTTATAGACAAAAGAATATTGACAGCCCCCTCCATCTTCATTCTTAAATGTATAGATGTAAATCTGTGCTCAATCTCTTTCTATCTTTACTAGCTTGAAGTACAACTGACTTACCTTATATACCCAAGTGTTTCAAAAATGGTGAATAAACATTATTATTATTATTATCATTTGAAAGTCCATTGCGTTCTGCATCATCGGTGTCTCTACATGGAGCGGAGTCCTAATAACACTTTTAAAAGCGTTGCTTCGTTTGAACTATATTTTTCCAAATTAAGAAGCGGTGTAAAATTGAAACACAAAATTGTTTTTGATCCATCGTTTTGAAAATAACAAAAGTAGTGTAACTCTTAACACAATAACCCACGAACTTACGAGTGGAATATCATGAAATTTCTACAGCTTTCTTTTGAAGTTTAGTACTAACTGAAAAAACGATGAATGCAATGAGGCTAGCGCCATCTATGTGTTAAACTAGAGATTTTTCAGCCCACGTAGTACATTGATGCTGTTCATTTTTACAGCTTATTAGTAATATGATGTCGTTGAGCGATTTTCATACAATTTTTCCCCTCTACGAAGCTATTGTATAACAAAACACGTGTTGCGTTTTTGTAAAACTGTTTAGTGAAAATCTCGCATTGAAGTATTGGCTGAATCCATCACATATCACAAGTTTAATGTATCAAATCCAATCTATTTTGAATGGATCATAACTTGCGATGTTTGCTGACACAGCTTCCCATTGTAAAATATTGAATCAGCAGATAGTTTATAATGATAACAGTAGTAAACTACAAGGTCTTTGTTGTTTGTTGAAAGTAAATGGCAAGCCATACTGATAAAAATTTGTGGTTTTGGGGTTCGTGATGTTGATACCTTTATTTTTATTGAATTACTTTCAGCAATTTGTTATATTATTGGAATCGATAGAACGATCAATATAATTTAATATTTGAAGATGATTTCATGCAAATGTTGTCCGCGGCTCCGCTTCAGATGGCCCATGCTCAAGGTCCAATTTTGGCACACTCTCTCTAACATATCGACCGGTATTTCACGTATAAATGTTTCAATATTGGCTTCCAGAGCGTCAGTCGTTGCTGGTTTATCCCTGTAGACATGAGCCTTAACATGACCCCACAAGAAATAATCCAAAGGCGTTAAATCCCACGATCTAGGCGGCCAATGCCGGGCCCCAAACGTGAGATAAACTGTTCACCGAAGGCGGCTCTTAATTGGGCCACTGTTTCGTGTGCCGTGTGGCATGTGGCACCGTCTTGTTGAAATCACATGTCAGGCATGTCCAATTATTCCATTTTGGGCAACAAAAAGTCGTCAATCATCACACGGTAGCTCGCCATTCACAGTAACGTTCTGGCCATTGTCTTTGAAGAAGTACGGCCCGATGATGCCACCGACCCATAATTCACACCAAACCGTGACTTTTTCGGGATGCATCGGCACTCCAGATACGGCAATTTTGCTTGTTAACGTATCCGTTCAGTCAGAAATGAGCCTCGTCGCTGAACACAATTTTTCGATAAAAATGTGGATCTTCCTCCAACTTTGCCAGCGCCCATTCACCAGATGTTAGACGTTGTGGGAGGTCGTGTGGCTTCAATTCTTGCACCAGCTGTATCTTATAAAGTTTTACACCCAAATCCTTTCGCAAAAATTTCCACATAGTGGAGTAGCAGAGAAAATGTTGCTGCGAACGGCGGCGAATCGACATTTCATGGTCATCACGAGCACTGGCGGATACAGCCGCAATATTTTTTTCGGTTCTCACTCTACGTATGCGTGATGGTGGTTTAATGTCCAATATAATTGGCTTCGACTTCGTCCAAGAACTTCATATGAGAATTGAATTAAGAGAAATACATTCATATCCAGTTTGAGGCTAATACCAGCGAATTTTTATTAAACAAAAACGCGTATTTTTCATTACCGCTGGACTCCCCATTAAACTGTGTACATAATTATTTAGTTTTTCGAAAAATGAGCAATTTTGATTTGGACCACAGAAACCCCCGAATCAAGTCTTGAGAGGGAGATTATTGTTGTCATTATTTTTTGATGGTCAAGTCTATAGCTACTAATTTTTTTTTTCAGAAATCTTCCGAAGGCGATTTACATTTCTATGCCGGTAGTAACGACCGTTTATGTCATAACAAACGTGGCTTATTTCGTGGTGCTGAGTCGAGATGACATACTATCATCCGAAGCAGTTGCTGTAACTTTTGCCGATAAAATGCTCGGATCGTTTTCCTTCATTATGCCGTTTTTTGTCGCATGCTCAACTTTTGGATCGCTCAACGGGGCTATTTTTGCGTCTTCCAGGCTTTTCTTCGTGGGTGCTCGGGCTGGTCATCTACCCAGAGCCATATGCCTTATCGATGTTAAAAGACTGACTCCAGTACCTTCACTGGTTTTTATGGTGAGTAAATAAGAAAGGTAATAGTGGTATTTTAAAATATATATGCGACACAGCTTATTCCCTTTGTTTTCTGCTACTTGAGAATTATAATTTTTGTTATGAATTGAACTATATTTTTTATATAATCTTATTTGGTGATTTAGAATCTGAAACATGTATATTGATTTGTTGAACACTTTTTTCTGTAATACAACAGGAAGAACCTGTTCTCCCCCTCTGTTGCGCTAGATTTAGTGTCAAATTGAGCAAAAATCCGTGCATAAACGTGATGAAGTTCATAATAAAGTTGAATGAAATAATTTTACTTGCAAAATCGTACACTCTCCTAATGAATTTTTCATTCCTTACTTTTATAGCCTTCAGGTTGATTATGTCATAAATAATCTAGAATTTTTTATTTACTCGTCTCAAGTCATCATTTTTTCCAAAAAAAGTATGAATAAGAGGTCTGTTCAAAAAACAAGGTGAATATCTCTGTTATTACCCTGCACGCATCGATTATGCGGTTTCTTAAGTCCTCTACATCGCGAACAGGAGTAAGATGAACCAACTGCTGTAAATGGCCCCAAATAGAAAAATCGAGAGGATTGAGATCCGGGAATCGAGCGGTGACGAATCAAGAGTATATGGTTATGACATCAAAGTCCAGTCGTCCCAATGGAAGAGCCCACGAGAGCCAATACCAAAAAAGCACTGTTCATATTTCTCGTGTTCATATTTCTCATACTCTGCTATTCCAGATTCTCGAAAGCATCCAGAAATCTAGTATCATGTTCTGACCTCAACAATTTCAGACAGTTGACACTAGATTTGTCTCGTCTTCGTCATGGGATATGTGCTGCGTGTTCTTTGAAACGAGTTTTAATGGATCGCTTAGTCTGGCCGATATATTTGTTGTAACAGTCCTCACAGATTATTTCATGTTTCATTTTTGGGTTTATTCTACGACAGAGGTTCCAGTTTTATCTTTTGTTATTCAGATATTTGTTTCAGAGGATTGCCATCTTCAGCATTGTCTCTATGAGGAAAAAATATTTTTTTGGAAGGAATTTCATTGAGAAAATATTCTCTTTTGGGTTTCCCCACTTCTTTTTAAGTATATGAAGAACATACGGAAAAGTCACAAAAGAAAGAAAATATTTAGTTTCTCTCCCTTTTGTAGTTTTTTCCAGTTTTTACCTACTGAAGGAGGAGTAGAAAGTCAAAAATATGAATTTTCTAACATTGTCTCTATTACATACAAGTCTTTCTTGATAAAGGAACATGAACTAGAGAGGAAACGGATATCCAGTATTCGGCCCAATACCGGTTTGAAAAAACTTTTAGGCGATTAATTCAGTTAGTATCACTTAAGACATATAGTCAGTAATCACTCAATAATTCTACCACTTAAGAAATTGATTAGTACTTATCTACTCATACTGCACTAAGGCAAATTTTGGCGCTTGTCTTCGTAAATAAGGCCCGCTTCAGAAAATAGTTTTTTGCTGTACAAACTGCTGCAAGGTGCTGAAAGATAGCAGCACTGACATCAATACAATGAGTCAATGAAAGAATCCATTTTTAACTTCAATCATTAACAAAATGATACGAATTGGACCATACTATCGTTCGCGCGCCGCCTATTCGGCAGCCGAATATTTGGTGGCCGAATATCCTGCTGCAGGGTTGGCCGAATATCCAGTATTTGGCTAAGCTGCTATCCGTTTCATCTCTAATATGAACATAATAAATAAATTCGTAGATGAGACTTCCATATTGAAGATGATTCACTATTTCACTGAAAGTCCTAAACTTCAGATTCTATCCATAACTCTGACCTTTTTTTTGTTTTCAGTGCCTCATAACCCTAGTTCTAGTGATGATCGAAGACGTGTACGTATTAATAACGTACGTATCCTTCGTCGAAGCGCTCTTCATCACTTTGAGTATCGCTGGTCTGATCTACATGCGAAAGACCAACCCTGACGCTAGCCGGCCCATCAAAGTCAGCCTCATTCTACCAATTACGTTTCTGATAACTTGTGCCTTCCTCGTAACGTTCCCATGTTACGTCAGTCCCGTTGAAGTAGGTGTAGGTATTGCATTCATACTGTGTGGTATTCCAGTGTATTATTTAACGATAGGTTGGACTACCAAACCTGTGCGGTTGAATAAATTTTTCAATGACTTCAATAACGCTTGTGCCAAACTCTTCATGTGCGTTCCCGCAGAAGATGATAAATATTTTGAGTAGGTCGGGAAGAGGATTCATTCTCAGGGGTCGACTCAAACGGATTCTCGAGCAAGAGGGAAGTTCTACTCCAGCTGAGGAATTTATCGAATATGCAGTTGTTGAAATCTCTGTTCATGGATATTTCATGGTTCTCTCCAAATTATCAATTGTAACTTTCAGGTTGATCAACCAAATTTGATATTGTGATCAGAGCTAATCATAAGCCTTTTCAGGTCAATTAAGTTTTGAGTAATGTAGGTACTGTTCAGTTTTTCAAGTACTTATTGTTTCTTTGGCCAATGAATCGGTTAGACCAAACAAAACTCGCCTGATTGTTAGAGAAAGAAGAAGTATATATATATATATATACATATATATAGCCANTCCGGTTCACTACATCTGGTAAACATTATAAACCGCCTGGAACGCATGCTAAGAAACTAAAAAATTAAGTTTTGTCTGTCGCCGCTCGTCACTGAGAATCGGTAATTCCCCGAAATATGTACAAATCCAGTTGGGTGCTTCCCCGACAAAAATGTAGTTACGCTTGGTTGCCGCCGCTAAATCTCAGGTCGAGTTTTAGAAATATTCGTGTTATAGAAATTCGACTTATGGAGAAAAAAATACATAGTGAGGTTGCGAAAAGGTATATGTTTGTAAAGAATACTCGATTTATAGAATATTTCGAGTTAGGGAAGTTTCACTGTAATTTGAAAAGTAAATGTTGGAACTGTTTTAGTTTAGAACTTTTAGTTCTAGACAAAAACGACTGTCTTGAAAAGAGTTGGGATACTCTGATACAGTGACTTGTAGAATATTTATAGTTTAGAAGGTACTGAATTCTGTTTAAAGAATTCAAGTAAATAATGAAGGTATCTTTCATTAGCACAAACTGAAATAGGACTGATTGTATTCACAATATTTATTTGCCCAACCAGCACAATCTCTGTTTACGGAACATCAACTATCAAATCATTTTTATTTACATGATACATACTTCTGAGACATTCCATACTTTCTTCAGTTTTTACAAACCTTTATATCGCCGTTATGTACTGCCATTATTTCTGTGCTACATTCTACAGTCCATTTTATTTATTCCTGTTCATATTGTTTTGAACAGCACGAGTTTTTATGTTTTTCAATATTCTTTGTTTATATTTTTCTTTAAAATCCGGGGTAAAAAGAAATTGTAGCTATTATTTAAAAACTTCATATGTATTAATCGATATTTTACTGGAATTTCTTGTTGTTTGACACCAACCACATAACAAGTGGGAATTTTTCAGCATTCATTCAATTATAAATAATATAACCAATAATATTTTTTGAGTATTCATTTGAAGTCCAATATAACTGAATGTTGACAAAATTATTCAAAGAACCTTTTCCACTTGAAAAATATCTCATGAGTTTAGCTAATTTTTGTCAACAGGTCATGATTCAACTAGAAAAATAATTTCAAGCATAATGGTGAGAATACTCTTTTCTTAGAATTATCAAATTTCTCTCAGAATTGTATCATTCCTCTATATTCTGACTTGTATACATGCATTCTACTTTCGTTTAGTGTGAATGTCCCGAATTATATTTTAAGTTTGTAATATTTATTGCGTATTTATTTTAAAATATTGAAGGTATCTGCTGTTGAAGAAAGGTCAGGTTAACAATAGGCTGTAACATTTTTTGTATTAGTTTTGTAATAAACAGTCACCAGTACAATAACTGTTGAAATGGTTAAATGTTACCAAAAAACGTATTGATTTTCCGTTTTTTTAATAAATTATTCTAATATAGCCCAATCTTTTTCTTGGTGTCCTTTTCACTTGATATATTTAAAAGTGCAGTAAAAATTTAATGAATCTGAATAAGTGTAAGAGAAAAACCTCTTTCAATCAGCGGCGGCTCGTCAGAGGAGGCAAGGGAGGCTTAGCCTCCCCATAAAATTTGAGGCTATTCATCGCAATAAATTAAAAGATATTGACAAATAATTATGATTATTTTTTTCTAAAAATTCTTGGGTATCATTTATCATTACTTTACCAATAATTTTTAATATAAATACATAATGTGCCTGAAAAAACACTATCACTCACTACGTAGTACGTACCACACTGTATCCTGCATCAACAAAACTCAAACGCACCGCCCATGAACGAATAACGAATAAACAATCAACCCGAAATAATAAATGCCATACGTTGCAAGGGAGCCAAGCCTCCGACCGCTTTAAAAAACACAGGCTCCACGAGACCGATCCAACCAGCGACATACGTCACCCCGATTTGTAATTTCAGTTGCAGAAATTATAACGTTAGGGGAGGCTAGCCTCCAGTTGGTCTCCGTTAGTGTACGACTGCGTTTGTTTTTTATTTTATTATTCGGACGGGATGGAGTGACGGATCGGGACTGAAAAATTTTTCGCTAAATCGTTTTAGTGTTTCTTGATAATATTTGTGTATAAAACAGTCAGTATTGTATTATAGCAGTGCTTTTTGGTAATATTTTCAATGTGTTTTCAAAGTGTTTTCTTTCAATTTCAAGGTGTTGTCAGGTTTTCACTTTTTGGTAAGTTGTTTTCCATTTATTATGGATAAGTTGGACGAAATTAAAAAATCTGATGATATAGTCGATTGGTTGCTGACAAATAATTTTAAGTCGTTATCTTATGATAATAAAATTTACATTATTAAAACTCTGGGAAGGTCTCAACCAAATTTGATTACAATTAAAGCGTCTGATAATCGACAAAATCGAGGTTTAATATCAGTTGGTACGATAAATGCGATTGGTTAAACGGCTTTTCATGGTTTCTAAAGCAATTGGTAAAAAAGGCCCTCATCATGCAATTCTCAAAATTGAGCGAGCCCTAATTGCAAAATTAAAATCAGGTAGGTATTTACCTCATGGATTCATTCACAGAATTATATATTTTTAAACATCCCGAGATTAAATGTAGTGTTCTCAAAGGAGGAAACGTGAGTTCAAGTATAATTTGTAGCTGTCAGTTCCCAGTGAAAGCTTCAGAAAGGAAATTCTCATTCGTCGGTTGATATCAAAGCTCTGGTCTATTTAACATCGTTTTTAGAACCCTTGTGAATAGGATTTGAGTATTATGAAGGTCTCATGGATTTTGCCATCGTTACGGGAGTCGTCAGAAACACTCTTGTTTATTTTCGCTTAACCATTTTGGACTGATGAATATGTATCAGCAAGAGTAAGCTATGAATATTAATGATGACTACCCAACATATTTGCATTTTTGAATCGTCAAAAATCAGTCATATACCGAATATTTCAAAAACAAAATGTCTATGATTTTTTTTAATATCCAAGTTGTGTCATACCCGCCGCACTTTTTTGGTGAAGTTCAAAAGAATTTTATATACAACAGTGACCTAAGGGTTAGAAAAAATAAAAGAAAAATAAATTATATATCAAAATATAATAACTAGAAAATCAGTTCAATCATTTATCCTAAATTGAATATAAACTATCCTAAAATCGCCGAGTTAGGTTAAGAGGTAGATGGTTATTTGAGTTCTAGGTCCATTATTTTACATAGTACCTATTACAAAATTCAGCCATTCTGGTACACGCTTCTTGAATCACATCTTCAGGTACCGTTGTAACGATTCTCATAAATCCAGAAATTGCGAAACACTAAAACATAATGGAAGAGGTCACTAAACATGATAGGAATCTAATTCTTTATAAAGAAATTCTTGAGACAGTTCAGTTTTATGTGTATTGTGGTTCATTGAAAGGTGAATACAAAATGGTGGACGCGTGTTATAATTAATGGTTGGTCTTTAATGAAAATAGTCTGTAAGACATATGATGTCACTTGAAAGTAAAAATATAAATCAATAGTAAAAAAATGCATGTAAGTGTCCGACCGAAAGTTCGGTTTCGGTCGAGTTTCGGCAAAAAAACGGGTTTCGGTTTAGTTTCGGTTTCGGCGGCTAACCTGCCGAAACTGCTCCTCAAAAAACATAATCCTTGTCAGGAAGTTTCGGTTTCGGCCGAAACTGAGACCGTTGCCGAAATTCGGTTTCGGTCGTAAAAACCGGTTTCGGTCGGACACTAATGCATGTAGAACTTAATAAAATGAATATGCTCTTCATACTAGTACTGTATAATTTAATGTAAAACGTTTTTGTTATCCCAGTGTTCGACATCGGTTCGCGAAATTTTGTGCCGGAGATTCCAACCTCGAAGATGAGCCCCGAAGTGGTCGACCTACAGCCACCCAAGACGAGGATTTGAGGACCTTGGTGGAGACTGACCCATCACTAATGGTGCGTGGGATGGCGGAAGAACTAGGCGTCAGCTCCCATGCGGTTTTTGATGCTTTGAAACACACTGAAAAGATTAGAAAGCTCGACAAGTGGGTGTCACACGAACGGTTGATAGAAATTGTCACGTTCCGAGGTCTGTTCTTCTTTGCTTGTGTGCCACTGAAACGATCCTTTTTTGGATCGGATTGTCACGTGTGATGAAAAGTGAATCCTCTACGACAAGATGAGATGTTGAGGATAATGGTTGGACACTGATTAGCCACCCAGGCACTTCCCAAAGGCGAAAACCCACCAAAAAAAGATCATGGTTACTGTATGGTGGTCAGCGGCTGGTGTGATATAATATAACTTTTTACAATCGGGCCAAACCATTACAGGAAAGTCCTATTTTGTGAGGAAATTGATGAAATGTACCGAAAATTGAGTCAGCATCAGCTGACAGTGGTCAACATAAGAGGTTCGCTCCTGCTCCACGACAACGCTCGTCCTCATGTTTCACAAATCACTGTCAGAAAATGAAACGAATGGAGAGTCGGTTTTGCCTTACCCACCATTCTCTAAAGACCTATCGCCAAGCAACTACCATCTTTTCAAGCACTTTGATATATTTTACACCGGTAGAACCTTCGCCAATCAAGACTAGACAAAAACGGTCTTCGTCGACTTCATCGAATCTCAAGCACACAATTTTCATGCTGACGGAATCAATGGACTTGTGTTACGTTTGCAAAAGTGCACTTATTCAAAGGGCGCTCGTTTTACTGAGATATTACAGTTTATAGTAAACTTCTATGTAAAGCACAATTTGGGTGTAATTTGGTCAGTATGAAAAAGCTTGAGGATGCTATAGTATAGCGAAACGAATGCTGCGTTTTGGTAAAACTTTTCAGTGAAAATGTCACAAAAGAGAATTACTTGAATGATGCATGTTTATAGTGGAGAAAAACGAGAATTCATGATTAAGCACGAAAAAATCGACGAAAAAAAGATAAATTAGAACTGACAGTGAAAATATTTGATTGAATATAGTCTGAGAGTATCTTTAAAGATTTTGGAAACTCACTTCTCCAGGTAAACAGAAGACGGATTCTTCCTCCATCAGCTTCTGAGCAAAGTCCAACCCATTTTTGAAGTTAGGAAATTTCTCCATGTTACGAAAAAAAGATAAATTAGAAATGAAAGTAAAAATATTTGATTGAATATACTTTGAGAGTATTGGAAACTCACTTCTCCAGGTAAACAGAAGACGGATTCTTCCTCCATCAGCTTCTGAGCAAAGTCCAACCCATTTTTGAAGTTAGGAAATTTCTCCATGTCAATCTCAACCAACATATACATAGCTCCTTGAGGCATATAAGGAGTCAGACCTTTGGCTTGTTGCAGTCCTTCAAATGCAATTTGAGAGTTCCTGAGCAATGTTCCGATCAGCGCATCAAAAGCGCTCTGAGGAGTACTTTTCAGAATAGATGGTAACGCCCCTTGAATCAACGTGTTGCTGCCAATGATTCTTTGACTCAAGCAGTTGAGCGCTTTGCGTACATCGTCGAAGGCCCCTATTTCGTCGTGAACTACTATCCAGCCCAGTCTCCACCCAGGGACCAAAAACCTTTTGGCAATGCCCCCGCATATCAGGATTGGTACACAGGAGTTTAGGGAAGCCGTAGATATGAATTTTTCTCCAGGGAATACCAGGTTTTCGTAGATTTCGTCTGCAATCACTGGGATTCGGTATCTGTAGGCGATCTCTAGAATGTTGCGAAGATGTTCTTCTGAGTAGTTTGATCCACATGGGTTCGAAGGGTTATTGATAACTATGGCGGCGGTGTTTTCGTCTATCTGAGATTCGAGGTGGTACAGATCAGCTTCCCATTTGTTTTCAGGTATGAGATTGTAGTATCTGAAACAACAAATGGTAGAAAATAGGTTAGGTTTTCCCTTTGCACAAGAAAAGAAATCACCTACTTCTAGAAAATTATCGACCAATCCCTATTCCAAGTTTATTAAGCAAACTTGGTCACCAGGTCTGAATGTTATGATGTTGAACTTGGAGTTCCGCAAGGTTCGATGTTAGGGCAACTGATTTTTTTATTCTTCATTAATGACCTTTCTATACACGTTGGGACTGAAATGATGATTTTATAAGCAGATGACATATCTACAACTGAAGAAGCTCTAACACCACAGGAAATCCAATGAAAATAAATAGCTTTTCATAGCTTGTTGTAATCCCAACAAAATTATTGTAAATGGAAGCAAAACACTGTTGATTCCATTTTTTTGGAAAAAAATCACAGAACTTTTCTTTGAATGTTTCTGTCAATGATGAGCTCATCAAATCATCAGAATCTACAAAATTTTTGTGAACTTGAGTTGATCATGATCTCGACTGGAAGAAACATAACGAAGAAACATGTACAAAGATCACAACGAATTTTTATGTTATCCCACATCTCAAAGTCCCTAATTGACATATTATGCCTCGATCAACTCTATCTTATCGCATAATATAACTTTGTAGCGAAGCAGCAGCGATATCTGATTCTGATCTGCACGTTGGTAGTGTTTATTTATAGTAATGTAAGTCTCTCGAAGCCGATATAGAGAAGTCGCTAGAAGTCTTTCGAAGCTACGCGACATCTAGAACAATCAAGAAGCGCAAGCAGAGTTGAGCGCGATCTTGGCCAAGTCACAATCGATTTACAATGACCAGCGGCGGCGGCCCCATTACTTTTTCAGGGGATGATTCACCACAATATCGATGCCGAAAAACCATAGCTGATAATGTATTATGCAATGTAAATTGTTTCCTATGAGGGTGTTTTTTTTTCTGTGTTTAATAGTCTTTTTTACCAAGATAGAGTCTTCTGGAAAAAAACGTCATTATAAAGATTCATAGAAACCTTGATGTTTTTACTAATTTGCTACTGTTTTGTCAAAATCTTTCGAGGCGAAAAATGATATTGACCCAGCTTTGTGCACTTGTTGATAGATGGAAAAATAATCGTTTTCAAATGTAAACATTGCTGTGCGCTTAACGCCGAAGTTCGTTGGTCCTCTTTATTTTATGAAGAGGCAAGAATAGGGAGGAGTCCAAGTGTTTACACCATGATATTTTTATGCATCTTGGTCATCACGAAAATCTTTATTTTTGATGATAATTCTGGTGGGGTTGGTCACTAGAAGATCTATTAGTTTGACTAGAATCCATATCTCCCAGAAAATAATATATTTCTGACACTATTTCAAACCAAATGAAATTGCTCTCTTCGAAATCAACAAAAAATAGGAAACCTACCTTACTTCTACGCCAACATGTTCAGCCAAGGTCCTGTAAATGGGGAAACCTGGCCTGGGAATGAGAATGTTCTGGTTCTTGCTTCCATCGGCGAGGACGGTGATACAGTGTTCCAGGGAAGAAGAACATCCGCTACACAAAATGACGTCGTTTGCATTCACTTCGACGCCATCGTGGGACAAATATTCTGCCACGGCTTCCCTTGCCTCTTGGTTACCAACGCTGGAAGTGTAACCATTGAAAGAGCCATCTTCCAGAACTTTTTGCACCGCTTTTATTGCTTCTTCGGATGCCTTGAGGTTCCCGTAAACGGTTGGATCACCTGGAAAAGAAAGGCAAATTATCAAAAAACGGTTAGAAGATATTTTCTATTCAAAGTTTCCATAGATTCTATATATTCATACAGTAGTTGTTTGAAAAATATCACTGTTTTAGAAAGTATACAATCTATTAAGCATATGTTTTAAGTTTGAAGATGCTGCGTTGTTTAGTATTCGTTTGGCAACCGTCAATAACGAACGTTATTGATGGAGAAATGGAACGTAGAAATTTTTCATCGTTTATGCGGTACAATACTTTTATTTGAAAGGCCTCAGTCCAGCCAATATAAAAACTGAACTGGATTCTACTCTGTTTTCAAATGAGAATATATTTTCATTTAATGGGGTCATTGTCCTCTGACTACTCTCCGAATAAACAGAATAACAATATTCAATTTGTAAACTTTCCGTGATGAAATTTAATTCGTGAGATGAAAGTGTCGCCTATATACTTTAGCTATTCTGAAAGATGAGATGATGATGTGAATTATATACAACTGAGAGATTCTACTTTTGTCCCTCAAGAAACAACTATTTTCATATAAACAATGAATTTCACGGAAGATAAAATATTTTCGAAATAAGTACATGCTTACATGATAATTGAATTATACAAAAATCACTTGTATGCTTTGGTATATTGCTTATAACTCCGGGGTCCTCCGGCAGAGGTGACCGGTTATGTTGAATGTATATTCATGATGCCTTTCACAAATTGTTGTTTTCGTGGAATGTTTTTCTGAATATCAACTATGAATAAGAAATATTTATGCAAATTGTAATCACACCACTTATTGCGACATAGCTGACCTGTTTTTGTCTAGAATCAATTAATAAATATTTTATGAGGAACCACCTGCGGACAAGCCTACTGGTTCGACCAATGAAAACTTTGAATATCTTTGTCAAGTCTTCTCATGCATACGTCAGTCATAGACCTTCGATTTTGCTAATTGGAATCTACCTCTGATGTATTATGAAGTATAATTTTTCCATGAGTGAACAGAAAATTGTTTATAATAAAAGTAAATGAATTATATAATTGCTAAAATAACGTGTCGAATGACAACTGACAGTAAGAAGTTAATATAATGTTTTTTTCTCGTTTCAGACAACAATAATAGAACTATAATTAAATTGGCCTTCTTTATTGAGAAAAGTTTTCTTTATGTTGAATAATAATATTCTTTTCAAAACACCATCTATTTTAAATTGTTTTATTGAAATAAACGGATATATTTCATGAACTTTGCTTTATAGTGTTGAGACACATTTTGTTGAAAAATACCTTTATTGAACATCACTGGTATAGATCTAACAGCAAACGAACAACCATTAATTAATTTCATATTATTATTAAGGATTTTTTTGAAATGATGAAGATGTTAAGTATTTCACAGTGTCATGTTACAATACCTTTATCAGCAATTCATATTCCACACTTGTGATTATAAGTAGACTGTTCTGAAAATTAGGTGAATGTTCAAATTTCGCGGGGTACGCAAATTCGATTAGCGATTTTTTTATGTTGGTACACTCGTCTCGAACATATGTTCACAGTTTAAGATGTTTAGCAAGTTTAGTTTGTTGATGAGTGGCATAAAAGTTAGAATTGTTTTGCGTGTTCGGCAATTTTCAACCATCGAAAAAATGAATTGAAGAATTTGCATCATATTATGTTGTAAGTGCTCAGAAACACTTGGAATGTTGACAGGGGCATACGGTGATTGTACTCTGAATCACAAAAATGTGAATGACGACGCTCGCCTAGGACGCCGATGAAAATGTTGAAAAAATTAAAAAAATTGTTATGGAGAATCGTCAAAGAATCGCATGAAGCTTATGTGCGGCGACGTTCGTTACGAAATTGCTGAATTTTTACCAAAAAATAAAACAGCGCATGAGCATCGCTCAGGAATTGTTGAATGACGTCAACGGCGATCCAGATTTGCTCAAAAGGGTCATAACTGGTGAGGAATCATGTATATATGGTTATGACATCGAAATCAAAGTCCAATCTTCCCAATGGAAGATCCCAGGAGAGCCAAGTCCAAAAAAGTATGCCAAGTTCGATCAAGAGTCAAGGTTTCGCTCACTGTTTTCTTCGATTGACGTGGCGTAGTGCATCAGGATTTCTTGTCACATGGTCGTACGGTCAATAATGAGTATTACCTTGATGTTATGCTTGTGAGAAGCAATACAAAGAAAATGTCCGGTATTGTGGAAAAACAATTCATGGCTTCTGCATCACGATTTAGCACCTGCTCACTCGTCATTTCTTGTTCGTAATTTTTTGGCCACAAACAACAGATCATTTTAAACTCGACATAAAGATCTTTTATCCAAAAAATATGTTCTAGAAAACGGGGTTCCACAAGGTTCCACACTGAGCGTTCTTCTTTTTGCAATAGCTATAAACCCCTTGCTTGATAATATCAACGAAGAAATAGGACGAAGCTTATATGTTGATGATCTGATAATATTTTACTCAGCTCCATCATTGGAAGATACTGTTACTACCATACAAAGAACATTAGACCAACTTTCGAAACAGGCAAAGCTACTAGGAATGAGGTTTTCAAAATCCAAAACACACTATGTCCACTTCTGCATACTGAGGAAACCGCACCAAGAACCTAGACTTGAACTAGATGGTGAACTTCTAGATTGCAAAGAAAGTACAAGATTCTTGGGTCTCATCTTCGATAAAAAATTAACATGGGCTCCACATATAAGCGACCTGACCCTTAGATGTAAAAAAAATACTCAATTTGATGAAAGCTCTAGCTCATATTCGTAGGGGAAGTGATAGGGAGGTGCTCCTAAAATATATAAATCTATTATCCTTTCGAAAATAGACTATGGCTGCATGATATATAGCTATACAAGTGTATTATATTTTCAAAAATTTAGGAAATAGATACTATCTCATTTTTCCTGAAAATCACTTGAAAAATTACGCAGTAATCTTAAGTGAACTGTCATCTATTAAAACGCTGTTTTTGATGAATCGTTAAACTTGTCTTGACAACGTTTCTATATTAGCAGATTTCATCAGTAAAATCTTACAGTATTGATCCGAATAAATAATTGATCTGTGCCGTAAATGTCATGAAGATATAAAGAGCATATGAACTATTCCTAAGAAGTTAAAGATGTAAAAACAAACCTATTGACAAGGCTATAACCGGCTTTTCTGGATTTGGCTTCAGATCCAAGTTATCGACAATTTCTCGTATAAAATTCCTGCAATTTTTCGCAGCAGTAGAAGGCTCAACTTTCCAAATTTCCGGTTTCCTTTCAATTATATACTTTGTACTGTTGCTCTCTAAATTGTCGTACATGCTCACACAAGAAGGCTTGTAAAATTTTTCCACGGTTTCAATAAAAAAAACACTCAGTGAACTGTTCGATGCAAACTCTTTCTATATTCTGAATGTCCTCGATACAGGACAAGTATTTAAATAGAGGTGTCTGCCAATAACGAAGTTATATTATAAAACTGGAAATGCGATTCTACAGATTAATTTATTCAAGACATGTTGATTTCAAATGAAATCTGCGCGTGTGTTGAGACGTATTTAATATTGGCGAAAAAAATTGGCATTCAAAGTTGGCATATTATGTAACTTTTTATTTGGTATGAAAACGAATCGCTCTGATTCCACTTCACCAAAAGCTTCTTGGAAATCACGTGGGTAGTTTTTGATATCAGATAGCAAGAAACGAAAGTCTTATAGACTCTGGAAAATTAACACATTATTTTGCATTGAGACGGAGAAGTAGAAAGCCAAACCTTCTTATCTCAAAAAATAATCTCCCNGAAAAATATCGACACCGAAGAAACGGGTGATCGACGTCGATCTCAATGAATAAAGTAATATTTTACGTTAACCATCGCAATGGCAGTTATTACAGCACAATCATGTCGCTGGAATTGCAAAGACTGCTTCTCAAAAGCTTGGAACACTGTTCCGAACCAGAAAACTGTACACACCTTAACAACTTTTGATTCTTTATAAAGCTCAAATCAGACCCCCTTTGGATGATTGTTCTCATGTATGGAGCTCCGCCCCTTGAGTATACCCTGAAGTTGCTGGATTCCATCCAGAAAAGAGCCATCCGCCTGATTGTAAACACAAACATCTCCTGCAACCTTGATGGTCTGGAACATCGAAGAAAGGTTGGAGATTATTTGCCTCCCTTTTATTGATACTTTCACGGGAGGTGTTCAACTGACTTGGCACATTTGATTCCACCAAGAGCGATACATATCAGAAATACGCGACGGACTGTGACTGCTCATCGTTTTGAGGTCCAACTCGGTACACCTCGAACTTTACTGTTTAAGAACTCTTTCATTTGGAGAACTGCGTTTATGTGGAATAAACTTCCTGAGATCGTTTTTCCCAATGAAGAATATAATCTCCAGCGTTTCAGATACAATCCCTTTAAAAATTATGGCATAATTTGACTACACTATCGTTTAGATTTGCGGTGTTTTCACCTGACTTTGAAAATAAATTTCACTCTCAGATACTTCTTCGACCATTTTGTAGGTTATTTCTTTCTCCAGTTAGAAGTGCAGTTCACAAAGTTCGTTATCGATATTTAACGTCGGGGTTTAGCGAAAATCAACTCTTAGGGAGTTGAAAAGGAAGTTAGATGCTGTGATTGCACTCAGATACTTGATACTTCACTTGGGGTTTTTATAAATCTATCTTTTGAAAGTGTAAATAGTTAGGACTCTCATGGTTCGGAAAAGCTCGGCTTGGCTCGGGCACGGGCTCGTATATACATTCCTAATCAGTATATCAAAGGGTTCACAACCAAGTGAAGAGAGAGTATGACTGCCACAGAGCCACTAGTATAGAAAGAACTCGAAGAAAAAGGAGAGAAGGTGGCCAAAAAACCCAAGGCTGTGAATATAAAGTATTTGAAGAAAACGTACGGATTTCGAAGAAACATTTTTGGATGCATACATGTAAGAAGTCATCATGAAGTATTCTTCTTCTGAATGAGAAGAAAATGAAGACAGTGAGTGCCTTAAAAGTGGCAACGATGCTGTTCAAGATGACTTTCTAATTGTGAAAGGCAAGTTTGCGATTGTGGCAAAAGTAGAAAGTAAGTTGCCAGACGGGCTTGAAGAAAGTTCTACCGGCGAGTGCTTCCATCGCAAGTGATTTTTCAGTTATATCAAATGTTTATTCTTTTAATTTTTTTCCTGTCGTCAATTTATATTTATATATCTTCTCGATCCGCATTTGATAGAAAAGTTTTAAACGATGTCTGTTGAAAAAATAAGGTGTATGTTCAAATTTCGCGGGTTACGTACCTAAGTACATCGGATTACCGATTTTTTTATTTTTTTTATGTTGGTAAACTCGTATCGAACACCCGTTATTGCTTGTTCGTATGTTTCGTAATCATGCCTCAGCCACCGTATTCACTAGATTTGGTCCCCTGCGACTGTTCCCAAGATTGAAAAGATTCAGGAAAGGATAGCATTTTGCAATAATTGAGGAGATAAAAACCGAATCACTGAGAGAGCTGAAGGACATACCAGAAAGTGTAAATCAGAACAAGGGTATTATATCTGAGGCGGACTACTTTGAAGGGGACAAAATAGAAATTGATGGATAAATAAATATGTTTTGATAAAAATGAAAATTGACTTTATTTTTTGAGCAGACCTCGTACAGTGGTGTGTGGGACAAGTATATATGTTGAAATTATTATTGTCGTGCTTCACTCTACCTAACTGATACATTATCATGACTACAATCATTAAATTTCACAGTACTGAATTAAACATTTCCTAATTATCGCGCGCGCATGGCAAAATTTTTGTTTATAAATGAGAATAACATCACGCGAATATTTTCACTGACGCTAAATCTGAAGTGGTTATTGAGGTTATGCATATTCAACATACTTCGGTCACTGGGAATCGATTGAATTGTCACGTTATTATCTTCGTCATAGTATGTTTTTTTCATTAATGAATCAATAAGCGGAAAACTGAATATCTGCGAATATTTTACCTTTCATTTTCAATCGAATGTGAATAAGTTGAGGTAGGCCACCCTCGACACTCTCTTAATGTATTTAGTTAGATATAACTATTAATGACAAGCTGTTTACCCGCGACTTCGTTCGTTTTGGGTCTTTCCAGATTTTCTAACAGTAAAATGTTTCCCTGCGTTTGATTTTTCTGAAACTCGATTTGCAAACTATGAATATTGTCAGCAAAGTTTCAGCCAAATCAACTAAACAGTATTTTCATAGATTTTTTCCAGCTAATGTTTGACGCGAAATTGAATAAGACATTTTTGAGATTGGCGCGCAGATTTTAAAAATCTTTTCATAAATAAAGACCCCAACAATAATTTTTCCCAAATTACTTTTATTCCATGTACAGAGAGCGATTACTTACTTCTATTAGTTACACATCAGAAAATTTACTTGTTTGAATTTGATTGGTGAATTCAACCATGCAGATAGGTACTTTATTCGTTCGAGCAGTTTTTTGGTAGTAGCAAAAATCATAATGGTAATATTTGCTTTTTTATGACAATCAAATTTAAGGCTATGGAAGTAAGGAATGCAAATTTCATTTAGAGAGTGTTAGATTTTGCAAGTAAAATTAGTTCATTTAACTGGAAGGGCTGACAAGTTCATAGGCTAACACACAGATGGCGCTACTAGTATTGAATCCATATAATTTTCAGTTAACCCTAATCTTATAAAGACACGTGTACAAATTTGACAGCTGTCGGACAATTAGCTAGTGAATAGAATATTTTGAGTGAAGAAAATAGATAAAAAGGACTTTTGTGTGTTAATAAGCATTGCTTTTTGGCAAAAAAAATACTGTTGAAGCCAAGGCTTGACTTGATTATCATTATTCGGATTTTGCACCAGGAAAATCGACCGTTGAGAAGTGGTTGGCTGAGTTTAAACGGGTGAAATGAGCACCGAGGACAATGCAGGCAGTGGACGCCCCAAAGAGGCTGTTACCGAGATTGCTGAGGCTCTAAAGACATCAAAGGAACGTATTGGACATGAATATTTGGGTATGCGAAAGCTTTGTTCAAAGTGGGTGTCGCGCGATCTCACAATTGACCAAAAACAACAACGAATTGATGATTCTGAGTATTGTTTGCAGCTGTTCCACCATGAAAAACACGAATTTTTGCGCCGATATGTGACAATGAATGAAACATGGTTCCATCATTTCACATCAGAATCAGAAAACGATCGTCATCTGAGTGGACTGCACGTGGTGAACCGACTCCAAAGCATGCAAAGACGCAACAGTCGACTGGCAAGTTTGTTATGTTTTTGCCAGAAATTCCTTTCCTGGTTATTTATTTTGTGGCGATTGAGATACCAGCCAATTCTGTTTGAACCACGTTGGTATTTTTCCCCATTCCCCACTCAATCCTTATGCTTAGTAATCTGGAGTACACTCTACATCCTGAGCCTTCTTTGGTTTTTGAACCGTCTGTATATATGCGTATTGCATTTGTAACTTCTGACTCTGTGTTCTGTTTTATTTGTATTTTGTAGGGTTTATCAAGCACAAACCTGGGTTCAATGGCCATTAACGCAATCTCCTTAACGTAGAGGTTCTGAGGGGTCAGGCCAGTAATTAATTCCATTGCCGCGGTTGGTGTTGTTCTCTTGGTCCTGTGATGTTTAAACAAGCCGATCACTGTATTTGATATAATTTTTGGATGACCGTTGCGTGTAGAACTTTCGGTCCCCATGCAATGGCTCCGTACGTTAACATTGGTCTTATTATTGCAGTGTATAGATCCAAGTGACCACACGGAGTGAAAGACCCCATGCGTCCTACTGTCCTCCGACATTGCTAATAAGCCACAAATGCTCTTTTCGCTCATGGTAAAATATTCATCGACTATTTCGAAAAAGGAAAAACCACCAACAGCGACTATTACATAGCGTTATTGGAGAGTTTGAAGGATGAAATCGCGAATCAATGAAAACGATGACAAAATTGCATGAATTGGGTTTCGAATTACCTCCACGTCCACCGTATTTTTCAGATCCCGCCCCAAGCGAATTTTTCCCGTTCTCAGATCTCCGAAAAATACTCGACGGAAAGAAATTTAGTGCCGATAAAGAGATAATCTCGAAACTATATATTATCTGAAAATTTTGACATGAAAAAGCTGTGTGCAAAACGGGTACCGTGTTTGCTCACACTCGAGCAAAACAGTGCCGTGAAAATATTTTTATTGAGTGTTTAGCGATATGAGTGAAGAAATCAAGCAAAAACGGCAGCAGTTGGCTAAGAAGAAAATGTTGTTTCATCAAGACAATGCACTAGCTCACAAATCCATCATCGCAATGACCAAAATTAACGAATTAAAGTTTTAATTGCTACCTCGTGCACCCTATTCGCCAGATTTAGCCCCCTCGGATCATTTTCTGTGCCCATGTGAGCTACTGATGGCTATTGTGAGGAGCAAAACAGTTCTTATTGAATGTCGCTGGGAAAAGTGTATAGAGTTGCAAATTTTTTGTGTTCTCTTCGTTGGGTACTTATGGAACCACCCTCGTACATTTTTGAGATAATCCGGCCGAAGGGGCATCACTTTTCTGCCATATATTCCAATCTTTCCCTTCCTAGGTTTTGTGTTCAAAGATTAAGTTAGTTTTCATTTCTTGGGCGTTTTTGATACTCTAAGAAGCAGTTTCTGGTTGTCACGGCTTGAATTTGAAAATAATTTACATTTTTTTAAGAGGTCTCATAAACGAAGTATCTATCACAATACCCTAATTACCATTTAAACATTTAGGGGTTGCAAAACTCACTTCAAGGGTGTTACTTTTACATACCAGATAATCTAAAATTGACGTGTTACAGGATTTTTTATTGGGCTGCTCCACCCTGTATAAACCGTGTAATGAAACAAATGCCAACGGTTGAGAGTCACCAAGATGATTGCATCGCCTATTGAGACCGCACCTACACAATGAGCATGTACTAATAGACCCTAATTAATTGATGTGCCATTGTCAAATCGGGTTCGTCTTTTCCTTACATAATTATTTGAGCATTTCATACCAGTATAGACGTAATGATTCAACTATTTATATCGACAACGTACAACGTTATAAATATACATTCTAAATATACGTCAGCCAGTGTTTTGCGTTCATTCTGACAGCATCTGAATTCATTCCGTTTCAGAAACGAAGACGCTAACATTTGTCGAATTCACGCCGAAAACATGCATTCCGTCCGCGGGCCCATAAAATAATGAAAGTGTCGCGTAATACAGCGCAAATAGATGTGAATTCTAGCCTTGCCTGCCTTACCAAAATTGGGCACCCGTGCGTGGTCGGCATAAACTACATTATTAAATATTTCAAACAGTCGGATCAGTTGCATTAGTGTTATTGAGCCGTGCTTCCGTTATGTCACACGAAGCGCAGTTGAAAAGAAGCTACAAAGCGGATTTTTCCGGAGCAACGCCGTTAGTTACTCGAGAACGGAGTTTCGTCAGGCCCAGCAAGGATCCGCAGAAACGCAGGAGCCAGACCATGCTAGCGATTAGAGGAAAACCGACGATGGAAATCTACAGGCCACCCAACGTGAGGACTGACATTCCTGCGAGCGGTAAACTGAACGTCCACGCAAAAGAATTCACCATGAATCACGAGTTGCACCCATCGAAATCAAGCGGAAATCTAAATTTAGCCATGGCTTACGAGGCGATGCCTCTGCAACACTCAAAGTCGAGCGGCAACATTCTCAGACAACTTAATCATCCAGGACTGTTCCCCATAATGCCCGGAGTGCCTCTACCGCTTCTACACTCTGCATCGTCTTCGCATATCCTGAACCACATGCCTAGGCCAAACTACCAGTTCCCACCGGAAATGCTGGCGCACCCCGTCTTCTCCGGAGTGAACCAGCCGATCTATCACCCGAACTGGGCTAACCTCCAAACTAAACAGCCCGTTTCGAAACCAGCCTCGCTGAAACGATCCAAAAGTTTGGGCGCAGCGGACTCCAAACACTTAGTCACGAAGCTGAAAGGAATTTCCAAAGAGGATATCGACCTGAGTATATTTTCAGGGGAGGACCAAGTCAACATCAAGACAGCCCTGGAAGACCCGAACCAACTCGCCTCCAGGACCCTAATGGACCTGGTGAAAATCATCTTGGAGAAGGTAGTCGAAGGGATCAAGTACAGCGAACCGATCGCGAAGTTGTGCATTTCCATAATCGAAAACGAGAAAAACCAAACGTTCTTGGAGTCGTTGTTGAACACGTGTCAGCAGTGGTACCAGGAGAGAGACAAAATCCTGCGGGGGATCAAAGCAGGCGACGGCACGCGCTTCACGGCGTTCATGTGGTTCCTGACGGAAATGTGCAGCCAGATCAAGAGACACCAACTGAAGGATCAGTTCGAATCTCTGCAGCCCGAACTCGTCCTGCTGAACGTGCTGGCGATGTGTTGCCAAGCGTGCGTCAGTTTGCCGATCAAGTGCCTATCGGAAACGGAGTGTTTGTTTTTTGTTTTGACGTCGATCGGGAAAGACTTGGAAGCGGAACTTCCGCTGCAGCTCGAGCAGCTTTTGGCGAGTGTTCGAGACGGGTTTCTGGCCAGTGCGGGATCTGCGAGTGTGAGACGTACTCTTTTGCAACTCATCGAACTGCACGCTTCCAATTGGCAGTTGCCTGGTTCGTCCGTTCTATACTATTATCCCAGAATTAAATGATGCTTTTCTTGTTTTGTTCATGTGACCACTTGGACCAAATTGTTTTTTATACGTGTTATTTGAAGTAAAACTATGTCTACTGTTCAATTTGATTGCTTGATTATGAATAATTTAGAGTTCCATGAGCACTTCAAGAGGATTCAAGAAAACATAATGAAACCACTATTATTCTGTTAGTAATTATCCTCAGATAACTTTATAAATCTTGAAACAGATATTACCATTTCAACTTCATTATTTACTGGTTTCCAATATGAGTTTCGAGGGGCTTGAACAACAATTAGTCCAACATAAGGTTCTTCAACGTGAGTAACTGCCTAAAATTTCATATGGAAAAGTTCATCAGTAATGGTAGATTTTTTTATAATGGCAATCAAATTAAAAAAGAAAGTTTTTGACATTCTACTACTCCATCCTGATACAAAAAATGTGTGAATCTTCCAAAGAAAGAAAGGAGGCAATCATTTTTTTGTATCAAGATGGTGTAGAAGAAAGCCCAAAACTTTCTTTCCCAAAAGTATATTACTCCTAAAAATATAACTTTTTTATTTCAACAATCATCGATTGATTCTAATTTCAATTGCATATATTAAATAATTATTGTTATGCTTGAGTACATCAATAAATACACTTAATAGGTGGTAGTTTCTCAAGTGGTTTTAATCAGCATCAAAACTCGACATGTAATCTGAAAATCTTAGTTTTCAAAAAATCTATCGACGGAATGATTGCTGATTCATTCATTAGCATTGATGAATCTATTTTAATTACTTGCAATACGATAGAAATTCCTACTCTGTTTTATGTAAGTCAAATTAATCTACAGCATTATTATTAATACAATGGAATGAAAATGAAAAAATCAAACCACTTGATTAATCAACATTATTGAATTAATCTCGTGAAAAACGATTTTAAAAATAATAAGATTTAATTATTTTGTCATCTGGGTTAACATGAATCGTTGAACATTCTCTAATGAATGCAAGTTATTCGATGAATACAAGAATTTGTATTCAAAAAGGACTTTCAAGCTAAGAAAATCCACTTATTTGAATTCTATTATTTATAGTTTGTTTATTTTCGATAATTCATTCCTACTTTCATCTTGGATATCACTTCATAGAAATTGTTATTGAAAAAATAATCTACTCCCCTATCAGCAGTCCTCAGGAATCTTCAATACCAAGGATGTCACTCAGATATTTCAGGTCGAATTCACTTCATTATTTTTTCAAATATCTGATCAAAAAAACTTCTATGGATAATACGTAAACTATAGTTTTCATTGAGAAGTTTACAAAACTGCAACACATATTTTACTATGAAAAATGAGAAGAAGAATGAGAAGTTTAATGGTGATAAATCAGAAAATCTAGCCGGCCATTCTATTGGTCCTCGCCTTCCAATCAATCTTCCTATGAAATTGTCATCTAGGTACAGGTGCAACAAAATGTGGAGGAGCTCCATCTTGTTGAAAGTAGAGCTAACCTACTATCATCGTCTTCAAGTAACTGAGTGATTCTGGGGTTCACAGTTGTATCAAGAAGTTCAAGATACGTTTGTTCGTTGAGGTTACCATCATTAAAATATGGACCTACAATATGGTCTCCCAGAATACCAGCTCAAACATTCAATTTCTAAGGAGTTTGTGAATGAGTTTCTCTGTACCTCGTACGCCTATTCATATTTTTAATAGTTTTTCCTGTTCTGATTAAGATCTCGAAGCGATAGTCTCACCAAAATTCTGCATGAAATAGTTTTTAATTTTGTTCTCATTGTTGCAATAATTTGTTGTTAACAGTATTACACAAGCTCTTAAGAATCATAAAATATATCAGCTGCCATTGTTAAGTAAATGATTCTTCTTTTATATAGGTATGAGAATATCAATTGTTTCATTGAATATTTGTTATTGTTCAAATTATCTAAAAGAACAATTCGTTCAGGCCAATCTCAACTCACTTACACTGTAGGTTAATGAACACCTATCAGAAAATAACTACTCCCCTGGCTAATACAACAAAAGGCGTTGGATTACATCCGACAGGTGTCACAGAAATAATACTCTGTTGCCAATATGCAGGAATTACTTCTGTGAAAAGTCTTGCACAGACACCTGTTGGATATAATCCAACGCCCTTCGTGGTATTAGCCAGGGGAGTAGTTGTTTTTTGATAGTGTCAGTCCATTAACCTACAGATTAGGTGAGTTGAGACTGGCCTAAACGAATTGTTCTTTTAGATTACCTATTTGATTTACAGCCAGTCTTCGAGTAGGCCCCCTTATTATATGTGAAGTGTTTGTTATATTTGTTGGTGACTTTGTTTTTGTATTTTAATTAGACAATTAATAGTCTAAATTGTCGACTTCCTGAAATCTGAGACTCTTTGAAACAATATTATTAATTTTTGTAGAAAAACTTGACAACTTATAGGTCATCAAGTTTTGTTAGAACATATAATGAACGAATATGAGCGTGTCAAAATCATTTCACCCCATAAAAGTTACATCCTCCAGAAGTCGTCGAGAAACTTATACAAGCATATTTGTAATATTCGAATATTCAATGTTTCTGGAAATGAAATATCCAATATAAAAGAAAGATTACGGCTTTCTACTCCTCCATCTTGATACAAATACCAATATACCTCTTCCAATGTGAACATATTAATATGATAATAATGATTCATTAATAATAATAACGAATATCATTATAATAATATCAATTCGACCGTAAAGACCCGAAAAACTCCTATGGAGTTTGCATCCCAAATCGTCCGATCCACGGTTGTACTTCCCCCGACAACAGGGATGAGGCCGTGGACTTTCGGGTTTGGAGGGTCTACATGACAGAATGGCCATTGTGATCAACTTTTCTGCATGGTCCGCGACCATGACTAGAGAGCAGCTGCCCGAGCAACTCGATTTAGTTTTCGACACTGAACGAGGTGGTCGAACTCTGTCAGCGAGTTGCAACCCGTTCAGCACCTCACTTCTGCGGAAACACAAGGATAAGCCAATGCATGGGGTCTTCTTCAAATACATTGAAGACACCAGCTTATCAAAGCGACTGACATTCGCTTTCCTCAGGTCGAGTGGGCTGAAGTCGGAAACTGAGGGGTTCATAATGACCTGCCAGGATGGTGCCTTCAACATATATAGTCTACCGCAGTCTCACTGAGACTGCATATTTAGGCTCAGACTGTCTCAGCCTATATCCATCGACATAACGCGGCCCTAGGAGTGCTGCATTACCGCCTACGGCACTTTTACGGTATTCCGATGGATATTGAATCCATTGTGGCGTACGAGAAGTGCCGAATTTATTGGAACTGTTTGTTCCCTATCTCAGGCTCATGCAAGCTAATAAGCCTGGAGTGATGTACTTAGTCCTTCGATCATCTCGACCACCAGAACAAGACTATGTTTGTCGTGGAGTTTTCAGTTCCTGGCGAAACATATCTTCCGAAAAGAGGAGTAAAATCGGATAAAATATCGAGACTCTATACGACCGCTCTGTCAAGATGGTTGTTCTGATTATTGGAGTCCTTGGTGGAATAATACTCTTTCTGCTCTTGAATCTCAAAATCAGGACGGCTTGCCGTACTGAGGTAGAAATCTTAGCCGGATAAATGCAAAAGGCCGTCATTCTTGGCTCATTGCGCTTGCTGAAGGCTCATCATTCACGAACCCAATGATCACTTACTCCACGGTGTAAGGGCGAGTGGTCGTAATGCTGGAGCGCCATCCTTAATGTATCGAAGCTTCGGGAGATAAGGCCTGACCAGCGCAAACTTGGGATAATAATGATTATTATTTTCTTGAAGGTTTAGCTGGTCGGACCCTGTCCCTGAAGCCCCACACATCGTGGGGTAAGTGATCATTGGATCCCAGAACCATGTGCCCTAAGAAGATGCATTCAGCCAAGAATGACGGCTTTCTGCATTTTATCCGGCCAAGATTCATTGAATTTTTACATCTTGTTATTTATAAAGAACGAGAAATTTCTGAAATAGAAAAATGTCAATTGAGAATTGTTTGATCATTCATATTATGGTTCTTCAAATATAAACCAGAATAAAAAGCTCAAATGAAACAACTACTTCGTTCTACATACATTGAGTTTCACAAAAATTACTTTTTCTTGCTCATTTTGTTCACCAAAAATTCATAATGAAAATTGAAACACATCATTTGTGAGAAACGATATTCAAAAGTCGATATTTTGAGGAGATTGATTATTTTGAAGACACTCCTAAAACAGTTCCTTAATGACTCTGTAAGTTTCACGATCCTTTATGTGGAACCCAATTATAGCGGTGACTGTGTTTACATTATCTGCGAAAAATGTAAAAACGAGCAATTTTGTGAGTATAAAATATCAGCTATAGACCATGACTTGTTAGCTGTAACCAGGATGACTCAATATGGAAATATGCTTTTTATAGTTGTCACTATTTCAACACGTGCAAACTTTGATGAGATAAATTTTAAAACATGACTGGGCGACATATACTTTGTTCATGAACTTGAAAGCAAATTGATATAAATAGGTATTCGAATAAGTTAGTATTTCCAAGTGTTGAAAGGTTTGCGAAAATTTTCTTATACAAGCAGGTATCTAGTATCTGTAGGTAATATTTCTAAACATCAGCAAACATGCATCAAGACAATTTAACAGATTTGTTCCTGCGAAGAACGGACTCATTGAGATGCTAATTGACAGTGATAGTTGATTCAATCTTTGCAATTGCAGGGAAAGCCTCAACAAAAAAAAAAACGAATAACATGAGATTGGTGTAATGTATTCATAGAGTTCAATTCTTTTGAAAAGGCAGTTTAACGTTCGATTTTCGAAAACGAAAGGGTTTAGTGTTCTCATTTAATGTGTTTTAACAATGGTGCTAACAAAAATAAAACGTTTTAAAGTGTGACATTTCATAGGTAACTTAATAAAATATTCGTATGTTAACATTCGAGGCCATGAAAAGTTACAGAACAGTATGGATCTCATTATTTTGCAATTAATTTTAAAATTTCACTAAATGATTTACAAATGTGCAGAATGAATTGCTATAATAATCAATTTAGTATTCGAATCAACAAACATTCTATGGAAGCCTACTTTTTTGTCAAAAATATATTTCACATGGAACTAGAGTTTCCATGAAATTTCATATGTTTTTCGATATAGGATATAGGCTTATATATTTGATATCTGTTGCCAATATTCAAAATACAAAAACAAAAATCTGGATAGATAGAATTGAAACCTCTGGTGAAAACACTTTTTTCACACCAGAACAAAAATACGGTATCGCGACTCGCGATTTGATAACCAAGTTAGCTTCATCGGGAGATTACTAAAACTCAAATCTACGGTATGTTAGTGTTTTTATATGTATGTGGACCAACCTTTACTTACCGCAGTTCTATGAACAGTCTTTTGTTTGATCTTATACGTAGTAATCACAGATAGAAACCAGGTAGAATTAGAACTGGTCCACTGCACCGGGAAGCAAAGACCATAAAAAATAGAGAAGAAGAAGGTGAAATTAGAAAATGTAAGGGATAGCCATTAACACATGAATAAAGTGAAATAGATAAACAATATGACACAAATTTGGGTTGGTATCAGAAATCAAAACAAGTATAATAGTATATGTTAATGTTAGTTTACGTACATATCAAAACACTGAAATACCGTAGATTTAAATTTTATAGTCTATTTCAAGAATAAGATAGAGTAAATTCTCAGAACGCAAAGACCTCATAGATGCTAATTTATTAAAATATTTTCCAATGTACAAATTCAGCCAAGATCACCTTTTGATTTTCTGATTGATTCGGCCGTTACTTGATGAAGATCCATAGTAATTTCATAAACTACACCTCACGATTTGATCTCCACAAACTTTATTTGAAAAATATATCACATGTTTCGCTAGCACAGTAGGTTTGTCAAGGATTTTGGAGAAGTGATGTTTGTTTATGTAGTTCGCGCAAATACTTCTTCCATATTATGTTGTTCACCAAATTCTCCAGTTTGGTGTTGAGTGAATATTTTTTTCGAATTATGTAAATATCAAAGGTGCTTTTACTTTTTAGCACTTATTTACTTACTTTCAGCTCCCGATTTTTTTAGACTAGTTTGAATTTCTGGAACTTGTTTTACGTTGATTTGTATTGATATTTCCATACTTTGCTTATGATTTCTGAATTTGGTCTCATCATATCGAAATTAATTTTTCCATTGGCAATGAATTCATCGAGTCTTATGTGGGTTAGAATAATGCAGATTTGTCTGAAGTGACCCCCATTTGTTGCAAGGTTTTCAGTCACATAAAATGGTTGAAATAGAGAGGACAACTTTTCATATTTCAACATATTTATTTAGAATTTTCGTTCATAAACATAATCTTTCAAATCCTAAAATAGTTTCCACACATCAACTTTACCTTGATTTTGTCGTGGAAAATTATGAAAATCGTTGACACTGCATCGAGATATTTTGCCCACGACTCACATTGAGGGACACTGATCGTTTAAACTGATTATGAATGACTTATATTCCTTTAAATCGAGAAAAAAATGATAATCGACAAATCTTTAGCAATTCACTTGAAGAATGATTATTATAACATCGACAAAAATACACACGTAGTACGACGGTTGAAACTTCGAGGATTCTAATACTATTTTCAAATTTTTGCTTCTGCTCTATGACGTTTCATCGATGCTTACATATATTCAAGAAGAAGAACACCGTAAACGGCAAATTATAACAATTTAAGAAGAATCGATTTTAACGCTAGACTAGAAATAATGACAAGTAACTTGATTTTTCAATTCTTTTTAAAGTACTTTTTTGTTTGTAAAAAAATGTATGTTTCTGTTGAAGAATGTAGTTTTGTTTTCTGTTTTATTTTTTAGGAATGTTCCAAATAAATTTTAAATAAATGTTTTTCATTCCAAATTAGGTCGTTTGAATGACCTTCCTCTTGAGGTTACTTTTCGTATGACGTTATTGGCTTACTGACGTCGCAAATACTACATCCTCTGAGGCTACAACCTAAAAAATTTAGTAGTCTAGTACCTTATATCTGAATCTGGTACGAAAAAGAGTTTCATCCCAGGAACATGGAACATCACAGATTGCAAGTTGCTATCTGTGTTTCCAATGAACCTTTTTCTTGAAGTACAAAAAATCACTCACTAGCAGCGCTAGCAGTTCGGTAGGGACAAACACTGCCTAATCCTTATATGAACATATGGTAGAGTACAATTAAAAAAGAATGTTTTTTTCAACAGAAGATGTTCCTGGAGCAAAACTAAAATTTGCAACTGTAAAGGATAACAATGTTGTACCATTAAAACGTTGGCTTGCATGACGTAATTTAAAAGTAACTGGAAAAAGTTAAAAGTTAAATAGACAGGTTAGTATACAGACTCTAGTAAAAGAGTAGCGGTAGATTCAAACTGTAATAAAAGAAATTTAAAATAATTATGAATTTCAGATTTATTTTCAAGTGAAATATGAATCAAATATAGATGGTAATGAAATAAATTTAATCAAATGTAATAAATGAATATAATTTAATAAACGATTGAGGTTATATCTCATTCTAATCAATGGTAATTAACTATGAAAAATTTACTATTCATTTTATGTTTAGAGCATACATATGAATATTTATTTATTTTTGGACTGTTAAATCCACTCTTCTCAAAGCATGTATCCACTTCTTACATCTAACCTCATTATTATGAGGTTTTATAAATGGTATAAAAAACACGATTTCTTCCGGATATCGATTATCCGACGTACAATTCGCAAAACAGCAATGCTTTGTTGGCATTATATTAGCACAAAATAATTTTTTATATCAGGTTTATATTTTCAAATAATAAATTAATATTAACGTAAATAACACTGTTTTACATGTAAATAGTTTACTGTTTGTCCCTACTACCAGTGCTGCCTCTCGTGACACGTTTGCTGTACTATTCTCAGGAAAAAGGCTCATTCTAAGTTTCACTGTTTTTTTGAGAAAAAATGGTGCGTTTTAGAAATTTTTTATCCCAATTTTTTTATTATTTTCTTAGCGTTGTGGAAGCCCAAAAAAAGGAAGTTTTGAGTAATCGTTTTTCTGAAACATACAGTTGAAACGGTTTTACTAAAAGTTTAATTGTATATCATCAATCTGAATGAAGGAGCTGCAAAAAAACATTTTTGTAAAGAACTCAGTATTATGTTTCAGCAAGAAAAATTCAATCAAATAATGCTTCAAATCTTTGTAATAGAAATATTTTTATAACATAAATATATAAGAAATGTTTGAAGAATGGTTCTCAAAAATATAGAATATATAACAATATAAAAAACAGTATACATCAATAATTAATCAATTTTTATATTGAATATTTTAGCAGTCCCATCGTCAGAAGTTGTTAATATCTGGTTACTACAATTTTTGAATACAGAAATACTCAAAATCTCAGATTTATGTCCTGTAAGTTTGTGTAATAATGTACCAGTTTTTACATCACAAACATAAACTGCTGCATCAGAGGCTCCAATGAATATTTTGCAATTTGATCCCCACTTCATTACAGTCACCGCACATTGAATATTTGCCTCATGTCTAAGAACGTGGTGACCCAGTTCCCATACACATAATTTTCCTGATATTGATCCTGTCGCTACATTCCCTAACTCCTTATTAAACAAGACTTCCTCAACGTCTGTTTCGCCTTCAGCTAGTAATGTTGTTATTATTTTTCCATCTGCTAATTTGACTAATATAGAACCAGGTGCTACTATGGCAAGCGTTCCTTCTTTATCAATATCTACATTGTAGGCAGGTCCAGGCAGATTGATGGTCCACAGGGTTTTGCACTCCCTAATAATCCATAGTTTCAATTGACCATTTTCATAACCAACCAAAATGTGTTTTAAATCAGGTAAAAGTTTGCTGCAAAGAGCAGGGGAATTATTATGAGCATATAGCATTTTACAGTTGCCTTGAGGAATTTGCCACACAGAGACATCACCATTGCGACTACCACAAAACAGGACATTGGTCAGTGGATGCCAAAACAACCATTCCAAATCGTCATCGCACTCATGACACCACACCAAAGTCTTTTCCTGTACGTTCCAAACTTGAATCATACCCTTCATATCTCCTGTAGCAACATATTGATTGTCGAAATTGAAACAAACTTCTACGACAGAATCTTTATGCCCAGTACATTCAAATACAACCTCGCCATTCTCAGTTTTCCACAAAAAAGCTGTGTCATCTTCGCCCCCCGTTATTGCAAGCTGTCCGTCGTTAGTCAAATCTGAGCAAAATACAGATGATTTTTTATGATTTTGGAATGTAAGAACAGATAAGTCGATTATTTCAGGTTGGCACTCTGGCTCATCATCAACACTAATATCGAGATCTTCTAATATTTCCTCAACTGATACTTCTTGCACTTCGTCGAGGTAGATAACTTCTTCTTGGTGATCTTCAGGCTCGAAATCATCATCCATTTTCTGTTGAAAAAAATTATTCTACTCCGTTTAGTAACCACACCATGAACTTCTACTTAACCTTCAAAATCATAACCACGATTTGAATTAGTACTATCAGAGAGCCAGTAGAGGGCCATCAATAGCTCATCCATGCCAAATTTAGAAATAGGTACTTCCTGGCCTTTTCCTATGAAGTTATTTTTTATAGGAAGAATCTCGAATCAACTGCGTAAAATGAATCTTTTGAAAACACTTTTCATAAACCAGAATAAAAAACTGTCTCTCGACGCGCGTTTCGCTAATCAAGTTATCATCATAATGGTTTATACTCGGTTAGCAAATTGCATTTTATAGTATTACTCATGCTTTCATCTGAAAAAAAATATATTGATGGTAGAGAAGCCAATAGGGGTAAAACTGATGAAATTTGCGATGATGTTTATTGCCGCGGGGTAAAAGACTGAGCAGTGGCTGAAAGTGCGGGATTTGTGTCACATTCTAACACTTTTATTTGAAAATAAGAAGTTTTTGTTCCATTGACAAATAAAATAGTACAGGATTATTTATTTACGGAGTGATCTCTATCAATTGAAATTATGTTGCCAACTAGCCAATTCTCACTTTGAAGTTACGTGGAGGAAGTAATGTATCATAATAGAATGACATATTACGGAAGATTAAGATACAAAAAGTAATGAATCAGGCTCATAAAATGTCGATAGGTTTAACGGTATTGATATTATTTTTTGTATCGATATTCGATTTTCAAAATGTTTATCGATACCAGTATCGATATATCGTATCGATAAACCCATCTCTACAAATAATTTGGTTATGTTATGGTCACAGAATACTACAGCATTTAACAAAAATTAAAAGATATACTTTTTAATTTTTTAAAGATGTTATAGGGAGTTCTGTGGTAATACGTATTCTTTTCCTTCAAGTTCTTACTTCTTACTTTTTATCAAAAGTTACAATGAACCAAATTAAAAAAATGTCAATAATGTTAAGTAGAAAAATCCATTCTATGAATGTTTCAAGAAATATGAGCAGATCATCAGCAGAATACTGTGCTGAAGCCGTTAGGTAAATCAAGAAAATCTTCGAAGATATAGAATATATTTCTTAGTTCGACCTAAATTTAAAAATTAATTGAATGTTTCATTGAAGACATGATTCCTGCTTTTTCCATCACACAATCAAATCTTGGAATTTGTCTGATTTATTTATACCCCATGTTCAACACATGAAAGGGCCTAATCCATATCAGTTGAAATTTTATCTGTAAAAATCTTGCATTTTAAAACAGAATCAGTTGATAAAATGATATTTTTGAAACATTTCAATATGGATCAGGTTTATCTGAAAAAGTTGACCATAATTTCTGTACTTCGTTGTAGAAAGTATGACTACGAGAATTTCATTTGTACTCTCTTACTTCAGAACACATCTAGATCATGTGCTTTTGCAATTAGAAGTTTCAATATTGAAGTTTCACAAGTAGCAGAGCAAGTTACTCAAGAGACTATAGGACAGATGAGATTAAAATTTTGGGAAGAAACTGTGGATAAGTGTTTTTCAAAGGACTATAAACTGGTTCCTAAGCATCCTGTTGCTCAGCAACTGTTTAAGGTAAGAATGTGTGAATTAGTAATGACAAAAAGGAAAGAGGAAACTAAGAAAAATAATCTCCCAAGTCGTTTTATACCTTATTCATGTCTGAATTGGAAAAATCAATATTTATTTTCCACAACTGTGTTTACATATTTCATCGAATTGGCAAAAAAAAATATATTACTATTTTTAGGCAAACATGGAATGCAAACTGAGCAAAAGATATTTTAATAACCTGATATCATCTAGAAGAAATTCCCTGAAATTGACCAGCTTTAAAACTCTAGAAGAACTGGAAAAATATGCAGAACAAAGTGTTTCAAACGTGTTCTACCTAGTTTTGGAAGGTTGCGGTGTGAGGAATGTTAACGCAGATCATGCTGCTTCACATTTGGGAAAAGCACAGGGAATAGTTCAACAAATCAGGTAGTAAGGTAGCCCAGTTATGAACAATATAAAATTTAAAATTGTGCGAGTTTAAATTTTTTCGCATTGTAGAACATATGTTTCATGTTCTGGTGGAAGCTCATTATGGCATTATGTTTCAGGGGAATCCCTCATGCTCGAAGAATAAACTTTCTTCCTGTACCCCAAGATATTCTTACCAAAAATAGGGTTAGCCAGGAAGAGATATTGAGATCTAAAAGTAGTGAACAGCTATCGGAATGTACCTTTGAACTTGCCAGTAGGGCTCATCAACACTTAGTAAAGGCAAGGAGTCTTTTAGAGAAGGTGCCAAAAGAAGCACGAAGTGCTTTGTTACCTGCAGTTTCAGTTCACATGTATCTGGATAGGTTGCAAAAAGTAAACCATGATGTATTTCATCCTTACTTGCAGCAAAGATCTTGGAAATTGCTACCACGACTGTGGATTACATTTTTTAGAAATAAATACTGATTAGTTTCAAAATAGTGTACCTAATCACTGCTGGAAAAGGACTATTGAATAAACAAAGTTCAATATAAGTAGTATCTTTATTACCAACTTTCAAAAATGGCAATGAACTAAAGTTAAAATATATAATTGTATACAAAAAAATATATGACGTTTTATAAAAATTCAATTTAAGCACAAAATGATACCAGAGCTGATCTTTTACGTAGAGTATGAAAAAAAGTTATTTCACTAAAAAATGCTTCTAAATTATTCGTTGTCACCAACACCTAGACTAGCATTGATTATAAAAACTTCAAAACACTTTTGGCATGATTAAAAAAAACTTGAAAATACACAGTAAAGTTTTCTCATATTCCAAATTTACATTACAAGGGCGAATTGAACATGACCTAATTTATTTCAATAATTTTCAGTTGAGGGTCTCAGCTCTGGTATTTTTATCATCACTTTTGGCATGATTAAAAAAAAAACTTGAAAATACACAGTAAAGTTTTCTCATATTTTTCTGGTATTTGTATCAAATAATATCTGAGGTAATTTTCAATGTAGAATATCAAAAACTATACTAGAGAGTCGACGGGCACTCCACGCGGTTCAAACTGTACCGAACGTTACAACCATACCTAGCAGTCTTTCAAAGCACAACAAAAAGAGCACCTATTGCGGTGGAAATGATGTGAAGGAATGTGTAGAAAGTGAACATTCTGGCAACTTATCCCGTGTATTGAAAAGAGGCTGCCACAGGATGCATCTGGTTGGGCATATGTTTCAATGTCTGTATATGGCAATTGCGGCACATCAGCCTCTCCTCCAATGGGTAACAACGCTTATCTGGTTCATCTGTCAGTTGCATTCCACATTCTTCACAAACATAACAGTCCACGTGGAAATCTTTATCCATTGATACTACTCGGACAGTTTCCTCGGTACCTTCAACAGGGGTTATGCCTACAAGATAGATTTGGTGAAAGTTTTTGAAATCAGGATATTAAAAGTACAAAAAAAACTAACTGCAGAAAAATAGATCTTTTCATTTAACATTGCTAAACTGTGAACATATGTTCGAGACGAGTGTACCAACAAAAAAATCGTTAATTAAATGTATGTAGCCCGCGAAAATTGAACAATCACATTATTTTTTTTAATAGACCTCGTATAACTCTCTGACCTTTCTCATTTACACATTATGGGTGTTTCCAGAATTTTTGAACATTCCTATACAGATATTTTCAAAACGAGTTCTTTTGGAGTATTGGAGAAAGATCTAAGAATCAAAGTGAAAAATTATAAATTACGAGTAAAGCCAGTAAAAGGAAATTAATAAGTTAGCAGAGAGCGAATACTGACCCACACACAGGGTAAAATCATTACCATAGTTAATAACACTAGCAATTATCCAAATTTTCACTTATTAACATCATCTTACATCATCAAAAATTTTAATTGATCTTACTATAAATAATACTATACTATTTTTTTAGATTCCTCCAAGTGAAGTGTTCAAATTCAAACAAAAGAGAGCGTTTATGAGTTGACAAGATTGGTACTTTCTACTAAAATACTTTCCACAACTACAATAATTTTCTTTGGACTACTATCATCTACAGGGCGTTTCTCAAAAACATGCTAATATTTGAGGTTATTTTTATATCCATTTTGAGAAAAAAAACGTCATGTGAACAATAAGTCCTACTGAGTGCCAAAGTTTTAAGAAACAAAATCTTTTTTTTATGATAACTTCGGTATACATAAATATTTTCAAACATTCATAGAAGGTTGGACTATATGAACGTTAAAATTGAAGTAACGGTTTTGAATTCAGTTGAGGAAGATCCCGGAACAATTTAAATACCAAATGTTCTGTTTGGAAAATTCTCCATGTCTTTTTATTACATCTGGCTAGAGATTGACTGGACATAATTACAGACGGTTTCACTAAAAATAATTGTCAGCTTTGATAAAATATACCTATTTATATTTTAGTAAGAAACTGACAGCGATTCATGGTCTAGGTTTCCAAACCTCAAAAATTTATAAGTTTGCAGTGTACCAATTCATACTGAAGAGTGGTTGAGAATTCGCATCATAGTTTCACGTCCTGCAAGTTTTTGAAAAGAGAAGATGCATGCATAGTGCGGGAAGGGGAGATTTTCAACATTTGATTCAATTAATTTTTGTGTGTTCAGGAAAATTTCGTGTCAACATTCATAATTTTGCTTACATAACTTGAATGCTTGAAAGTCATTTATTCTCTTGAATAAATGATTCTTCGAAGTTACAAAAAAGAAATTTGCGAGACGTAACTGTGAAAACTGTAAGTCAAAATAAGACGTACGAAAAACAATTTGCTTGGGAATGAAAGGTCTTGAAAAATAATTTTTACTACAAGACACCTGTAAAGGCTAGTACAGAGATTACCCTCATATATGTTCGATGTAGCATTATTTGATGGAACTGATGGCAGAGCATGATTGCGAAACTGAAATTCCCAATCCTGACTTAGTCATACCATATCTGTATCTTTCTTTCTCCGATAATCGTTTTTTATCTCTCAATTTTTTTTGAATTCATTGCTAATGTCCAGATTACACTAATAGAGAAGTACTCCCCAAAGTTATTATCAATTATGTCTGAATATCATGCTAATTTTTTTTTAATATTGATTCAGGTTGTTTAGCTAGAGAACAATAAAATATATTCAATTATATTCATTATTACAATTCAATTTATCTTAAGAAAATAATCATACAAAAATCAATGTGTTACTTATTTTATTTGTATTTTTTTATATCAGTTAATTGTTCATCACTATGTATAAGTTGTTTGATAAATATCATAGGTTGTTTGAGAATTAGACAGATGAGAAAAAATAAGAACGGTCAAGAAAAGTCATTAAAGGCGAAATTGTTTGAATTCGTTTTTTTAATTTGATTAAGTATTTTACACAATGAATAATATATATATGTATATAAATCCAGGAGATAATCGTATCGGACAGAGGTCTCAAAATAAGCAAAACTACAGACGCGTGTTTCGGGATTTTGGTACATCATCAGTATGGTGCAGTCAAGTGCAAGGACGAGCAATATTTGGTTGACATAAACCAAGAGATAATTTCATCAGATATAGCACTCAAAAAAAGAATAAATCATAGACACATGTTTGGGGCCTTTGGTCCATCATCAGTATAGTGCAACCAAGTGTAAGGATGGGCAACACTTCATGGCTCTGTGTACTTGTACTTCTTTTGGCAACCAAGTGTTGCCCATGCTTGAATCACATGCTTGTTTATAAGAGATTATGCTCGTGAGGTTGCAGTTAGTTACGTTTGGGCTCAATGCAAAAAAAATATTTGATAACTGTTAAACTTTCGACAGTGTTGACTGTCTTCTTCAGGACAACTGTAATACATGATAGTATACAATATGTGATGATGGCAAAGATTCAAATTAAATGAAATCAACGTCAAGAGAATAAACAAAAAAAAAAAAGGTAGGCTTGTATGAAACTTAGTAATGTTCACTTGATACCTTTGCCACAAGCTGCACATTTGGGGGCAAACATCCTGTGGTAGTCATTAACGCAATAAATTTTATTATCGACATCTACTGTGAAAGGGACTCCATCTAAACAATCGTTACAAATACAACATCTAAAGCAACCTGGATGATAAGATTTTCCCATTGCCTGGAGTATCTGTAAAAAAAGAATTAAAAATTCAGTTGTTTTATTTGATCCCTTCTTTCACGCCATACCATTTCCATGATGAGGTGTCCACAAATAGCACATTTCTCAGCAGTTTGCTGGAAACCTGAATACTGAAACAAAAATGCAAATTTATATTCCTCACTCTGGATCTAGATTTGGTAAAAAATTGACCTCACAGACTATTTGAAAGAAAATGTAATCGATTAAGCACACATGAAATGGACCAATTGAAAACCACTTAAAGCTTGTGGTCAAAAGTTGAATTGGAAGATGATTTTTATCTCTGAAATGAATGTATGAATTTTTTTTATAAATCTAAAATATCATATACCATACTTAAATTTCTATGTACATGCTATAAGATGATCTTATAAGAGAATGAAAATAAATTTATGAAGGCAGATAACTATGAAATCTCATAAGTTTTCTCATAAACATTAACTCTGGAATAAACTGGATTTTATGGTATGTTTTACCTAAAGTTGTTAGAATTTTTAAAACAAGTTGAAGTTAAAATGGAGCATTTTTTATATCGACATATAATCATTGTTGATACTACAGTCTGTTTTTCTATTGGTATCTTTCAATACGCTCTGCTGTTTCATTAATTTCCAAACAGAAAGGGTATGGCATGTACTAATTTCTGAAATTTCATGTATCTTCATATGATGATTTAGGGACAGTGACCTGTAAGCCTGTTAGATAATGTAGGACTTTCTGGTGTCATCTAACAATTGTTTTGTTACGATACTTTGAAGGAATGGGCCATTTCTGGTAGATTTTGCTAGGAGTCTGAAACTCCTCTTGCAGACCAGGTATATGTTTGACAAAGTCTCAAGTGACGCCAACGACAGGTTCTGGTTCAATGAAACCGCTTTCACCGCCCTCCTTTGCAAGCTTCATTACCTGCCAGACCAGTTTCGCCAGGAATCCAGATCCAAAAGTATCAAGTTTTTCCTGTATAGACACTGTTTTCTCTAGGTTCTACAAATATAGACATTTGTTTTTTCCACTATCAGAAATATATACTCGTACGTACATCTTGATTTTAATTTCCAAGTGAGAATAGATTTTTTGACTGTACGGCGGAGGTGCATTTGGAAGTACTTGTGGTCCAGACATAGCACCTGAGCTTTTATGGGAAAGACCCAGTACATTTCCATATCAGATATGTGTCTGTTGCCAAAAGGCCCCCGTGACAGTGCTTTTCTATAAATTTTTGATTCAATTTGAGGAAGTTTTATTTGTTTTTTAAAACCTCTGTTTCAATGAGTGCTTATTTTATCATTTCAATAAATATTTGTTTCCCTTCAATGTTCATTAAAGAAATGGTTTTATTCAATTCCCTTCACTACATCTTAACAAAGTTGCTGAGTTCAGACATCACTGTAAATACTGAAAATTCCACTTTACCAATTTAAAACATATGCAGCTTGATCCAGAACATTGTTTATTCTCAATTGTATTGCATACAGTCCAGTTGAAATAAGATTTCACAAATTCCTTCAGTCTGATTCTTGTTTCTCTTACTAGATCATCAGTAACCATATTAAATAAATGTTAATTCCAGGCATGCAAGTAAAATTAGGTAGTAAATATATTAAATAAAAAAAAATAAAAGTCATAAATACATTTGGGCTAGGGCTTACTAAGTAATCTTCTTCACAGTAGACCCTGCCGTGAACATTGTAAAAGGCCTTTCCTCTTAGAGCCCTTCCGCAGGAGCAACATATAAAACAATTGGTATGGTACAAGTTCCCCATGGCTTGGCAAGCCTGTCCTGCACCTGTGACTTTGTCACCGCATGTATGGCATATTCCTGAAATTTAGGAATATTACAGTATTTATATGGGTTTAACAATATCACTATACTTCGATCTTATAATTGAATACGTTTCTCGTTACAAGCTCAATCTAGCAGAGAGGTAAGTGGTGCAAATAAGACGACATATTTGATGAAAAAAAAAATATATATAATCAAGTTATTTATATACTTGTTGCCGACGACTTCATTTGTTAACCAAAGTTTCATACAAATCAAAGAAGTATTATTTAGAGCACTTTTTCCAAAAAATGTGTGATGTGATTCTCTGAAGTGATTTATTTTTTTTTAATTCATGGGCTAATTGACATAAATCAGATGCTAAATATTAAGTGAAGCCTCTTACAATTCATTGGTGAAAACTGCATTGGTTGAGCTGTTTTTGAGATTAGCACATAAAGACAAGAGTTATAAAAATCATTGTTTTATTTAGCAAGAAGGTGTTCAAGGAAAAGTTAAATTATCTCAATTGAATCCACTTCAAAAAATACATTTTTTAAATATATAAGGACAACATAAGCAAAACAGGTAGGAAAGCAAGATTTTTCTCTAATTTTGACTTTTTTCTGAACCACATCAGTTGGCTCGAACTTGACTGATATTTTTCAGAACCTTATATCTGAATTATTCTATAAATCTCACCAAAATATTCCCCCTCTTCTTCGTGCTTCTCCATTTCTTCCTCTATCTGCCTGGTCATTTCTTCAATTTTTTTTTCAGCTTCAGTAGGACCTGTCGGTTTGGGAGGTGTTATGCTGTATGGCAACAAACTTTTTCCTGATAATTTTAACTTCCCACTACTGTTACTTAAAGTGCTAGGTGTAGGACTGGGTACTGGGGAAGGCCGAACATCAACTTTTTGCGGTACTGGAGGTTTCTTCACTTCCTTGAGAGGTGAAACCTTCACAGGCGTTTGAGCAATTCCAGTGGGAATGGATCTATCATAGTTCTTGGCAGAAGTGGTTTGAAAAGGAATATTAGAACCCAATTTAGATTGAATAATGTTGCCAGTCATACAAACATAATCACCGCTGTTCAGTTCATCAAGCTGTTGCTGAGTCATACTTTTCAGAGGTGAACTGCTGTAATTACGGTAAGGTGACTGAGGTTGGGCATTTGAACTACTGGAAGCTTGCATAGAAGAATAAACAGGCTGATCAGAGTACTGAGAACTTGGCAAACAATTACTATATGGCGGAGGTGCATTTGGAGGTACCTGAGGTCCAGGCATAGCACCTGAGCTTTTATGCGGAAAATTCTGTACATTTTCATACACTGGTGGACCTTCCATATCAGATATGTTTCTGCCAAAAGGCACCTGTGGCTGTGCTTTTGTATAAGTCTTTGATTCAACATTACTCATCCCCCCATAATAAGGAGCCTGAGCAGCTTTATCCGAGTTATAATCAATATTCTCATAAACATTTGAGTTGCTAGCTATACTTGTCCTAGGGCTGCCAGCATGGGACGATCCTCCAATGGAGTGTGTAGGACTCATTGGAACTTGCGGTTTAGCGCATTGAACATAAACATCACTTTCTTCATAAAGTCTTGGGCTTCCTAATGTTTCTACATGTTTTGGCGTCGCATATTTAGAGCTAGCAATTACATTAGATCTTTCATACATCCTATAGTCATTTGACTTTGGGGGATCTTTATTGAAATTATCTGTGATTCCAATGGATCTCTGTTTTTGATGATAGGTAGGAACTGCAGGTTCAGCTTTTCCCATGTTCATGTCACGTGTGTATCTTGTCTCATGGTCGCTTAAGGACATATCCTGCATTTTTTTAATATATTGTGGGTCTGAAGATTTTTTTTGATAATTGTGTTCCATTTTTTTCGGGATGCTTCGCAAAAATGTATTTCAAAGCTACTTCGTACTGAATATTTTATGATTTACAAACAAATATCTATGATAATGAATTTTTTTAGTCACGATTTTCATGAACAAGAAACTACACCCTACACCTCATATCAGCACCAACCACATAATAAAAAAGAAGTACGAGAACAGAGAACAAAACATAAAAAACAACTTAAAAAATAACAGAGGGAGTTTTTTTGCGAGTAATTGATTTATAACCGGTAACTGGTAGTAACCTAGCTCCATTCGAACGTAGCCACAAAGTCAAAGACGTTTTGACGCAGTACTGAGTCTGCTGAGAAACATCAGTCACAAGCAGTTACGTATTTCGCATTATCACCTTGGCATATTATCACATCTCACACACAAACCACTTACTCTAGAGTAAGTAGTTTGTGATCTCACACGCAGTCATAATATCTATGCACATATGTACAGATTGAAATAGTTCAGAAATTGAATGTTGAAAGTAGATTTTACAACAATATATCAGTGAAAACCGCACCAAAATTGGTTGAACCGTTTTTGCTACACATTTATTATGTGTAGTGTTATCATCTACTCACACATAAGTAGGAACATTTCAGGTATACACGATTAAAATCATCTCAGTTGAATTGTACATTGTGAATTTTATTTTACATTATTTTCCATTTTTGTATTTGTCTTGAAAGCTATGCCTTTTTCGACACATTACTGACTCAATGAACAATATGTTTTAAATTTGTTCTTTATTATAAAGAGCTTTTATATTTGTATTAACGAAAATTATAGAAAATAAATTGAATATCTGAGATTTTAATTTTTTGGAATCAATATTTTCCGTGAGTTTCAAGTTCTAATTATAAATCCAGTTGCCGACAACTCCGTGGTCCTAATGTTAGTGATTGAAGTATTTCTTCAACGGAACCAATCATTGAATAATTTCAAAAAATAACTTGTGAAGTAACAGAAACAGTGAAAAATTCTGAAACAAAAAGGTGTTGATGTGAAAATGTATTTTACTATGGTTCTTTTCCAGAATTCTACAGTGGATTTTTGAATTCGAATTCCAAAAGCACACTGAACACTTCCTTAGCAATTAAAGATCAAGTCAAAAAACTTGCTGAGGGGATTGATTTGCTAAGCCAGCAACTTCATAAACAGGTGTTGGACAAACATGAAGATCTTTTACAACAAGCTAGTCATGCAACAAAATTGGAAAATGTTTTGAATACAATGAATACACATGTCCGAAATTTATTTGCAAATGCTGAACGTCTAAAGGCACAGGTAAACATTAAATATGTTCTGAGGGTTTTAATGATTCAATGAACAGAAAAAGTAAACTAGGAATGTTCTTGAAAGTTATTGGTAATTAGTACTAATCAATAACCTTTATAGTTCAATATAGAATGTTTTTGTGCACATTTTCTAAAGCCAATGATCTTAATAGTACCTTTATTATGCAATTTTTAACTAAACAGTTTACAGAAATGTTCATAAAGTAAAATGAAAAGGATATATTCAGGTAGACGTTACTTTTTGGTAAGAAATCTTTATGGTTTTCTACTTCTTAGTCATGAAAAAATGAGGGAAACTACTGAAGATAAAAAAGAAAATTACTACAATAAAAACTCATAATAAAGATATGTAGATCATACACAGAAGTTTCTTTCAGATTCAAACTGAACTACTAGAAAGGAGAAAGTCCTTTCCAAACAACTACTTTCATATGAAGATTGAATTACATAAAAGGAGAAAGTCTTCGAAATAATTTCATTCATATGATTTTGAATTACAGGGAAAACACATTTTGATTTTCATGTAACTCAATGTTCATATGAAAGTAGTTGCAAATATAATATATTGTACTATGTATTTTTCAGATTACACTTCCTTATAATGAGCTAGAAATGCACACAAAAGTATTAAGTCGACTACATTTGGCAAGTCATATTCTCCGACAAGTAAACAGACTACAACAATTGAGTAAAAGATTATCTAATACAAATGATCCTGTTCATAAAGCAACATTGTTGCAAGAACTCGGTGAGAAACTATATTTACTTTCGACTCTGTCCAAGTTATGAAGTTTATAAAGTTCTACAAAAATAATTAGAGTTAGAATAAACGTATTACAAAAAATATCCAGATTTTTGTAACTGTTTTGGCATCAATGAATTTTAAAGTAATTGCAATTATCTTTATCATATCTGTATTTTTTATGACCTGCTTTACCTTAATCTTTCTCATCTCTTTTGATTTTTAGAGCATCTTGCCTCTGATCCAGAACTAAAAGACATAGATGCTGTTACTTCTGAACTGAGGAATATAAGGATACATCAACAGAAAGTTATACAATTGGCAACTGGTTCCCTAAATCAAGGGGTTATTAACGAAAACACAACCCAGACTACCACAGCACTTCAGGTATTGAATCAAGAAATCAAGTTCGTTATGAGCAATAATTTTAATCCCATCTATACTTATTATCAAATACCTCAGTAATATTTGTGAATTTTGTATTTGGTCAAATACTTTACAAGTGACCTCCAGAAATATTATTGAAACTCCATTTATTCTTTATTTTATTCTTCATTTTTCACAATATTAGAATATAATATCACAATTACTATTTTGTTTCAAAATATTTACATGAAGCCCATCAAGTTAGCAATATAAGGAGCTTACACATTTTTGTGTTGACTTCAAATACTTAATTCAATAGGTGGGATTACTGAATCAATTCATACAGTACATGTCCCAAGGTTCAATTTCACCATCGACCAAATATTTTTCTTGTATAATGTCTAATAGGACTGTGAATAAACATGATACTTCCCTAGGTGGCTCAAAAAGTTATCAATATAACCTACCCAGAAAACGAGGCTAATATAGCAATCAACAGTGCTTACACAAAAAAAAAATTTTGTATTGACAGGATATATTTCAAAAATAAATCTGCTTACCAAAGTTGTTTCTTTTGAAAACAATTTTTGAGCAGCAGTGCCAATTTCAATATTGAAAAATTGGATTTGACTCTTATGTTGAGTTGAAATAATCATTCTTGTTAATTCACTAGCATTTGCAATATTGAAATGTGCTGTCCAGTTCTGGAGTGGGAGTTTTATGAAATGCCCTGTGTATTAACACCGAATCCTGGCCAATCATTTTCGTTATACATGGCGCATGGTCCTCCGTAAACATCAATTTCATTGTCATCTCATATAGTTACCAAGAGTGTTTTTTTGAATTGACAAAAAAGAGGGGCTTCATAAAGTAGAGTTTGATTTTCAGATTTTTATCAATTTGGGTACAGTCGAATCAGTCCTCGACAGTTTCGTAGAACAAAACTTATATGAATGCCGAGAAAGTTTGCAATCGGCACTTGAAGCCACTGCTGGAAGTTTTTCTACAAAGGCAAAAAATGTACCAGGCCACGTGAATATACCTTCATCTCAAGGATTCAGGAACAAAATATGGATTGAAGTGGAGAAAGTATTCTCGGAAGATTTCTTTCAAATTTGTAAACAAGTAAGATTGTGTTGAAACTTACCTATCTCAACCTTCGGAGCTGCGAAATTAGACTGAACGAACAGAGTGTGAATGGATACATACTTCTTTTAGAAGTGTGTTTATTGTGCATAAGAAAATAAATCCTACTCCTAGCTTGTGAACTTGAGAAATATGTTGTTTCAGGTAAAATTCCTTCAGATTACAATGAATAACGTACATTTTTCCAACGGAGAATTCGGTATTGCTTCGAAATTTTGGAATGAGTTCGGAAAATTATTACAAGAAGAAATTCAAAAGTCTTCATCAGCTGTTCAACAGATGCTAGAAGACGACTATCCAAAGTTGTTGAAAAGTTTTTTCGAGTTAACTAAGAAAATCAATTATACTTCATTTTCCTTTGAGTAAGTTGGGTGATGTTCAGTTTCTATTGTATTTCTAATGAATGGGTTGTTTATGTTGTAGTCGAAATGTTTTGAGAAGGCTTGAAAACTCCTATTTATCTACTTCATTAACAAGGATGCTGGATCCAACTCAGGCAATGTTTGTAGGTGAGAATGGTTCACCTTCACATGATCAGATTGATTCTTTGATTCGTGTGATCACAAGGTAAATGAAATTTGTTGATTTTTTCGTTAGTTTATTGCTTACAGTTCGGGAAAAGTTGTTATACAAAGTCTGTTTAAAAAAAATAGGGTGAATTTTAATTTACTCAGTCCGATGATAATTTTGAATAGAAATATTAAATCTCCATGTTTTCTGCGAGCCTCAAGAGAAGGTATGTTCAAAATACATTCCAATGCATAGTATACACGCATCTTGAAGGCAATATATCGCAAGAGATTGTGCTGTTCGGCCTCGAGTTTCACTTTTTGTGTACCGTAATGAGGGGACCAAACTGAGGAACAATAATCGAGATGAGATCTAACCAGGGAAAAATAAAGAGGTTTGATAGCAGTGATGTTGGTGAATTCACGCGTGGTTTTCTTTATAAAGCCAAGCATTTTCATAGATTTCTGAATTACAGCGGAAATGTGTGATTTATAGCTAAGTGTGGAGTCTAGGATCACACCTAGATCTTTGGTTTCAATAGCAGAATGTAAGGTCATATTATTTATACTATAATCGAAAGTGGGTGATGTATTTGATTAAAGCGAAGAATTTGGCATTTGAATGCATTCAAACACATACCATTATGCGAACACCAGTTAGATAGTCAGTCTATATCGTTTCGTAGACTCGGTGTATCAGCTTCACTTTTAATTATTTTAAAACATTTTAAATTGTCGGCAAATAGCAAATCTTCGCTTTGCTAAACAACAGGTTAAACAACAGTGGTCCCAAATGTGAACCTTGTAGAACACCCGATGTAACTGCGATGGTATGGGAATAGTAATGATTTACTCCTAACAATTTGCGTTCTTTCCGTAAGATGATATTCCTTATTGACCGTATGACCATATGGCAACAACTTGGCGTCTTTTTTTTGTCGACATCTTCGGAAACTTCTCTAATAGTGATTCGACGATTCTCCATAACAATTTTCTTCACTTTCTGTACATTTTTGTCAGTTGTTGATGTGCTGAGCGAGTGTCGTCATTCATATCTTCTCGGCCATCTGTGAAAAGCTGTACCACTTGTAATAATTTTTCACACTCAGTACAATCATCGTATGCCACTGTCAACATTACAAGTGCTTCTGAGCACTTAATTTCATTTTTTATACAAACAAAATTTGATGCAAATTCTTTGATCAACGAAAAACACTTCTAACTTTTATGCCTCTCACCAACAAACTAAACACACACAGCTGAAACTGGGAACATATGTTCGAGACGAGTTTACCAACATGAAAAAAATGCTAATCGAATATACGTAGCCCGCGAAATTTAAATATTCACCTCATTTTTTGAACAGGCTTTGTATATAGATTGAAATTTTGAAATATTGCAGTGAATTGAGTGTAGCCTTGATTGAGGAAAATTTGAGTGAACAAATATCCAAAAACGTCTCAAAGAGTATAAAAATGTTTGCAGTTAAGACGGAGCAACAATTAGAAACTGGACCAGAAGCAGCACAAGTAATAGGTATAATAATATTAAAAAAAATATTAGTGGTGTTCTTTAATTTTAATTTTGTCGATTTTCAGGCGGAACTCCAAACGCAGGTCAACAAAAGAATGTCAATCTCGCAAATGCGTTATATTATCTCAAGACACAGATACAAAGGATGTTATCAAATATGAAAGAAAGTTTAGCTGAATCATGTCAAACAATTATCAATGAGAGTTTGCAAAATCTTGACAACTTGGTCACAGCTATAATTCAACCATTAGTAGGTAAATATCAATGCTGAATGTTACTCGCTACGTTCTGAAAGTCTGCAGAATTTCTAACCTCTCAAAAAAAATAATAGATGTTTCCCCCTGATGTAACCCTCAAAAGTCTAAGCTGGTAAGAGTTCAAGATTAACGAGATCACACCGTTCAACGTGCGAATCGTAATCGTAATCAGATGATAAGCAGTGAATACCATCGTCCCAGATTGGGGATCAGTTCCATTCACAATAGTGGTTGATTCACTAAGTGAACCTTAGCACTCATAATAGTGTTACATTTTTCCCCGTAGGTTAACCAATAATTGACCACTTGACTGCCTCGATATCCTCGTGGCTAACCTTTAAATATCGTAATCGAATGTTGTCGAAATTTCTCCGAAGTTCTGCCGAAGTCGGTAGCCTTATTCTCGCTGCTTCTCGATTGGCGGGGAATCATCGTGCACTCTTAGCCACGTCACGCCTGGTTTATGGCTACCAGCGGCGGCCGGCGTTATTTTTTTTCGGGCATGATTTACAACAATACCATCATCCTAGATTGGGGATCAGTTCCAATCACAATAGCGGTTGATTCATTGAATGAACCTTAGCACTCATAATAGTCAACCTGCTACTGTCTGATCTGCCCTGGTGTGTGATGCACTTCGATTTTAACAAATTTTTTGTAGTTTGAAAAACTATAATGTATGGTAAAATAGTTCTATCAAGTAGGTAACCAACATGATTGTATAAGGTCTGTTCAAAAAATAAGCATATGAGTTTTGAAATTTTCTGCAACTGATGATGGAAAGTCAAAAATGGTAATAATTGTATAAAAATTGTGGAACTGTTGGCAGCCTACTGTTTGGTTATGAAATACAGGGTGTAACTGAATAATTGTAAAACATTTAAGGAGGTGAACAACTACAGAGATACATTGTCATAAATGCGAACTGGATTTATTGTTATTTTGTAGTTAGTACCAGCATTAAACGATTAAAGGGTAATAAACAAAACTAATTTATTAATAACAACATGTAGAAATCATAGTAAATGTTCAATATGTCTACCTTCAGACATTACGCATGCGTCTAGACGTCGGCGCATTGAGCCACGTATTCGCTCAAATATTGCTGGAGTCTCCCTGATTACCCTGCACGCATCGATGATGCGGTTTCTTAAGTCCTCTACATCGCGAACAGGAGTACGATAAACCAAATGCTGTAAATGGCCCCAAATAGTGAAATTGAGATCCGGAGATCGAGCGGGCCAGTTTATTGGTCCTCCTCGACCTATCCACTGATTTGCATATGTTTCAGTTAAATTCTGACGTGCTACTTGACTAAAATGGGCGAGAGCCCCATCATGCATAAAAAACATCCCTTCTGACGCCCAAAGGAACTTCCTCCAGCAGTACTGGATGCACTCACCATTTAATCGATGCCTCATCATTTAATCGAGGAGGTAGAAAATGAGGGCCAATTGAATCATCCCCAATAACTCCGAGCCACACGTTAAGAGAAAACTGTTCTTGATGGTTAGTTTCGACAATAGCGTGAGGGTTTTCATCAGCCCATTTGGGAGGAATATTTAAATCTTCCTTGCGTAATTTAGAAATGATCCAAAAGTCACTCATAAAATCATGTTTAGAAAGAATAAATGCTATAATACTCAAGCATTATATGAAGAGAGTGAAATATATAGTGTAAGAAAACTGTATACTTTTCGTTGTATACTATGGACAGCCAGTGTTACGAGTACATCTGTTCAGAATATATATAATACTCGTTTACACACTTCTCAGATTGCAAAGGTTCCACAATGCCGACTCTCTCACAATCAAAAATACATACATTGGACTAAAACTCTACAATTCTTTACCGCCGTCATTAAAATGTATCAGAAGTTATACTTAATTGAAAATATAATTGGAAACATTTATCAATCACAACTACCACAGATTGGAAACAATACTGGATAGTTGACTAATTCACCATACTGCAATCACTTAATACAATGTCACAAGCTGTTGTTTCTGTATCTTCTTTCGTATTTGATGCTCTTATTATGCTAAAAGACTGCTTATCATTTTGGTCGTCCTTCTAGGACTTCCCAGAACCAATTAGTAGGTTTATCTCAGTTTGCAAATGTCATGGATTCGTGGCTGTAACACAACCTCGGCTTAGATAGTCACGATCCTACATAGATGTAATTTATAGTTCTGTAAAATGAGCTGTAATGATATATATTTTATATTAATCTGAATTGAATAAATTTGATTTGATATGGTTATGACATCGAAACCAAAGTCCAATCGTCGTCATCAGAAGTTCTTGCCGCATGGTCATACAGTCAAAAAAGAGTATTATCTTATGCGCCACTTGCGATAAGCAATACGAAGAAAACGTCCGGTATCGTGGAAAAACAATTCATGGCTTTTGCATCACTATAATAAACCTGCTCACTCGTCAGTGCTTATTCGTTATTTTTTTTCCCAAAAACAACACCGCAATCATGCCTTGGCCACCGTATTCACCAGATTTGACCCCCTGCGACTTTTTCCGTGTTCCCTGAAGAGACCCGTGAGAAGACGGCGTTTTCCGACGAGATAAAAACCGAATCACTGAGAGAGCTCAAGGACACCAGAAAGTGCAAATCAGAAATGCTTATAGGATTGGAAAAACGCTGGGACAAGTGTATTATATCTGAAGGGGAATACTTTGAAGGGGACAAAACGGAAATTGATGAATAAATAATCATTTTTTTGAGAAAGATTAAAATTCACCTTATTTTTTCAGCAGACCTCGTAGTCATTTTGTTCAACTATAATTAATTTAGGCACACGGATGAATGATCTGAAAAAAATAATAAATGGCTCAATTCATTTCAGTTTCGGTCATCTCTGTTGTTGAAACCATTATTGTGACCCTGCATTTGGAGTCGGGCTGGACTAGACAACAAGTTTCCAGTAAAAGTTATTCATGTTCTCCCTACATGAGAGAATTGAATGAATTTATCAGCAGAGTTTACCGAACTCGGCCAATCCAACGACCGGGAAAAGTAGTATCCAAATAGTTTCTTACTTGTCTGGAGTAATGTGGTGGTGCTCCATCTTGTTGGAATACAATATCCATATCGAATTCATTAGGATTCGCTTCGACGATTTCAGTGATGAGAGGGTCAACAGTAGTTTCCAGCATATTCCAATACAGTTCCACTGTTAAATTTTGATCAATAAATGAAGGTTCTATAATATGGTTTCCCAATATTCCTGTCCAAACGTTAATTTCTTTGGATATTGGGTATGTGTTTCTCAGAAAATATGAGGGTTAGTGTCACTCGAATAACGGCAATTTTGTCTGTGAACATTGCTGTTTATAAAAAAATGTACATGTATACAAGACCCTACTCAGTTCTTATTGACGGGGATAGATGAGCACAAACATTGAATTATTAGTGTTTCAGGTGTGTATTACAGATAAAATTTGCGCAAATCAAGAATGTCAGATAATTTTAACAAATATTGCAAGTTAAGGTTTCGCCGTTCTACACCATGTTTCTTGGATACGAACTATCACACAGAATGAGAAAGGGAGTCTTGACTAAATTAAGTTACCAAGTCATTATATTGACAAAATTGTAGCTATCTGAATTTCAAACAATACCTATTTGCATATCATACACGAATTTTCAAGGCATAACTGAATCAAACCCCACTTCAATTTCTGCAATTATTGAATTTTCAAATTATGGAAGTCTAGAAAACTATTCGAATAAATGGTTAATTTTCATGGATGGTTTTTTGTATTCTATTCTAAGAGAAACAAAAAAACTCAATTTTTACATGTCTTTATTGCCAACATAAATAATAACAAAACAAATAATTTTACACTTATTGCAGGCTTGTCTTTCTATGCTATTGCACAATGCTGCTTATAAACCTGTGATACAACTCAGGGTAGCTTGAACTTGTTGCTCTAGTTCATCACTTGTTAAAACTTCATAAGATGTTCTACCTTCAACACACAGTTTTTCGAATATAGTTTTCGAGGACTCCCAGGCAATAATATTTTTCTTGATAGAGTCTACTAATACTTTAGCTACAGGAAACATCGTTGCTAATATTCTGAAACAAACAGAAACAACTATTCATTTATAGTTCCTCAGTTTTGAGGTGGAAATAAAACTTTCGACATGAAATGAATCTACAAAAAAAAAATCTACGCTAGAACAAAAACATATCTTGATGCATGGTCCACCAACCAAGTTAGCATATGAACGATACTCTAAAAATGTATATATATAAAGACTATCTTCGTAAACAGAATGATGGAAGTCTGGAATTTACAAAATAAGCGGACTGTAATAATAACTTTTAAAGAGTATGTTACACATATTTGGTTTCAGAGAAGTCTCTCGACACGACTAAGAGAGTAAATGAGAAATGCTGGAAATTATTGAGACTAGTACAAGCCACTAGGCTTTCAGATGCCTTTGAAATTTGTTAAGAGATCCACGAACAGCAGTAATATAGCTGCAAGAGTTCTAAGCCATTCCTTATAGAAAAACACGTGCAAATTTGAGCAGGTCCATTCTGGCGTTTTTTGGACCTCAGGCCCACTTCACACGGAAGGGGCAAAGGTCAGCGCCTTGTTTCTGCCAGACGTCTATTGTGTAAACTTAGCTTAGCATTCAAAGCCCACTTCAGACTACCTCCACTTTTACCGCCATTCAATCAACCAATCAGCTATCGGGCATACAGCGGGAAATTCAAATCAGTAGATGAACAAACTTGTTCCGAGCGCAAAATCCCATGTATTTTCTTATGGAGCTGAACTTTTTGCAATTTTTGGTTCAAACAGGAGTGGGGGAAACGTGTGACGTCATCGACGCAGGATGGAATGAGTATCGTAGCGATTCAAGCGTGGAACTCGGTCCCCTTGGTACTCTGCCTAACCTATCAGCCCCCTTAGTACTCCGCCCTCGGCCCCATTGGGACTCCGCATCACCTCTCAGGCCCCCTTGTCACGTGATTCTAATTAAAAAAAGTTTATAGTTGTGAGATTCGAACCTGGATCGTCCGCGCGGTAGACATTGTCCTTAGGCTCTACACCAACATTCGCAGTTACTTTCAATATCTTACGTTGGTGTAGAGGCTAAGGACAATGTCTACCGCGCGGACGATCCAGGTTCGAATCTCATAACTATAAACTTTTTTTAATTAGAATCACGTGACAAGGGGTCCTGTCACGTGATTCTAGAGGAGTCCCAAGGGGGTCGGGGGAGGAGTATTAAGGGGGCTGATAGGTTTGGCGGAGTACCAAGGGGGCCGAGGGGCGGAGTTCCACTCTTGAATCGCTAAGATTCTCATTCCATCCTGCGTCGATGACGTCACACGTTTCCCCCACTCCTGTTTGAACCAAAAATTGCAAAAAGTTTAGCTCCACTAGAAAATACATGGGATTTTGCGCTCGGAACAAATTTGTTCATCTACTGATTTGAATTTCCCGCTGTAAGCGCGATAGCTGATTGATTGACTGAATGACGGTAAAAGTGGAGGTGGTCTGAAGTGGGCTTTGAATGCTAAGGCTAAGTTTACACATAATGGACGTCTGGCAGACAAGGAGCTGACCTTTGCCCCTTCCGTGTGAAGTGGGCCTGAGGTCCAAAAAACGCCAGAATGGACCTGCTCAAATTTGCACGTGTTTTTCCATAAGGAATGGCTTAGAACTCTTGCAGGTATATTACTAACAGCCTCTTGTATACTCCCTTATGTGATGATTACAAGAAGAAACCAGAGAAATACAGATTTGATTAATTAATCATTAACATATAAAACAGATTTAACTCAATAACTGATAATAATACCTCCTGATGATGCTAACTTGGTTAGCAAAACCCGCTTCGAGAGACAGTGTAAAAACCAAAACTGAGCTTAAACGTGGGTGATTTCAGAATCTTATATACATAAATAATTTTCTCAACTTTGATTCATACTAATGAGTCACAAATTCATTACCTAAATATGCATATACAACATTCATTCAAAAATTCCAGCTGATGATCTGGAATCGATGCCTTCTCTCTGTCCATCATGTGCTCTGGTTGTTTGCCCATTTTCTTCTCCAAATCTCCTTGCATGAAGAACTCTGTGTAAATAAGTTGGGCAACTTTCTTTGTTTCTGGCCAATCCTGTAGAGTAATGAAATTGAGAAAATTGGAAAAAAATTCAATCAAAGAAATACCTTTGTTTGGTCAGACAGATCTGCGCAGGTCATCAAAAGACTACATAAATAATACCTGTGCTCTGGATTCGTTTTATTGTAACCCTCCTGAAATTGAAACATTTACTATGTAGATAATTGGTTGGATGAAAGAGTATATGCCAGTAATGCCCGTGTTATGGTCAGACATTGAATGATGCCTTTGATAGGATCACCCTCTGTCTTGTATCATTTCAAATTATTCCAATAATGAATTTTTTTGTATTATTATTACTTAGAAGATTATGCTAGACATATCTTTTTTCCGAATTCCTGCTGATAGATACAGAGGTTGCGACAGTAGTAACAACCAATGACCACTCCTTTACGCACCAGTAGATAAATGATCATTGGGTCTGAGAAAAATGTTCTCTGAGTGTATACAATGAGCCAGTAACGACCAAAATTTCTGTCATACTGCTGCAAACCTTTATAATCTTGAAGTTCGAAACTAGGAAGGCCATCATTCCACCAAGGACTCCAATAATCAGAATAACAATTTTAACAGAGTGGTCTTTTTCGCGGATATTTGTCTTACCCATGATTGAAAACCTCCAAGATTATCAGCCTGGAGGAATGAGCAGTTCCATCGAATCCGGAACTTCTCATTTCTCACAACAAATTCAATATCCTCCGAAGCAAAAGTCAACACCAGTGTCTCGTCAAAACCTCAAGTAATGACGCAGGTAAACCAATATGAACCCCTCAATTTCCCAGCTTCAGCCCACTCGACTAGAATAAAGCGAAGGTCAGGTACTTCATAAGCTGTTTAAATCTGTTTTGTTTTTTACGTTAACCAGCTGTCGCACTCCTACGAACGATAACCCTCAGAAGTCGAAACTTGTGCGAGCTAAGGATTAACGAGGTCTTACCTTTTAACGTGTGATTCCTAACACAGTCTTTACTGTTGAAGAAAAGCCCAAATCAATCAAATCAAAATATGCTTCATTACCCAAGATATGAACATCTTATTGGCAAAGTCTAGTAAAGTAAAACATGTATATGGGTCAATTAACAAATATAAACTATAAAATAATGCTTAGAGACAAGAGCAGAGTATATGTACAGAACAATATTAAGTCCAGCTGAACAGATACAAATATAAGTACATGAATTTATGAATATTAGGTAAATGTAAATATATAATGCTACATAATGAACATTGATAGCCATTTCGTGTTGGTTTCAATAACTTGTTTACACAAAGCTACATGCCAATTACTCAATAGAGTGGTAGAATTCGTCCACACTATAATAGGGCCTCCCAACAAGGAATTCTTTCACTTTCTGAATTTCTTTTCATTATATATTCGCCTTAAATTAATGGGAAGGTGGTTAAATAACTTCTTCTTCTGATCTTCAACTGATCTTGTAATAGTAGTGTCTAACTCTCTTGCAACAACTCTCACTACATGACATCCTGCTGCTAGTATTTTACATAAGTAGTCGACATGGGAATCAAATTTTAGATTTTCATCAATGAAGAGCCCTAAAAATTTGTTTTTCTCCAAATTTTCAATTTTTACATTTTCCCCTATGTTACATCTAAACGTGACCACATTTGTTTTGTCGATGTTGAATGATAAAAGATTGGAATCACACCATTCTTTAACCCTTCTTATGTCGACGATGATTTGATCAAGTAAATTGGAGGCGGTATTGCTATGCCAGAGGATAGTGGTGTCGGCAGCGAAACATGTAAATTTACAACTTATGTCAACATGGACCAAGTCATTGACATAAATGAGAAACAACACCGGTCCCAAAACGGAACCTTGTGGAACCCACTGCCAATGAAACGTTCCTCTGATGAAATTCCATCTAATAGAACATTCTGCCGCCGATGAGAAAGGTACGTCTCAAACCAAAGTAATGCCGATTGGTGAGGTCACAAAACATGGCCGCCGCAGATTCTCTGTTATTAAGATTGGTGTATAGGTTTTCCAGGAGTGAAAATATGGCGTCTTGTGTACCTTTTGAAGACTAAAAGCCAAATTGGAATAAATTTATCACATTGTTTTTCTCGAGGAAGGATATTACGCGTTTTTTTACCAGTTTTTCTATAACTTTAGACAAGACGGGTAGCAAAGCAATTGGCCTAAAATTAGCTGGGTTTTCAAGATCGCCTCCTTTATGGTAGAGGAATGATTGTGGCAATTTTCAGACACGCTGGGAACATACCTTTAGAGAATGAGAAATTTATTGCCTCCGCCAACGCACTCAAAGCCCTGTCAGGAAGAGTTATCAGAATTTTTAAGGAAATGGCATCACACCCCACCGAATTTTTATTTTTGATTTCACCAAACATTTCTTTTATTTCATAGATATCCGTAGGTGTGAAGAAGAAAGTAGTGTGTATAGCCACAATAATAAAGTGGGCTCTGTGGCTCTTATTGTTATTATTATTATTGATAGAGTCAGCTCATTTAACTAACTTCATCGGACTCTTGGGCAGTTGCCTCAAAAAGAAAGGTTCCAAGTCATAGTCGCGGATCCAAACGCCTGATGACTTTACAGGCTTCGTTCGGGAACATTATGTTGAACAGACACATCAAATTCAAAAGTTCTTTTACTGGAGAATGTATAACCACGAGAAGGATGATCTGGGATACGAAGTCCTATGGGGACGGATCATTTTTAGGGGATTTACCCGGAGTTGATACAGTCCACTTTACTGCACTAAAGGAGTAGAGTAGTAGAGGAAGATAGGAATGACAAGCATATTTATAGCAGCAATTTTGACAGTTCCAATGACATGATCTGTCAGAGTTTCTGCACTTGTGAGTGGAGTCGGTCCACCCTGAGGTAAGTATAAATCTCTCGGACATCCAGATGTCTCATGATTCTTCCATCTAGGAGCTGCACATCCTCTTCCTAATATTAATCAAATAATAATGTACAAAACATAATTAACAGTTCAACTCATTAAACCACAGTATGAAAGAAAGTAGTTGATATAATTTCATAAAAGCTGTTTCACGTTATACAGGAGAAATAATAAATTTCTTGAATAGTGTTTCTCACCTGAGCCATAGCCAACTGCCTCGAATGGATCCTATAATGAGTAGCGAGGTCTGTGGCAAGAATCATATTCTTGATGAGATCGAGACATTTGATGTAATCGTCTCGATTGAGAGATTCCAAGAAGTTACATCCCTGAAACGATACCTGTTAAGGACAACATATTCGAAATTGACTATTTCTTCAAATTTACTTCGGTATTTAATATGCAAATAGTCTGCGACAAATGATGTCTTTCCATAACAGATCCTTCGCTAGAGTATAAACTTGCTAATACGCTATTCGATTGTTGCTGAAATGAATTCGTTGTTCCTCGATGGTCAACATCATGACACAGGCATGATACTATATAAGAAAGGGCTTCTAGTTTTCTGAAAACACGAAGATGTTGAGATTTTTGTAGGAATTCGTAATCTGTTAATAAGAAATAATTAAAAATATATATGTTTAAAAAATTTATCTAAAATATGTTTTTCCGGTAACCAGCTGTCACACCCCTACGAACGACAACCCTCAGAAGTTGAAATTTGTGCGAGCTAAGTATATAAAAGAATTTCCTGTACATAATCTACACATTTTTGTTAGTTTACGTGAAACTTAACTTTTTCTCCCGAAGTTCACCAGAAGATGGAGTAGTAGAAAGCCAAAAAGTTTTTTTCAACAATATTATATTCATACTTACGTTAAATACCCCATCTCTACCAGCTGAAAATTCCTTATACACAAATAAGCAAAGTGAGCAACTGAAAACGCATGCAGCCAGTTGTGGTACGGCAATGCTCTGTATCCTTTTTTTACGAACAAAATGAATCTAATCAATGCCTCCTTTCGAATTCTGAAGTGGTTGACGAAATCCAGATTTTCGAACATCTTCAGTATACAACAAGGGATTTCTTTGGGAAAAACTTTCCTCGGTATGAAACTGAAGCTTTCAAAGTTGGAGAAATCGTGCAAGCTGGAACAAGTGGCTACGTCTGCGACATCTTGATCCATAACCTGTAAAAGATTATCACAGAAATTAACGTGACAAATTTGTATAACTTATTTACCCTATTTCTTGCAACACTCTAAGGTTGCTTCAAATTGAAAAGTGTTTAAGTACAATATATACTTCATATATGAAATTAATCTTTCTGTCACACCCTGAGACGATTGTGGATACTAACAAATCGAAACGTCGTGAAGTAACTTGGCTTCATATATTTTAATTTTTATTTCCTTTCTTAAATTTTTTTAACACGCTTTTATTAGCTTCACCTGTATGTATGTATGTTTGTAACTATCCTTGCTTGATCTATTCGCTGGCAGATGGCGCTATACATAACCTCCTTGATATATTGACAGTATTGCTTGATCTATTCGCGGGCAGATGGCGCTGTACATAACCTCCTTGATATAATTCGAACTCACTTTACATGTATTTACAAGTTTTTTTTTTATTAACACGCGCGCCCGCTGCCTTATTTGTAACCCTCCTTTGAGCGCCTGTTGCCTTGGGCTTGGTAGCTGATTTTCAGGCTCCCTTTCCAAAATCAGAAAATATCAATGGTCGTTTTTCTAAACAATATACGGCTGATTGATCCCAAAGTTTAGATATTATAAATATAGTTCAAAAAGAATAAAAAAACACGCTTTTATAGTATACGAAACTAAAAAATGAAAAATGAATAAAGTTTAAAAAATTAAAAAACGCTCACAAAGAAAATCGAACTAAAAAGTTAATAATATATTTTTTTAATAAGCTTAAAACAATAACGAATGAAAAATACTAGTATTATTGTATATCAAGCGCCCGTCGCACAATAATACTAGTATTTTTCGTTTGTTATTGTTTTAAGCTTATTTAAAAAAAATATTTTTAACTTTTCAGTTCGACGTTCTTTAAAAGCGTGTTTTTTTGTTTTTCAAACTATATTTATTTGTTTGATCGTTCAATTTTCAATTTTTTGCTTGTATTTCATTATATTGTAATTTAATTTCTCTTTTTTTTTTCTCATTATGATTGTTATTTTCAGCTATTCATTTTAATTTTCAATTGTATTGGGTTTTTTCAGGGATTTCAAATCATTTTATATCATACTAGTTGTTGCCCGCGACTTCGCCTGCGTAGAATTTGGTAGTTGTAGTACTAATTAGTACCATGTTGCTGTATCGCTGCTGTTCCACTGTTTTGACAATCAGAATCAACGAACTTAGGCGTGTGCAGCGTTATAGAACAATGCTTTCAAAAAATTGTCCTACAGCGCCATCTAGTGGCGAGGTACAGAAAAATTGATAGCCTAAAAACCTTCCATATGAAAAATTACTCATACATGTCAAGTTTCATCACGATCGGTTGAGCGATGTAGAAGTTTATCACTTACCAACCAACCAACAAACATCCATTTTTATATATTAGATTAGACAATAGAAGTCCGATCTAATGAAATTCATAATAGCTCGTCTTTGTTTGTCTCACTTATAGCACAGTATTCGTTTTGAGTCTAAGTTTGCTTATTTCAGAGACAAACTGAAATTGGCCATGATGTAAAATACTTCAATTTTTTTTATGATTACTAATGAAAATTTGCAGCTTTGTCAATGAGACCTAATGTTCTTTGGGCAATGAAGCATATTATTATTATTATTATTATCAAGATAGCTAAGAGCTATTGATTCTGATAACATACATCACCATGTATATTATGCATTTTTTTAATAGTTTTCTAGTTATGAATTTTCCAATGTTGCATTTAAAATTGTCAGCTGGACCGGTGAGAATTTTCGATGCTTTAACTACATTTTATAGCATTTAACATTAAGTTATCTAACTATTTTTTCAACCGAGAAAGAATTATTAATCTTCCTCTTGAAGATGATCACTTGGTGATCGAAACACGTGTCGAGGTGTTGAAAATAACGGTTTGGTGTTGGAATAAAACTCCAGTAATATTCATTATTACACCAAAGGTTCCAAACAGTGCATCACAAGTATTAAATTATCTGACAGAATTTTAATGCTGAATGCTATCAATTTTTACAAAAATAATTTATGCAGGGACCTCTGTACAAAATAAAGCAATTATTATACTCACCTGCATGTGATATATCATCAACTCGTTTGACAGTTGACTTCTTGCTTGGGCATCCTGTATTTTCTTATAAACTAAACTATGCATTATCGATATGCCACAATATATACTGAAAGCATTAGCTACTTGTTCATCGAAATAGTCAAAGTGTCCATCAATCTTATTACATAGTTGGGCTACGCCAACAATGGTATCTTCATCCCGAATAGGAAAACACAATATATTCCTCGTTTTGAAACCTGTAGCCTCATCTACTCCCTTGTAGAAAAGCGGGTGCTTGTAAGCATTTTTGATATTCAGGATCTGTCCACTCGCAGCTACGTGGCCTAAAATCAACAAACTACTTGCAAAGTTTCCCTTCAATGTAGATTAAGAAATCGTATGTACATATTGTTGTAAAATATCCCCTGAAAAAAATAACGGTGGCCGACGCTGGTCTCCTCCGATCGACTGCGACTTAAGGTCACAGCCCGACCATACTTGAGTCTTCTCGTTAGCCATGAACCCATTTGTCTTTCTGACGAAAATCAGCTGAAAGGGTAAGGGATCTAGGCTACAACCTGACTGAACTGAGGATGAGCTTGGTACTTGAGTCTCTCTCGAAACAGTTTTTTCGAGAGTTGTTCTACCATATTCCAAAGGGTTCCATCCGTCGCATTATCGCGACGTAGGAAAGCCTAGACTAGTTCGAAAAATGAAATGCGAACTGAGCTAATTTAGACATAGACGTCTCATATACAGGCGTCTATTTTCAACAATTGTGTTAGGAAACACACGTTAAAAGGTAAGACCTCGTTAATCCTTAGCTCGCACAAGTTTCGACTTCTGAGGGTTGTCGTTTGTAGGGGTGCGACAGCTGGTTAACGGAAAATCAGATTTTGAACTTGTTTTGAGCAAGTACTCAGGATAACTTTTCACAGCTTGTTGTAATTTCAACTGTGCAGTTTGTTTCTAAAGTGTACTTCGGTGTCATGTGGTCCACGAATGTTTCATATTATTTCCTCTACATACTCCAAAATTCCAAATTTCGGCAATTCATTGTAGCTTGATGAATTTTCTAGTTTGAATCCGTCAAACTCGTCGAAGCCCACTATTAATACTGCTCTGCTTAACCGACAACCAGTTACAAATAATACTAAACAGTGAATACATTATTGCCAATGTAAAAGCCAAACTCTCAACTGTAACACTAGGTTTAATTGTAACACCATCAATCTTGATATTGTTGTAAATTATCTGCCGACAAAAATTACGCCGCCCGCCGCTGATCTTCGTTGACTTGTTCAGGGTCGCGTTCAACTCTACTTGTGCTTCTCGATCGTTTTAGATGTCGCGTCGCTTCGAGAATATTCCTGTCGGCTTGTGAAGACTTTCAATGGCATATGTAATCACTACCAACAGGCAGAGAAGTGAAGTCTAGTTGAAAGTGCGGTACGAATTGAACTGATCAGGTGATGGACATTTGATTATTAGTCTGAAGTCCAATTAAAGTTTTTGGAGACGTAGAAGGTCAATTATTATCGAACTAACAAGGAAAACGTAACAATATTATAGGTGTTGCTCATTTCTAAATTTCCATTTCCAAAATAGATCAAATGAGACTCGGAGGGATTTAAGTTTAAGCCATGACTTTTGGAATATTCATATACTTTTTCTAGCATATCTTTCACATCATCAATGCTGACTTTGGCTCAACTATCTGTAAAATTACTATACACCTGAGTGTCATTTGCCAAATTGATCGATAGTTCAATTATTGAAAGTTTTCATATCTATATTTTCTGGAAGCCATGTTTCCGGGATGCCCAATATATCAAAGCTGTATGCCATGAGTAAACTTTTTATCTCGTTAATACTAGGACCTTGTGAAGGAACGCTGACGTGTTCAATTATCAATCTTGAGTTATCCATTTTTTATTATTAAGTGTATTTGCTCCAAATGAAGTATTTTAATTACTTTCTCACCTGCACCTTCCCTCACAAAAACTTTTAGGTTTTTCTAGCATTCTTATAAAACCCCCAACATATTTTGGTAGATCCTCATTGAGATATACATTTTCCTTGATTCCACTAATTCTTCATGACTAAGTTTGATAACAGGGCTAATATGAGATTCCTGGATATTGGTAGAATATTATCTTTCTCTCTCGATTCTGAGTCCAGTTTTTCAAAAACTTTTCAACGTCATCTTTTAGGGATTGTCTCTGTTTCAGACCAACAACTACATTATTTCATTTTCGTTTATCAACTTTTTCAATTTCCTTTTCTTTTTGTGAAGAAATATTTTTCTTGCAGCACATATGTTGTTAAATATCATCTTTTTTAAACTCCTTGCTTCAAAACTAGCCAATACTTACCGAATTTTCGATGGATATTACACATCATATATAATCCCAACCACTGGGGGAAGTACAAAATTTTGTGTGCCCTCTGTATAAATAAAATGTACCTTGAAAATCCTTCAAGTCCAATTATTATCCTATTATATATTAAAACCCGATTCAACAGTTTGTTAAACAACAAATATAACGTTGATAGACTTAGTAGACATCTATTGCAGAAATTATTCAATATTTCGTTATTAACGAGTCTATCACATCGCTAAAACAACTGATACGAGTTCGTTTAGATGTTTTGTAACAAACAACCGGAACTGAGAACAGATGACACCAACTAATATTGATGTAGAGTGCAAATTATTATGCAAACAAGATTATACAGATAAGTTTTATTTATAAAGCTGTAACGAACCGCGGTTACTGAAAATGAACATTTATTCGAAATATATGCCTGCCATTACAATTTTTGAAATATGTCATTTTCAAAATTGATGGTTTGTATTAAGACGGAAGTGAAAATGATATCTTGTTGAATGGACTTCAACTCTCATCGTTAAAAAAAAAACGTAGAAGCAAACATACATGTCGCAAACCACCTCATCGCATACAATATACCACTTTCTGATATATCTAGCGCATCCACCAAACTATTGTAACGTTTTTCCTGTGGGTTCGACAATAATTGACTTTATTTCACTGCCACATTGACAATATAAAACAAAAACTTCAACTGAAACTTCAGACTGATACTTAAATGTCTATCGCCTTATCAGATCACTTTGTACCCCACCTCCAACTAGACTTATCCCATCTGCCTGTTGGTAGTGTTTATATATGGTAATGGAAGTCTCTGGAAGCTGATAGGGAAGTCTCACGAAGCGACGCGACATCTAGAACGACCAAGAAGCCCAAGTGGAGTTGAGCACGACCCTGGCCAAGTTACAGTCGATTGAAGACCAGCGGCGGCCAGCGTTTTTTTTAGGGGATAATTCACAACACTATTCAAACTCAAGCTAAAAACCTGCTCGATAGAAAATTGCTTCTATTACCTTCTACATAGTATAAAACAAAGTCGCTTCCCACTGTCTGTCCTTATGAAGGTTTAGATCTTTAAAACTTCGCAACTGGTTTTGATACAGGTTTTTTTCAATACATCGAGTGATTCAAAAGAAAACTTTATATGTATATTACATGCATAATATAGTAGATAAACACTGATTATTTTAGAGGTTTCTAATGTGATTGGCCTTGGGACTTATTAATAGTCACCGCGAATGCCAATCAGATTGGATATTGCACACGTTTAAAATGAATTATCACGTCTGTAGGTATGATAGGGATTTGTGGTATTAATATATTTTCACCTCGGAACTTGCCTTTGAAATGTTGGCTTCGACAACGTTTTTCATTAATTATTTAATGAATAATCGCGTGCGGTTGCACAGCCGTGGTGGATTCCAATTACGGAGCGATCCAACCTTCAGTTGTGAATTATGCGGTGGCATGCCTGGGCAAATCCAATGAGTTCAAAAACTATGTTGTATAATTCACAGCTTCGGTGGCATCGCAAACTGTAACCACGCTCGATGGATAAACATTAATAGTGGCCGAAAACTGTGTAGGGAGTGAGAGAAGGCCAAAAGACAGGAGACCAGCTTCGTTCTCATCCCTACTCCGTGCTATTCACTGAGAAGTGACACCGGTAAACGCCTGGCGGGAATAACAATGAAACAATGACTTAATTACTAAAATGGTTTTAAAAAAAATAGGGGTTGTGATAGATGGGTTAAAATTAAGGGTAATATGTACTTTCAATGCCACATCATGAAAAAACAATAACAAAAAGTCTTGCTGAAATATTTTTTTTAATGTTTGGTGAGGTGCACCCTTATCACTTAGGGATATTAAAAATAGATTGAAACCTATTCTCAGGCCTACCGAATATACATATGAAATTTCATAAAAATCGGTCAAACCGTTTCTGAGGACTTGGGCAACTAACACTGTGACATGAGAATTTAATTTAATCAGCATTGCACCCGTGCGGAGCCGTAGCGGGTCGCTAGTGGTTGATGAATAATTGAAATGAAATAAAATGAAACACACAGCAAGAATCGTTCCTTTCCAGTGGAGGTCTGTGTGAAAAGTACTTTCCTTAGATTAAGTATGAGCAAAAAGTTCCACTTTCACCAACTAATGTATGGTTTAAAATGAAATATAATAAAGATACCCTACCTTACCTGCAATGCCCTGATCTTTGGCGATTCGTACTTCAGCTCTCTTTTCTGCTGGACTGACTCCATCGAAAACTTTGGCTACCAAATGCATATGGTCCGGATCTAGCAAGAATAATGAACACCTTTCAGCATTCGTCAAGCGCCTTGCTTCTGACATGATCTCTTTGAGAAGATCGCTAAGATCGCCTAAATGAGAAAACAGTTTCCTTGCCACTGTGAGTAGGGTCTGACATTGCTGCTTCAACCTTCTCTCTTCCTCGCACTCTCTTGTGTTGAGCAATAAGGTTAAGCAGTACTTGAAAGTTTCGTGAACTAGACGCGTGATGTACGAATTGTCTTTCGAAGAGTGTGCAAAACAAATCAGGTACACGGGTGTGATAATCTTTTTCTTTGGAACGTTGGCTGAAACAAATTATGCCTTCAGAAGAGTTCACATTTCACTTTTTGAAGCATTTTCAACTACAGGAATTGAAATATAATAATAATAAATCGTCTTTATTGTTGAAGGTACAAAATAGGCGTAGTTTAGCCAAAGGCTACTCTTACACTTAACCTAAAATGTACAATTCTAATTAACTAAAATGATAAATAGACAGAAAGACACGATGAAAAAACGCATCACATAATAATAATTTATATCATAGGTATCTAGCTGACATATTGTGACGAGGTAAGTAAAGGTTAAAGGTAAATTCAGGACACGGCACTCAAGTTCCTGTTGGTATTCAGGAAGTGTTTTCCAGAAAGTGTTTTTTCAGAATGATTCTTAACTCTCCTTTCGAAAGTTGCATACAATTGTATAACAGTGAGTTGTAGAATTTGATGGAGAGATAAGTGAACGACCTCTGAAAAAGTGACGTCTTATGACCAGGGACATGCAGTTTATTTTTTTATCTTACATCCAATGAATGTAGCATAGACCTAGGAATCAGTTTATTTTAAAGTGATGTGGGAATTTTGTAACTCAATACTTTGTACACAAAATTGCAAAGATTATAATTAGTACGATTGATCATTGTCAGCCAATTTAATTCTTTGATTTTACTCGAGACATGATCCAATTTTCTTAAAGAATAGACAAGTCTACAACAGAAGCTCTGTACTTTCTGTTTCCGATTCAAATCAAATCTACTTAAAAGATTGCTGTACACAATGTCACCATAGTTGAACCGTGATAAGACCAACAACTCAGTGAGAAGTTTCCTGATTGGTCGACTGAAAAAGTATCTATTTGAATAAATAAGTTTGAGAGTCCTAAACGATTTTCTAAGCAAATCATTCAAATGCAAATCAAATTTTAGGTCAGAATCAAAAATAATACCTAGGTTTTTAATGAAATTCACAACGGGAACTATGGTGTTCTTAATTCTAATTGTGAGATGTTGTTCGACTATAGCCCTATTCTTTTTATTACCGAAAAGCATCAAATGGCATTTATTCCTATTCAATTTTAGATTATGTTGGACAGCTAAATTAGAAATGGTTTGTAGGTCGGAATTGATGAGGTTTTGAATAGTTCCATAGTTGTAGATGTTTAAGTTGGTACACAATTGCGTATCATCTGCATAGGCCTGAACTTTTGAGTGCTTCATAGAATTCAAGATGTCACTGGTGTAGATTATGAAGAGTAAAGGTCCTAAGATTGACCCTTGAGGCACACCAGAAGTAACATTTCAACTTTTACAAAATCTATATCTATACTATTATTATAAATGTTAAAGTTTGTGGCGATGGATGTATGTATGTATTTTTGTGGCTCTTTCACGCCTAAACGACTGAACGGATTTAGATGAAACTTCACATAAATACAGCTTATACATCAGGATAACATATAGGCTACAATCTACAAAGGTTTTGTGCACTTTTGGTCATAATATAACGATAAGTAATAAGTAAGTCGGAAAAATTCTTGCTCCCTAAGAGCTATCTTGGCATACGCTGCCTATACCGTTGGAGTTACATGAAGTTACCGTAAGATTGTTTATCTTGAATAGTTCTAAATAAAAGTCCTGGATAGCATATATCTACCTCTTACGTGGTAGCCACTACATGCAAAATACTGAGCCATAAATACAATGGAATTGGATACTTTTTTTTATTACACGCTTTATATCTCAAACTATCTCTAATCAATTCAAACTATCTAAAACTTAAGTCAGGTGTGCCACAGGGTTCAATATTGAGTCCACTATTGTTTACAATGTATTCGTAGTCTAGAACACTGTAAATTTCATCTTTATGCTGATGACACTCAACTTTATCACAGCTTTCTCTCTCAAGGTGTAGAAAACGCATGTATGCTTATTAACAATGATCTCGAGTCATTTGTTGAGTTGGCAAGAGATCACTGTCTACCTACTACCAAATGCCACTAAATCGAATTTATTTATTTATTTATTTATATATACACGGGCAAGCCCAATTCAGATATAAGTAGTACAGTGCTATGTAGTACTTGATACAATATAGTGGATTAAAAGTAAATAATAACAATAATACAATTCCGAAGTAAGATAGCAAATAAATTATTAAGAAAAAATTGAAATATATAACAAAATGAACTAATATAATTCTTACAGGCAAGTAACACTAGACACAATACAACAATACAAGCAGAGAGTATTAGATGACTATAAGTAAAGAATATGGTTTTCAAAGCGGGATACTGATATATTAAAGATTTGAAGGTTGTTTAAAGAGTTAGCCAATCTAAGAGTTCTGGAAATAAAGCCGTTATATGAATAATTGAATCTGTGAAAAGAAACGAAAAACGTTTGCACCTGCCTAGTTGAACGACTGGGGACATGTAAATATATTTTGGAGAGAAGCTCGGGACTGATACTCAGTCCGTTGATAATTTTGAATAGAAGTATTAAATCTCTATGTTCTCTGCGAGCCTCAAGAGAAGGTATGTTCAAAATGCATTCCAATGCAGTATAGTCATAGTATACACGCATCTTGAAAGCAATATATCGCAGGAAATTGTGCTGTACAGCCTCGACTTTCTTTTTTTGTATAACGTAGTGAGGGGACCAAACTGTGGAACAATAATCGAGATGAGATCTAACCAGGGAAAAATAAAGGCAATCTATATCGTTTTGTAGACACAATGTATCAGCTTCACTTTTGATTATTTCGAAACATTTTAAATCGTCGCCAAATAGCAAAGTTTCGCTTTCATGGAAACAGTTGATTAGATCGTTGATAAAAAGGTTAAACGACAGTGGTCCCAAATGTGAACCTTGTGGAACACCCGATGTAACTGCGATGGTATGAGAATAATAATGATTAACTCTAACAATTTGTGTTCTTTCCATAAGATAGCTCTTGAGCCACTGCAATATTTGCCCATCAAAACCATATAAACAAAGTTTATGGATTAATAGCTCATGATTAACTTTGTCAAAAGCTTTGGAGAAATTAGTGTATACAGAGTCAACTTGCAAACCCTTAGACAGAGCGTCAGACAGAAAATCAACGTAGGTAATTAGACCCAGTTCAGGTCACTTTTTGGATGTGAATCCGAATTGTTAGGTCCCTATAATTGGGGAGCAGTCATAAGGAAGGTAATCAAAAATGATGCTCTCAAAAACTAGGTATTAAAACTGATCTCTAATCTTCCTCTTTGAAGATAATCACTTGGTGATCGAAACACGTGTCGAGGTGTTAAAAATAACGATTTGGTGTTGGGAAAAAACTAGTTATATACGATAAGATTAACTTTACGCAACGCAGTAAGCCATTACGCGTCGCGTCTACTGTAAGACGAGGGGGAGACGATACACTGGGGTAGAGGGGGGATCTAAGCAATGAAGCGCCATCGCCAAGAACGCGGGCAAACGGTGCGGGCAGACACGTGAGGGCAGACGTCGTTGGCGGTTGTGTTAGTTTTGCGGTTTTATAGGTAACATAAATCGATTATCGAAGCTATTCACTACTTAGTGCAGTTGGCATATTTTTTCAGTTACTGTATTTTTTTTAAGTAAAAATATAAATTACTAGCTGTTGCCTGCTCTTATATTAAAGTATAGCCGAAGCTACTGAACCTAGAATCTTGAAATATGCAGGTAGGTTCTTTGTATAGCGTAAATAAACATCAAGAAAGGGAATCAGGAATTTCCACACCCAAGGGGGAAAATAGAAGTTCAAAGTTTGTATTGAATTTCGTCAGTTTTGAAGTTGTAACCCTGAAGTTTTGGGTTGATAAAAAAATACTGTAACTGTTCAAAATGGTCTCTCAAGAAACTTAATGTGACAAACCATATTATACGCGGACGAAGCCGCGGGCAACAACTGGTGCTTTTATAAAGGTTCTAATGAAAAAAAGTTATCCAAGTTCTCACTAGAAACAACCAACTATATCTCGAGATTATCTGAAAGGTAAACAAGCTCAGAATCAATAATTTATGACATACAGATAATATGTTAATCAAAGTAATCCTTTCAATAAAGAACAGGATTGAAGTATTTATGAAACACTTACGATATTTATTCACCTAATCCGTCTCTCTATTGATCAGTATTTCTGTATAAATACTGTGACGGGACTATATTCTTTCAAAATAACCAAAATCTTGATTATGTAGGCCAAACATAACCGCCTCTGTCATATAGAACAGGATTGAAGTAATTTATGAAACACTTACGATATTTATTCACCTAATCCGTCTCTCTATTGAGAGATATATTCCTAAAACTTTCAAGGTGTATTTTTGATGAAATGGGAAATTACATAACCTTACTTTCGATCAACCCCCCTATTTTCATGCTCTTTTCAAAAAATATACAAGAAGAATAAAACATTTTTACTATGGCTTATTTTGATTTCAGTACTCAGTTTGAGGTAATTTAAAAAAGACAGAAAACACCAAGATTAATGAAGTAGTAAGCATGGGATTCACTTGGTCACATGGACATCCTTCTAAGAAAGAGCCTTTACTTCATTGTACAAGAGGTCATCACACAAAGTGTAAAATTCGTTAACCTCTTGGGTTACAGGTGAAGCTTGATCAAAGTGGCCTTATCTACGAAAGTATACTGGAAAGCCAAGTTTTGAATAATTACATTCTTTCCTGAAACCAACACAAGTCAGGATAACGAAATTTTGCCAAATAAACATTGAACAAATCTCAATTGATACGAAATTATAATATCAATTGAAGACTTTTTCTTGAAGATATTTTGGCAGCATACCTCTTCTTTCATTGGCCAGAATCGGAACAATCATGAGTTCTCCAGCATCATTTCCCACAATGTCATTTATCAATTTTTGAATTTTTGGATCGAGGTTCTCGGCACATTTCAGGCTATTGTCTTTGTACTCTACTATGTTACTTATTGTATCCTCTGAAAGTGAGGTACGAATACTTGATTCTAATATCTTCTCATCTACCACTTGGACCACAGCTTCTTCAGATACATTCAGTAAATTTATGAGAAAAACGCTTGTAGATTCGCTTTCCGATTTCAGCTGAAAAAAAAAACAAACCTGGAGTTCTAAAACAATAAACGTCAATCTTTTCTTCAGGTGTAGGTTGGAAAAAGATATAAATATACTTATCCCGAGTTGAATGTAATTTGGAAAATGAAAGTTGTGGTTGTTTGAAGAAATGGTTTTGAAGTAAATTAATAGGTTGCCCTTTCTACACTTATATAGATACACTTCATAATTTTTTCCAGGTTGTGAAAGTTATCTTATTTATTATATAGGTTTGCAAAACGGCATTGAGTTACATTAAAGAATAATGATAATNTAGGGACGTAACATATATTATGAAGATCATAACTTCGGTTGTATTATTATTTCTGTATTACATGTAACTAAAAATGAGCACAAATTCTGTTAATTAAGCATTCAGTATAATATGAAGATTTAAACTAACAACTTCTAGAATACTGTTTTTAGAGGCATACACGCACATCTTAATCATGAATTATTATAAATTTAAAATAAAACAAAGTGTTTTCCAGCAATTTGAAAATAAGTGCATTAATGACAAACTCAGTTGAAAGTTAGACAATTTGAGTTTCGGATACGTCGTGGCAGTTATTGAGATGTATTTATTATAAACAATCAAATTTATAGTGAGTTGTTTTGAAGTGTGAGGCTTTAATTGTTTCTCATAAAACTAAACCAATATTTTCCATGTTCCTGTGTGAGAATAAACAACGTCGACAGATCTCCACATTCATCGGATTTGGTTAATTCGGCAGAAAACCTACCTAAAGAAGAATACCAACCGTTTCTGAGTTTGGTATCAGTTCCATTTATTTATTTTCTTCAGAATCCTTTGGAATTATGACAGTTTTGGATTTTTGTTTCCATGTAAGTTTCACTTCTTCGAAACTCGAAATCATTTTTTCAAAGTGATATAAAAAAACTCTTTTTGAAAACCTTGTTTTGCCTTTTATATAAAAATGACCCTGAATATTTCAATCAAATCATCATAAGTTAATATAATGAAAAGGAATACAAAATACGCTTCTAATTTTCCATTTTATAAAAGGTTTCGAAGAATATCCTAAACATCTCATTGAACTCAAGAAATGTGATATTATTGTCATTCAAAAAAAGTTGAAGATTACCTACCTACCTGTGACAGTAATAAAAAACCTTTTTTTAACTGTATAATATATGTAACATTTTTATGTTGCCTATTTGTTTTTATATATTTTCTCACATAAAACCAAGTAAATGTAAGTAGTAAGCAAAGCATTTTGTAGTCACGCAGTCAAAGACACGATTAAATCGTTTGAATTTCTTTGAGGGCAAGATGTTTCCATAATCTCCCACAAAATAAATATAAATCCTAAAAGAGAGTACTTACATATCTATTTATTTTAACTTCCAGTTTTTTCGTGGTCCTATCGGTGAGAATTTCACAAAGTTGCAATATTTTTCCAGGATCGGATACTTCAATCTTCGGCATAGAAATATCTTCTCTGAAAACATTGTCTTCAGGATTCAGTTTTTTACAATAAGGAGGTGGAAGAAATAGTTCATTTGTTTCCGAGGACATTATTGTTTTTTGCTAGTATATTTACGGAAAAATTTTAATTACGGTAAATTTAGATAGGAACTGAGTCCAATTCACTTCAAGTATAGATTAGATAAGTAATATTTTGTTATTGATAGTGTCATGGCGATACCATAAAATCATTTACCAAATGGCTGAGTTTACTTAATCTGGAGTTTTATTACTCCATTAAATTAATTAAATCCATTAAGCATAATTGAATATCATTTTACAATCCACTTTGGGTATGGGATAGGGGGGTGATTCACAGCTTTGGACATAATTGTGTTGTTTACATTATCCCATGGTTCTATCAACTTAATTAATGCACTGTTTATACGAGGAAATCGGTAACTATTGATTATAAATGTCAGTGAGGCATGAGGAAGTTGAAGCTTTTATTTGAAAATTATAACTTTAAAAATTCGACCTTGACTTTTGACATCGGGGTGGCTAAGTTTCCGGAACCCCAGAATCAGTCAGTGGAATATTCGGAACGGGACCACAGTATTTCTGTATAAATACTGTGACGGGACTATATTCTTTCAAAATAACCAAAATCTTGATTATGTAGGCCAAACATAACCGCCTCTGTCATATTTCTGAAAAATGATCGCATTCAAATCACGGTTTCCCGAATAATAAAGAAGTAGAACACCAACTCCAACCAGAAGTCAAATAGCATAGCTATTGAAAAAGGTAGAACGCCACCATTAGGGCCATTAGCCCAAAAACGCAGCAGCTTCAGCTAGAAAAGGAAGACCACATTCTGCAATAAAAGGTGATACCCCATCCACCACCTATGAACATTATTCGAGATGGAGAAGATATTCGATAAACGCCTTATCTGTGAGGTAATGAAGTCTAAAAATTTAGATGAAAATCCTTAGATGAGCGATTCAATAGTATGTTATGAGTTTTTCTCAATGGAAAGATCAGATAAAGGAATACAATAGTGTCAAAAAAAATAGAGATAATAAACTAGGACATTTGGAAGGCAATGTCTTCGACTCCTAACATAGACAGAAAGAGTTACATATCAAATTTAAACATTCCAATGGAAACCAACTGGTAAGAAGTATGCATTTGGGGATATTTTCTCTTGACAGGATCTGATGAGTTGACAATTTACATATTGAATTTCAGGTTGAAATAAACAAATAAAATGCTGAAAGATCTGTCAAAATGCATCGCGAAAAGAACATCAATTGGTTATAATTGTGAATAAATTGGGCAGAAAAAGATATATGTAGTTTGAAAGAGAATTTTGACCTAAAATCTAAAAAAAGATTCCACGAATCCATGTTACATGTTACCAACCTCGCTCATGTGCTGGAAATAAATTCATTAAAAATTTTAATGAAATCTTGCCAGATTTCATTAAAAAATGAAATCTGGCAATAGGTTGCCTACGTCCTACAGCTGCCAAAAAAAAGAGAAATAAGTGAAAGGATTTCGAATGAAGGTATTTTTTTAAAGGAATATAAAAAAAAAAAACAAAACGAAGGGAGTTATAATCACACATTTCAAGTATATTGCATTGACTAATATAATTGAACCATTGTCTTTTGTACTATTCAGAGATACTGATGATGGAAGTAAATCATATTTTAGACTTGATGTAACTGTTTATGAAAATCTGGAAATGTTCTTGTTCGAAGCTCATGTCATATTCACTATAAAAAGACTAATAGCAAAAGAAGTTTCTTTTTTTATTTGAGAAAACTCAATAATTTCTTCCAGGCGTATGATAGATAATCTCTGGGTGGAAATGATAATTGTTTAATAGCCTGTGTCATATTCCTCCACTAAGAATTAAAATAGACAGTTGTAACGATCTCGAGATCATTAACAATAAATTGAGCAAGCTACAAAATATGGACGATTAAGACAGGTCAAACAGTTATTCAGTTGAAAATCCATCCTTTATGGTGGGTGAAGTTCTTAATGAAATCGAGCATTCACGTTACGAGAAATGGAAAACCAAATTGTTTATTGTGAAATATTTCACTAACGAAGAGAAGAAAGAATTGAATATTTCATTTTGGCATTCATTAGCAATGCTGTTCATGTATTAACGAAAATGGCATCAGAATTTAATGTTCCAATCTTCATTTTCTGGTCGAAGATGATCGATGAGTTGTGGAACCTGAGTTTATGATGTCTGTTATATCAATACTATAGAGAAAACATTAAAAAAATGTATTCAGAAAGGTTTGTTGAGTAACAAGATCAAATTAACTTAGAAAATACAATTGTTTTCTAGCTAATGTTTCGAATTTAATTAATTTTTTCTACAGGGTTAGAAAAGGAGTTTCGCCATGTGAAAACTATAACTGAATAAAAAAAATCATCAGACGTGTTGGATGTAAATGAAATGAAAGATACTGTAGCAAACACTGGTTATTTGTGTATAAGGTTAATGGTTGCGTCCAAGACTGAAAAGTAGAAAGCACTGCATTGAGTGCAGCGTAAAAATGCTTTTTAAATCCAGATGGAATATTATATTATATATCAAATGTTGTGTCATAGTTCAAAAATTAATTACCCATTTAACAGAACAATATTTTCCTGATTTCATTATATCCTTCTCCAACAATATACCAGTTTTCAAATTTTATTGCCGATGAATTTATATAAACATAATCATATCTGCCAGATCATACAGTGAAATCACTCAGAGGAAAAAAACGCTCTGATTTTATCCAGAGACTATATTTAGCAATTATATACTGTCTACCACATTTAGCGGTAAAAGCAGCTTTAACCGTTGGATGCTGTTGGACGCAAGCAATGATTCTGGCCCGCAGATCAGAAATCACAGAATCAAACTATTTTCTGAATTCACATTGGGGTTTCAAAATTCAGATCAGAAGAAGTAAAAATTTTAGATTCTTCCCTGAAAACAAGGATTTTTAATCAAGTTGGATCGGACACAATCAAATTGGTTTCCTTCCTTAGATCATAGGTGTCGCCTCCTTCCTATTGTTTACTCCTATGTAGACGTCACTAATGATATAGGTTATAGTATACATTTTACTGAACTTAATAATTGCCGATTGAAATTTAAGTTTAGGTTCGATTATCAGAAATTTGTGTAGTGCTTTTGTAATTCGAAATGGAGCAGTTCTTTACATTACCTTTTAGCGTTTTAGAAGTTCCTTACATGAAAATAAAAAAACCTTCTTGGGTGAAGCAGCCTTCTGCCATGACGATGTTTTCTATGGTTTTAATTTCTTATTTCTTAGTGACTGGAGGTTTCTTGTTCAAAATGTATCTTATTTCTTTTCTTACAATCTTTTTCTAGGTATAATATATGATGTTATTGTGGAGCCACCAAGCGTAGGATCTACTACTGATGAACATGGTCATTCCAGGCCTGTAAGTTTATTTTATTCAAAGACAATCTTCACTTTAATGAGAAATATTGTGATTGTGATTCTATAAATCTCGTTATTTTAATTTTAGGTAGCGTTCATGCCATATAGGGTGAATGGCCAATATATAATGGAAGGTCTTGCTTCCAGCTTTTTATTTTCCATGGGTGGATTGGGATTCATCGTACTAGACCACATACATACAACTTCCACACCAAAACTGAATAGATTACTCATTACTGCTGTTGGATTCATTTGTGTTCTAGTTTCCTTCTTCACAACTTGGATATTCATGAGGATGAAGTTGCCAGGGTATCTTCAATCTTAAAAGAATTGTAATATTTGAAATTCATATTTTTTTGAATATTAAGGATTTTCCAAAATTTTGGAATACATTTTTTTCAATAAAAGTATGTCCCACCAAATGAGATAAAAACTTGGTTTTAGATATATTCTTGGTGTCTGAAATATGCCCCAAAAAATACAATTTTTACATACCACAACAAAACTATCCTCTGAGTAGAACACTGTAAAATCAGAAATTTGGTATCATATAAATATGTAAAACAAGTAATCTCAAATTAAGACATTTATAACACATACTTTTGAGCCTTCATTTCCTTTTTGTCATTTTTTCAGATACACAATCTACATCGTATCTTAAACAGTTCAAGAAAACTATATGTAAAATGACTAATTTTTTATATTCCTACAGAAACATCTGATATAAAGGTATAACATATTTTTATTCAATGCACATTTTTGGCTATTCCAAAGAATTTATTTTTTACCCCTTCCAAATAGCATTCCATCACAGATTGACACTTTAAATAAAGTAGTAATCAGCCATTAGATGTTGAACGAAAGGAGGGAATCAGAGTTTTGTTTTTCTTCACCTTACACAATTCGAAAAAAATGAAAATTGTTACTAAGAACTGTTATCACTTTATAAAGGTGTAAAATTGGTATTAATAGTTCACCCTGATGTCATTCATCAGTACTTCGTCGTATTCATTAATTTCTGCGTGTCCAAAAGTTTACCCTCTTAGATAGATATCGTTTAGAGGTTAGTGTTCATCTCCTGACCTGAAGAGGTCAACGTGGGTGAAACACGCTTTGTGAAGAGTGTGGCAATTTTGGTGTTAGGGGACACTACTTGTTATGGATTTAATAATTTTGCTAATCAAAAAAAAAGCTAACAAATCCATACAAGGTTAAAATCCACCGCCGTTGCAGTTTTTTCTTTTGTTCGTTTATTTTCAAACGTCCTCGAAAGATATCAGAAGAGTTTCAAAACTGACATGTTTGACATCTGTACACTCGCATACATGCTCGATTACGATTTTGATATTTGTGGAACGTGAAAACCCCCTAAAAAAGTATCTAGATGTACATATTTATTTTTCGAAAGTATTCTTGATATTCTATCAAATATCCATTCTAACGAAAAGATTCAGATCAAAATTAGATGAAAATGGCCTTCTCGTCAGTTGAAAGTATTAATAGTTTCAATACCATGATACTTCAGTTTTCAAAACTATCTCATCAAAGACGTCATTGAATACAACCCTGTTGATTAGTTGAAAACTTAAAGGGTATAAACAGATTTTTTTAACAAGCTAACGTTACGAATGGATCAACAGATGAACCCATCGGAACTTGTTTAAATAAGTAACCGTGGCAGTTCGATTAGCTATTGCTTATACTAGAAGTTCTAAATCTGGCAACACTGTTAGTTACAGTTCTGTTATTGACTTGCGTCTTTTTGATTTTGTGGGAGAATTTGTGTATAAATACTAGTTTTTTGTTAAATTAAATTCAAAGTGTCTGTTAGTGAAATGATAATCACCATGAGTTGAAATTGAAGAATTGAGTGATGATCAAGTTTTGTGTTTGTTGATGGAGGCATGCGATCACAAAAATCAATGGATACATTATCTAACCAATTCTGACATATTTCTTTGTCTAATCACTACCAAATTTCCAATGTTTTACAAATCATTCTTTTACATATCGCCCAAGAAATTATTACTGTTTATTTATCTGTGGGAAACCAGGAGTGACCTTTTTTTGTAAGGAAAGTAAGTATAAACCAAAATGAAAAGCCTTTTAAAACATCAGCTGTTTTTTGTTATGCTGAAGTTCAATGTCATGTGTTTGTTTGTGATCAGAAAAAGGTTTTCTTTTTGAACTTCACATTAGTAACTCGTTGTATGAAGATATAAATCTATTTTGAACCTATTAAAGTAACCTTAATTTAGTAAATAAAAAAAAACCAAAAGTTACCAGTCATAAAAAAATTAAAAATTCTTTATTTGAACAAAGAAAAAATGTTCAGGAAAAAATGTTTTCTCTTCGTACGGAAATGTCTTTTGAATTGTAATTTTATTCTGCACTCTCAAAGAAAATCTGCAAAAATATTATGACATTTCTTATGGAAATTTATGCAGTTTTTATTTCCAAGACTTATGACTGAATAGTTTACATCAAATCAATAAGTGGGAATTAATTGAGTTTTTTAAGGACTCGGATTGATATAGTCTTGTGATAACATATGAAATGGTATATAATGCAAATAATAGAGTAGTCCAATAAAATTTTCTGACGGTAAATGTATCTAAAACTTATTTGATGAAATTTACCCTGACGGGAACAGTTTCAAATTTTTAAGGAAGACATGAAAGTTTATGTTAGTGAAACAAATTAGTTGCTAGGATTAATGATTGACTATGAACTATGTTGGAAACCACATGTTGACTTACTTTGTAAAAAAATAGAGAAAAATTGTTATGCGCTAAAATTTTTATCAAATCATTGTTTTCACACGAAACTGAGAATCCAGTTTGAGATCAAGAAGTTATTCTATTTTTTAATGAGGTATATTATATCGAGTTGTTGATTTTTTTCTTTTCGGGGCAGAGAACAATTACAATGCAGAATTACGCCTCATTACAAAGGTATATTATATTGAGTTGTTGATTTTTTTTTCAGGACAGATAACCAATCACAATGCAGAATTACGCCTCATTACAAGAAACACATGATCCAGATGAACAAGGGATACTCATTCATGATGCTGAACCCACAAGATCAAAGTGGAATCACATAGAAGATTTGGATTCTTTCTTCAGTCGAATGTACAAATATCATCAAAACCATGGTTTCTTTTGTATGTTTTTACAAAGAGTGTTCGAACTCAATCAATTCGTGTTTGTTATTAGCTTAACAACTTATCTTTTTTATGGGGTTAATTATGCCGTTCTTTTTGGTTATATTCCAAGTACACAAAAAGTCACCTTATCAGATGTTATCCTTCCATTGCATGAATGTGTGGAGAATTTTACTATTTGGACATGGTTCTTTCTGATAATAGCATCTTCAGTATGGATACTGAAATTTCTAGTGAGATGCTATCAGATGGTTTATTATTGGGATATCAAACAATTTTACAACACTGCCCTCAACGTTCAAGATTGTGATTTAGACAACCTAACCTGGCACGAAATTCAGACGAAAATCAAAGCTGTGCAGTTGGAGCAAGAAATGTGTATACATAAAAGAGAACTGACTGAACTTGATATATATCATCGTATTCTGAGGCAAGAAAATTACTTGGTAGCGATGGTAAACAAACGATTGTTGCCTCCAAGGGTGAACATACCTTTCGTTGGAGAAGTTGTTTACTGGACGAAAGCAATGAAATTCAATATGCAGCTGCTTTTTTTTCGGTCACCTTGGTCACCCTTTGAAAATTCTTGGCATCTAAGAGAGGATTACAAGCGGTTAAACCACAGAAAGGAACTAGCCAAAGAATTAGGCAGCCGGGTTATAATTTTGACCATAATAAATGTCATTCTTGCTCCTGTCATATTTTTCTGGCAAATTCTATACACAATATTCAGCTACGGAGAGATGATAAAGCGGGAACCAGGAAGAATGGGAGTTCGCACTTGGTCTCTGTATTCAAAAATGTACTTGAGGCATTTCAATGAGTTGGAACACGAATTACACGTACGACTTACTAGAGCCTATCGTCCAGCCTCGAAATATTTAGAAGCTTTCAATAGTCCTGTGGTCACTGAGATAGCACAACACATCGGGTTTTTGTGTGGGTCCGTCTTCACTGTCATAATAGCATTAACTATTTATGATGAAGACGTTATAAGTGTGGAGCACGTAATCACATTGATGACAGGTCTTGGAGGTATGACGGCAATTTGTCGAGCACTCATCCCAGATGAAACTACCATTTGGTGTCCTGAATATCTTCTCCAGTGTGTTGTCTTGCATACGCATTATCTACCATCCGGCTGGAGAGGTCAAGCACACACATCGACAATAAGAGAGGAGTTCCAGCAACTTTTTCAGATGCGAGTGGTAGGTCTCCTCGAAGAGCTGTTTTCGCCGCTATTAACACCATATTTCATGTATCGATGGATTTATCCTAGATCACAGGAAATAGTTGACTTTTTCCGTAACTTCACGGTCTCAGTAGTAGGAGTTGGAGACGTCTGTAGCTTTGCACAAATGGACGTAAAGAAGCACGGAAATCCAGAATGGCAAAAAGAATCGCTATTCGAAGATGAAGAAGCACCAAAGACTTCAAATCAATATACCCAGGCGGAGAATGGAAAGATCGAGCTGTCTTTGATGCACTTCACAACTACAAATCCATCATGGGTTCCTCCACCGGACGCACAGGTATTTGTACATTCTGTTCAAGAAGAATATGATCTTTCAGACGACTCCGATCCTCAGTTCTTCAAAAGTTATGCCAACCTGTTGGACACTGGATCTCTGCCAGACATGGAAGTACGATCCACTAGAACCAAATCGGTGTTTATACCAGACCCGTTACGTGGTGGTAGTACGTCAGACATACGAAAATCTGTGCGGATGGCAGAAGGACCTAGCGTGCTGGGTCCAATAAATATGCGAAGTAGTGCAATAGTTTTACATGACAGATTCTATCAGCAAAGTTTAAGACAAACTCAATCTTTCGCAGAAACAACGCCTTTATTGACTCCAAAAACCCAGTGAAGCTTTCTAATTTTGTCTGAGTTTTGTTATTGTCAAATTCATGGTTGATTCATTTTATAGAGATAATTGTGGACTTGGACTGTTTTTTGGTAACGTTGCTTGACAGATCTCTTTATGTGCAATGCCATAAATTTAAGAAAAAGTGTATGTGTGTAAATAGGCAAATAAATTGTGTTCACCCAAAGAAAAGGCATTTCAATATGAATTGTTGAGAGTAAATTATCAGTCTCATGAAGTATTTCATCTCGGGCTTGATTGAACTGTACCTCATAAATCAACTTTTTTCAAATTTGTGTGGATTATTTGCATATATCGTATTTGAGAAATTGAGGTTACAATTAAGGATATGATTTATATGTTTGCTAATATCGATTCTGTTATCAATAATCAGTGGGTAATCTGGCTTCTGTCGCAGATGTCCGTCTAAGCCCTTCCGAGATAGGCCTAAGACAAATAAGCTTCCTGCCTCCACTTGGCCATTAGAATTGCACTATTTGTCGTTGAGCTTTCTTCCAGAGTGAGCCGTGGTTGATCCTCTGGTTGTTCAGCCAACGGGGTTCAATTCTGTACCAACGATAGTTGTCTAAAGTCTGCCATGAGTAACGTCATTAAAGTAGAAGTAATCTAGTGTTTGAGTTAACCTTGTCAACGACAAGGTTAACGAGAACTCGAACAAGGATCCATAAGTGTTATGGAGTTATGGAGTGCAGTGGCAGAATTGCCACTCGACTAGAAAAACCGAGGGAGTTTTACACCAGGCAATATTTCAAAAATGTGAATTTTTCTTTTCCGTACCAGAATTATTTCGCTTGAACTATGAAACCCATATCTGAAACATCTAAAAATAAAATTGGTGTCATTAATAGCCATTTTTTCACAATGACTTCCGAGTTTCATGCTCCACAACTTTTCCGAATGAAGTATAGTATTCATGAGCGGTGCTCACTATTGTGAGGGAGTGGGGCTCATTGAGTCATGTTGTAAGTCTGATTGCACCTGTGTTTGAGAGGTTCACCTGCATGGCTATAGCTGCCACTTCCAATAAGTAACTCCAACTACCAAACAGTAGATAGATATCAGGTAACGGACAATCATGATCAATGCTTCCCCTGTGTGTTGATGCATGTAAGAACTTGCAGAGCATGTATAAAGTGGAACGCTTGGTTTCTCATCCATGCATTAAGTGATGAAACCTTTATCAATGAAGCTCTTCATCCCTTTTTACTATTTCTGAATATTCCATTAGGTCTTTCATTGAAGGACTGTTGAACTTTTGAAGATGATTTTTGATTCGGTGGAGGATAAACAAAGATTCCATCCTCGATATTCGGGGATTAAGTCCTGTGTCGGTCACATAGATGGCGTATTCGTAGGGAAACATTCCATGATTTGTTTAGGCTTGTTCTTTTCAGGACAGTTCAGCCTGGTTCAGACCTGGTAAGTCCATTAGAATATTCCATATTTTGAATACTCAATTTCGGAACATGGAAGCATAAAATGCCCTTATCATGAAATAACACAAAATAGAGATGGAATTATTGGAAATTGAATAAGCTGAAAAGATATGTAGATTTTTGCATTTATACAAAATTATATGACAAACTTCTACTTGTAGAAAGTTATCAAAATGTAAATAAATGGGAGCGTTCATACGTAATACCTATATGCTAAGCATATAGCAGCAGTAAAAAGTATACTTAATAAAATTTTTTCCTAAGGCAGTGAAATTGACAAGAACGGAAAGTTGAATGTTATAGATATATAAATATCTGTTATTTGTAGGTACAATTGTAATTCATAGTGGTACTTGTCTGTCCCCACCGCAAACAGAAAGCTAAGTTAGGTTCATAAAAGCTTGGCTAGAAAGAGTTGAGCCGCCAACGTGTAGGGCTTAGTTTCGAAATTTTGAACTCTTTTGTGCTATTTTTGAGACATCCCAGCAGAAAAGTATAGCTATAGTGACAAGTACAGTCCAAACAAATGTGACACCATTAATTTCATTAGTTATTTCATATTACCCTGATTACCCACAAAGCCCTATTATCAACAAATATTTCATTTTCTTGGAGTAGGGAGTAGGCAGTGAACATCTTAAAATGCATTTTCAAATAAACCGAGTTTTTGTGGTAAAAAATGTTCGATGACATGGAACGATCGGTAATTTCATCCAAATATTTGTTAGACTTTGATCGTTGATATTGTTCTTCCGTATGTCATCACAGCATGTTATATGCTGTTATGTCATGTTCTTTACTACCTGTGAATCAGGACACATAAATTGCTAATATATACAAATTGCATGCCCATGTAGTATTCATGGGCATGGTCGAATGTACATATTATTCCGTTGTCAATTTCAAAATGTCTTATTTCAAGCATACTAGTTGTTACGGTGCTCTTTCATTGACACGCACGTTAAAAGGTAAAACCTCGTTGATCCTTACCCCACCCATATTTCGACTTTTGAGGTCGTTCGTAGGAGATAAGCTGGTTAACGGAAAAACCGATTTTTTCAACCGTGAAACTCTTACTGTTCGTGCAGTGAAACGCAAATACGCTCTCTCACAACAAGATTTTGTTGCTAGTACAGTAAAATTTTCACTGCTCATGAAAAAGGTAATGGTGCATTTTCATTGGCAATGAAATTATTACTGCTCTTGCAGCTGAACGTAAATGCCCATGCTTACAACGAAATTTTGTTGCAAGTGAATCAAAATTTTTACTGCTCGTGAGAACGGTAAAGGCAATGAATTTCAAATTTCAAGGGCATGGTCTGAAGATAATCAATCCAACCGGTACTCACTGGGAGTGTTTGATAGCGGTTACCTGAAATACTATAAATTAGTAGTTATTTTATGAACAAATAACGAAAAAGTACAGTAGTGGGTAACCGCCCAATATTCGCCGGTAACTTGTTTGATGTCTGACTAAACTTTTTCAGAAAAATGATTGAGCGATCTGTATTGAATTGCAGATACCCCGAGGACAAGACCATTTTTACCAGTTGAAAATGTTAACATTTTCTTTTATGGCCTAAACTGCCAGGGCTGTCTACCTTAAAAACGGTAACACACATGAGCAGTGATGTATGTCAAAAACTACAGTACGAACCAATCACAGGCCTCGACTCTTGACGTAAGACACCAAAAAGGCTATTCATGGGCGTTGATTCATGGGATCATCGAAATTTGCCTTTATCAGTACGCGTTATCAGGGTTTCCAGATTAGAAAACTTTTTTAATTTTTGGTATTTTTGGGGATACTTTCAAATGGAGATTGTATCTGACGATTTTTTTTTTGTGAAATATCGAGGTTTTTAGATATGGCAGCACTTTGCTAAATTTTATTCAATAAATCTTTAGGTCAGTCGTTGAAAGTACCTCTTCACAATAAGATAGTTATATATTTTATTAATAAATCAGTCTAGTGCTATTTCATGTTGAAATACTTTCTCGATCTCGTTTGTGAAAAATAACTCATTTCAAGGATTTAAAAGATACGAATATTCACTGAAAATGAAGAATGAGTAAATTACAGGCTATTGAAAGAAATGTAAATTTTAAGGGATTTTCTTTCAAAAAGTTGTAAATTTGAAGTTTTCTAAATTTCAACAGAGAAAATCGAACTAAATGATATGGCAACTCTGCGTGTTCTGCAGCTAATCTAAGATCGCTTTGTTTTTCGTATTGGTTTGTGCATATATTTTTTGTGTTTTTTTAAAGATAGTTGAAGATATATTTCGATATGTGTACTTCTTTGATTTGGTATAATTCATTTAGCCCCCTGAATTACTCGGACACTGAAGAAATATCAAAAATGTGTGAACAAAGAACTATGTTTTTTAAATTGTGTTTGTGACATATTATTTACATTTTATATTACATAATTATTGTACAACATAAATCCTAATTCGAATGGCAGCATCTCTAAAGCAAAACCGTTCGCGACGAAGGATTGCTGCAATCACATTTCTATCGAACATATCTCTTGACGGTAGTTACAGAGACACTAAATTTGGATTTCTTCCACGAAACGGAGCTATAACGAAGGCATCCCTATATTTCACTGAGGAGACACTTGTGGAAGAATCGGATGGACACGAAACTGATAATGCTGAAGTGTCAGATCCCAATAATCCAGAGTTGAAGGCAAACTTTGAAAAGAAAAGAAAATTCAAACCAAGTGGTAGCGACTCGGAATCTGAAAGTCTAGTAACTCCTAATAAGGCAAATGCAGAATTTGCATCGAGACATAAGTCTGTGAGAGAAAGGTCAGTTATTTTCATTTTCTTGCAACTCAGGATGTGTTAGGCATATAGTATTGAATCTCCTCTATTTACGCTCATTTCATTTATATGAAATTGTTCAACATCTAGGCTTCTCAGTTAGGAAATATACCTTCAACAATGGGATACATTTTTTAAGAAATATCTCATGGAGGCGTGTCATTGTGTCTATTATTTTAGATATGATATATTTGGTTTAGGTCCCTGTAATAGAAATCAAAAAGACTTTAATGAACAATGATCTTTTAATCGTTAATAATTGGAGTAAAGAAAACTTCTTACTCCTGAAGCAATCTAAACTTCAAAATCATTATTGTCTTTACCCGCTATGATGAAATCCCTGTATATTTAACCTGTTCCTTCTGTTGTGCTTAAATTCTTCAAAGCATTAGATATATATGTACTCTTATATGAAAATGCTCCCATTTCTCAAAACTATTCTTAAAACAGGATCTGCCACTACCAGATTATTCTATTTCAGTGCATAACATTCACTCAAAATACATGGGTATCTGAATAAAATATTTTTCAGGTCTGATACTGCAGAGTCTGAGAAGAAAATTGTTCCGAAAATCTACAAGAGACCTCCTCATCAAATATCAATATGCAGTGAAAATGAAAAGCGAAACAGTAGTACAGAAAGTTTGGGATCTATAGTGTATAGAAATAAATCTGGGTCAAAATTAGATAAAAGCCCAAAGAAAATAAAGGTCATCAAACCCACTAAAGATCATAAATTTTCTGGCGAAAGAATAGTATTAGTAACTGCAAAACATATTCCTTTCATGGTGTGTTCGTTTATCCCCTACACCAAGAGTAACAAGTAAGTGTATTTATTTTATTCAGTAGTTTGAAATAACAATTCAAATGTAGTATAATTGTGAGAATTTCAAGAACGAGATTTTAATGATGAACGAGAATGTTTTCTACTTATTCACCAAACTCAAAAACCTGTTCATGCAGCTGCAGTTTCATAAGAATCTATCATTTACACTTATACATTTATTTTATTCAAACATTTTCATTTATAATTCAGCAAAGTGTTTAATATTGTTTACATTTTTACTGATATCAATACAAATATAATGATAATGTGTTGAAGTAGTTTGAGATAACTTTTGATCACCTTGACCTACTTTTAAATACAGATAGATGAACAAATTAACTTTCAATGATTTTGTTTTTGTTCTTCATCATAAAATCTTGTCCTTGTTTCAGTGATTTTGAAACATTTATTTTGATCTCAACTTCAACCAAGATGCAAGGTGATATTTTCCTGCAATGGGGAATGTTCCTCCTGATGAAAATCAAGTAGTTTTTATAAAAGAGCTATTAAACAACGCATTTCAAACTTATCATTTCAACCTTTTTCTTTAAAAAATTATTTAAATACTTAAAAAAGAGGAATGAAATAATGCATTCAACATTTAAAGGGATTCGTTTCTATTTCACCATTTGGCAACATCGGTTATAGCTAATAAAGGACAATGAATCTTACCTGTAATATTTTAACGATGCCCTGTAATTTAGAATGTGATGAAAATGCGATTGTACTGTGTGTAAAACATATATTTTTATTCGTTGTTCTAGTTCTTGTCATGTAACCTCTGCATATGTATGTATATATAGTTTATATTTTATTTTAATCATTTATATTTTATACACTTATACTTCACATCTTATACTTCATGTTTATATTGATATTTATTTATGACATTTCCAAAAATAGTCAACACTACTACTGGCTAATATACCATTATTCTTGAGAGCACAATAACTAAAGAAGCAGCTGTGAATAAAGTCAAACTGATATTGAGTGATACTGATTTTTTAAATATTTCGTGTTCACTCATCAATTACAGGTCAGATTTCAAACGAGAAGGTCAGAGGAAAAGAACTACGTCAGGTAATAGACCTCTGTCCTCCAGCCGAGATGATCTCGATCCATTTGATTCATTAGGTATTGAGAGATGTATTGATGGACAGGTAAGTTAGTTTGATTAAATTAAATAATATTCGTTACGATAAAACTCCTATAATTGAACTCAAAAAGTCAGTAATGAACATTCAATTTTTCCTTAAATGTTTTGTTTAATAAAAAAACTCAACTGAAACTTATGTTTTCTTTTTTTTTGTCAAATTATTAAAGGGATGAGTTTTCAGTTTGTTTAGGCCATATTTAATAAAAACATTTTATAAAATACATTTTGAAGTAAGTAAATATTGTTTCATTATAAATTGTGGAGTACCTCAAGGCTCTGTGTTAGGTCCTATACTGTTTCTGTTATACATTAATGATTTGACCAACATATCGATTACAGGAAGCTTTACCTTATTTGCTGACGACCCCACATTAGTGTGGCATGACAAGGACAAAAACAGATTGCATAATAAAATGTGCCAATACATGAAAAAAGTGAAGAATTGGTTTGACTCGAATCTTCTATCATTGAATACTAGCAAAACAAATATATTAGCATTCAAGTGTAATATACGTGATATCCCCCTAGACAATAACACAATAAAAATTAACTCCACTTTGAAATTTTTGGGAATTTATTTAGATGAAAATTCAAAATTCTCTCAGCATATTGCACACATCAACAAAAAATTGGCATCAGGATGTTTCGCACTGAGAAACATCTCAAAGGAACTGGGGTTTGCTGCAGCGAAAGTAGTGAACTATGCCTTAATAGACTCTCATCTAAGGTATGGTATACCCTTTTGGGGTATCTGCAGTAAACAACTTATGCAGTCGGTTTTTGTCTTGCAGAAAAGGGCTAGCAGGTACTTATGTAAAGCGAAATGGCTGGATTCATGTTAACCCCTTTTTCGAGAACATAGAATCCTTACGATTATTTCAATATTTATATTGGAAACCGTGTCAATTATACATAAAAACAGGGAGAACTATGAATCTACAGCTACAGCCACATACCACACAAGGCGGTCAAATGAACTGAGTATACCAATTCCAAAAACGTGTTTGGTTGAAAACTTGTTGATATATAATGGAATCAGGATATACAATAAACTTCCCAATGAAATGAAAGAGACAACTTTCATCATATTTAGAAAGAAATGTACAATATGTATTAAGTGATAAATCCTATTATGACCTACAAGGATATTTTGACGATGCTCTTTAATTTAGAATGTGATGAAAATGCGATTTTACTGTGTGTGAAACATATATTTTTATTTGTTGTCCTAGTTCTTGTCATGTAACCTCTGCATATGTATGTATATATAGTTTATATTTTATTTTAATCATTTATATTTTATACACATCTTATACTTCATGTTTATATTGATATTTATTTATGACATTGTGTTTGTAAACAATAAACATATTATCAATCAATCAATCAGTATGTCATAGAGGTATTGTTTGAGATGAAAATAAAATACCTGTTGAGCAAACAGGTTGATATTTACTGTGTTCTTATCTATTACCACTTACAATTTGTCTCAAACATCAGCTCCTTGATATTTTACACTAGATCTTACAAAACTACAGAGTGACCTTTCTTTTGTAACTTATAATTATTATAAAAAAAAATACAGATGAAATGCCTATACACTATTGAACTCTGCTTAGATTAAGCATTTCATGGCTAATCTAACCTGAAACCTAACCTAATGTTTGACGTTACTAGGCTTATTTCAAGCTTGAAAATATTCTCCTTGCCTATATTAAGTTTCTTGACTTTCTTTCAATTTAAACTATTCATAATCTAATTATAGTTTACCTATCATTGAAATCTCAAAACTCAAACTTGTAGGAAAATTCTTATGGCTACCTGTTGGAACCGTCAAAAAATGTAAAGGATATTTCAAAGAGAAATACCATCGATGATCCTACAGATAATACCCACGATCCTTCCAAAAGGAATATGCGTCATGTTGTTGCCAGGTATCATTTTTTTTTCTGTTTCAATTTACACCCTAGGAGTTTTACCACGTGTGGAAATATAGGAAGATTGGAATAATTTCTGTTGTTCATATTTCCTATATTCAACTGTTGTGGTCGTTCATCAGGACTTTGGAACAAGCCTTTCAAACAAAGGAAAAACAATCAAATGAAGTGAAAAAGAAACAGTTTGATCATTCAATCAGATATGAACCATTAAGTTTTTCTTGTATGCATTTAACAAAGTAACTAAAATTCTGAGTTGTTGAACTTCTCCAATAGTGATTTTTACATGAGTAATGTAAAATGATATCAATGCGTATTTTAGGTTTTCAGCTAGTTTATATTATTTCATTTATTTCACTGTTGTTCTTGTGTACATTTCTATATTGATATATTGTATATTTATTATTGTAATAAATATTGAACACTCGAAGAATAAACAAAAAAATACATGGAATATTATCGATGAATTGAGAGGAAAGCATATGGCTGAGTCAAAAAAGCCAACTCTCAACTCAGACGAATTGAACTGATTTTATTGTTCTGTGGCAACTAAACTGGCTGAAAAAATCATTATGAAAAGCAAGATATGTTCCCATCATGTATGAAAATTGATACAATCATTCCTCTACATAAAGGAGGCGATCTTGAAAACCCAGCTAATTTTAGGCCAATTGCTTTGCTACCTGTCTTGTCTAAAGTTATAGAAAAACTGGTAAAAAAGTTAGTATTATCCTTCCTCGAGAAAAACAAAATAATAAATTTATTCCAGTTTGGCTTTCAGTCTTCAAAAGGTACACAAGACGCCATATTTTCACTTCTGGAAAACCTGTACACCAATCTTAATTACAGAGAATCTGCGGCGGCCATGTTTTGTGACCTAGCCAATCGGCATTACTTTGGTTTGAGACGTGTCTGAAAATTGCCACAATCATTCCTCTACACTCTACATAAAGGAGGCGATCTTGACAACCCAGCTAATTTTAGGCCAATTGCTTTGCTACCCGTCTTGCCTGAAGTTATAGAAAAACTGGTAAAAAAACGAGTAATATCCTTCCTCGAGAAAAACAATGTGATAAATTTATTCCAATTTGGCTTTCAGTCTTCAAAAGGTACACAAGACGCTATATTCTCACTCCTGGAAAACCTATACACCAATCTTAATGAAAGAGAATCTGCGGCGGCCATGTTTTGTGAACTAACCAAAGCCTTCGATTGTGTAGACCACATGCTACTTCTAAGCAAGCATTATTTTGGTTTGAGACGTACCTTTTTCATCGGCGGCAGAATGTTCTATAAGATGGAATTTCATCAGAGGAATGTTTCATTGGCAGTTGAGTTCCACAAGGTTCCGTTTTGGGACCGGTGTTGTTTCTCATTTATGTCGATGACTTGGTCCATGTTGACATAAGTGGTAAATTCACATGTTTTGCTGATGACACCACTTGGCATAGCAATACGGTCTCAAATTTACTTGATCAAATCATCGTCGACATAAAATTATGGCCTTGGTATGTCTTTTTATTTTTGGGAAATAGTGTGTCTTATCCACATCAGTCTTACTTCATTTCTCTTCCCACACTTACTCTATCCCTTACACAAAATTCTATTATTTTCAATAGCAAGAAGTTATTTAATCACCTTCCCATTGAATTAAGGCGAATATATAATTGAAAGAAATTCAGGCTCTATTGAGTAATTGGAATGTAGATTTTTGTACACAAGTTATTGAAATCAACACAAAATGGCGATCAATGTTCATTACGTAGCATTATATATTTTCATTTATTCAATATTCATGTACTTATATTTGTATCTGTCCTGTTCTGTCCATATACTCTGCTCTTGTCTCTAAGCAATATTTCATAGGCTTTATTTGTTAATTTAATGTCCCATATACACGTTTTACTTTACTAGACTTTGCCAATAAGATGTTCAGAAAGCATATTTTGATTTGATTTTATTGTAATGGTTATGATTTTCAATTGAAAGAGTAAACGTCTATCCATCTATAAAAAAGAACATTTTTGGATGTGAATTCAAACAATTGTTAAAAGACAGTCTTGTTCCATGTCCCAGCCCTTGTCACGCCATGTCTTAGTTTGCTAAAGTTGCTTGTGATTTTATGTTTGTTTGATTTGCAGGACAAAAGAGTTAACTTGCCAACCAGAATTCAATTGGTAATTAAATAGTTCACCAAGTAACAGTAATGCTCAAAATATTGATGTAATTTATGTATCTGCTGATATTTTAAGCGTGGAATCTGTTTCAATTTCCTTCGATCATAATTTGGCTAGTCGTTATTGCTTCAGTAAGAATCACATAAATTACATCAATATTGAATATTTGCTTTTGTAGATAGCCTAACTATTTCATACCATGTCACTAACACTAATCTGGTATATTTAGAATTTGTAGACATATTGGAAAGATTATATTTGGTTGTTGAATATTAAAAAAATGAAAGATAGAGTTTGGAATCTCTGGTCTAAAAAGATACTATTAAAAACACTTTTCCTAAACCAGAACAAAAATTCTGTCTCTCGACGAGTTTGTATCACTGGTCATGTCCTGATGATGCTTAGTTATTAGTCATCTTATTGGTCATCTCTTATGATGCTAACTTGGTTAGCGAAACACGTGTTGAGAGACAGTAGACTAAAAGAATGTTTTAACTTCTCTCTAGACGGGAACGACTCTATACTCTTTCATTTAATTTTTATTAGCAACCCACTATGTCTTTCGTCGAAACAAATTGATGCGAAAGAATATTAATTTTCTATCGCTCTATTCAATTTTGAGGTCCAGACATGTATCTTTGGCATATTCAGTTTCAGAAAAATCAGATTTTTTTGTTTGATAACAATCGAACAAAAAACCTAATTCTCTCTTTCGATTTGTTTTCAGTAAGTGATGCATCAAAACATATTTCAAGCTCTGTTGGTCATTTGTTTCCATGTGTTTGTATATAGTTATTTTCAATATTTATCTAGCCATGACGAAATTCTTCGTACTGACTAAAATTTCATACAGATAAAAACTACTTTTCAAACATAGAAACTGTAAAAATATTTCATCCCAAAATACTGATACCATAACCTTGCCAGCCGACTGTTGAGTTTTTGCATGCTTTGGAGTCAGTTAATCACATGCAAGCCACTCAGATGACAATCTTTTTGATTCTGGTGTGAAATGCACTGCGTGTATCTTCTTCGGTACTCATTTCATCTCGTTTAAACTTAGCAAGCCACTTCTCAACGGTTGATTTTGCTGGTAGAAATTGCGAATAATGTTTATCAAGCCAAACCTTGGCTTCAACAGTATTTTTTTTTGCCAAAAAGCATTGTTTTATTAACACACGAAATTCCTTTTTATCCATTTTTTTCAAACTAACAAAAGTTGCTTCACTCAGAATGTTCTATCCCACAAACTAATAGTCTGGCAGCTGTGAAATTTGTACACGTGTCTTTTGAAGGTTAGGGTAAACTGAAAATCATATGGATTTAATAATAGTCACGCCATCTGTGTGTTAGCCTACGAAATTTTCAGTCCATCTAGTATAAACACTTATATAAAATGAAAATGGCTTATTAGCAACCCTTCTTCTAATCTGCAGTGTCAGTTGCAAAATTAGTTAAAAACAATTCCACTCAATACCAAAGAATTTCGAATAAGAAAAAACTGAAAACTTTTTTTTAACTCAGATCATTGGAATAATCTTTGCTTGAAACTTGTTTCGAATCATTTGACACAAGTATTTTTTCTGGTGATCGTCTGGCAACTACAATACTCGCTTACAGTTTTAATATGTGCAACTTTGAATTTCAGGTGTTTTTCTTACGACCATGGTGCACATAGGAGCACATCTCATAATGTTCCGAACTCTTTGCCATCAGACACCAAGGATGACAATGTAGTGAAAAATTATATTTATCACCCAGATCTCCTCGATGATCCGGAGCTTATAGTTGGGAAGCACAGAACGCTATTGACGTTTACTTCTTACATGACATCAGTTATTGACTATGTGAAACCCTCGGATCTCAAAAGGGAGATCAATGAAAAATTCAGGGCCAAGTTTCCACATATTCAGTTGACCCTCAGTAAACTGAGAAGGTATGATTTTGTACAATATAGTAAAATTAGGAGATTTTTATTTTCGTTAATCGAAACGACCAACTTATTTTGTTCAATATACATTCAAAACACAATATAACACACTATTAGTATAAAATGATTTATTTACGTAAGTACAGACTCGAAACTTATCTAAAGCAGTTTAAAATGTGAAGCAGAGCAGGACAATAAATATAAATGAATGTTAACAGATTAAACAACAGATGAGTTCTTATGAAAGGGAATCGTTAATGATTGGATCAGAATAATATCTAGATCATCAGATAAAACCCTTTTTTGTATTTACATCTTTTCATTTAGTAACCGATTTGAGATTTATTGTGATAGTTGATAGCCCTAGCCCCCATGTTCCATAGTTTTACGGTGTATTCAGCAGTTTTTCACAGTGTAGTGTGTCACAGGTCTTTAAGTAGTCAAAGTACAAATCATTTTCTTATATCAGTGAACTCATAAAAATCATTATTTAAAACAGGTAGAAAATACCAAATGACGAATTATAGACCAATTTTGGTTTTACCAGTTTTATATAAAATTGAGAATTCTGCACATTCTAGAATGTTTGAATATCTTAGAAAGTCAAAATTATTATATGACAAATAGTGACACACAGTCCACTGTATTGAGTTCATAACCCAATTCAAGCTAGATCTATATTGAACAAAAAATGTAGAGTTCTTTCATTAGTATTAGGAAATAAATGTTTTGAAATATTAATCTCTTTTCAACTACCTACACAGTAGGGTGAGGTAAACGTCTATCGAAAAACAACTATTTCCCCGGCTAATACCACGCTGGATGTTGAATTATATCCGACAAACATTTATGCAGGATTCCTCACAGATGCTAGTCTCGCAGATGTTTCTAGTTCATCCAGCAGCAGAACCATGCTCAACTCACTCAAGTATATCACCTGCAGACCGCGGTATCGAGATATTACCTCTCGTCAGTACAGGAAAGATCCTACCCAGACAACAAAGTGTCTGGGACTTGATTAATTTCAACAGAGCTCCGCTACATATATGAAACCTTTGTCTGAGAGAAAGATTGTTAACTAGTAACAACTCCATCTCGTGAACAAAGCCCTAAGAGAGGAAGAAACATCCCATATACCAAAACTCTAACAGAAATCAGAAGTGAAAACTATCGAGGAGAGATACATACTTATAAGAAAATAAATATTACGAAATGAATTTAGAAATATTGATCCTTCCCAACTACCTACACAGTAGGGTGTGGTAAACGTATCCAGCGTGGTATTAGCCGGGGAAGTAGTTGGTTTTCAACAGACGTTTACCACACCCTACTGTGTAGGTATTTGGGAGAGATTATTATTTTTGATTTCTTTCATTAGACCCAAAGAAAGCATTTGATACTGTGGGTCATAAAATTCTTCTGAAATTATTATGTATTACACTATAGGTATCCGAAGTTTAGTTATAACCGGTTTTTAAATTATTTATTGAATAGGAAGCAATATGTCTATATGGGCAACATAGTTCCAAAAAAATGTAATATATGGGGTACCGCAAGAATCAATCCTTGGACCGGTTTTGTTTCTAATATATTTCGAATCTTTGTCTACAGTAAATTCATTTGATGAATTACAGATGTTTGCTGATGACACCACTTTAATTTACAATAGAAATAGTGCACAAGAAATTAAAATTTGTATTTTAGAAGACCTTGAGCAACTAATTTTCCTTTATTTTCAGTATTTCAATATCATTTATTATTTGTAATGACGTGAATAAATAAAATATGGTTCAGTTTTCATTTCTGTTTATTTTTACTTGTGAAAGGTAGAGGGAATTATAAAATCTATAATGTCCCAAGGGAGTTATGACCCTCTTTATTGATAGCGTAACTATGACGATATAAGCTTATAATATCCCGGTCAGAAATAAAAATCTTAACTGACTGAGGGTGTTAACATTTACTATTCAATTGTCATCTTAATATGTAACTTAATATCGTTATATCAAAATAACAGTATGGGAATACAAAAGAATTGTGACAAACATTTGTACCTACATTACCTGGTGATTTTTTTTGTTGCATTGAGATCAAGAATGCCAACATTGTTTGCTACTACATTTTCTTATATATCCGTTTTTTAAAATTAGGTTTATGTTGAATCGAATCCTATAATAAAAATGGCAGTGAGAATATGTACAATGCCACGATTCCAAATTATCAAGTTACTTCACTAACACTTTCCTCAATACAGACAGTGATGCACCTGTTCAGAATCCGACGTTTTGAAAAATGGATTAATTGATTTGATGAAACAAGTAAAATAAAAAATTTACAAAGAAAAATGAGAAGATTTTATCTATATTAGAGTTAAAATGCCCTCAAAAGGACTAACGAATACGTATACATTTCAGATTGAGATATTGGCAGAACTGGAGATTACTCATTTGACATTTCACATTACTATGAGAGGGGTTGGGTGGGTAGGTAGGAGATGATCGAATAAGAATGAACCCGATCCCGATCAAAAAAAGCTGTTTCTGTACAAAAGTTAGGCACGTGCGGTGTGTTGTTTTATTGATATTTTAAGTTGTTATGTATTTTTAAGTGATAAAAGTGATATATAAATATGGTACAGGTGTGTATTTATGGTTTTGAATTGAAATAGTGTACTTAAAAACGATGGAAAGTCATTATTTACATATTAAAAACTACCCTCATTTTTTTCTATCATTGTTTGAGAGTAAAAGATGGCGAGCAAATTTTTATGCAATTTGAACGGTTTTAAATTTTATTTCAAAACTTTTTTAAACTAATTCATTCAGCACTGTTTTATGTGGAAAATCTAATTATTTATAGTCTATAATAAAAATGAACCAAAAACTTTGATATACAGCTATATTTAGGATGTGTATATTTTATATATGTTTTCATAATTGTCTGGGGACTATTGCCGTTTTATAGTATTTATTGCAAATGATCACAACATGCTCTTTGTCAGACAGAAAAGGTTGTTGGTTAATATGGGTAATGAGTATATATTTCACAGAGAATTTTACTTTTAAAAACTACTAAAAACACTATGTGATAGCTATTGATACATCAATATTCTTTGCAATAAAAATGCACTGTAAAAGTACTTGCAAATCCTTTTTTGAAGTATTGGTAATTGATAGAGTTCAAGTACTTTTTCAAACGGAATGTTTGTACTTGTACTTGAGTCAATCAATTAGACCACCCTATTAGTTGTAGACCAATGCTTCTTCTAGAGAAGCCTTCAGTTACTTGTTTTCGAATCTACTCTTCTCAATCGCAGGGGGATGAGAGGAGCACTGGTGCGGGCTTATGGGAGGGTTGATTTTGTTAATTGACTTTGTTGTTATGTTGTATGACCACATACTTGACTCTGATGTCAAGGCACTGAATACTTGTTGAAATCTTGAACGATAACCCTCAAATTTTCTATTTTTTCAGGCTCCAGATATCAATATGAAACATAAAGACCTACCTCAAGCTTTAATGTTATTGAGCGAAATGAATTTGAGTGCACAGCATGTGGCAAATTTAGTGGATAGTATGATTCAAAGAGTGAGAAAAGGTGAATTGACCACCGATCAAGGACTCAGTTTTTTGGAAATGAAGTACAACATGCTGTTGAGCTATCTCATCAATTTGACTTACGTAGTGCTTAGAAAGTGTTCTGGTGAAAAAATAGAGGGGGATCCCTGCATAGACAGATTAATAGAAATAAGAACTGTTTTGGAGAAAATTAAGCCTATCGATAATAAACTCAAGTATCAAATTGATAAGTTAGTAAAAACAGCAGTGAGTGGAACAAATGCAGATGATCCTACCAAATATAAAGCCAACCCTGAAAATTTAATGGGAAACTTGGAAGGAGAGGAAGACAGTGCCGATAGTGGAGACGAAAATGTGAAAGAGGAAGGCAGCAAACGTGGAGTTTATGTGCCCCCAAAATTGTCAGCAGTACATTATACTGGTAGGTGATAGATTAGGTTGAGTTAGATTAGATGACAAAAGATAAGAGACAAAAAGCACATATAGTACTCAACATTTGAAAAATTTTTTACAAAATATCCAAGTTTCAAAATTTCCTGATTATTGATTTTAATTATAGTTTCAATGTGCCGACTATTACTAATTTTATTCTGGAAATTATCATATTCAGCATCGTTTTCAGTGACATTGAACCAATTTCATAATTTGAAAGATTGGACGTACATTTACATCTGACTATTCTAGGTGACGAGTCAAATCAAGATCGAGTGAAAAGATTACAAGAGAAGTCCAAAAGGCACGCTTTGTCGGCTTCCATTATGCAGGACCTTCGAGAAGAATACCTCGATACACCCACTGAGAAATCTGAAGGAGGTCGAGCCCAAAAAGTTTTGTCCAAACATCAACAAGAGAAACAGGAATACGAAGAGGAATATATGACACGTTTGCCGGTAACCAAAATTGAAAAACAAAAACACCGTCACTTGACCACTATTGGGTCAGTGGGTGACGAAATTATCAACTTTGGAAGTAGCCAGTCTTCCAGTGGTAAGCGGAAAAGGAAGTATTCCTCCAAGTCGAAGGGAAAGAGTTTCAAACGTAGGAAGTTTCATTGATAATTGTTGATTTTTTTATGAGTAACAAAACTATTTATGTGCAAAAAGTCATTAAGTAATAAACCTCTACGGCTTAAATAACGTAAGTATTTCTCGGGATGTTTGTAAAATTTTCTCGTGGCAAAGTCAAAAGGTGTGACATGTCGCTTTGCACATATATATTTTTGCCTGAAAATGAAGAGCTTGAAACCCCTGTTGCCTATGGTGACCTTACGACGAGAGTATTAAAAATTGGTGAAAAAAATTCAAAATTCTACAGATTTTCCATAGAGTTAGTAACATTGTTTTCGTCTTGAGTTGATTGTATGCTTGCATTTTCGGCATGAACTTTCGATGTTTCTTGTTTTTATTGTTTTTTTTTTAATTACTCTTAAATGTCAATAATTATAGACTGAAAATATTTTTACATAATGTTATTGAACTGTTGCTACTAATATTCATTGATTGTTTCATTTATCAACTGAAGTTTTGTAATTTAATAACTCGTTAAATAGGGAATTATTACTATAAATCGTTCCCAAATAAATACAAATGAATCATCCAAATGTAAAGACACAAAATATGTAAGGATAAATCTATTGAGAACACTTGCCCAACATCAGAACAAAAATTACAGTCTCTCGAAGCGCGTTTTGGTAACCAAGTAAGCTTCCTCAGGAATCATAATGATTTTCAGTATTGTGACACCACGAAGATGCTATTGTATAGCGAAACACATGTCGCTGTTTTGTCAACTTTTAATTGGAAATCTCACGGTTTTCAATAGAACCTAAAACATTTTCAAGTAAAAAATTTTCTTTGTGAAACAAAGGATCAGTCATTGAACTGTACAAACATAAAAACATATACTCAAAGAAAAGGCCATGTATTTCCCCAGATTGTAAAGGCTGTCAAATGACGTCACTGATTAGTGTACCATGAATCTGTGGAAGGTTATTATTGGTAAAAATAGGAACAATTAACAAGTAACGTGATGCTATTATTGTCTAAATAAAACATTATTTCCCATATTCATTTTCTATAAATGCCAACAAATTCTCCCTATTTTGAGCCAAACCATACTATTATATACTCAAAGAAAAGGCCATGTACTTCACCAGATTGTAAAGGCTGTCAAATGACGTCACTGATTAGTATACCATGAATCTGTTGAAGATTATTATTGGTAAAAATAGGAACAGTCAACAAGTAACGTGATGCTATTATTGTCAAAATAAAACATTATTTCCCATATTCATTTTCTATAAATGCCAACAAATTCTCCCTATTTTGAGCCAAACCATACTATTATCTACAAAGACAAATTACAAACAGTGCTGATAAGTTCCGATTCAAACTTTGTTTTCATTTATATAACCCTAATAGCTCTGGTTTCGATGTAATTAATGGCATTTATCCAATGACAAAAGGAACAGTTCAATAAAAGCTAGTGAAAAGAAGCAACGTGCGTCTATACCTGTACGCAATATCCAGTTTCTTGTTTAAATTGAAAGGGGTATATTTTAGGTTTTGGTTTCTCCATCTTTAAACAAAAATGTGGAAATTTTCCAAAGAAAGGAAGAATGCAATTAATAAACTCTTGTTTGAAAAAGGTTGACAATGTTTCATGGCGAATGTCATTAGTTCAGACTTCCATTGTCTAATATGATTCAAAATCTATGAAAGAATAAATAAAGTTATAATGAATAGCTAAAATATCAATTATATTAAGCAATTAAAGGTGAAATGAAAATACAATAAAAAGAATAAAATAATCGGTCGGTAGCCAGGCGGTTCGGCGTGGGTGCTTTGTTCACTCACTCGAATTGACTGCCGTGTTAGTCGGTGGTTCAAGCCCTAGTCTGCACGTTCGATTTTACTTGCTATCGTCCAACCCGCTTTAGGAATCACACGTTAAAAGGTAAGACCTCGTTAATCTTTGGCTCGCACAAGTGTAGACTTCTGAGGGTTGTCGTTCGCAGGGGTGCGACAGCTGGTTAACGGAAAAACAGATTTTAAACAGACAGATCAAGATACAAAGTAAGACACTACAGAATAAAAAAGAGAAAAGAATGAAGAATAAAACTGGAAATAATGAAAAATTAAAAAAGGATTTCAAACCAAGTTACTTAACGACATTTCGCTTGTTAATATCTAAAATCGTCTTCGGGTGATGTCTTATTACAAAGATAAGTAATTTATTTATGTATATACACGGGCAAGCCCAATTCTGATGGTAGTACAGTGCTATATAGTATTTGATGCAATACAGTGGATCAAAAGTAAATTATAAGAATAATACAATTTCAAAGTAAGATAACAAATGAATTATTTAAGAAAAATTTGATTCATGTACTTGAAAACATTTCTTAGTTCATTATTCATTTGATCAGCTAGTGATTCTATATTATCTCCTGAAATTGATAACAAAGTGTCGTCTGGATGGTATCTATATCATTCAGGTAGATTAAAAGTAATATAGGTTCCAAAACACTCCCCTGAGGTACCCCGAAAACGATATCGCGAGATGATGACACTGAATCCTTTATTTTGGTTAACTGTTAGCGTTGTGTTAAATAATCAGTCAGCCATAACAAGAAAGTTTTCCTGATACCAATACATTGCAGTTTATTTAGTAATAAGTGGCGATCAATTGTCTCAAAAGCTCTTTTAAGATCTAAGAATACGGCTATAATATAATGTCCCTTATCTATTAACTATGAATATGAACAAATTGAATTTTTACAGGCAAGTAACGCTAGACACAATCCAATAACACAAGCACAGAGTATTAGATGGCTAGGTGAAGAATATGGTTTTTAAAGAGGGAAACTGATATATTAAAGAATTGAAGGGTATTTAAAGAGTTAGCCAATGAAAGAGTTCTGGGAACGAAGCTATTGTATGAATAATTGAATCTGTGAAAAGAAACGTAAAAAGTTTGCACCTGTCTAGTTGAACGACTGTAAATCATGCAAATAGGTTACTTTCAGACATGAGTAGGTGAGCCAAATTGTGACCAGTCTCAAAGTTTCAAACAGTATTCCTCAAATGATGAAAAAATGTGTGTGAGGGTTGTTCATTTGTATTTTTTGTGAACGAATTTATAGACGTCAGAAATGTTTTGATGAACAATTGTATGATCGAATCGTGAAATTAAGTGCCGCTTGACAAAACTACATTCCAATTCTCAAATATGTGGATGAAATTTCCTTAGTAGTTTCGAATGGAAAGTGAATTTAAAAAATGCAATAGAATTATCAATCAGTAACAGAATATTCGAAGAGATTCAATTGTGCTCGACATTCATGGCAACAGTAAGCAAATCATATAAATATAAGTTTCTCCGTTTTTATCACGTTGACTTGTTCATCAAATTTAAATGGGGTGAAATTCCATTCGGGAAACACCATTACATCACAGCACACTGAACAACATTGTTGGCGAAATGTTGGGTGTGTTTTTTTTTTCTAGAAAATATTAAGAACAAGAATTTCTCACATATAGTCAGTGGGCATACTTGAAGACTGGCTATAAATCAAATCATCTAAAAGAACAATTCATTTAGGCCAGTTTCAACTCCCTACACTGTAGGTTAATGGACTGACACCTATGCGAAAACAACTACTTCCCTGGCTAAAACCACGTGGGATTATATGCGACAGGTGTCAGTGCAGGATTCTTCGCTGAAGTTATTCCTGCATATGCTGTTGATGATAGAACTGCTGCAGAACGGTTTCGGGCTGTTTGGCCACTCATCAGTGCAAGGTAGTGTCTGTCATCAACATAAAGTCGATGATTTCCAATAATTGAAAATCGAATTCCTTCAGAGTATCATTCCTCGAACTAGGCTGAAGCTAACAACAAATAACAGGTTTGTCATCGCCCCATCTGCCTGTGAACGAGGTAACCAAGCGCATATCCGAAATTTGCACAGTTCCTCGTATGAGGAAAGAAAACTTCACATATAGTCAGTGGGCATATTTGAAGACTGGCTATAAATCAAATCATCTAAGGGACTGGCCTGAAGGAATTGTTCTTTTAGATGATTTAAGAACAAGGCCTATTAGGAAACAAAATGATATGTATCTCTCTTCTTTCTGTTCATTGCAGTCCTCATATTTCAAAAAGAATCTCGGGAGTTCCCATTCTTGGAAAATGTGAACTCCACTTCAATAGTGAGTATAGGATGGTAATAAAAATGAAAATATTTGACAATTAATGACTTTTAGGTTTCAGACCCGATTGAAAATTTGATGAAAATTATTTTAACAAGTTGCCAAAGTGAAATAATGTTTTTTTTTTCAATTCAGTGTAATGGTACGAGGAATATAGAGAGTTTTCTTAGGAGTATACAAATTCGTTGATATTTTTGCACCAAACATATTGTTACAGTAATGTTTTTTATTGTTACCAAATAAGAACAAAATGCCTTGCAAGCATCTCAATTGTCACGATTCAGTTGTTTTTCATAATTTATCATCCAAGTTGTATTTTTTATGAATTTTTCTTGAACTGCTTTTTTCCATTTTTGGTTTACAAATTTGGTGAGAAGATATAACGACAGCTCATTGAATCAAGAAAGCGTATAGAATTTTCTGTTCTTTTTGTCAACTTTGGCATAGCCCTATAAAATGCTGTGTATGCATGTATGAAAATATTTCAACACGAACAAGTGTTCAGTTCTAGAGTTTGATGAAAACCTAAGCAGGAAAACCCGTTTTCAGATAATTGTACATCAAAATTACATATTTAGACATGAGCAAGAAAATTCATTTTGGAGTGATAATTGGATTAACGTTTTATAGATTAGATTAGATTGTTGGGGAGCTGGCCCATGGCCTGATTCACTGAGACCTTTTCAGATCTATTCTGATGCTCCTTGGTTGTTACGAGCTCATTGTCTAGCTTGATCTCTTCGATGAGACTCCATAGCCTTGACCTTTTGCCTGTTTATTTCCCCTATACAGTGTTCGATTGCCGCTACTTCTGCCTGGAACGCAGTTGCATTATGTCCGAAGCTAAGTGCGATTCTCGTCTTTGCTCTGCCTTCGTATATACCGGCTCCCACTCCTTCTTGGGCCTTTGAGCCATCTGTACACCAAGTTTCTTCCGCTTTTAGCAGAGGGCCGTTTTGCCAGTCCTCTCTACTTGGTATGATGTACTGCGGAACTGTGTTATCAACGTTTTATAGAGACATGTCAAAGGTTGTCCACTAGGAATAAACATATACATATATGTTGATAAAGTGTTGAGAAAACTTCGCAACTAATTGTATGTGTAATTTTTGGCTTTCATATGAACTGTTATTGAAGATTTTAATATTTTTTTTCTCATTTATTGGTATTAAAATGAATTAGTTGTATTGCACCAAGTGAGACAAATGAAGTTGTTCAAAATAATTTCACTAGTAACGAAATCAAAAGACATTTAATTTTTGAAAGTAGTCAAACTTTGTGAGGCACAATTTATGAAAATGAGTTACTTATGTGTTTGGTTTTAACTGTGTATCAGTAGTTGTCATTTTTGTTTGAACTATTGTTGAATTTTTCCTGTTTTTCAACTTTGACATCTCAGTTTTTTAACCTTTACTGTTTTTGTAGTTTTTATTTTAGAATATGATTTTGGGAAGAAATCAGGAAGGTTTATTCATACCTTTCATTTCATTTGTAGTGACGTTTTGGATTAGATATATAAAAAAGGGTATTCAGTAGCTGTGTTCATCGGTGTCCATTTGTAAATTTATTATGCTACTGAAAATTTAGGTAGGATAGTGGTGTCGACAGCAAAACATGTGAATTTACCACTTATGTCAACATGGACTAAGTCATTGGCATAAATGAGAAACATCACCGGTCCCAAAACGGAACCTTGTGGGACCCCGCTGCCAATAAAACGTTCCTCTGATGAAACTACATAAAAATCTTGAATGCAACATGTTTCATGAATTGTTGCTGTGAGTTTTTCAAATTTATGTACGATACAGTCTGATGCATATATATTGGATAGTCTAAACTTGACGAAGTAATAGAAACAATAAGACTTCATTTGAAGGATAGTTAACAACCTGCAAACACATGTAATATTCATTTATATTTGCTTGAGTACCATGTGAAAGTATTTGATTGATTAAAAATCCATATACCCAATAGATTATCTGTATTACCATATTACAAATATTTTTTTATATCGACACATTTACTACCCTCCTGAGTGTAATCCAACACTTCATTGGTATAATTTCCAGTACAAGGATTATAGGATAGGAATCTGGAGGATTTGTTGGTTTGTAACCTTCTGGTTTGGAGGTTATAATCGTCGTCCATGAACTTGCATGAGCCATTGCTCTTCAAACGTCTGTTTAAAAGGTGAGGTATTTTTGGCATGGCTAACTGGAAATGAATTGAAATTTAGAATCTGATTTGCAAGAAATATTTGAAAAATTTCATAATTTTACTCGGCTGAAAATAATTCTGAACAAAACATTGAAGAATCAAATCGACTTCGTATGTTCTGAGTGCAAAATATCCATTTTCAGTAAAAAAATAGACACATAAAACAAAGATATATGTCAGGCAAAACCCTTGTAATACATATTAGAAAATTCTAAGCGAATCAATAAATGTAATAAAAGGCAAACTGAAAAGTGACCAATTATACAAACCACTTAAGAAAACAATTAGACCGTAACTTGTCACATTTATAAATTTTGTATGCCCACGAACTATAGAAATAAATTTTTTTTCTGAACATAAATCAGTGGTAAAATTTAACTTATATATCTACGTACTTGGATTTTTTAGATATGCTCAACGTTTCGGAAAGTAATCCTTTTCCGTTCTTGAAACTTGAAAATTGTCGGTGAAAAACGCCTTGACAAATCCATAATTCAAAAATACAAATTACTGACTAATTAGAGCCTAATTAGTCAGAGTTAGTCTCTTCGGAGTCTAATTAGCCATTAACAGACTAATTAGACTCTTAGAGCCTTGACAAACCCATAAATCTAATTAGACTATTCAGTCTAAATAGACTTATGGTCAGTCTAATTAGACTCTTCAGCCAGTAACAGACTAATTAAATCCTGTAAAGTCTTATTATTCTGAAGATTAATTAGTCAGTTGATTTAGCTGTATTTCTTAGATTGCAGAAGATTAAAAAAACCCATAAAAACTGCGAGAAATATTTCACTCTTCCACAAAGGATATAATTCTTTCAAAGAATAATGATATTCATTATCCTCTTCTCTATTCTCTTCGGAGTCTGATTAGTTGGACTCTCCGGAGTCTAATTAGCCAGTTACCGACTAATTAGACTCTGAAGAGCCTTGACAAACCCGTGAGTCTAATTATACTCTTTAATATAATTGGACTCTTCAGCCACTGACATACTAATTGGACTCTGAAATGTCTAATATTAGTCTGAAGCTTTATTAGTCACTTGTTTGTGGTTGTTTTTTGGTTGTTAGAATAAATATTTATTGAGATATGGAGCGACAAAAACACATGCCATTAAAACGGACAAAACTTTTCAAAGTACCTTATACTTGATAATTTGTATGGAGTATTTCGTTATGAAAAATTATTCAATTACCCTTTTCAATTTATAAGGATATGGCGGCTGATAGCTGTGTTGCATTGTTGTTGAAAATTTTTCTGTCTCCGTTGAACGGCATATAGGCTGTACGTCATTACAAGTTTCCCTGCAAAGTCAATCTGATGAGAAACACTTTTGGGGTCTAGTTATTAATGGCCTTCATGAAAGAAATCCTCATCAATAAAACCTGAATAGAAAATATACTCACTTCATTGACGTATAAATATTTACTAAAGGGGGGTTCGGATTCATTTCCAAATCTGGTCGTTTCGTTAGCACTTCTCTCAACATATCTCCGGTGGTGGTACTCCATTGAACATCGTAATTTGTACCAAAATGTTTATAGTGAGAGCAGTGCAAATTGATGCCTTCTGGACAATAGGGATTATTATCAATAGGCTGTGAAATCTGATCGTTTTCCCAATCTGATACTTTCACAATAGGGGAGTAAACTCTTTTGCAATGCAGTGTAGTTTTTCTACGATAGTCCAATGGCCTGAAAACTTGTGCCTCCAACTGAAACAGATAAAAAGTTCAACTGAATGTCATGATGGTATTTAAGAATTTACAATGAAAGGAGGCATTTTGAAACTTCGCAATTATTTTATTTAGTTAACTTTCAATTTCAAACATCCGCCAAAAACTTTCTTGCTGTCACATATGTAGGTGCGTTCTGAATTTGCTCTCCATTTACTCTGATTTTCTGGAGTAAATTAACGAGATTGTCTCAGAAGCGTCTAGAGACAACGATATGGTCTCAAGAGTACTTTCTCATTATTACTCGACATAGCGCATATTATTACATTACAGTGCCCTATTATTGACATCACAGATTGAATGCTATGAAATAATCGTGTTCAGTGGTAAATTGGCGCAGTAGTATGTTATATTCTCAGTATTAATCAGACAACAATGCATTTAAATAAACTACTTTAATGTTGTAAAACAAGATCCATCATCTTGATACCACTACTAGTGTGTTGACAACCTGTGAGATCGATCCCAACCTCAACCAGATATTTTTCTTGAGTTGAAGTCCAATCAAATACCTCTGCTGGTGAGGTATATTGATCATATTCGTGTTGTATTATGACGTTCTCGGGTTCAAATAATCTGAATTTCTCATTCAAGTAAATTTTCTTCGATAGGAGATATTTTTGTTATTTGAAATATGTCTCATTCATTTAGATTTAGATGATTTGTTTGTGATTGTATTTATTAAAGGTTAGGTTACAGGATAGATTTGTTTCATTCCAAATTCAAGCTATGATCTTCTGAATATATTCGTTTCAATAAATAATGATGACTCTTCTTCATTAGTTGTAGTTATTACTGTTAAAAAAAATCTGTCTTTCCGTTAATCAGCTGTCGCCCCCATACGAACGACAACTCTCAAAAGTTGAGAACTTGTGCGAGCTAAGGTCTAACGAGGTCTTACCTTTTAACGTGTGATTCCTAGATTGAATCAATCAAGATTCTGTTTCACTGAACATTTTACCATAGACCAATACATTCTGTGATGTACTATCAACTACAATGTTGTAAAACTCAGTTGCGGGAAGGTTGAAGTCTACAATGGTAGGTCTTAGTTAAACAACTCTATACTCATACTTATTAAGTGCTCTTTGATTTTCAATGAGAAAATTCATGGACATGTCTTAAGTATTTTTAGTCGTGCCAAATGCTGTTGCTTGAGAAAATATAATGCATAAGTCTACCTTGTTAGACGATGGAATATATAAATTACATGCTTTCTTATCGTGCAACATCATATAAGTACTTTACATCGATCACGAGTTGATTCGTATTCAAATAACTATTCCTACTGACAACAGAATTATACAATACTCCTAATATTATTATATCATTACACCCTCAAATCGTTCCATAAGAGCTGTACAATTTTCTAATGAAACATTGAAGAGATTATACTAAACAAGATGTCAACTTGATTCCTATGAAATCCGAATTTAATGGAGTGAGAAAGGGTACCTAGTGTTGTAAATGATGCCGTGAAGAAAATAACGCTGGCCGCCACTGGTAGCCATAAACCAATTGTGACGTAGCTAAGAGCGCGCGAATGTACGATGTTCGCTACCGCTCTAGATGTAGCAAGAATAATGCTACGTCTTCGATGGAATTCCGAGGAATGTTTCATGGCCTTTGATTGCCAAATATAAGCGACATCCACTTGCCCATCGAGATATTCAAGTGGAAGTTACAGTGCGGTATGCGAAGCGATCTAGCAAGACGATAGACATTCGAATAATAGTTGAAGTTTTAGTTGAAGTGTTTGTTGTATTTAAAGTGAAATAAAGTTAAGTTTGATTTGTTCAGTGTAGTCAATTATTGGTCAAACCACGGGGAAAAACGCAACACTGTCTTTGACTCCTTGCACTGTAAATATCGTTTGCATTTAAAGAAAAACATATTACTCAACTATCATTGATAAGTGATCATGGTATTAAAAGTGTAACAATATTCACAAATTTGTTCAATGGTAACGGTTTGGGATATGTATCCCGCTTATTAGATATCATTACAGTAAGATCGCTGACGTCCAAACAATGTAATATTTTGTCGGTTGACTCCTCTAACAAAAAATATAAATCATGAATAGAAATTTAAATCAGTCAGCGTGAGATTTTGTAACTATATAATTCTTGTTAATTGTTTCTTCTACATGTTAGATTGTCTATTATAAATTCGTAGGCAAGAATTGGAAGTAAAACTGTACACATTAGACACAAAACCAATAATTTGAGACCTACAAATGTTATTCTAAGGGGTATGGCCAATAATAAAAAAAACAAATACACAGGAACTAAAAATACTTGGAGACATATAGATAAATAATAAAGTATAACGCTTGAAATTGTCATACATATTTTCAGAGGGTGTGATAACCATATTAGAAGAATTCGAATTACTCCAAGACAGTGTAATGACCTGCCACCAATAAATCCTGGGAACCCAACTGAAATAAAAAATATCGTAATATGAAATAGTCCAACCAAATATTACCTACTCAACATTAAAGATTTTTTGTTCAATTCAATTCGATCTCTTCATTATGATTCAAGTATTATTGTTTCTGTTATATAAGACAACGCTTGTATCAGAGGTTTCTCCTCAATAATTCTTGAAATTATGTATTTTTGCAATACGTTACCCCAGTCTTTATATCACATATCTTTTATTCGACAGAATTTGATGTCAAATGAAGTGTCAAAAATCTAATCGTTGCCACAAAATAGAGGTGTGTGATGAAATGTGTCTATTTACTTGGAGAAAATCTGTAACATATTCAAATTACACTTCATTGTGAGATTTTTACTGGATAGTTTACAAAACGTGTTCTTCTGGCAATCTCACACTTGGGGCCTTAGTGAAGGGAGATATCATCTTCTTTACTTTTACCCCACTTTTGGTTTCAGTTATATGGTTCGTAAATGTTACAATTTTCATAGTAATATTAACGATAATTAGATGTGTTCGGATTAAAAATCTGGAGCCGATAAAACAGATGAAGGGAAGGGAACGAAATATATTTGACGAACGCTATTTTGCTATTTGTGATATTATTTGTCTTCACAAAACGTCTAATATATGATCGATGATGTTTTCTTTCCGCAACATTACTGTTATTAATAATTTTCTTTTTGAAATGCAAACCTTTTTTTACAACTAAGTATTCAAGAATGAGTAACATTAAAGAAAGCATCGTTATGTCAATGAAGATGTGCCATGAACCCTTTTTTAAAGATATTATGTGTTAACAAGCGTGAAAAATTTCACCAATAATAATTTTCCACAAAATACCTAAAGCTCAACCAATTGTCTTCAATATGACAAGTGACAACTAAAAAATCTGTCTGATCCTCTAACATTGATCCCTCTCTCGTAAAATACCGAATTCAGGGCAGATCTAATCGTGACAACAGATCTGTTTGACCTAAGATTGACGAATTCCTATATTCACCGATGAGTCCGCTGATGGATTGATCTATATGAAATGTTAGCACGTTTCTACTGGTTTGAAGCGATGAGGGCTACCACGAAAATATTAATAATAATTGACTAAATTGACAAAATGTAGTACAAGATGTAGTAGGTATGAATAAACAGACAATTATTGAATGATATACCCTACATTTTTATCAAAAGGCAGAATTCAGGTTCTGATCTTGTCATTTGAGTAACGCAATCAGAACTTTCTCTTCCATTCAACCATACTTGCCGTGAGATGGTGCTGGGTGCCAAAACCCTGCAAAACAAACTTAAAATTCTTAAAACAAGGCAAAATCAAACAATCATTTCTCAGGCACTAGAATAGCTGTTTAAGTGTTGAATTGTTGAACTGTCATCTTAACCTCTCACCCTCCAGCGTCTTCTGACGGCCTCGCCGATGGTGGCCTTCATTCACCGGAAATTTTATGTTGAATTTGAGAACTCGTCTAGAGATATAATAAATGTATGGCAAGTGACATATTCATTAATTATTTGGCAACACTGTCGTATGGAAAAGTTAAAAGTTCAGGTTATCTAGAAACTAAACGCCATTGTTAAACTATTGTGTCTTCTTTATTTTGTTACAATATTTTTGTTTGTTAATGGACATTGAACAAGGTTTAGTGCAAGTGCATAAATTAGTGTAATAGTGGTAGTGATTGTGACTATTTTCCAAGAACTGAAATTAACCAAAAGACTAGTCAATGTCAGCAGGCGTGTCAGATCAGGTAAATTCAAAACAGTTTTGACACATAATTTGGAGAATGAAATAACATTTTTCCAATTATAATAACCATAATTAACACAATATCGTTTCATTTTCATATGGATCCATCAGCGGATGAAAGGACAGGGAAATCAAGGTATGTTTCAATTCATTTATTATGTTTGGACAAAATTTTTCACAACCCCTCTCAGCTCTAGTGCTACTGAAAATAATAAATCCCAGAATAGGTAGATAATGAAAGGATGAAGCGGAGTTTCAAATGGAATAATTTCTACTGGACTATTTCATGAGTTCTTTATGAAACATACTAAATTCCATTTCCATAATTATTCTCTCCTTGGGTGTAAAACTGCCGTGTTTGTAGCAAATACTTGTTTTGAATAACTTCAATAATAAATAAGAAACACAAAGACAACGTTTTGTTTAATAATATTGTTTGAAAATTTAGTCAGATCAATTATTAAGTATTTTTATGATGTAAAACTTAATTTCCTTAAATGGATTTTCGTAAACCAAAGCAAATAATTTTAGCAATTGAATATGTAGCGAAGTATGATACTATTTTTATTGTACAATATAGTGTCCAATGGCCCTAAAGAACAGTTAGGTGGGGGAGAAGGAGCAAGTGGCTCTGAGGAATTTGAACCATGGAGAAATCAACAACAAAATACTGCCCCTCATACTGCTTACGGTGCTTCAGTTCCGATTTCGAGTGCAACCGACATTTACAATATGGGCACAGCAGGTATGTTTTGTTGGCTTGTCTTTGTGTTTTTTCGTGCTCATCTTTAAGTTTTCTGCCTCCCAACAGAGTTTATAAGGACCATTTTTCATATCTCCCATCAACCCAATAACTTTTCATTTATAATGTTGTTTCTACATCTTTTATCTAACCTTTTTATTCTTTCAGTATTTTTTCATTCAAACACTTAATTTTTTCATCTTTACTCTACCTTCACATAGTTTTACCAATGATTTTTCCTAATTCTATTCTGTTGAATGGCTCTGAAATTGAAAATACGTAATTTTATAATATTTTAATTTGTCCAATTGTGTTAATTTCGTTTTTCTATTTCTTATTTATTCTTTCACGAATAGACAAAGTTACTGAATCAATCGTGATTGCTTACAGTACTTATAACATAATGTACAAAGATTTAAGTACCTAACAACCTTGTGCACAAGGAAATCTGAAATTGAAAAGAGGTTGGAAACTGAAAGTGTATTGCTTATGTGCTTATATAAGTGTATTAGTTATAATGAATAACATTAGTAATAGATTTTTTTTAAAAATCCTACAATTTATATCACATCCTTATACCTACCATATTTTTATAGAATTATCAATAATAGCTAATGATTGAGGTAGCTTTTCATAAAATCAGAAAACCTCGACATCAAAAATATTATTACACTGGTTACAATCTTACAAAACATTTTTAGTTAGTTACAGTAAATAGTTGAATTATATTAACTTTCAGGTAATTGAACCTTATCGTGTTGTTGGTGCTTTTAGAACAGAGAAACTTTATAAATTAGAAATGAGTGACATACCACGACCAAAAATGCAGTATTACAGAATATTTGAAATATATATAGAAAAAATGTAGCTCTGCGTTAAATATACTAGGGATTTGTCAATTTTTTCTTTCAGTTAAGCCTGCAGCATTACATATCACACTGAAAGTAAATTACCGGTACTTCGTATGTTAAAAAATGTATGTAATTGTACAATATCAATTAATAACTGACTATTATAATAAAGAATATCAACTAAACATATTCAAAATATTTTACAGTGAGCTACATTTGAAGTTGCAGTGGAAGTATCCACACAGTGATCTTCCCAGATATTTTTGGGAATATCATTTATATACATGGTATTTCTCAATAGCTTAATCACCAAAAGTAAAGTCCTTCAAGACATATGTTCATATGAAGATTTTTATCAAAATTGACCCAAAAATAACCCTCCATGAATCGTCGTATGTTATTAAGAAATACTATACCTGATACCTGGAGGTGTTATCTCTTATAAATTTCTGTGTGCCTCATTTTAGAACTAGAAGTACAAAATCATTTTACAGCCGACTGGCCAGAACCAATTTGTACCTCAAGTAAGTGTTGAACTGTCATCTTAACCTCTCACCCTCCAGTCTGTTGGGTAATAAGGGCTATTATTATTATAAACTGATACGTCAAGAAGACTACTTTAACCACGCCACTGAAGATGACATATATTTAAACTTACTGGAGTTTTACATTTCTTTTCACTGTAGGTTACTACGGCAGTGGAGGCACTTATCCATATCAGGCATATGGAGTAGGAGATGGAACCTGGTCAAACGGAACAGATCCAATGACTTTTCTGAGCGGATATCCCCACGATTCTTATTCCATGGACGGTGAGTTTTATGTGATGGTGAAATCAATGGAAATATAAAGGTTTTATGCTTGTACTACACCTAAGGAAACATCAACAGTAAAAATCAGAGAGGAGAGTGCTATTTTTTCATGTATTCTCTCTCTACGCTCAGTTTGCAGCAGTTTTATGCTGGTAACACGTTAGACTGATAAAACAGTCGGAGCAAATAGAAATCGTCTGTTTTTCAACATAAAATCACTGTTCAGAAATGGAAAATGATTTTTTTCAGGTATGTTCGGTCCATCAACCCCCTTTTCAAACCCGACAGCCTTCGCAGGTCAACCGTCTTCCTTCAATTATTTCCACAGCAACGGAGATTACAACACGTGGGGAAGTCAGTTAGGAGGCCAACGCAAATACGACGACTACTACAGAGATCAGCAAAACATGTATACACAAGCAATTCCGGACTCAGCTTTGAAAAGTGTCGAACAAGCCATGCAGAATTTAGGTATATTGAGAATATCATGTCACACTCAGAAGCAATTCATGTTCGTTAGAAATGAACCCATAAAATGAGAAATACAGAGTTTTATTGCACTTGATCACTACGAGAGAAAGTTGAATTTATAAATGGTCTTACTTGTTCTGATATTAATCATTACATGGACTCGATTTGTTTTTCAAAATTTTACAGTTGAATCTATTTTTTGATAAACTTTATGATATTGTCTACGCCTTATTACAAAGACTTTTATGCATCAATCGTTTTTTTCAAAATTTTAGAACGATTGATGCATGAAAGATTGACCGATTATTTGGAAAACAATAATCTTTTATATAATGATCAGTATGGTTTTCGCAGGTCTAGAGATGAAGGGGCAGCCGTAATGGATACCATTTCAAAAGTTCAAACTGAAATTGACAATCATAAAAAATGTTGCCACATGTCTTTAGATTTGTGTAAAGCATTTGATACTGTACATCATGATATATTGATCTCAGAACTTAACAATTTTGGCATTAGAGGAAATATACTTGATTGGTTTGTAAATTATATGAGTGACAGACAGAATTATATGAGTGACATAAGAATTAAAAAAAGTTTGATAGGTATAAATTTAGGGGTACCGCAAGGATTTATTCTTGGTCCATTCCTTTTTCTAACATACAATTAACTTATCGTGATGATATAAACGAGCCACACTATAATACACGTCAAGCTAACTTGATCAGACTTTCCCTGCCCACAACAACAATGGTGAAGGACTCATTGATATACAATGGAATAAAGATGTACAACAAAATTCCCATATATCTGAAGAGTTATTCTTTGAATATTAAGCGACATTCTGATTGATAAAGCCTATTATAGTTTAGATGAATTTTACAATGACAAATCTTTTTATGAATTATAGTTTACTACTGTATGTCACTATTATATACCATATTTTTTGTAAGGAGATTTTTTGAATTTTAAATTGTATAGCATTTATTTTGTTTCGTAAAAATGTGTTTAACACCCTATTTTATATAAATGGGCTTTTAGGAATTACTTTTATACTACTTTGACATAGTTCATAATCGTTTGTCAACAAGAACTTTTTGTTAGGACAATAAACGTATTTCTCTCTCTCTCTCTCTATTAACAAACTTACCTCTGAAGGGGTCAGTTAAATTATTTGCTGATGATACAACCAGTATATACTCTTTGGATAACTTCGACAAAATTCATGATGATATGAAAACAGACATGAAAAAAAATTTAGGTTGGCCTCAAGAGAATAAATCCACCTTTAAATTTTCAAAAATGTTCGTATATTCTATTCAAAATCAGGAACACTATATTGCTCTTGAATTGAAGGGGTTATATTTTTAGGAGTGATGCTTTTTGGGAAAGTTTTTGGCTTTCTACTACTCCATCTTGTATCAATATATTCCTCTTATTTTTGAAAAATATTTATTTTAGTCTAATATACTCAAAACTGCATAATCTTATTTCTATTTGGGGATCAGCCAATGAATCCACAATGAAACCTTTGAAATCTTTACAAAACAAAACTATTAAATGTATATATAAATTATCGTACTTAGAACTAACAGTGAGTTTGTATAAACAAAAAAATTATTAGATTTGAACACAGTATACAAACAAATAATTTGTTGTTTCATTCATTCAATAACAAATAAATCAAAAATTTCAAACATAAATTTCATAGAAATCAATAATACTCATAGCCATAACACTAGACAAACAAAATTATTAGCAGTTAGTAATTTTAAATCTAATTTTGAACAGAAATCAATTTATATTGATGGAATTATAATATATAATACATTTCCTGAATAAATAAAAATGTAAAACTGCTCTAAAATTTAAATAGCAATTGAAAAAGTATTAAAGAATTGAGTTGGAAATACAGGATTATATGATTTTCATAAAGCCAGAATCATCTAAATATTTTTATATTAATTATGGATAATTTCACATTTGACTGTTTGCCCATATTGATTATTTTACTTGTGTTTTCTTATTCAATTATTACAAAAAAATGTTTTTAATACCAATTCACAAACTTGATGTTCACTGCTCATATTAATTATTTGTGTTTTCTTGTTCAATATTTCAGACACAATAGAAAAGAATAGAAGTTTATTCATCACTAAAGTTCACATGTACAACATAAAAAAAGTGTAAATACATGAAACTTATTGGACTAGTCACAAAGAGAGCTTAAAAGTAATTGAAATTTACAAGATTATACATATACATTTTTGATAAGTAAAATATTAAGATATACAATGAACATCAACAATTTAAAAATTCTTGAAGAGAGTAGAACACCTTGTTTTTTAAAAATTCATTCAACCAACATTTTAGTTTGTTCCTACTTATTAAACTTAACTCAGGATGAATAGCCATGAGTTTGTTATAACATTTAATACCTTGATATACATGGGAGTCTTGACCAACTTCTAATCGTGAGTATGGCTGGTATAATCTTTCACTGTTTCTTGTACAGTAATTATGTATATCTTTTTTTTTCCTCAAATAATTTTCATCTTTTTTAACGTATAATATGATCTGCAGCACATAAAGTGAGGGGACTGTGAGAATTCCTAGTTGATTGAACCATTTTCTACATGATGTTTTGGAGTGCACTCCTGCCATACATCTGATAATTCTTTTTTGCATAACAAAAACTCTATTCATATGTACAGAGTTACCCCAAAACATTATTCCATAACTTATTGTCGATTCCACTATTCCAAAATAAGCCAGTTTAAGGGTTTCCAGAGATATTGTACCTTTCAATTGCCTGATGATGAAGCAACTTGTGCTTAATTTATTTGTTAGATCATTAATATGAGGATCCCGTGTCATTTTTTGATCTACTTTGATACCTAGAAATTTGATGTAATTCACCTGTTCTATTGTTTGATGATTAACTCTTATTAGAGGACTGAAATCATAATTTATATTTTTTGTTGTAAACACCATAAAAAATGTCTTGGACAAATTCACTAGCATTCCGTTGAACACACACCACTCATGAAAATCATTAGCACAAATATTTGCCTTGATTACAGTATCCTGTAATTTATTCTCAGAAATCGGAATATCAGAACAATTATATACCGGTATTTTCGCCTGATTTTGGTATCGTTTGGTACCTATGTAAGCTAAAAGGAAACACACTTACTCAAATGCAACATTCTGTATATTCACCTAGCAGTGGAAGTTCTGATAATATTTACCAATTATTGATAAGGCAAGTTTTCAGATTAATTTCTAGTAAGTTTCTTCCTTTGATCTAAAAGGGGTACAGATCAAGGAATAAATAGAAAAAATATTTCGAAAATATTCAGTTGTTCAATATCAATGATTTAATTTTTTTTGGTAGATTTGAAAGGCTCCATGGATTCCAAAGAATCACTTGGCCAACCTAAGAAAACGACATGGGCAAGTATAGCTAGCCAGCCTGCAAAACCTCAGCTGTCCATCCAGAATCAGGGCCTGAAGAAGAAAGGGCCCGGCATGCCTCCAGGTCCCATAATACCTGGCAAGCACAACATGGACATTGGTACGTGGGATACCAATAAAAGTACTCCTCCTCAATTACCGATTGTTAATAATGCACCTAAGAGTGTAGTGGCTTCTGCCATTGCTGTAAGACCTGGTTGGAATGGACCACCGGCCAATAGGCAAGCTCCCCCCGCTCCTAGGCCCCCACAGCATCCAATGCAGAACTATCAGCCCCAAGGAATGATGCCTCCACATATGCCACCTCAAGTGAGCATGCCTACCGGAGGACATATTCAGGTGAGTGGTATTGATAAAGGTTATAATATCTGTATGAATTAGAAACAGGTTAAAAAAATCCACAGATGCATACAATTATTCAATGACAGCTTGATACTCGATTTTGTCCGTGTTGGTTAGTGTCAACAGATGAACAAAGAAATTCACTAGCTTTCATTGACGAGTGATGCCATGTTTATGTTGAGGTCAGAAACTTTTCAGATCAGCCTCGTATGTAGTAGTAGTAGTAGACTTTATTTTAGGAATCCTAATGTACAATATATAGTTATGCATAAATAAATAATTTATAAACGTATATAATTTTACAGTACGTCATGTATTATTTGAATTGAAGGAGTGATTAATTTTTGGGAAAGAAAGTTTTTGGCTTTCTACTACTCCATCTTGATACAAAAAAATGTGGGAATCTTCCAAAGAAAGGAAGGAAGTTATCAATTTTAAAATAAGTAACTCTATACATGGATGTGTAGATCATGCAAAGAAGTAACTTTCAGACACAAACTGGAAGAAAGCCCTCCTGAAACAGCTACTTTCATATGAATTATAATAAAATATAATTTGATATATTCCAATAACAACTTTTTGAATACTTTTAAGGAATTTACATGTTTTATTTCATTAGGTACCTTATTGAAGCTATCTAGACCTTTAAAGAACAATGAATTCATTCCACTCTTATAGTTTGTTCGGGATATATAAAATGTATTACATGTTCTTGTGTTATATGAATGAATGTCACTATTTCGAACTTAATATCTGCTAAGATTGGCTGGTTGTATCCCACTTGTGATTTTAAAAATAAAAATCATGCTCAAATAATACAGTCTTTTATGAACCGGCTGCCACTATAGAGTATTCAACATAGATTCAATAGGGGTATAGTGGTTGCATCTCAAAATGATTCTCATACCTCGATTTTGAAGTTTCTGCAACTGTCCCATTTGATTTTGGTTGAATAGATACATCAGTGTGAAACAGTAGTCAGTGTGGCCTTATTATGCAGTTGTAACATGTTAGTCAAGCAAAGGTTTATAAAGATTTTGAAATTCTATAGAAAATATACATTTTCTTACATATCTTTCTAATAATATATTCAGCAAATTTATTCAAATTTAATTGATTGTCTATAATAAATCCTAGGTTCTTAATTTCATTTACAATTGTGAGTTGATTATTGAATATGCTGATATCAACGTCGTTAGTATCAACTTTTCTTTGATTTGAATTTGATGTAAAATCATTGCCTTAGATTTATTGATATTCAATTTGAGTTTATTCACTTGTAGATATAATTCGATGTTCTCTAAAGATATATTTATATTTTGTACAGCTTCTTTTAAATCACAGTTTTTAAGGGTATCATCAGCAAATAAATTAATGTGGTGTGAACCAGGTACATAGTTGATATTATTTATATAAATAATGAATACCAGTGGTCCCAAAACACCGCCTTGTGGTACACCTATGTCATTTATAATTTGATCTGACATTACATCACAAATTTTAGTCCTTTGACTTCTTTGCTCAAGATAATTTTTTACCAGTTTAAAGCTTTTCCACTTACACCATAATACTTCAGTTTATTGATTAAAGTTTTCCTATTGATTGTTTCAAAGACACGTTAGAAATCTAGAAATATAGCAACAATATATTCTTTCCTATCAATACTTTTTTCCACTTTGTAACTGTTAGTTGTAACACTGTTTCTCATGAGTAATTCTTGTTAAAAGCAGACTGATTTTCGATGAGAAAATTATATTCATTACAGTATGTAACTAGTTGTTCATATACTGCCAGTTCCCGTACTTTTTCGAGCGTTGGAAGACTGTTAATTGGATAAAAATTACTTGCATCACTTGTATTATTTATTTTCAGAAATTGAGTGACTGTACTAACTTTGTACTGGTTTGGAAACACTCCTGTGTACAAGGAAGTATTTATAAAGTTCAATATTATATGCCTAGACACATCGAAAGTTTCTTTTGAGAATTTGCTATTGATAATTCAACTTTTATTTACTTTATCAAGAGAAAAAATTATCTTGTGTAAAGTTATCATGTTTATTTTTTTTAATTGACTCAACCTACTGTTTATGGGTTCATAGTTATTCGGTGTCCATATCTCATCACAGTATATACTATTTTCTATTTCAATTACACTGTTTACAAAATATTCATTGAAATTATGTGCAATCTCTATTGGATTATCACATATTTTTTTACCATTATTATTTTCAAATATAATTATCTTTATATTATGTGATTCCACTAGTTTGACTAGTTGTTTTAGATATTTCCACATAATTTTAGGATCTTTTTTATTTTCATCAATTCTATTTTACAAATATTCTTTTTCTTTTAAAGTATTAACATAAGTGTTTTGAATTTATATTGTTGTCATTTTTGTTATCTTTCAGCGGTTGCACATTTTTGATATGTTTTCAGTCATAGAATGGTACTTGATTTGACTTAATTTGTATTTGCTTTTCAGGTGTTATTTTGTCCACAATTACAGTAACTTTTGTTTCTATTTCATCCAATATTTCATTCACATTGGTTGTATTCAAGTTCCAATTAACAGAGAGATGTTTTAAATGTCAATAAATAAAAGTTAATTTATATGAGTAAAATATAAATATGTGTAAACAAAAACACAAATTTCAATATATGTATGACACTGTAGGCTTTTCATGAATCTACCCTTATATTATGTCTGTTGTCTAGAAAGCAATTCCAAACATATTTGGAACTTTGGTGTACACGCAAGCAAATTTTCTTCAGATTGATTAAAGTAGCACTTACTATTCTCATAGGCATGCAGGTGATATCAATTATTCACAAGAACCATATGAGGAGTCAATATAAATGAAAATTGTTTTCAAACTTGAATTGAGTATCCTCAAAATTTAATGAAATAATTTTGAAAGTCATTTTTAAGAAGCGGCTCAGCAGTTTTAACCTTCTTTTTTTCATTATTTTTCAGACTCTTCCAAAATTATTTCATATGTAGGTGTTTTCTGAAATTCTTTTATTAATTAATAATAATTCTTACCAGGGAATGATACCCCCACCGATGCCTATGATGGTTGCAACTACCGCGGCCCCCCACCACCCTGTTCTCGACGAACTGAAGGGTAAAAACAATTACAACCCCACGGATTTTGACCTGACCGCTCCAAACGCCAGGTTCTTTGTAATAAAGTCATATTCGGAAGACGACATCCACAGGAGCATCAAGTATGAAATATGGTGCAGTACTGAACACGGAAATAAACGCTTGGATCAGGCCTACAAGGAACGGGAGGGAAACGGTGCAATTTATTTATTTTTTTCTGTGAACGGTTCTGGACATTTTTGTGGGATGGCTCAAATGGTCTCTGCCCTAGATTACAACTCCAATAGTTCAGTGTGGTCGCAAGATAAGTGGAAAGGGCAGTTCAAGGTATGCATTCAAAATAATGATAATAATATTCATTGACCTGTATCGTTACAAAGCGTATATGTGGTGAGTCGCAAACTCGGTCACATATGAGAGTTAGACAATAGTAATAATACGTATAAATTCAAAAATATCAGTGTTTTCACAGCATTTCAATGAAATAAAGTAATTAATACTTGTATACACATGTACCATATACATATAAAAGATATAGTTTTCTTCTTGAAGATCATCATTTGAAAATTTTTGAAAATCACAATAGCATTTCTCTAATAACAAGGCTTTAACTTTGTATGATTGAAAGAGTTTGTTTCTGGGGGAGCAGCTGTCAAAACTTAATGAGTCAAGTTTTCACAATTCAAAAAAGAGCAGTGAGATTCATTACCAGAGCTAGAATCCAAGATTCCTGTAAGCCCTTTCAATCAGAAAGTTAACCTGCTACAATTTCGAAAAAGAGTAAAAAAACTTCTGCTAGATAAAGCTTATTGAAGTATTGAGGAATTTCTTTCGGATGACTTCGCAACTTATAATTGCAACATATAAAATTTTTTATCATAGACTTTTACCATAGACTTTTTGAAGTGTGCTTGAGCCATATTAATATCTTGTTTTAATTTTTGACCATTATTTTAATGTTTCAGATTGTTTTAGTTCTTAAGCCTAAACTTTTATGATAATAAAGCATTTCTGACTGTGACTGTGATTCTGGTAGTTTATTATGGAATGGGAGGGCATTTTTATGAGGGGGCTTTTTTTGGAATGTCGTTGAGTGCTTTGGAATTTTTAATGATTTGTTATAGTTGTTATCGTGTCTTTGTTCTACACTATAATACTGATAATTTGCTATATTCTGTCTAGCAAACTGCATTTTTCTATATAATTTAAATTGAAAATCAATCTTTTTGATCGGTTTTGGAAAAACAATAACTCCTAACAAGTTTTGGGCTGAGCCCCACACCACAATATTATAGTTGATATGTGAGTATGCCATAGCATAATAAATGCTTAGTAAACTTTCTGTAGGGTGTTTTTCATTTGATTGATATCGAAATAGGCTTTGTTTGCTGTATTTTTTAGGCTTGTTATTCAAACAATAGATTCAAAGCATTGAATTTACTCCTAGATATATACTTGATGAAAACCCATAACGTATTTACTGTTTTTTACCGAAAGTCTTCTATCTGATCAACAAACGATTCAATCCAAGAATATCAAAGATAAACGAGATTCCTGAGGATCCGTTTCCTTTTTTTTTTTGTTTATACAAGTCAATTGCAAACTTCAAGTTTTTCAATTCATTTTAATAATGAATTTGTGGCCATTCCAAATTAAAAGCTACGAACAACATAAATATCAGAAAGAACTGCGACATGTCAATATTAATTTCGTGGAACATTTAGGTACGCTGGGTGTACGTAAAGGATGTTCCTAATGTTCAGCTTCGCCACATTCGCTTAGAGAATAATGACAACAAGCCTGTGACCAACTCCAGAGATACGCAGGAGGTACCGCATCCAAAAGGAGTTCAGGTGCTGCGCATCATGCATTCCTACAGGCATTCTACTTCGATATTTGATGACTTCATACATTATGAAAAACGTCAAGAAGAAGAAGATAGCCGTAAACAGCCAGTTGTTAAGGAAATGGGAGGCCACGAAGGGGGAGGTCGGGACCATAGAGATAGGGGAGATCACAGAGGAGGTAGAAATCATGACAGAGAGGGTGAAGGTCATCGTTCCGGTGGACACAGGAATAATGATCATCATGGAGGTGGACACAAAGTGAGTATATACACATCGATTTTCACTGAAACATTTTGATATTGTTACCCACAGAATTGAATATTGGAAAAACGTAAAAGGTCACTTTACTATAGTGATGAAACAGTTAAGCAAATTCCAGAATGTAAATTCAGTAAGACGGTTGATATATGTAGTTATAGCGTTGATATTAAAGAAATAATCGATCTAGTCATGTCATTACCTTAGAAATTTTCTACAGGTCCTGATGGAATTCCACTATTCCTAATCAAAAATGTATTTTTACCCTGGTCAAACCAATTCACATGATATTCAATATTTCCTTGAAATCGTCGATCTTTCCAGATTATTGTAAAAACAGTTTTTTGAAACCTATTTATAAAAGTGGATCACATAATAATATAAAAAATTATCGAGCGGTCTGTAATCAATCAGAATTACTCAAATTGTTAGACAGCCTAATTACAAAAAAGCTAACATGGGATTGTAAATTTAGTCGTGGTAGATCTACCAGCACAAATCTGCTCATTTATCAACACTGCATAATAAATGCCTTCGAAAATAGACACCAGGTGGATTCTATTTACACAGATTTTTCAAAGGCATTTGACCGAGTAAACCACAATTTGTTGTTGCATAAACTAAACGCTTTGGGTATTCAAGAAAACATTCTGAAATGCAGAGTACAATTTGTAAAATATGGTAACTCAGTATCTTCCTCAATCACAGTTTCATCAGGTGTGCCACAGGGATCTCATTCAGGGCCATTGTTTTTCAAATCTATTTGTAAATGACTTGAAAGATGTTATTCTTTATAGTGAATTTCTATTGTTTGCTGATGACCTGAAGATGTTTAAAGTTATTCATGACTCAACTGATACAGAATTATTACAGTACGATTTATCTAACTTTGTTCGCTGATGTGATGTAAATCTACTGCAATTAAATATAGACAAATGTCAAAAATTTACTTTTTTCCTAAACAAAAATCCCATTAACCGGCTATAAAAAATCAATCAATCAGAACTGAAAACAACAACCACAATCAGCGATTTAGGAATCACTCTCGACCCAAAAATGTCATTTAAACCACATATTGCAAATATTACTTCTAAAGTACTAAATACGTTGGTTTTCATTCTTAGATCTCTCACTTCAATGAAAATCATATATTGTTCAATTGTTAGATCAATAATCGAATACAATTCCACAATTTGGTGCTCTTCATATCATGTGGATATGGATATGCTTGAAAGTGTTCAAAATAAGTTTTTAAGGTACTCTGCATATAAACTGGGATATCATATTGGTGAATATGACTATAAAATTATATTGGACATTCTTAACTTGAATACTCTGGCTGATAGAAGATTAGAATCAGATCTAACACTAATTCATAAAATAATCAATTCCCCGGGACTTATAACTTTGAATGTGAATCCAAGGAGAACAAGAAATTCGGAATTCTTCAAAGTACCCTTTTGTCGCACCAACTATGGCCGGAATGAATCTGTAGGTAGAATTTTGAGACTTGCAAATACATACAATGTAGATTTAGAATTTTTTAATTCTTCTTTGGAAACATTTAAAAAGACTGAAAAGATTGTAATTCATTAACTTATTTTTACGATTTTTTTAATTTTATTTTATATATTTTTTCCTTAAACCTAGCTTGGATTACTGTTATATACATATGTGTGAACTTGTTAATTATTTTGTAAAAAATAGGCATTGACGTAAATAAATTGATGAATAAATAAATGTTTCCACAGAGTAGAAAAAATCTTGAATCTAGTGAGCAATTGAATATGACAAATATGTTGAAGTATGTAGTTTTTTAAGAAATACTCAGAAAACCCATTTGCTCCACTAGTCAATTCACTTTTTAGAAAAGAAAGAACTTTATTTATTTAGTATTATATGTCCTAATATAAAATAGTAACTGGTTCACGAATTCAATTTTATTGATATCTATAGCCAGATTGAGTTGATTTGAGTTGATTTTTTTGTATTTGAATGGTTTGGTTATGATCATTGCCTGATCATTTTGTTACCTTGATTTTCATTTTGTTAATGTTGAAATACACACATCGGAAAAGTCTATTTTTATAACATACTAAATATCATGAAAATAAATGCATGAGGTCGTTTAATTTCGATTAAATTGGTACAATCGACCCCCCTGTAGATTTCTATGGGTTGAACAAAGCCTGCAAAAACGGTAACTAATCTTTTATCAAGTTTTTTACAAACTGTAGGTTTTCGGCTAAAATGAATAGTCTGAAAGTGTCGAGTTTGTACATTCTATGCAGTTCTTGCTCAGCAAATAAACTGGAAATATTGTGCTTCAACATGGAACGCCATTACTTACCATTGGCTGAGATAAATAGAGCTGTAGGGCTTCTTCAAGGTGGCATGCGACAAAATGATGTAGCTCTTCGTTTGGGGGTCTCCCAAAGTGTTATCAGTCGATTGTGGCGGCGTTTCCGTGAAACTGGCAGTCCAGCCGAACAACATCCAGGGCGAGGACGCGCTACAACTGCAGTTCAAGACCGATTTTTGGTCTTAACCGCAAGAAGACAACCGACAGTCACAGCACCTGAGTTGGTTAACGTGTTGCAGCAGACGCACCAGGTAACCATTGGTCGTGATACTGTCAGAAATCGACTGCATGAAGCAGATCTCCACAACAGATAGCCACTTAGATGTCCACCTTTGTCGAGAGGCAATCGCGGTAGAAGATTAGAGTGGTGTCAAGAACATCAAAACTGGGATGCAAATGATTGGGCCACAGTTTTGTTTACAGACGAATCCAGATTTGAATTTCATCCAGATTCTCGTTGAGTAAGACTGTGGAGACGACCTGGAAATAATGAACGTTTGAGACACGTCCAGGAAGTCCACACATACAGAGGTGGTACAGTAATGCTATGGGGTGGAATCATGATCGGCGGCAGAACCGATCTCATTTTTCCAAATCGCTCCCTCATAGCTCGACAGTACCTCGACACCATTCTTCTACCTATCGTCCGTCCGTTTGCTGGTGCTGTTGGTGAAAACTTCCACCTAATGCACAATAATGCTCGTCCACATGTCGCGCGTCTAGTGACTGACTGGCTCACCAACGAAGGAGTTGATGTATTGCCATGGCCAGCACAATCACCGGACCTGAATCCCATCGAGCATGTGTGGGACATGCTTCAACGAAGAATTACTCCGCATATGGGGAACATTCACACAACGTTTCAATTGAGAGAGCTTTCAATCGCTGAATGGGTAAATGTACCTCAACAAGACATTGACAATCTCATTTTGTTGATGCATGATAGATGTAGGGCCGTAATAAACCAGCGTGGAGGCCATACTTTGTACTGATTCGAATTTTTTTTGTATTATGATTTTTTTTCAAGGTGCCAAAGAAAAGCCATATTTTTTTTTAGTTTTGCTTATATGCGCACTCAGTATTTTTGACCATTTAATAAATTTTGTTGTAAGTTACATTCGTTTAATAATCACCCGTCAACTTTTTTTTCCCTAAAGCGATCTAAAAAAAATATTGCCATTTTTTAAAATATCGTTAGACTTTTCCGATGTGTGTATATTTGTTGTTTTGATAGAGAATTTTTCATTTTTGTTGACAGTACCATGCAGATCATTGCCCGAGATTGACAGTAAGGTGTCATCTGCAAATAGATTGAGAAAGTAACACTCATGAAAGTGTATATCACTGATATAGCATAGGAATAATAAGGGACCCAAGACACTTTCCTGTGGTTCAGTTTTCAGACTAAATATTCAGTTTAAAATATTCACAAGTAACTGGTTTAGTGATCCAAGAACGGGATAATTTTTTTTTGAAAAAACAATTGTTTCCTTGTCAACGTTTCAAATTGAATCAAAATCTTCTTCAGGAGCTTTTTAGAGTTGAAAATATAACTATATTGAAAACTTCAGACATACTAAATACACAATAAAAATAAATAACACTAAAATAATAACATATTCGAGACAACAATACTACACAAAGACATGACACAAATGAAATTCATTGGTTTGTTTCATGTCTTTGCCATGCCGTGTCTTAGAAGTTTGATTTTTAGTTTAAGTGATTTTAATAAATTATCATTGCTAATTATGTCTGTTGGTTGCAGGATCGTGGTGATAACAACCGGGGACGTGGTGGACGAGGAGGCCGCAACTAAAAACTACCTTTCTGCAATTCATGAATTCAAGAAACAAACCATTTATGTGGCTGCTTTCTACTAGCGTATTATTCAGTTAATGGCTTGTTGAAGTATATTTCATGAACACCTAACAGATTCGGTTGATTTGCATGTCGTTAGAAAATTGGTAGGCACCAAGTATTTTTTATTGTATGGTTCTATTCTCCGTAATCAGTTGCTAATACCCTGCTTTTGATTAAATCCCGTCGGTCAGTTCATGAGACTTCTCTGCGTGGCTAAAATTTCTACTATAATTTGTACGTGTGGGTTCTCTCAAACTCTTTTAAAAATAGTTAAAAAGTTTAAAAGGTATATGGATTATAGTAAAATAGTTGTATATTAACAAACTAAGTAGCTCACTCTTCGGATCGGGCCTTTCAGAATCGGATAATAAATAAAGAATAGTGCAGTGTTTCGTTTTGCTGGTGTGACGGACCTAATAAATTAAATTGTAATATAATGAACGGACGATGCGAATAGTTAAATTTAAAATAAAGTGTTGATTTTTCTGGACTAATTTAACATTCAGTGCTTGAGGTTTGCGGAAAATAGTGGACTGTGAAACATCTCCGTAAAATACAACTGAACTTAAGATGTATAAGTGATTATAACAATTTCAGAACTAGGTGACAAATTGGCTGCATTTAGTTGATGATGAACACTGACATTTGTTTGTATTTGTTACAGTTTTACCAAATGTTTTTCAATTTTCTAATCTTATATCAGATTATATGAACTGTGTGCACCTTTAGAATATTCGTTGAGATTTTATAGTTTAACATAGGACTACTGAATCGTAAGCATGCCCTGTTCACAATTTTATTCTTTCAACTTACCAAAATATTTGTATATAGTCTAGTTCAGAAGCTCCGTTTCATATAAATTCCTGTTCGTCTTTTAAAATTACGATTGAGGTGTAATTCGATTTGTAATTTCACACAGAGTAATTTACCATTTGTGGCTAGGTGCGCTAACGATTAGTTTAAAATTCATAAACAACTTAGCTTAACAAAAAAAAATGGTTTTTTTTTGCGAATATCTCAAAAATATTGCAGATATTTAGGAATGAAAACATATAAGCAATAATCCTCCCGCACTAAATTCGCATCACAATTTTCCTCTTAATTGTTTTTATCCATTACAATTTTTGCCAAATTGAAGGTTTACATAAAAACTGATCATTTTAAAAGTTGAAGCGATTTTAAGAAGGTTTCACTTAAGATTTCCCGAAAAAAATAATTTTATTTTGCCTTCATTTATGAACAATCTAAATGTTCTTGTGATGCACTGTTTGGAATCTTTGGTTAATGAATATTACTGAAGACCTATCTCCAGTAGGGGAGACTGGGGCAAGATGAGATAGCTAAGACAAAACTCGTTATACAAGGAAAATTAAACTCTTTAATAACATTCTTTAACAAAAGAGGTAACCATTATACATTTCTCTCTTATAATTAAACGTTGTAGCATGCAAAATCACAGAACTTTTTTTGGCAAATAATGAAAAAATAAACTCGGCAAATTTCCCGTTTTGCCCCATAACTGGGGTAAGATGGAAAAAAGCTGTGAGGCAAAACGAGTACGCTTTTTAATCGGGTTGACAGCGTTCACATATGTGTGCCTCTTCATATTCCTCACCTACTCCGGCACATGAATTATGCGCCCAACCGTGGCACACGCCGCAGATGACCCAACCTTCGGTTGAATCTGAGTATAAGTACCCACAATAGATGCAAGCACAGTCATCATCCTCTTCTTGGGATGAAGTATCTTCCGATTCAGTTTCTTTTTTGCACCTTTTGGTTTGACGCTTTTTCTGCAGGTTTTCCTTGTCAGTTGTCTATTTAATCTTCTTTGCAGTCTTTTTTCCAAGTTTGTTTATTTGTTTTTTACCTTTTTCAGTCACTTGATTATCACTACATAGAAAATGTTATTTTAATCACAAGGGTGGGGCAAAACGGGATAGTATCCCATTATGCCCCGATCCACACGTAGGTAAAAAAGATGACGCAATTCTAACCTCAAACTTTACTGGCGAAAAAATCTGGTTTGAATTTAATGTTTTGGACTACTATAATAAGCTCGGGATTGAAATAATACATTAACACAGGTTCTTACATGTCTGTACATCAGTTTTGAATCAAATATCACGTAAATACACTTGCAATATCACTTTTTTCTCTCTGCAACGCAAAAACGAGTTCTAACCTGTTCGCTCTGCTTGGACACACTAGCGTAGAGTGAAGTTCGTGCAAATGGCGCTGTCGGCGCTCCGAACACGATTACTATTCACGCACACAAGCTTACTTGCCGTGCTGCCCCGAACTTCATCTTGCCCCGGTCTCCCCTAATATTCTTTAATCAAAATGTTGATCAATCAATCTTTTTTTTTTCAAATGGCCCTTGGTTTTTTTTATTTTTCCGTATTCGAAAACCTAACTGCAAAAATCTATGAGTCACGTTTCATCAAATGAAAAATTATTTGAAAAATTACATATTTTTTCAGCAATGAAAATAATACATTTCAGACAAAATAATTCTATAATATTGACATTTATAGGGGAAAAATGAAAATTTGATTAACAAATCTATATCTCATTTATTTGTAACAATTTCTTAAAAAATAATAATGAAAAATATATTATTAACATCTCTTACTGTTCATTAATGAATGAAAAATTAAATTATTTCAGCGAAGATGTTATTAAAAGTCGTCAAATAGCTCCAAAAAAGGAAAAAATACCATGCTCTAATTTGAAAAGTTATCCAAGTTTTTATGTAACGCCTTCAATTTGGGAAAAATTGTCAAAAGTATAATTAAGAGTAAAATTGCTACATAATTTTTTTGCTGGAGAATTATTGTTTAATTAAGTACCTCATTTTTTTTTATATTCATATATAATGGAGTGACTTTTTTTTGTTGAAGCTACCAATTTGGACATTGCGTGCGTGAACCACCCGTTCTTACCTGTATTTCCATTGCTCGATCGAAACTATAAATATTGGTCCTTCAGTTTATTTACTTGCATTCTTCAATAATGAATTGAAAGTGTATCGATTCTTTGGTAAATAAATATATTATTATAAAATGAAACTTTTTTGCAGTAAATTTTTTGTTCACGAGTTTTTTTTTTATTCAGAGAATATCTGCGGTAGTGTTTGAGATATTTGCTACAAACAAACCCCTGTTTTTTTTGCTAATGTTTATAACTTTTAAACTGAATGCAAGAGCAACTTGGCACAAACCTTGAATTGATCTGTGCGTAGTTACTAATCAAATAAAACCTCAATCATAATTTTTGTTCAAGGCAAAAATTTCGTGAAATAACTCCTACGAACTAGACTAATGTACATCCTTCGAAACGAACGGCCTACAAAAATATCATTTTGATCATGTGATGAGAGAGTTACGTACAATTCCCTGTGAGAACAATTTCCTTTATAACACAGTTGCTATCTCTACTTAACCTGGATTTCTGGAAGAAATGCTTGTGAAAATTTGAATGAAAAAGTTTTAAAAATTATTTCCAGCAAAACTTTTACAGATCTAGTCAACTGTGTGCGCTTAACCATCTTTCCTGATTGAATGTAGGAATATAAAAAAAAAGTTGCAATAAAAGTGTTTGTGAAGACTTTGTTCTTACATCAAAATGGATTATTCCATGAAAAATAATTTGAATTGTGAAACTCATTTGTTTTTCATGGAATTAAAGAAAGTAACTTTTCTACTTTTGAATTTTCATTCAAAATAAATGTTTCAACTGTTAGTTGACTAATTTTACACATTGTTTTTGTGGACTTCGACAGAAATAACTTGATCAAAATCAGTTACCTAACAATCTGTAATTATTGAAGTAGGTAGGTAGTTACTTATATTTTCTCACTGTTGATTTGTAAAACAATAATGTATATAAGTGTGATACTAGTGATTGAATGGACTTGTAAAATTTTAAAGGGAAATATCCTTTAATTTTAATGTAACATGTTGGTGTGTCCGTAAGGAACAAATCGACAAAATGTTATCTGTTATGTAAGTTAAGGTTATCGAATTGGAACATGGCATGTTATATTTGGATGTCTCATTGTACACTGTGCCTAACATGTTAGACTGATGCACTCACACAAGTGCATTGTTGGTTATACCGATTGAATTGTGTGATCCGAGAAGTGGGCATTTGTTGATAGCTACATCAATAAACCATCAATATTATCATCTTTCAGGTCTCGTTTCAGTTTCATTTCTCCTCTTCAATAGTCACCCTCAAAACATTGTTTAAATATATAATTTTTTTGGTCTGACAGCAGCTGATTGGTTCTTTCTACTTAGTTGATCAACTGCTATCTGTAGTGATGGTTCGAGCCCGATAGCTGGAAGATTGATTTTCACTGCAGATCATCTAACTCTCACCAAAGGTTGCATATTAAAGAGTAGTACCTCGTTAATCCCTATCGTGCACAACATTCGCGACCACTGGTTAATGGAAATATACACTATAACACTTTGTTTTCTCCAAGATTAAGACCAGAAACAACTATTGATTGTAGAGGTACACTTTTGCAACTTGAGAACAAGTCAAATTTCATTTAAAGTCAGCTTCTTCCTTTGCTATCACCTTTTTTATTGATAATTCCAGATTTATCAATGACCTTGTAGAAATTTAAGTATTATTACTACTATCAACTGAAGATTAGGTTCAGATTGTCAAAAATCAATGAAGTTATGAGAATAGCCTCAAAGATAACAGAAATTATTCACATAGTTCTTCGTCAGAAATATAGTTACCCAAATCAAAATATACTTTATTTTAAAATGATTCGCTAAAATACTCTTCCAAACTATAATAGGGTCTATCAACAAGTAGGTTCTTCACCGCCTTTTTGAAATGAATGTTGCTTAAATTTGCAGATCTCATCTCTAATGGTGAATGATTGAACAACCTACCACCATTATATTATATGGAATCCATGATTAAATTCGAAGTTGGGATGGGAAGTCTAAAGGTATAATTGCTATTGCGAGTAGCATAAGGAGTAGAAGCAAAGTTGAACTTCGATTTATGTTTGTAAATAAAGCAAACCGTCTCTAAGATGAAAAGTGCGATGACTGTTCACATTTTATTGGCAGTGAACAAATTCCTGCACGATTCTCTGGGTTTAACTTCACAGAGACATCTAAGTGCCCTCTTCTGTAATATCAATACAGAAGAGAGAAGGGAAGGTATTCCATAACGTAGTCGAGATTCAATAAGTGCATGGTAAACGGTCTTTGCGACATGGAAACCCAACTCATTTGAAACCACTCTAACTGCATAACATCCTGAGGAGATCTTACTCTTAGTTGTTTAAGGTGCTCATCAAATTTCAGCCAATTATCAATGAATACACCGAGAAACCTTGTGTTTAATTTATTTTGTAATACGTCAGCGTCTATTGAAATGTCATCAAGCGAACATTTGAATGATATTATATTCGTTTTGGATGCATTTAGAGAGAGTCAATTTGCATCGCACCAGCTCTTCACCTTCTTCAAGTCGGATGATATTATTTTAATTAGCTCCATTGAATTTTTTTCTTTCCACAATATTGTAGTATCATCCGCGAATAGAGTGAAACTACCAGATATGTTAATCATAGATATGTCATTCATATATAACAGAAACAGAATAGGGCCTAACACAGAGCCCTGTGGTACACCAGATTCAATGGCCCTGTTCTCCGAGAGTTCCGTTGTCCTCACCATTTGACTCCGACCTGAAAGGTACGATTCGAACCAAGTGTTCGTTACACCTCTACATCCATATTTATGAAGTTTTTTTTAATAAAATGTTATGATTAACGCAATCAAACGCAAAAGATTGCGGCGGCTACTTCACCAGCATTCAATTCAGAGTAAATTTCATATAAAAAAGAGAAGATAGCATCATTTGTATCTTTTTCCTCTTGAAACCCAAACTGGTTTTTGCTTATAATACAGTGCAGTTTTAAGAATTCATCTAAACGTACTTTGACTAATTTCTCAATAATTTTTGCTAAAGTCGGTATTAAAGAAATAGGACGCAGATTGGAGAGGTTATCTAAAACACCACCTTTATGTATTGGAATGACAACAGAAGTTTTCAGGGAAGAAGGAAATAAGCCAGTTCTGAATGAGGTATTAATAAGGGCGACCAAAGTTTCTAGAGCATTGAATGATAAATTCAAAAGAATCTTAACGGAAATATCATCATATCCGGCCGTGCTTTTGTTCTCAATGCCATGAAGTGTTTTGAACAATTCATTAAGGTCAGTGTCATATAAAATAAGACTGTCATGAATTTTTATATTGTCCAAGTTGATCAATGGATCATATGGAGCATGAATTGTGTTACTCAACTGTTTAGCAATAGAACTGTAAAACTCATTTATTATATTAGGATTGAGTTTAAAATAACTGATAGTAGTAAGGACACAATCCTTGTCTACTTCATGATTTATAAATAATGTGATATTTCAGTCCACTGATGAAAACGTGAACAATAATCCATCACATCCAAACCTGCCATATTCCCTCAGTTATGCCTACTCTCACAGAATGTTTTTTTTTCTCATATTTCTTTACACAAGGAAAACAATCAAAAATAGCTTTGTAATAAATAAATCAACCTAATTTCTATTTCATTCGGAGAATAAAAACCAACAACGCAGGGAAATTACAATCCATAGATTTGGACATAGTATATATTTACTTATTTAGTCAATGGGCTATGCATGAAGACAGACAGTAAACAAATATAAAGAAATGAACTTTAAATGTTCAAGCCCGTCTCGGATATAATCGAACGCCATTCGTGGTATTAGCCAGTGGAGTAGTTGTTTTCAGGCGACAGTCCATTCAACCTACTGTGTAGGTATATCCGAGACGGGCTTGAACATTATAAGTTCATTTCTTTAAATTTGTTTACTGCCTGTCTTCAAGCATAGCCCACTGACTAATAAAGTTTTTCTTTCTTATTCAGAGGAATCGGGCAAATTTCGGATATGCAGTTGATTAGTACCTCGTCCACTAGATGGAGTGACATTTTTGTTGTTCCTTCCAACTTAAGAAGAGGAATGAAACACTCTAAAAGTTTGTGAAGATCAAATCCTGAGGTGTAGTTTTTGAAATTACTATAGATCTTCATCAAGTAACGGCTGAATCAATCAGAAAAATACTCTAAAAGAATTTCGATTTTCAATTATGGAATATCATTGACTGTCACTATCTTGCACTGACGAGTGGCTAAGGAGCCCGAAACCGGTCTGCAAGTGTGCCCGTTCCAAAATTGAGGGTCGACTCTTTCAGTTATATTGCATATGCAGGACATTTTCTGTGAAGATTCCTGTACTGACGCCTGTCGAATATAAACCAACGCCGTTAGTGGTATTAGCCAGGGGAGTAGTTGTTTTCCGATAGGTGTCAGTCCATTCAACCTACTGTGTTGGTATATCCGAGACGGGTTTGAACATTTAAAGTTAATTTCTTTAGATTTATACTATGATTTGCATAATTATCGCACCAGTTTTCCGCCTTGTTTACTTTCTTAGACATCCACCTGAGCGCTGTACTACACATTAATTGTGCTATTGCTTAATAGATGGCAGTTGCACAATCGACAATTTATATTAGAATCAATGTCACAGATTACGTCTATGTTTAGACATTGTCTAAGGTGAATCATTAGACAATGGTTTAGATATGAAACAGTATATCAGGTGGGGACAAATCCTAATGCGCTACAGTGGACGTCCAATTAGATCCAAACATCAATTCCGGCAACTCAACAAACTTATCTTTCCAAATTTAATATGCGCATTTTTAAATAATTGAAAATATAACAAAGTCAGGGCCGTAGCGAAAAAAGAAACCAGGGGGGGAGGGAATCCAAATTTTCCCAACTCCACCAACAAAATTTCGCAACTTTCGAAAAAATGAAAGCCAAGGGATTAATTACTACTATAATATATTAATTTTCTTACTTAGCTATCCAAAGATTGGCTGAATGCTTATGCCCGTTAGGGTATGCACAAACAAAAATGAATTTTGGTAAGTATAAAAATAATAATGGGAATTATTGTACTTTGGACCAAGGTCCTTGGTCTTCCACCATGTATAGGAATATTCAATACAAATGAAAGGAAATAACACTTAAAAAATATTGTGCTTATCGTTTTTTACTGTTATTTTTTCTATCTTCACGGCCCGAAATTTCCCAACTTTTCCAAGTCGAACAAACAGCGAAAAGTTGTGAATTTTGTAAAATTGTCACTTCAAAATTTGTGGACTGTTCTCTTACTTGGGAAAAATTAAACTTTTTTGAAGTTTTCAAACAATTCAGAATTTCAAAGTATGGGATCTCTAACTTATGCATGTCGGGAAATCCCAACTTTCTCCTGGTTATTTCCTTTTTCTTATTACCTCTCCCTATCTTTTCTCTGATTTTTATTAATTTTTTTACTATTATTTTTCCATTTTCTTCACGACCCAAAATTTTCCAAGTCGAACAAGCAGGGAACGAGGCTCCCCCCCCCCCATGGCGACGGCCCTGAACAGAGTTCAATAAAAAAGGGAAATCCTTGCATGCCTGTCAGCTGTAAAGTGAAAATCTAATACAATTACATAGAAAGTGGAGAGAATTATACTTTTACGCCCCAGTGACATTTCATTTTTTTATTTTAAACTTTTGGTGGGAAATGCTTATACAAACAATTTTCATTTCAAGATACACTCTGTACCTATGTACAGTCATCACCTAAAGACGTTTTCGGGTGATGACTGACTTCCAATCATCACCTGAAGACGATTCAGGGTTTATTTTCTCAATATATTATCAGCTTTTCTTTTCAACTTTAATTTTTTTTGTCATTTTAGAAATTTCAATTCATATTAGACAATGGAAGTCCAAAGTAATAAAATTCGTCATAAAACATTGTCAATCACATCAAAAAAGTATTGTCTGTCTTTTGTACATGTTAAAAGATAAGATCCCATCAAATCTCAGCTCGTACAAGTTTCAATGTCCGAGGATTGTCATTCATAAAGGAGCAACAGTTGATTAACAGAAAAAACACATTAAGAATTTGATTTTTTTTTCTTAGAAAGAACTATATTACACAAATCTTAAAAATTAAGTAAATCTGAATACTTATTCAGAATATAAAATAGTTTATCTACAAACTTAAATCAATATTGGTACAATTGAAAACACATTCCATGGTGTGGAATCACTTCCTACCAGATGGTAACAATAACTGTGTAGTAGTCATCGCATCAGGAAACAGTGAATGGTAGTTGAGTAGCGGTACATAGGCAGCAGTTATCACCCGGCCAGCAAACCACCGTCCGTGTAAAGTATTAACTGACGCTACAGCAGTTGCTATCGAAGGGCATTTGACGTAAACATTTCCTTGTGGAGATCCTTTATCAACATAAACATGAAGCACACCTCCGTGTTTGTTGCATTCTTCAATGACATCGTCTCTTATTTCAATATCCCAGTGTGGATTGGATTCACTGCAAAATAGAATTACAATACTTTTTTTATAAATCCTCTAAATTAATCCAAGGACTATTGTGCATAAAAAGTATTTAAGAAAACCTTTGATCTCTGTTGCTAGCAACTCACCTTGCCGGGTCAAACATATTACTCAACATGAAACACTGGGTGGCAATGGGCGGCGTTGAATGTGTCTGTATTTGAGGTACAACTGGCTGTCCTGTTGCCATGCTCAAAGCGTTGGCAGCGGCTTGAGGAACTTGCATTCCGGCTCCTTCGGCCAGTTTGAACATGAGCTTCAGCCTACCCGTAGCTCCCAGATCTATACCTGACCTATCAAGTTCGTCAGAATCTAAGATCGAAGGGCCCTGTTGCTGCAAATCAAGCCTCTCTGTAACATTTCCTACCTTCATTGGGCGGCCGGCCAACTCAAATCCGTTCAACTGCTCCAAAGCTTTCTTTGCGTCATCACAGTTATGGAACTGAAAGAAAAAAATGTTAAGTTCGATTGCACAAAAATACCTTTGGTTACTCACCGTGATGAACCCGTAGCCCTTTGATCTTCCAGTTTCTGGATCCTGTATAAGTTGAATACTATCTATTTTACCAAATGGTTCGAAAATACCCCTCAACATTTCTTCCGTTATATTGAAATGCAGAGATCCCACGTATAATCTCATTGGACCTGTCATTCCTTTGGGCATAAGATTTGGCATTGAGTTACCCATTCTATTTTTCTCTGCTTGTGTATGTTGTACGATTATTGGTATTCCAAGGAGTTTCTGACCTGACAAACCAAGGGCCTGCAATACCAAAAAAAAAAAATTATGTTTAAAAATACAAATTCCTTCAAGTTTTCTGAATTTGAAAATTATTTATTACAAAGGAAGGAAGCAACCTTATAAAACATATATTTTTCAAAGGTATGTTTGGAATGTTTTTTATTTCATTAGACATTTGACAAATTTACATAATTTCATAAAAGAATCTTTGTCTTCAAGGTCAACATTCATTATTTTAAATCATCTAAAGGAACAATTCGTTAAGGCCAGACTCAACTCCCTACACTGTAGATTAATTATTAAATTAATTATTTCTGTAATTCAAAAAACATCCTCAAAACCCGCGACAATCATTGATGAAATCAGAGGTGACATTCTTCGTGCTGTAGCCAACATCATATGCATCCCACTCTCTCATCTTTTAAATGAATCTTTTTTGAAGGGTGAATATCCAAACAGCCTGAAAATATCAAAGTCCATCCCAGTGTTTAAAAATAAAGGTGCGAGAAATGAAATCGTAAACTATAGAAATATTAACCTACAGAGCCAAGTAGCAAAAATATTTGAAATGTGTTATAACAGAAGAGCAGTTGATTTCTTAGAATCATTTAATCTCATTTCATCTCATCAACACGGTTTCCGGAATAAGAAATCTACATTATCAGCAATTAGTGAATTGACCACTTTCATTTATAATTCATTGAATAGTAAATTACAACCGGTAACTATATTTTTTGATCTCACAAGAGCCTTTGACACCATCAATCATGCTCTTCTTATCGAGAAACTTCATCGAATAGGAATTCGTGGTATTACTAATAAGTGGATTGAATCATATCTTAGTGATAGGAAACATATTGTTACAGTTGCGAATTCCAAATTTGACGTAACGTATGTCAGTGTTGGAGTACCTCAAGGTTCCATCTTAGGCCCATTATTGTTTATTATAATTGTGAATGACATAAAGGAAGTATGTTTAACCTTAAATTCAATAGTGGCGTATGCTAATGATACTACATTTGGCATTAGTGGGAAAAACAGAGAATTCATAGATGTCGCTAATGAAAGTGTGGCCGAATTTCACCAGTACTGCGTGAGCAACGGACTTACTGTAAATCCTCATAAAAGTGTTTTTATGACTTTCTTACCGAAAAATATTCGTCATGATTATAGTAATCTGATAAGATTGAATGGACATTCCTTACATGAACTGAACTCAGTGAAATTCTTAGGAATAACACTGGATAGCAAGTTGACATGGGAGATACATATTAATAACATAGTAGGTAGGCTGAGCTCGGCATGTTTCTTAATTAGACAACTAAAGAATACGGTTTCGATCAGTGTCTTAAAATTGGCATATTTTGGGCTGGTTCAGTCAATATTATCTTATGGCATATTCTGGGGATCATCGGCACACTTAAATAATGCTTTCATTCTTCAAAAAAGGGTGATACGTTGCATGAAAGGAATACATCCCAGAGAATCGTGTAGGCCTTATTTTATTGAATTAGGCATCATGACACTACCATCTCTTTATATATATTTGTTAGTATTAGATATGGCAAATAAAAAATTGGTAAGAAATAATGAAATACATGGTTATAACACTAGGAATAGCAATCATCTTCATCAATCGTTCTCTAGACTGACAGTGGGTCAAAATTCTAATCATTATCAACAGATAAGATTCTATAATAAAGTTATAGACATTTTTGGTCATATAAGAAAGTTCAAGAAAATAAAATCTTTATTATCAGACTATTTGTTAAATATGGCATTTTACTCCACAGAAGAATTCTTAAATATGTAGAATTTATATGTTTAGTATGTATAATATTTGTATAGATGTATGTACTGGGCCTATGTTTAATTATTTAAAGTGTGTATACACATATATTATGTTCATAATTTTAATCTAATCCTATTTTCTGACAAGTCCAACAGACTCTATACATTGTTTTTCTTTTTTTTTCTTGCAATTGTATTGGAGTTTACAGTGATGAATAAATTGATTTTGATTTGATTTGATTAATGGACTGACACCTATCAGAAAACAGCTACTCCCCTGGGTAATACCACGAAGGTCGTTGGATTATATCGGACAGGTGTTTCCACTATATGTGAAAAGATTTATAAGGTTGTTTCCATTTCAAATGGTTCACACTGTTCAATCAAGTTTATCAATATGATATCTCATGGATATATGAAAAAAACAATCAGAAAACACATACCAATGCAACGCTTTCAGGATCTTTGAATTCAATATAAGCAATACCCTTAAATCTTCTCGTCTTATTGCACACAATCATCCTAACGTCACGCACTTTACCGACTGAGCTAAAAAAGTCCTCCAAGTCTCTAGCACGTATCCTCTGAGACAACTGCATTACAAAAACCGTCCTCGCATCCCTTTCTTCGGGGCTCAACTCCTCTAGAGGAGAAGTGCTACGAACGCCAATTGGAGACGAACGCCCCCTTTTAGGAAATATCGGTCTTGTGGGTATTGGAGAAGGAGAACGCTTCTTTATAGGGCTGACCTTGCGCTCTCTGCTACGACTCTTTCTGTCACGCCTCTTTCTATCTCTGGACCTGCTTCTTCTATCCCTAGACCGGGAGCGTCTATCTCTGGATTTAGACCTACGATCTTTGGATTTGGAAGACCGCTTGCGGTCTCGAGATCTTTTTCTCTTTTCTGGCGTTCGACTTTTTCTTCTGTCCCTACTACTTCGCCTACTGTCTCTGGGCCTGCTTGTCCGACTTCTGCTCGAACTTCTCCTCGATCGACTGGAACTCCTCCGGCTACGACTGGAACTTCTTCTTTTCTTTCTACAAAAGTCAGAAATGCATTCAAAATAACCCTCAAGAAAAATTTCTTTTGTCAAAGGAAACCTTTGTTTGAACCCTAAATGAAAACTAAATGACTGATTCAATCTCATCAACAATTTTTGAACTGCTGGACTGATTAGACGTTAAAAAAAAATAATAAAAAAAATTGTTTGATGTCTAAACAGGAATAAATCCCAATAACAAGACATATTAATATTATTAACAAGCACGTTACAGTTTATATCTGCCTGTATACACACAATACACATACATATATACATACATATACATATACATGAATACAATACTAGAAACACCTGAAGCGAGTAAACAAAAAATAAAATAAAGTAAACATTTAGGAGAGTTAAGCAAAAAATATGTTCATAATAAATGTCAAGATTTTCACAGAGTTGATTGTAAAGTTTGCTCATTGCAACAACTGGTGACTTGAGTAATATGTTTGTTCTAGAATTTGGTAGATAAAAAGTCAGTTCATTTCTAGAATTGATTCGTGGAACATGAAAGTGAAGTGGGAGAGTAGTTCGGGACAGTCAATAAGGTTATTCACTAGTTTATAAATGAAAAGTATAGAGTAGTAGGTTCTTCGGTTTTGAAGGGATAATATATTAAATTTATTCAGTAGTATTCTGTTGTCGATGCTTTGTTCAGGGTAAACTCCTTCTAGCTTGTAAGTAATATATTTCATGAAGCCTCTTTATATAGACTCGATTTTGTTTATGTGGACATTGTATATGGGTGACCATATAAGGGAGGCATATTCCAGCCGAGATTTGACGTATGCATTGAAAAGAGTTAAAAAACTGTCTCTGCTACGAAAGTTCTTACAGTTACAATAAATGTTTAAGGGTGTATTTTGAGTATTTACATTTGTTTGTATTGAGGGGAAGATTATTTTCGGTACACCAAATGTACAAAAAGTCAAGGTCTTTTCGTAAGATTAAGCAGTCCTCCTGTGACGTAATGGGCCGAAAGATTTTCAAATCATCTGCAAAGAATAAGAAATTGCTAGAGAGAGTATTTCATATGTCGTTAATGAAGAGTGAGAATGAAAGAGGTGCTAAATTGCTTCCTTGACAGGCACCACTGGTTGCAATAAATTGGAACGACTTGTGACCCCTATAATCTACGAATAGGATGCGTTCAGTTAAGTATGAGCGGAAAAGGTTCAAGAGTTGGGAGTCGAATCCATATTGGTGAAGTTTATTGATAAGAATGTTATGATCCAACTTGTCAAACGCTTTCGAGAAATCTGTGTAGACAGTATCTACTTGTAGGTTATTATTAAGTGCATTACTTACTGATTGTGTGAAGCACATTGAGTTAGTTAAGACGGATTTCCACCAAAAGGACTCGCGACTAGTTTCGTTAAACAGAAACAAAAAAAAACTTGTTTCAGTATCGAAAATAAACTCAAATTCCACCAAACAGACAAAAGCTAGTCCAAGTCGGATGTTTTGTTCGTATGGTGGAAATCCGCCTTTAATGTTGGTGAATAGCTCTCAAGTAAAAAGTCCCTGTCATTGAATATGATTTACAAACAAAAAACAATTTAAAATGTACTCACTCAGAAGAACGACGTTTCCCAATGTCCCCATTTCCTCTAGATTTTCCATTGATTTCATCCTATGAACAGCAGAAAGTGAAGAGGCCACACAGGTGAGGAAAAACAAAAAGCATTAATAATATTCAAATAATAAAAAGACAACCTACCACTTTTTTTACAATAAACATATTATGTACTTCAAAATTCACAATCATGTTCCAGTTGAAAGACGAACATGTTTGCGAATGTACAAACTCAAGATTTGAATAATTTTAATATTAACTTTTTTTTGCTGATGACGCTGGGGGTTTTTTGCTGAAACAACAATTGCTGTCTAGCCGGAACTAGACTTACCGTCTTGGTGACTTTACAAAGGAACGAAGTGGAAAAACTTGATCCAGATCAAAAATTCTGAAAAAATACACCGAATGAGACCACATTCTCAATGATTATGTGACTTATTTCTTAATTCCTTTCCCTTACTTTGAGCGAGTTTTGGCTACGGACATCCAAACATGTGACAAAATAAGATTTTAAATTTAGCAAAATCAAATTTTCAATATTAATTTTCATGATGAAAAATAAAATTTGACTTGGTGAAATTTTAAAAGCAAACAATGTTCGCAAAACCATGTTCATTAGAAAATCACTACTGAAAACTAAATTCCAGAACTTGCAATGACTCATAAAATGATTTTCAATCAAAATAGAAAATAGTACAATTCTGAAAATCAGTGAAGAGGATAATTGAAAAAATATATATATTTTTTACGATATTCCTCAGTACTTGTGGTTTTTACATTTATGAAACAAAATTGTGTTAACATTATGAAAATATTTATATTTCTATTCCTGTGAAAGTGTCATTTATTCAATAGAGTGGTTGAGATATCAATTGAAGACCCTTTTTCCAATCACCAGAACTACTTTTCTCGATTCGTGTTTCACCAACTGTTTCTGGTGTTTGGGAATAGTGTTTGTTTTAGATTTATTCTCTGGCAAAGGTTCCAGTTTCATCCATTGAAGAAATAGGAATCTTAAGAAATCAATGAATCAAGTCATATTAATCCAATAGCTTGGCTAATATAAAAAATATATATGCAGGATGAAAATATTTGAATATTTATAAATTTAGTTCTACTTCAAATGTGTATAGCTCGTTAGCTATACATCAGAGGAATGTCCTGACAGATTTCCGCAGCTATCCCATCGAATATTATTCAGTTTGATTTTGTTCAGCAGCATCAGAGCTAATACTGATCAACTTTACATGTCTTCCCAATTTTCAGAATTGTCTGTCAATATCAAATAAATAACGTTATTTTCATTGCTCTGTAAATAACTAAAGAAACTACAATGGTGATTTGGTTATCAACACAACTCAGCAACAGAAATATCTATACCTGTTGCTCAAAAAAAGCGGCATCTGATTAATTGATGGTTATTTGTATTTTGGATAAATGTGGTTTCATTTTTTTTATATTGAGAATACTTTATATAAAAACTCTTCATAAAGATACGTTTCCCACATTTTCTGTTTAATAATTAAGTGGTAGAAAGCCAAAAGTTTCTTCCCAAATAAACGAGTCTCCCTCAGGTTAAACACACTCATACATTATGTTGTCCTCTTTACAAAACCAATTACTTCATTCAGTGAGTGATTTTTCAGTCGACTGGCAAGAGTGGGGCTCTGTTAAACAGCTGAAAACCTCATCTGATCCGCAGCGAGGCAGACACAGAATGTCTGTCATATGAAAAATAATGTACTCCAAGGTTGACAGACAAAGGTACATTTTTCTCAATCTAGTGGGGAAAAGTAGGTATTTTGGAGAAATGTTAAATGTAGGAAGAGCTTTCTGAATTCCGTTATGGAGATAATTATCAAGTCTTTTCCTAGATTTGACAAGCTGTACTTTCAATAGTCAAAAAATAAAATAGACTGATCCGTCTCCCATAAGCAACAGGCACAACAGAAAGGTCAAACTGAAATATTTGTAAAATTGGTGATAAAATGGATAAACACACGTAAAATTTATGAAAATTGAAGATAAAATTATGTTAGAACGATGTTTCAGCTTATTTTTGACCAAATGAATGAAGGTATATGATTTGAATTTATGCAAGATTCAATAGTTCTCTTGATATATAAAGGTTAATTATAGGCTCCTTGTAATTTAGGTTGAATATAAACAACAATGAATTTTTTGCTATTTCGCATATTGGAATGAGATATTGAATTTTTGAGTAAACCAGCGTTTCCCAAACTTTTTTGCCTGTGGACCCACCTTCATAATTACTATTACTGATATTTTTATTATTATCGTAAAAGTTCACTATTGAGGAATATACCTCTAAAAGAAAATGGTAAAGAAGATATAGTTTACGATAAAATACAGTAAGAAAAAATACTTTTAATTCAGAATATTAAAACTAAACAAATACAAAAAATGAAAATATGAGACTTTTGTAATCAATGTGACTTATGGAGCTGGTGCTTATGATTTACTAGAGACTATAGCTGGGTTGAGAGTTGAAAGCTTTAAACGCAGGTCACTTTCCCCACAAAGCCTTTTAAGGCTATGTTCGAAAGAACTGGAAACTCTCCCCTAGCCTTTATAGAAAATAGGAAAAGCAATTCAAAAGTATTAGGTGTTTTAATTTGTTTCCGTGATCCATCCAAATTGCTCTCGCAACCCATAGTTTGGGAACCACTGGAGTAAACTATAAATAAATTAATTTCACTTTTGTAATACACATGTGGGGTTTCTGAAAATTTCGAGAAACTGAAACCACAGTGGTATTAGATGAAGGTTTCTCGAATAATCAATTTTAATTTCCAGTACACTACATTTCTGGTGGACTACTTACATTGTGAATTACGATGTAGTTACTAGAAAACAATTGTAATTTACCCAAAAAAATTTCTATTGCCAAAGAATTAATATTCATAAGAAACCAAACAGGCCTTGTGGTACTGCATGTATATTGTTATTTCAATAAATCAGTCATCCACCGTAAAGAATAATATTCGATGACTAAATTATCATTATCCTACATTGTATCATTATTATACTACATAACACTTTCACATAATCTAGCATCTGAATGAGAAATAGTAAAACACTTGTACGACTGAGTGTTCGGTAGTTTTGGATGCATAAGTACACTGCAAGTTCTAGAAAAAATACTTTCCTTTTTAAGCCAAAACCCTCACAAATTTTCATATGCATTCTGTTTAAAAAAACAAGAGTAATTCTATTTTACTAGTTTCCAAAACTCCACCTCATGTATAATTTGTGCAGTGAGAGACCAATCGGTTGATTGGTATGTGGCATTGACGCTGCATTCTGATGTCCACTTTCACAGCAACCCTATGATGAGAAAGTACCTATGAGCGTTTTTATAAAAATATGGAATATCATAATTTTCCTTCAACAATATTAAAAATAATTACAAAAATATGAGATTATCTACAACTGTCATTACTGACAAGGGTAAATGACACCCAATTTAATATAGTTAAAATAAAACTTAAATTAAGGTGTATCTGTACCTGGGTTTTGAAGGAGCCGATAGCCCGAAATAAAGCTCATAAGTCTAAAATATAAAATTAGGTTTTGATGTAGAAGTTGTACAAAATTATTCAAGCAATGCAAATGGCTGTCTCAATAATTGTCTGAACACAATATAAAAAGTTCAATGATTTGCCATTTGGATTACTATATGAACATACATGTGATTTATAATCAAATAGTGTATATAGTAAAAAAATATACAAAAAGTCACTTACATCCTTCCGATAGGGAGCCTCCAGCATTGCTTCAACATCTAGATCTTCTGCCATTTTGCTGAAAACATTGACAAGATAAATATTGAAAACTATATTTTCAGTTGTTGCTTGTTGAGAGAAATGAAGAGCCCGTAAAAAAGTATTCACCTTAGCGGATATCCGTAACAAATTTCTTCTATTTCGCTTTAATCGCCTTTTCAAAAGAATGACTGACTGACAATATGGCCGTATCAACTTTTATTCCGCCCCAGCTCTGCTTTCTACATGCTCAACTCCGCACTACAAATGTCAGATGTCTGACGACAGATTCCTGTTTCTGATTGGTCCAAATGTGACAAATTACGTTTACACCAATCACAATTTTTCCTAGTCCACCATACAGTTTTGCCACATGACATATTATTTTCGTACTAAAAATAGGGAATAGATCCGGGTAAGGATTGTCAACCAGGTATCAATGTTGTCAACATTGCGTAAAAAAATACCTCCTCTTGAATTCAATTTATTTTATTAGGTTCGAAATAAGCATGCATCCTAATTTGGAGTCATGCATTTTTTCTGTATTGGCTACTTTGTTTATTTGTTATAGGTACAGAGTAACCAACTTAAATAAAACACGTATTACTAATAAAATACTTGTTGATATGAGACATGGATGGGAGGTTACGGAATAGATCCTACTTTAGTTGCTTCCTTCGTGACATCAGATTTTGAAAATTAGTAATTTTTATTAAGTTTAGCGACTAAATACAGTGTGATTAGATGGCAGATCATTGAGAAAATCTTCTTCTTCTTTATTATTTACCTGGCAAATTGAGCATCAGCCACTTTTAACTGAATAATAACAAGAATGAGGAACCGATATATAACTAAACCTATGAATTGAACGACATGTTCCGAATTTCTTCCCGATCAATCTCAGGTTGAGTCTTTATGAGTTGAAACTAGAACTGAAACTGCAGAACGTGAATATTGAGAATACAAATTTGATAAAAAATGTTTACGAATTCTTTTAGTTTTCAGTATCAGTTGAAACATCTTCTATACAGATGGAAAGACGAGTTTTATTCTCCTAGTTTGTATCTGGAAGAAACTTCTGTAAATGCTTGAATATCATTGTAGAATTTTTACTGATGCATTCAATTTTTTCATATTTCTATGAAAGCTGTCCACATTCTATACAAAGGTCGAAAGGTCTCTTCCAAAAATTTCCCAATTGAGTTAGTTTTAAATAATACTTTTTTGTGGTAATATTTTATAAATAGTGCTGCCAAGAAGTCTGAAAGATTTAACATATATTTTTTCAATGATAAGGAAAGCAAAAACGTGTTGAGAAAATGATAATTAGTTTGATTCTCATTTCAATGATATTATTTGCTTAACAAAATCAATTTGTGGTGGTGTTCTTCAATAAAGGCAGACTGTGTATATAATAAGATTACTGAGACTTTTATAAATTAGGAATAATATCACTGTAATTGTACCTTCATGACATATCTTGGTGAGTTCTCTAGTTGCACCGGCAGATTTTCAGAGAGGCGGTAAGTAGTAAGTACCTCGCTCCTGTTATATTCTTGTTATATGGTGCCACACACACACACACGCCTGATACAGTGATACAAAATAAAATGTGTTTAAATGAGAATGGAACACCATTTCTCAAAGTATATGATATGTAATACGAAGCGCACTGGTCAAATGCGCTTGATTAAGTAAGCACGATCATAATAATAATACGAAGAAGAACTTCATTTTGGTTTTTGGTTTATATTTACATAGGTAAGATCATTGCAACGAAAATTCGTGAATATTGAAAGTATTTGCATGTCGGCTCTCGTCTTAAGTCGAAACATAAAGAAATGAATTTGCTACCAAAATCAAAAGAAGAATTTAGTCAAAAAGACTATTGGGATACCTTTTTCCGTAAAAGAGGTGCTAAAGCCTTTGAATGGTAATATCAAATAGAATTTGTTTGGTAAATCAAACTATATTGTTTCAATTTCAGGTATGGTGAATATCCTGAGTTATCCGAATATCTGCATAAATACATTAAAAAACAAGATGAAGTTCTCATAATAGGTTGTGGAAATTCTAGTTTGGGACGAGATTTATTTGATATTGGATATGAGTAAGTTCTGTTCTTCAGTTGAATGATTCTTCAACATTTTAACTTGTTTTCAGCAAAATAACAAATATTGATATATCTCCTGTAGTCATCAGACAAATGTTATCTCAACAAGAAAAAGAGCGGGTGAATTTGAAATACATACAAATGGATGCTTTGAACATGTCTTTCACGAATGATGAGTTCACTGTTGTTTTGGATAAAGGTACATTAGATGCAATAGCACCCGATGATTCAGAGGCAACTTTATTAAAAGTAAAAAGCTACTTTGATGAGATCAACAGGGTACTCCGAATAAGAGGTCGCTATATTTGCATATCACTATTACAGGAGCACATCTTGAGATCTATTTTAGATTTTTTTCCAAAAAACAATTTTATGTTCAGAGTTGTGAGGTGTTTTGAGGCAGAACAAAAAGCCAGTGAGAGTGGAGAGAATACTATGCCAGTATTCATGATAATTTGTACTAAATTCAAAGACTTGCCCAGTAAGGTATTGTGGATTTTTCATTTATTTATCAAAGTACTCATATGTTTCGATAATAGTGAAGTTACGGTAAATTAGAGTATATCTTTCTATTTCTCCATCTTGATACAAAAAACATAAGATTTCATGTTTGTAGTTTGAGTGGTGTTTCATTTAGCGGAAAGCTAAATTTTCAAGAAAATGTGTATGATAGAAAGTTTTAAAAGGAGTAATGAACTTTTTGGTGAAAATTCTGAAATATACAAACATATACATTTCTGGATACTGAGCATTTAGACCATGATTTCAAAAATAAGGCTATTTTGGCGAAATAGAAGCTTTTTATTCCATGAGAATATTCGAAATGTGATTTTCAATTTAGTGGTGTGAATCAAATATTCATTGAATATATGAATGACTAGTTTTTCTTTGCAGGTGTTGGAGGTGAACTTGAGTGCATCAGAAAAAATGCAGCGCTCTGAGACTGAAGAGAATGTGATTGCACAAGTACTGAATTCCCAAAATGCTGCTCTAATTTGTTCTGGTCTGAAACGATCTTCGATAGCAGAAGAAAACGAAGTCGTTTTAGATTTGTTTGAACAAGGGGTAGAGATTCCAAGATTTACTGTATATGTTGTCGATGTTCCTCCAAAAAAGAAAAATTCCCAATACGCTGGTTTTATCGTGCCTGAAGGGAGGTGAGAAATGTTGGTCAACACATAGTAACACAATGGCATCAGTTTTTGATATATCCCGTTTATCTGCCTGATATGAAATATCCAATATATTAGTTTCAACTCTCATATAAATGAAAGGTGCTGTTCCCTAACAGCAGAATTGCTAACAAGTCTGATACACTACTAATAGTGTACTTCAGCTCCTAGTGAAACATGCATCGAGAAGAGTGTTTGCAATTCTGGTGTTTGGGAACAGTACTTGTTTTGGTCTCATATAAATGTTGAGAGAAAAAGCACGTTTCATTCACTCAAAATTCATGCTTCAGCTGTAAGAAAGGGGGTTTGAAATAAGTAACGACAAATCTTCAGTTGCATCAAAACCATGTGATGATGCAGTTTGGCGATTTTTATGGCTATAAACCAACCGGAAAGTATTTTACTACTTTATTCACCGGATATATACTTTGTTGTCTTCAAAATAACATTACTGCCTCGTTAATTGATTTTGTGAATAGCCTGAATGGGGGTTACCTAAAAAATTGTAACCAACTGTATTCTGATCATTTGACCAGTAACACGATTCTCTTTTGCTTCAATAAACAAGATTGTTTTAGCATTTATTTTTAGTATGTTGAAAATTTTCTTGGTTCATTGTTGATTGTACTTATAGAGAAGCCGAATGGTTATTTTCTACAAAAGCTGGAAGAAAAAAATTAGTTGATGTTACACAATTCAACAGATTGGCAATCATAACCTTACATAGGGAGCACAAATATGAATCTTTTGAAGCAGTTCAGAAGGAGTTATCTGATACAGTATGTAACTTGGCCCCATCCCATTTGAAAAATAAAAAGGTAAGTTTTCAAACAGAAGTTAATCTTGAATGTTATAAACATTCTAAATGATCTCTTTACAAAGATGTATAGATCGTGAAGAAAAGTAACTTATAGCACAAACTGGAAGAAAAATCCTCTTGAAACAATTACTTTTATATAAACATTGAATTACACAAAAGAAAAAATACTTTCGAAAAAAATACTTGTAAATGAACACTTTTTCATATCCAGTTTCTACTCATTATTGAATTGAATCTCATATTATTCACAATATGAAGAAGGTAAAATTTCACTTACATCGACTTTTTGGAATTAGATAGATAGATAGGTATATTTATTTACTTCACAGAAAACAGTGTAATACGTTGTCTATAAAAGTACGTCACAAAATACAAAATTATAAAACAACATACATTTTGAGTAATTTTTTTTTGTACCGTTAAAATAGTAATGGATATTATGATTCCTCCACGACATTCATTTTTCTGGAGACAAAACTGAAGATTTGAAATGTAACATTTTTTTTATACTTCATAAATACTTCTGTTTCAAGATAGCGTTTCTATCCCTTGGATCTGATGTGGGTCATCGAATAATAAGACACAAAGGCCATTCGGAGATCTCAGGAGATTACGTAATAGAAGATGTTTTGACAGAAAATGAAGAAAAATATAGAAGATTATTTTTCATGAGTTCTCAGCTAGTTATTCAATCGGAAGCCAAATTGAGAGCTATTAAATCTAGAAGAGGAGCCGTAAAGGAAGTTATTGATTTGATGTATCTCACTTGCAGACATCATATTTACATGAGCCTGGCAACGTATGTAGCATGTAAGAATAGACACAAAGCTTCGGTAGCTGTAGTAGGACTTGGTGGAGGTGGATTGTGTTCATTTCTGCACAAATTTCTGCCTAAAAGTTGTATCCTTGGCATTGATATAGACAAGGATATGCTGAATATAGCTACCAACTGGTTCGGTTTCAAACAGGACGACAAACTCAAGGCTAAAATTCAAGACGGAATAGAGTATCTGAAAGAAACTGCTGAAAAAGGTATACATTCATTCATAATCACATACAATAATAATGATTATCAAAAATTAGTCTCCCTCAGATATGATACTTTCCAACCCTTGAAGTAGTTCTGATATGTACTTTCTGATATGTCCTGGTGCTTCCTCAGGGATTCGGTTTTTATTTCCTCAATCGTCGCAAAACGTCTTCCTTTCATGGGTCTCCTCAAATTAGGGACAAGGAAATAGTCGCAGGGGGCCATATCTGGTAAATTCGGTGGCTGAGGAACGATTTCACTATTGTTTTTAGACAAAAATAACGAATAGGTGCATTATCGTGGTGCCAAAGCCATTACTTGTTTTTCCACAATACCAGACGTTTTCTTCGTATTGCTTCTCACAAGATAATGCTCCTTATTGACTGTACGACCATGTGGCAAGAACTCCTGATGCACTACGGCACGGTAATGAAAAAAGGCTCCTTTTTTTTGGTCTTGGCTCTTCAATTGAAACAATTGGAGTTTGCTTTCGATGTCATAACTATATACCCATGATTTGTCACCAGTTATAACCCTTTAATACAAATCCTGAGCATTGCTCAGAGTACAATCATCGTATGCCACTGTCAACATTTCAAGTGTTTTTTTGAGCCCTCAATTCCACGAAATTTGAACATTCATCTTATTTTTTGAACAGATCTTGTACTTCTGTTAATAAGTGCTCTCACAGAGATATATGAGAATCGCATATTAGAAAAAACTTTTTGAAATAAACTGTTTCATTGTTTTTCAATTTTGTATGCATTCTAAGTAATCTTTGAAACACATTTTCCACTTTGCAGTTGAAATCTTAAAACATTGTTATGCAAACAATTACTTGAGATGATGAAAATCGTCCAAGCTTTTTTGTTTGACACGTTTTGTCGCTTATAACAATGTTGTAAAACATGTTTAAAATTTTCATATAGTCAATCCTTTGAAACGTTTCTCGGAACTCAACCTGATGGCTGATATTCAATAAACTGATCTTTGACAATTGGTTGCAGGTGAAAAATTGGATGCACTTTTGTTTGATGCCGACAGTAAAGATTCATCAATTGGCTTGAGCTGTCCCCCAAAACAATTCCTGGATGAAAGTGTTTTAAAAAATGTTGTTGAAATATTAGGAACCACAGGTGAGACCACTCTTATTCTCTTCGCAGTTGAATTAGGAAATTTTATTCTTTTCCTTTCCAGGATTATTCATTGTGAATGTGGTTCTTAGAGATCAGTCAATGAGGCCAGAACTATTGAATAATATAAAGAAACATTTTGAAGCTATCCTCTCTTACAAGCTGCAAGACGATCTGAATGAAATTTTCATCTGCAGTAAGAGCAAGATAAAAATGGACACTTTGAAAGATGGTTGCAGAGAACTGAATAACTTTTTCAGAAAACATAACATCAGTGAAAATAGTGTAGATTTAGATATGTTCATGACCCGTCTGGTCAGTCAATCAATATTGATTTGACACAGCTAGTTTATGAAAATAAATTCGATTATCTATTAATTTGATGATCTCAAAATGTATATAATTCTAACAAAAATTAAATAAAAAAAAATTGTTTATCCATAAGACAAGTCAGTGTTATATGACAAAAAAAATTCAACAAGACAAAACGAAACAATACCATATATGATGGAATTGACCGATAAAAATCCATAACTTTACTAACAATATTCTATATAGTTAGTAAAGACACGCCTAAAGAAGCCATTGTATGGCGAAACAGGTATTGCGTTTTTGTAAAAATGTTTAGTGAAAATCTCTAAATATGAAGTTATAATTATAATGATTACCTTAAATTATGAAATACTTTGATATTATATCAAAGCAGAAAAGAAAATTTCCAGCCTCTTTGATATCCTGCTTCTGTTATCCATTTAGTGCTTTCAAAACCGTCGGTCTGGCAAGGATGTCAGCTATATGTCATCTGATGTGTCATTTATTTAGTGGAAGGTTTGCCATTTACGAATATAATAAGATTCACCAGAATAGAATGATTCAATATGTGTCAGATGTCAAATAAAACCTGGAACACCTGGCTGGATAGCCCTGGCAGCTGAGGCCATTAATGGAAAATAAGAAGATAAATAAAACAAACTTCAATTTTTTCTAACCACAATTAGAATCGGATTTGTGAATACAATTTTTTGCATAAATACTACAAAACAGCTGCATTTTTGTAACCAGTGTACCGGAATTCTTTTTGTATTCAAAATATGAACCAACAAGTAGCTATTTTGACAACTGACAACGTAACGTCAAATTCCGTTTCAAAACCAACCTTACGCTAGTTTTGAAGCATCATGAATACGTTTCAAATCATAGTAAATGTGACGTCATCGTTTCAACAGAGTATTTGAATCACAGACAAATACGTTTTGAATACATGAGCGCCAGAAAACGCCTCTTGTATATAAATTATAAGGTTTTATGACATAATTATGGTTGCTTTCATTTCTCATGTCAAGTTACCTGGATATCTGTTGAGATTATTGAATGCTGTCGGGCCACCTCTTTCAGCCTCCTTGTGGAATGGGTTATTTTCTGCACTCATCGCACAGTATACTATTTTTAAATATATTGCATTTGAATAATACAAGTTACTTATACATTCAGACAATATAATATGGAATGGTTACATTACTGCTATAAAAGATTTTATAAAAATAAATATGTATAAATCTGTAAGAGAGACTTTGCCTTCTAAATTACTAACTGTTCATTCTTTCATTTTCTAGAGCAGTACTACTGATCGTTATCTAGTTTTCCTGTTCACACTGCTTGTTGCACAAAATATGTATCAAATTTCGACTAGAATGTAACTCGAAGACAAAAATAAATAATTTATATATAATCAGGAATAGTATCTTTCAACTTCACTCAATAATTTATCGAAGTTATTTTCATCTATTATTACGAATTTTTTAGCGGCCCGGCTAAAATAGTAGATTTCGCCAGTGTATATATCAAACCAAAGTGCATGAATGTGTAGTTCATGCTTTTCCAATCTCTTTTTCAAGAATCCATAGCTTGCGATATTTTGTAATTGTTGCAAAGTGTTTATTTGTGACAACTTATCTTCTATATTGAATTTATTTTCTGGGTCGATATAAGCGACGAATTTCCGTAGAGGTGTTTCTGCCTGGAAAATGAGTGGCTTAGAGTAATCGGTTACCTCTAACTGCTGAAACTTCTCCAAACTTGATAACGCATGTGTGCACAGCCAGGCTCTGAGAGGTGAGATTCTTCGATTATCCTGAAATTTTTTACAAAAACTTATTTTCCTACACATATTCAACAAAAATGTGCATATTCATAGATGATATTAGTTGTTTCAGAAGTTTTGCCCGTTTAAATTAATCTACTTTAAACTATAATTTACTTATTAGTAAATTTCAATTTGATCCCAAAGCTGTAGCCACTTTGGTAACTTTTTAGCGGAATAATCCCATTATTTCACTCAGGTGTGACCTTAGATTAGGTAAAAGAGGGGATACATAACGCCAACCTCTGCGTACGAATCGAGTTTGTGACCTATTTCCGAGTGGCCGCCATATTGTTGGTGCTAAACATTGATCTTGGTGCTTGTTCGATTTTGTGCAATTATTGAGTGTATTTTGAACTATTTTGTGGGTGAATACTGTATAAACATGGTGAAGTGCTCATCTTACAATTGTAGTAGTAATAGCGAGAAAAAGGAAACCGGTATATCATTTCACAGGTGAGAAAACATCAGTACATTTAGGAACAGTGGGCCAAACATGGATATTATGTGAAAACTATGTATGCAAATGTCTAGATTTTCAAGTATGTAACTCAGTGGTGGATAATCTATGGTTAAAGAAGATTTCAGTGCTTACTTTGTGAATTTTCATTCATAATTTTATGATAGACTTCAGATTCACCTTGAAAGTTCCATTTTTTTGCATAGGCGTGCATTTATAGCAGGGTCAGATCGGGTGAAAATTTGGAATAATATTCCAAATTTTATATATTATTTTGAAAATACATTTTTGATTGAAAAAAATGAATGACTACATTGTGGACCCTAGACAAATTAAATATTTCTTTTCTATGTCATTGAAAATGATCTGTGCAATACATTACTCATATTACAAGAAAATTTTATAGATTATTATTAAATACTATTTCATTTTTCAGATTTCCTAGAAATGAAGATAGACGGGCCATTTGGGTAGCTAATATGAAGATTTCAAACTGGTCCCCATCAAAAAACGATCGTATTTGCTCAAAACATTTTGAAACCTGTTATTTTTATAGAACTGAGGAAAAAACGAAATTGTTGAATGAAGCTGTACCCACTATTTTCCCAGAACGACCTACAAGTCTTCAGTCAATTTGAACCCTTCTCATAGATACGCCACTGGCGTTTAGCGTTTGGTGCAGATTTGCCTCAGCATGCTGTTGGTTGTTACGAGTCCATATATCTTTCCTTGTCTAAGGGTGTGACAGCACTGGTTTTACGAGCGTAGCCCTAGTTACTGAAGCCATTGAAAGGAAAAAAGAAGAAGTATATACGTCAATGGCGTCTGTCAAAAAAATGAAGTTAAAAAATATAAAGAAATACTTTTTTATTTTTACAGTTTAAACAATAATTATTTGAAAGATTTCGTTGTTTTTCTTTTGTGATAAGGAATAAATGAACTGCATTTGAACTATGTAATGTATTCATTTTGTAGTATGCCTCCATATAAAAAAATATATTCAACAAGTACTTTTTTGTTTTAGAATAAAACTTGTTGGGTAGATCCTATTCCGTGGAAATGTGGGAACCTTTGAACTTAGCAGAAAAAAAGTTTAATGCAGAAACTACTAGACTAATTGGAGAGGCTCAGTTACATCGATTTGGTTCTTTTTTGGAGAAATACCATGAAGAAACTACAGTCCAAAAAAGCAAATTCACTAATGCGAATAATGTCACGGCACAAATTGTTTCAGTTGATGAGCATGTCTATAAGAATGAAATTAATGCACATTTAGTTCATTCTGATAATAAAATGCTGAGTCGTATCATTGCAAGTTTGGGAGGGGTCTGCAATGAAATGAACATGTTAGTAGAAGATGCAGAGGTCCTGTTTCCACATTTTATTCTATATGGCAATTCTGTTGAAAAAAATTCTAAGCACTTATCAATAGGTAGGATAATAGAACCCTTACAACAAATTCACTCTTATGTCAAGAGAGTCCAACTTGTGGTAGTTTTAACACTGAAACAGTTGAGTGCACTTTTAGTGAAAAAAATATATACAACTAGTAATACCTCTGCATTTCCCGATGTGTTGCACACAGTTGGAGATGTTTTGATATGTCTGTTGAAATTGGACCATCTTTTAGATTCACAAGTTCTCAAAGACCATTGGTTTCTGTACCGAAAGTCTGTCAAGAATATTCTGCATTCTAATAGAAATAGTTTTGATCGCAAACAATTAACCTCTTTTGATAAAAAACTGCAGCAATTTGAGAACGATTTGTTGATGGGGCACATCTTGAAGTCGTCTGTTGAAAAATGCTTAGAAGAAAAAAGCTTTTATTACCAAATGAAAAATTGTAATTTGAATCAGGAATTTTATGCCTTTATAAATGCCTTATTCAACGAATTAGAAAAGGAGGAGGAAAATTCCAGTCCTCAATTATGGTGGAAGCTGAACATTTTTACAGTTTTCTATTTTACTATATTTGAAAATACTGACAAAAAGTTGTTGAAGAAAGTGTTGGACATTAATAGAAAGATATCTGCTTGTACGCTGATTGGTAATATTATGTGGTATCCAGAACAATTTCTTCTGAAACATATTCACTCTTTAGAGAAACAAATTGATGAGAAGGTTATTGAAAACCACAGGTTGAATTTGATTAATGCTAGAAACACGAATTATCCAAGGGAATCTATTGTTTTATGTATGCAAGTTTGCTGTTTCTTGATGGAAATGGAAAAAATAGGCAAACTGAATACGAATACTGTAAAGGTTAGAGAGTTACAAATTATTGTCACGGCACTAAATGCCGGATTGAAACTTGCTAAAAAAATTAGCTACTCAATCATGACAACCTTGAACTTGCACGCAGACAAGGATTTGCCTCTAACGAAGTCTGTAATATTGGCAATTTGTAGGCTGATAGAAATTTTGAAATGTATTCCAATAATTTTCAGAAAAAATATGATAATGGTCACTTATATAATTTTGTTGATTATTCAGCACTCTTCTCACAGGGCCCTAGGATTACTTGGTAGTATAAGAAAACAATTCACTCAAGAAAAATCCTACAGTGAACGCCAGTTGGATGTTCTGGCATCGCTAAATTTGTGTGAGCAAGTACTGAAAGGACCTGTAACCAAACAGGGTATCTTGGTGGCAAATCTAGCATTGTCAGCCAGCGGTCTTTATACAAGCACTTTGGCAGAACTCAAGAGTGTATTAAATCAATTAGAAATGTTGTCAACTGCTTCCAAGACTGTCAAAGAAACCAGTAATTGTTTCTTTTTATATTGGCATCAGAATTACATGTTGCCTATATATTTTTCAAAACTGATTGCCTCAAAAAACGACCTTTCCAGGTACTACCTATTCTTAGCTGCACTTTCTGATTTTTCCGTCAAATCTGATCCCAGAGTCAACGACGTATCAAACCAGATAATACACGAAAACTTTTATAAGCCCGTTGAACAAGTAATTGAAATGAGTTTGAGGCTTCAAACTCATTTACATCTACAGCTCCCACATACAGATCCTTTTGAAAACTATTTCTCCATCAATTTTAGTAAATATCCACCAGCCCCAATGAATGACGGTTATAAGTGCATAAAAAATGAAACGGAGCATCATTTGAGCACGGTGTTTTATAATTTAACTTCAGTCGTACTACATGACTGGAAAACATATGGGGAGATGAGAAGATTGGCGAATATGCAGTATGGGTTAGATACTGTGGATGATAATCTTCCGATGCAGACTTTGGAACAAGGTCTGGACGTTCTAGAAATAATGCGAAACATTAATGTCTTCGTCAGTAATTACTTGTATAACCTGAATTCACAAATTTTCATAGAAAGAAATAGTGAGAACAAACATCTCAATTCAATCAAGATTTCTCAAGTTGCTAATTCCATCCGTACTCACGGAGTCGGCATAATGAATACGACTGTTAATTTCACTTACCAATTCCTGAGAAGCAAATTTCACATTTTTTCTCAATTCATATATGATGAACACATAAAATCCCGATTAATCAAAGACTTGAGGTTCTTTTCCGAGCACAAAAACGAGTTGAACCAGATGTATCCTTACGAAAGGGCGGAAAAATTCAATATAGGTATCAAAAAATTAGGCCTGAATCAGAACGGGGAGAGTTATTTGGACCTTTTCAGAAATGTGGTGACCCACATAGGAAATGCCATGGGTTATGTTCGTTTAATCAGATCTGGGGGAAGGCGTTGCCTTGCGGAAGGCGCCTGTTTCATTCCAGATTTGAAAAAGGAATATTTGAAAGAGATTATACAGAAAGATGAAATGCCTGATCTGTCGAAAAATGCCGCTACAGGATTGTTAGACAATTTACAAATGTTCTTGGACAATATGGAAGATGCGACAGAATATTTCAAACTGCTGGTTAAAGTATTTGTTCCCGTGCTCAGGAATAAAAACAACATTCACTTGAAAAATTTCTATATCATAGTGCCTCCATTGACAATAAACTTCATTGAACATTCCCTGAATTGTAAAGAGAGAATAAATAAAAGAAACAAAGCAGAATACACGTTCACAGATGATGGTTTTGCGTTAGGCTTGGCTTACATCATTGAAATATTGAATCAAGCAGAACAGTTGAATAGTTTACACTGGTTTCATTCAATTCAGAGAAAATTCAAGAATGATCGAACTCGAATCAAGGAGCAAATCATTCAGGCTGGTAACTATGATAATAAACTGTACCAGACTTTAACATTAAGTGAGAAGAAAAATACTTTGTATGAAAGGGAGTTCCAACTTCTTTACTACAGTTTCAACAGTGCCAGACTGTTTTTTCAGACTTAATTGAATAGCCAAATTGTAGAACATTTTGATTATTCTCCTAGAGTCTGTGATTTTCACTCTAACAGATGCATCTAAAATACAAATTCGTTCACCGATAGTTGAACGAAAAAATTTCTCACTTTCAAATAGCAGATTTAGATGAATAAAAATGAAATAATTTGAGTGCAATAAATGAAACGGAGGAGATTTTTCAAAGCATGGACAAATATGATATATTTGTAAGTGGTAAAGTACCAACTGATGTGGTACAAAATTGGTCCTTTCTTAAAAAAATGTGATACTTTCATAGAATAATTGAAAATTTAATAAAGTTACCTTCTTGGGTATGCATATGTTCACTTATGCTAATAATTGATTCATATATTCAGAATTCTGGTTTCAAATAGTTTTTTATTAATAGGAACATTCAGTTTTGTTCGATATAAGATATAATCAAATATCCCCCAATATACATTTATTATTTATAGTCTTTTCATTCGATGGATCAAGGTTTGCCAATTTATTTTGTGTTGAAAACTGCCTTAATTATTGAAACAATATGGTATAACTGGAAAGAACTTTGAATTTGGCTCTTCAATCTAAAAATAATTATTCTAGCTTATTCTAAAACAATATAATTGCTAGTAGAATGACAAGTATGAAACCAATTTCGGAAAAAATAAAGGCAAACATATACCTTTTTTCAATAAGAGTGTATAAAACAATCATTGTTAATATTTAATCTGTTTTTTTTGTAATGATTTATACTACTGTTTTCAGTTCCTAGAATATTATGTATTATATGTTTAATAAAAATTTGTTTTTGCTCAGTTTTTTCGATTACCGTCGTACGGTCAATTAGACGTACCTATGTATTATCTTGAAGTTATGCGCTGCTTGAGAGGAGCAATACGAAGAAAACGTCCAGTATCGCGGAAAAACAATTCATGGCTTTTGCATCACGATAATGCACCTGCTCACTAGTCATTGCTTTTTTGTGATTTTTTGGTCAAAAACTACACCGTAATCATGCCTCAACCACCAGATTTGGCAGCATGCGACATATACCTGTTCCCTAGATTATAGAGACTCATGAAAGGACAACGTTTTGCGACGATTGAAGAGATAAAAACTGATTCGCTAAGAGAGTTCTAGGGTTTTTTCAAAATACCAAAAAAAAACAGGTTTTTTGTTTAAACTAGGTTTATTTGATTTAAACCAGGTTTATTTGGTTTTGTTTATTGAGCTGTACTTTTCATTATTAGAATACTATCAAGAACATAGAGAGAAGAACCCAATAAAGAAACAATTTGTTTTCTTGAAAAACCAGTTGGTTTGAACCATGGTTTCAAACATGTTGGTTTAAACCTGCCATCGCTGTCAAAAAGTTCATAGAACTGCTTAGAGGATTGAAAACAACACTTGCACAAGTGTATTAATTATATCTGAGGGGGGCTACTCTGAAGGGGACAACATAGAAATTAATGAAAAAGTAAATTTTTTTTTGAGAAAAATGAAAATTCTTATTTTTTGAACAGACCTAGTATGTGTCAACTGACAATGTGGCCAATATTATTTTTAAAATAGCCCTGTTTTTTGCTATTGGCATTCTGCTTTTATATGTGAAGTTTGAGTAACACCGACATATAATTAATATATTTTCTCCACTTTCTTTTGGACTTCACTTCAAATCTTATTGATAAATTGTTCCAAACGATTAATACTGCGTACTGCGTAATACTGCGTTGAAGTAGAAGATTAAGAAAAAGTTTGGTATTTCAAATATATTTTATAACCTTATGATTGATTTCTAATTCGAATAGACTTGCTAGAACTCAATTGGGCTAACTCTCAGCTTACGTTAATCTCGGTAATAATGAAATGGGACTTTTGCTTACCTTGGATGCAAAATCCACGTTTTGTAATTTATGCAGTAAGTTCATGGCTTTGCAATCGCTATGCCCGCACACAATTATGTGCCTTATATCATTGACCACACAACCCAATTCTAGTGCAGCTGGTTCATTTGTGGTCAACTCATCCAAAAAATGTTGAGAATGGGGAATTAAATTGCCAGCATTCCGTACTGCAACAGAACTCAAAGTATTTAATAAAATGCGCTGTAACGATTGTTAAAAGAAAAACATCAATAAAAATAACTAATGAAACTTCAACGAGGGGACATGAATTCAACTGAACATTTCATTTTATAATGCAGATACACATTACTAAAAAATTGCATGAGATACAGAGTTGAATGGAACGGCTAAAACTATCGAGTTTTTATTAATTTTTGAAAATAACCTCGTAAAAATTGAGTATTTACCACTAAAAACCATTTTTGAATGGGTTTTCAATGATGTGTGACACGTGGCAGCGGGTTGCCTGCATTTGGTTATATTTAAATGCCTTTTTTTTTGTAGCTGAGATATTTTCACCTACAAAAATTCGCTGGTATGTAAATAATTTCATAATTGCATTTTAAAAACATGGTTTCTATGTCTCAATTATTTCTATGAGCCTTTTTAGTTTTCAATACATCAATTGAAATATCAGTAAATCATCGATAATGCATCATTGTTCCATATTCAGTTCTCTTTTCTGAAAACAAGATTCAGGATGATACAGCCTTCCGAAACAAAATCCTGAACGAGCCCCTGACACAATATCTATATATTCAGTTATAATTGTAAGAAATTTGATGATATGAACAACCATAACAAGTACAAAGTACACCGTACTTTGTTTTCATAACGTAGTTTGCAAGTTCAGTATAGTCGTATAAAAAAATATCTTCTACGCCTCTGGACAACGTACTCGATTCAATAGTATATATCACCCTAACGATTTTCATAATCGTTCATTCACCTTGGAATTCGTAATATCGACGAAATATGACATGATTAGCCAAATAATTTGAATCAGTTAATGACCGGTTAAATTGTCAACCAATGGTTGTCAAATATGTTTCAAACGGGCCAATGAGTGAATAGGGTTTTAGCTCTACTGTGGAATAGGCATCATCGCTGAATCAACTTAATGGTCTACTTCACGATTCTTTATTTGAATGTGGAGCCTTCGAATCAATCAATCAAAACTGGAAATCAACTCACCAATGAACATATCCCCCACATTTGTTTGGGTAAATCTTGTCGGAAGCATCCTGCTGTCAATACAAGTGAAAAATACCGCCTTGGGCTAAAAAAATCATCAATTACAATCTGCGCGCGCATATTTCCTATGTTGTTGAACATAAACATTATGGCGACACGTGCTGTCCTTCATATTTATGTTATTACTATACTTACTTTAGGATTATCTTTTACTTGAACGAATTGTTTGACCATATTTTCTTTGATATTACTTCTATATTTCATTATGCCTTTGAGTAACTTATCCATGGTTAGGCTTAAATAAATTGGATCAACAAGTAGTTTTCCCCACCACCATTTGATATCATCTGGCAATGAAGGTTCAAAGAAAGTGGTCAAGTCTGATGTAATTTATGAAACAAAAATTGATTTCATTGCAAACCATCCTTCAATACAGATACGTTGTATATGTATTTTTTTGAATTTCGTTTTATTTTGGTACTGAAACGTGACTAATATACTAGTGAATCCTACAGGGTGGACCCGTTTGGGACAAAAATAAAATGATTCCGCTATTATTTCTACATAAAGTGGACATTTGTAGTATCATTTTATTGTGTAGTTCTAGCTACCTACTTACTTGATTTTTCAAACAATCAAGTTCCAAAATTGCTTAATTTTGACCAAAAAACCGTCGCATGAGCATCGCTCAGGAATTGTTTAATGACGTCAACGGCTATTCAGATTTGCTTAAAAAGGTCATAACTGGTGACGAATCATGGGTATATGGTTACGACATCGAAACCAAAGTCCAATCGTCCCAATGGAAGAGCCCAGGAGAGCCAGTACCAAAAAACATGCCAATTTCGATCAACTGCCAACTTTGAGTGCAAACATAGCTAGTATCATGACTTGGGGACGAGGGAGATTACGACCTGGTCCTCGAGTCATGTAAGTAGAAATCTAAATGAAAATGGCTCCAAAGCAGGAGCCGAAACGATGAAAATTACAGACGCGGTTCAACCCGGACAACAGTACATCATATATATCTCCTATTTAATTATATGCGAGCGCTTTCGACAACTGGTCGTGCTGTCGTCATCAAGGCTCTACTCAAATACACGTTCAGTTTCCATATACAGTGCCTTCATTTCAGTACTTCGTTTCGCAGGGCGAATTTGCCGTAGGCAAAAAACACGTCAATTTAGATATCGAGGGGGAAGTTTAAAACCAGTGCCAGTGGTATTTTAGGTTTAACCCCCTTACCTCTAGCTACCCCATCTTGTAACACATCATTTAAATATCTTAAAAATCCTCACTCAACCCCGTTTAGAAAACTGAAACTGATACAACTGCCGCAATAGATGTTCCAATAACATTTATTGCAGCAGTTGTATCGCCAACATCATATGCAGGAATAACTTCAGTGAAAAATCCTGCACTGACACCTGTCGGATATAATCCAACGCCCTTCATGGTATTAGCCAGGGAGGTATTTGTTTTCTGATAGGTGTCAGTCCATTAACCTACAGTGTAGGTAGTTGAGACTGGCCTGAATGAATTGTTCCTTTAGATGATTTGATTTATAGCCAGTCTTCAAGTATGCCCACCGACTATATGTGATAAATTAGTATGGTGATACATACATGCTTCAATATATGTATTCGCAGGGTTTTGACTAAGTTACAAAATTAAATATCAATAATATAACCTTTTTTATGTACAATCCAATACATTTTCTTCACAGAACTTACTCATTTTGGATATGAGGACATTATAGAGACATATTTTTTCCAACAAAAAAGTATATAATTAATGCTCTATGAATTAAATGGTAATTACACAGAACAAGTTTAAATTTACAAACAAAATTTTTACATAAAGAGCTTAATTCATCAAAAAAATATTGTTCTATTATATTGTTTTCACACAGACCACAGCCTTAATGTGAATTTATGCACTCTCAATTAACAACTAAGAACTAACAGCAAAGAACAAGTATTAAAAACTATAGCATTCATGCGTTTTTGATGAAAATCCATAATGTGTCTAGAGTATAGACACACCTGAAGAAGCTATTCTATTGCGAAACACGTGATGTGTTTTTGTGAAATTGTTTACTGAAAATTTCACAGTTTCTTGAATACCATTCAAAGAATTTCTAGAATGACAGATACATCAAAATGGACAATGAACTAGAACTCAAAATCAGCGAAATATTTTATACACAATGGATGTCTTCAAATTTGGAAATGACTAGGTTAGGTTATTCCTCATTTCTTCTTTTTGTTTTCCAACATGGTCCAATCTGTGATCATTTGCTTAAAAGCTGCACACTAAAGAGAAAAATTGTACGATCAAAGTAGGAAAGTTAAAAATTGGCCAATTTCTACTTCTTACTTGATTGATTTTTCTGCACAAACTTATCCATTGTTGAGCTTATAATTGTCACTTCCTGATTGTTAATTGTTACTTGCTAATCGAGCTTGCATAAATTTACCTTTAGTTACAGGGAGGTCATGGGGAAAATGAAAATCATAAAAATATTTGGCACAAAAAACTGCATCATATTTATCGACTAACGCTTGAATTGGATACTTTTTCCAGTTTTTCAAAATGTCTTCTAGCAATTCTGATGTTAATTAATGTTACTTCTGATGGAGTTTGTGGATCTGACATGCAAACCATAACGTAGGTATTACTAGTAAACATGTCAATATAAGCCGCAAAAGCCGAATTTCTAACTTCCATACTCTGAAACTGAGCTGCTAACTTTGAACAGGATAATTTGAATTGCTTGATAATATTTGAAACCTTTTCGAATCTATGAATATCCCTATGATGTTTACGTTGACAATGAGAAATCACGAGGAAAGTTGCTTTCTCAAATAGCAAGACTTCATCGGCGTCAACAATATCAGCAAATTGTTGTAAACTATTTTCTAATTCTTTAACATTTGGAATCAGCATGTAAACTATACTAGACCAAGCTCTATATAAAGTTTCATCCCAAATGGATGTTCTGAAGCAAGTACAGTCCAACGGACGAGATAGCCTTTTCAAGTCTGACTCTCTCTCCTTGAAAATTATATCTCTCTGATCTTCTGCTACCAAATCCATTTTGTGAATGAGGCAGAATATTTTTGCCTCTGGTGAGTTTTGTAGAATTGCTTCCAAACACGTCTGATAATAGTGCATGTCTCGTTCCAGTTCTCGACTTTCCACATCAAAAACATAAATCAGTACCTCTACATTTCTGAAGATATTATCCCTTTGTGATACGAAATAATTTTCCATAAAAGCTTCTTGTCCACCACAGTCCCATAAGTTGAGAACAAGGTTTCCGAGAAACCTCACATGAGAATGTTCAACATCAACTGAAAAAATGTAAATATGTATGCTAATAAACAACTACTAGTTTGGAATAATCACTTGTGGCTCCAAGTCTTCTAGTGTCTCTTGCAATATAATTTGCAAAAATAATGGACCTCATACTAGTTTTACCAGATCCGCTTTTTCCCATTAACAGCACCTAGAAATTATAAATATTAAATAAAATCCAAATGATCAATAGTGTACATGCCTTTTTCTTCATTTTGAAAAATTCTAGATCTGATCAATTTTCAGATTTTCTGATGCAGAAGAGAAAATAGTAAATTATTTGGTAAACAGTATTGTTATGTTATTTAGGAAATCTCAATTGTGCCTAAACTGAAGAGAAATTAGTGACCAAAATTGATTGAAAATACCCACACCGCCCACTTTTCATTTTCTTCTTGTCAAACTTGTCATTTCTGACCTTGCGCTTGCGCACTTTCCTATTTCTGCCATACACAATCATTTTTGTATATGGCAGAAATTTTTTATGAGTTTGTTACGCTGAAGAATAATCTATCACATTTTCATAATTCTATTACTTTGCTAGTGTTTCCTACTGTCAGAGTCGGAAGTTGAACTGCGATTAATATTTTCAATTGTCGTTCTGGGAAAGTTTAGGTGACCCTATTATTTTAACCCTTTCGCTCATACTGTATTCAATTGAATACATTGAATTCATAATTTTTTTCTGAGTAGATACGACATTATCATCACGTCAGTTCATGATGTATTCAATTAAACATTCTTTATATTCGATATGTACGATGTGCTGCCATCTAAAACCCAATAGTTCAACTAATAGCAAAATCTATTCACGGAGTTCCACGGACGAACAGATTCCGTACTGAACAGCCGTCAATTATGTACGTCAAAACCTGATACAAATAAAGAAAACAGGTTGTTGATTGTTTTGATTTATAGACAAAACATAGGCCAGTTGATGAGAATACTTGAAATTGCAGAAATTTGAAAAAGTGCTGCGTGATAATTATTTTGATTTGACGTATTCAATTGAATACAGAGTGAACCGAAGGTTGGGGAAATAATGGTAAATATTATCTAACTCTATATTACCTTTTCAGAAATCATTATCATTCTGTATTTTAGAGTTCAAAACGTCATATGAGGAATCCTTTGAGTAATGAGGAATTGTTGGAATTGATGGAAAGTGGCCTTTCTGACATCGAATTCCCCAGCGATGAGGATGGTGATGATGGTTGGAATGAGGGGAGTGAGGGTGAAGGATATTGAGAATGACGAAGAAGTCGTCGAGGATTTTCCTGAAGACGAGAGCACACCCGGAAGTCAGGAGGAGCCAGATATAGAACCATCCACGAGTGCCATTCAGCCAAGTACGCCGAGTACTTCTGCAGGAAATAAAAAAATCAAGAAAAAGGGTATGTCTGAAAAGGAACTTAGGATTGAAAATTTCATGAAAAATAATGAGTTGACCATGAAGGCAGACATAAGCTGGAGAACTGGACTCACCTATTTTGCACCGGAAATAAAATGGCATGAGGATTCCATCCCAGAAATTGTAGACTTGAAAAGCCCACTTTATTTTTTCAGTCAGTATTTCACTCAGGAGCTTTTTGAAATGATGGCTGAGAATACTAATCTCTATGCAGTACAGCAAGCTACCAGATTTTGTCATACAACGGTAGAGGAAATGAAAACTTTCGTGGGAATTCATATACTGATGGGAACTGGGATAGAACTGAAACCCGACCAATCTCAGATGTGAGATTTGATAACATTGGACATTTCCCGTCTATCGATGGAAAATCTTATGCATCCAGGTGTAAAAATCCTGAATGCAAAGGGCAAAGTCGCGTTATGTGTGTGAAGTGTGCAATTCATTTATGTCTTTCCAAACATAAAAATTGTTTTATGCGATATCATATAAAATAAATTCGATGATAACTCAAAATAATCTGTATTGAATATTATTCTCCTATCAATAACCTTTGAATGAAAATATAAAAAAAATATTTTCCATTTTACCTACCATTCATAATGTATTCATTTGAATACATGTCATAACTCATAAACTGACAAAAAAAAAAGAAAAACTGCTAATACCAAAATTTTAAAAAAAAATCGTTTGTAATATATGCCAAATTTCAGATTTTTCTTTCCAAGAACAAAAAGTCGTGAGCGAAAGGGTTAAGCTAGTATTTCTGCTTCCTGTAACTCATGTTCCGTATTTAGAAGTCTTGGGCACAGAACACCCTAACTACACGTTCTGTGTCTTGGGTATCTGGTTTTCTGTCTTACGTTGCCAGTTTATAGATATTTAAAATGTCCATCTAAATCTTTGCCGATAATCTGTTGATAACCTTTTTTTGATGCCAACTCCAAGTCTATCACCTCTATTCTCAACCATATATTGATTCGAATCCGCTCATTAGGATCAAATGTTATTAAAATTATAGTGAAAATCATACAATAAAATGTATTAATTACTTTTAATATGGATTTTCAACAAATATCGGCCAGTTCTATTCAATTATCAAATGTTTATGCTACTGAAGCTTTCTTACTGAATCTATCAAATTTTTTTCTGTTATTTCTTTAATCGGATTGTCTGATTCTGATAATATACAGATTCAACTCTTTCCCAAAGCATAATAATTTCACAATAAAGGCCTAATGCTTGTTTTGGTTCACCTTGGTTTTTTTTAAACAGTGAATAAGACAAACTTTTTGCAATATTTTAATTTCTAAACCAGTGCGTTGTTCATATACAAACTGAATACATAATTATAAGAAAATCCGACTATAAATCTCTATTTCAGAGTTGTTGTTAGGTATGTTTTCAGAGTAATGATATAAATACATTTTTTATTACTCTGAGGGTATGTTCGTAGTTCGTATACTTCTCAGTTTTAGAATCGTGACACAGAACCACGGAACACATTATCTCTACGAGACTTGATTGAGTGAAATCCCTTTTTTTACATAGACGTACGCTACCGAATTCTCTCGTTTTATTCACCTAGAAAAACAGTGGGTAAAACAGAGACGACCCACTAAACGTTCGGGGATTATCAGTTTAATAATGACAAATTGACAAGATGGTGGACCCTAGTAGAGGAGTTGAATTTTGATTGGAACATGTATTTTGTTTAAATATCCATTAATATTTTTACAGTCGTAGTAGTCTTTTAATAGGGCTAGAACTTGTTCAGTGAATTTTCGAAAAATAGTGCCTGTACTTATAAAGTAAGTAGGAAGATTTGCAGCTTTTTTCAATCGTCTGACGCATACCGGCGCGCCCATGAAAACATTTTTTGTTCTACACTGAATATCTTCCGTTTTTTAATCAGTAACAAAAATGAATAAAGGAAAGTACCGTGTTTCAGCTAAAATGTCCTCTGATGATGAAAAACCCCCCGCACCTCCTGTTCGCTTAACATCGAACAGGGGAACTGATCTGGTAAACAGCTCTATAGCAGTAGATAGGCCTCTTCCCAAAGAACCCGATGACATAGACAAGAAAAAGAAAAACCCCAAATCAAAGAAGACACACAAGTTATCAACGTATGCCTCAGACAAACCTAATATATCTTACCCAACTAATTTCGAACACACAGTACATGTTGGTTTTGATCCAATATCAGGAGAGTTCACGGTGAGTATTCAAATATTTGTCCTTCCGATTTTGTGTTTGTAGAGTAGATGCTTGTTTTCTCATTAATTTATATTAACAAATCAAATTTTGTTACAAGCTGCCTTTAAAAGTAAGTAAACGGGCGTTATATCCAAGTTTTATTTAGTTGCATTTAGAAGTTGGTATTTTCTTTCGATTATTATTATGCATGATTTTTCAAGAGTAACTTTTCTTTAGGCAATAAGTTCAATCATTCAATAGGCATGTCTTCTGCTTGCTCACCAGAACTAATACATTTTTGTTCTTAGTGCAACTGGTCCATCTATTATACATCCATCCATATAATTTTTTCAATAATTTTCATTCAGAAAATATTGGGTGAAAGTCCTCTTCTTTTTAACAAATTCATTCCTTTCCACAACCAAATGCACACATTCAACCATTTAATAAATTTGAATATTTTTTTATTTTGAAAAATAAGTTGTGAATGGGAAACAATGAATATATTAAACTAGTTTGTTTACAAATATGTACATTTTTCTTTTACTATTTACTATCACGACTATTTTCTCACCATTTTTTATTGCAATAATAGGTTGTCTATTTGATCAAAAAATTATTGTTAATTTTATTATATCATTCAGTTAGTTCCGTAGATATTGAAATTCTTCATAAAAGAAACATGCTTATTTATCAAGTTTTTAAACCCAAAGTATATCCAGTGAATATCTAACTTCTCAGTGACATGATGAAAGTGAATGGCACTTTGAAAGGAACTTGTTCATTGGTTCTGTTGGCACCGTTACAAAATTGAATTAGAAATTGATGAGTGCTTGTTAAATTCATATGAATATCAAAAGATGAGGAACACCACCTTGTATTATCGTTTAGAATTACCTTCCACAATTGATTTTAATAATAATAGTTTGTGTAGTGTATCATTTGAAAGAAGGTTCAATTAATAACAAAGTACCATTTATATGTTGATAACCCAAGTATTGGGTCAGTATATTCAAAACATAACATATGATGGAAAACTTGAAAAAAGTGAGCTTTTTGGCATCCAGGTTAAAGAAAGCTAAGTAACACTTGAAATTTGTCAAAATAATTTTCTTTTCTTGACTTTTTTTGTGATATTGCCAAAATATGATGAAAACTCTAGTGAAATGACAATATCATTTAGTTAGAAAACTTGAAAACTGAGCTTTTTGGCATCTAGGTTGAAGCTAAGTAAAACTTTTGAAATTTGACAAAATAATTTTTTTTATTGACATGGACTTTTTGTGATACTGCCAAAAAATAATGAAAACTCTAGTTTAATGACAATATCATTTAGGTTAAGATACCAAAAGTAGCGATATATTTTAGAGTTTCTACAGAGTTCTTCAAATACCCAATTTTATGCTAGTTTCGACTTTTGAGTGGCCGTATCTCTAAAAAAAAAAAAAGTGGTGCCCCAATTTTCGATTTGGTTTATGGCAGACAGAAAGTTTAATAAAAATGTTTTCAACACCTACCAAGACTTGTTCAATTTAATAATTAGATTTAAACTATACTGTACCATATTGTGATAAAGAATAACTGAAATAAATTGAAAGGTGTATTCAAAACAACCTTGTCCTCATTCTGAGTAACAATTTTTGAAAATAACATTTTGTGTTATTTATTCCATATGAACACTATAGTAACGAAAAATAAAATACCTAATACATTAATTTTCTGGGATCACTCTGAATGTAAGAATAGTTTATTGAATGTTCTAATGTACATTAACATGAACTGTTATTGCAAAGTATATATTTTGTTTTAGGGAATGCCAGAAGCATGGTCTCGTTTATTGATGAACTCCAATATAAGTAAGCAGGAACAAAAGAACAATCCCCAAGCTGTGTTAGATGTCCTAAATTGGTATGATACTAGTTCTAAGGAAACCCCAAACACCAAGTATATGACTAAGACAGCAACAACACATTCAGGTGGTAAGTTGCGTTTTTTAAAATCAGAAGCTTTTGATCATACCTGTACAGGACACATATACAAGTAGATACAGCTGTCGGACTGAGTCATGACCGGTGAGATGATGGAGTTTAAAAATAAATTGCATAAACAGCGACCCAAACCAACTAAATAAAGTTTCCAGTTTTTAACCCCAAATATTGGTTGGTAAAAATATTGACTAAATTCTGTCGAATCAAATTCGGAATAACGCTGGTGGTGAATTTGCATTAAAAAAATTGGATACGTAGATCATTATTTTGTTCACTGCTACAAATTTCCGTGTTGGGCAGGTCCTTCAATTAATTATTTATTAGTGATAGAATATGACCTTTTACCTAAAAATTTGTCAAAATAACAGCTTTTTATATTTGAACTAACTAAATGAATATATTTTTGATTAATTTGTCATGTACTAAAGGGGAGATTGAAGTTTACTGAAGTCAAGCTAAAAAAAATTAAGACCTACCATCCTCAGACTTTTTGAAAAGAATCTTGGCTTTTTACTTCTCCGTCATTGAACAAAAAATGTAGGAAACTTTCAAAGAAAGGATAAAAGAAACTACCCAACTACAGTAAACACTCTTTTCAAAGATGTGTAGAGCATACACAGAAGTTTTTTTTAGATACAAACGGAAAAAAAAACCGTTTGTAGTATAAACCGATTGGGAAAAAGTGATTTTTATGTAATTCAATGTTCATGTGAAAGTAGTCGTTTCGAAAGAGAAACTTGAGAAGGAAGAAACTTCTGTGTATGCTTTACACAACGTGATTGTCGAAAGAGTATTGATATAAAATGTCACATGGAAAACAATTATCCTTAATGGTGTACTTCAAAGTTTCGGGACAAGATACTTGTCTCAGCACCGTTTTGGATAACATTACAAGTTGAATCACTCATTCCTTTAATAACGTTACGACTATGTCACCGGAAGAGACAAATCTGCATACATTGATAGTATGTTTTATACACATTGAACAATATTATAGATAAAGACTTCTATGAATGAACTATATATTTTCATCAAGAGTATTTATTAGTGTCCGACCGAAACTGGTTTTTACAACCGAGACCGGAAACGAATTTCGGCAACGGTCTAAGTTTTGGCCGAAATCGAAACTTCCTCACAAGGATTATATTTTGAGGGAAAAATAAAGAAAACGTTATTATAATCAGTCAGTCTCTATTTTTGTATCTTTAAATCATAATGTTAAGCAGTCTTTGACATTTTTACTTATTGATAATCAACACAACAAACCCTTGTTAAAGAAAGAATATTAATTGCACTTTAAAAATACTTAAAATAGGTGAGGTGTTTATTTGAGTAGGTGTAGATCCTTCTTTTGAATATTATTGATAGTTTTTCAAAAATATTGAACATAAAATTACTTATTTAATTTGTTACCTATTTTATCACAATAGGTACTTAATATTTATGTAAAAAAACAAAGTAATTCACAAAGTAAGTCACGACATGTATGAAATTCAACGCGCCGAACATGACCGATCACAGCGCGGGAACTCCCGAATGCAGTATCGGTTTCGGTCGTAGTTTCGGCAGGTTTGCCGCCGAAACCGAAACCCGTTTTTTTACCGAAACTCAACCGAAACCGAACTTTCGGTCGGACCCTAGTTTTTATTGTAATTATTTTCTTCTTTCTTTGGAAGTTCTTCACATTTTTTTTTAGTTACGGAGATTTAGAAAGCCAAAATGCTTTTATCCCAAAAAATTATCAAGGTCGAGTTAATGTAGTGGTATCTCATGAAGTACTTGTCAGAAATTTGATTTTTGACACAGTTTTTCATTTAGAAACTTGAAACATGCATTTGCAGAAAATACAATCCCTTCTGACCAAGATGTAGATATATTAATCTTGAGCTAGACTCGTATGAAAATAAACTCGTAACTATGACCTATGAATGAAATATTCAATGTGAATTGAAATAAATTTTTGAAACTGGAAGATTTGTATTACATATACTGAGTTTAGTAACTTTTCTAACTAATGCAGGTTCCACCCTTAGTAGAGTTTCAAGTTCAAGTCCGAGTAGCACCACTCCAACAGAGGCGGAGGGTGGGCAACAGCCTTATCATAGTCCTGTACACGTAGTTAGTTGTGAAATTGAAGAAGAAGTTCCTCCACCTCCAGTTGCCAGCAGACCTGAACGTACTAAGAGTATTGTAAGTATTTTTTTCTGGATTCAATAAAAAGTGGTTCTACGAAAATGAATTTCAGTATACGAAACCAGTAGAAGAAGAACCAGAACCAACAAATACAATTGCAAGTACGAACACTCTCAGTCCTTCGAATTTAACTCCTACACATGCTGCCAACTCGAATGCCACAAGTACTCCATCACTTCCCGTACTCGATAAGAACAAAAACCAAGCAGGTCCTGAAATGTCTAGGGCAGCCTCAGAAAAACGGAAAAAGAAAATGACTGATGAAGAAATTCTCGAGAGGTTGCGAAGTATCGTTTCCGTAGGCGATCCCAATAGAAAATATACAAAATTAGATAAAATTGGACAAGGGTGAGTTGGATGGTCGAGAATTTACTTGCTATTGAATTATTCAGTTGACTACCAATTGAATAGTATTCTAGTAACGTTGAAAGGTTCGTTATAATGTTTGGAAACCAGTAAATTTTACTGAAGAAATGCGAGTCAAGTATCTGAGTGAAAACAACTACTTTCCCAACTAGTGACGTGACATATATTTGGGTTTATTCACATATTTTTAAGCTTCTTGTAAAAAATTTTGTTTTTCACTTTTATATGGAAGGATTTTGAGCTGCATAAAATGAGTTGTGCCACAAGTTTATAATGGGACTCATCTCGCGACAGGAGTAGGTCGGGATCTTCCTCAAAGTGTAATTTCCCAATTATTTAAATCGTAAATTTGAGATAAGCTTCCTAGTTTTCGCTATAATCAAGTATTTGATTCAATGTTTCCTTGATTTTTTTATTTGTTAAGATAAGGTATTTAATCACTCCTAGTTCATGATAGCGATTGACAAAAAGTTTGTTTAATTATATCACAAAGTAAAGACAACATGATAAAAATTGCAATTTCGTGAGTGACATGAAAAAGTTCGAGTCTCATGAACAAATGAAAATGTAATGATTTGAATCTTTCTAATTTCAAAAACATATAGCAGCATGCAAAGGAATTTTTTTTCCATTCCTCCTTTTTGAATTTACTGAAAATTTTTAGAACAATTTCAAGTGCTATAATATGTATTCGAATAATATAATAATATATTTATTTCAAATGGGCGTCCTAATATACAAAAACATTTTAAAATTGTATAGACAAAGTCACAGTCCAACTTCTTAACACTAAAATATGTATGCTCGGAATTATCCAAGCATTCAATAAATAGAAAAAATAACAATGTAAATTACAAATACTAGATATATATGTTATTATAATATCAACGTTAATGTGGATGTTGTATCTTCAAATAACTAACAAGTCCTTTTTTGAATGTCATAATAGATTCACTTTGTTTTATCTCAAGCGGAATGTTATTGTAGTCCAACAATATCATTGTTGTATATTTTTAGGATGTACCCTATTTGAATAAAGCTTTCTTACATAATCTCAAGCTCAAATATCTTGGTAGATTCAGCTGAATGTACACCACCTTGTTTTAGGGCATCCGGTACTGTATATACAGCAATAGAAACGGCAACCGGAATGGAAGTAGCCATAAAACAGATGAACCTATCACAACAGCCTAAGAAAGAATTAATCATAAACGAAATACTAGTTATGCGAGAAAACAAACATGGCAACGTCGTTAATTATTTAGACAGTTATCTAGTTAATGAGGTAATTTGAAAAAAAATCTTTGGTTATTATTATTACCAACATATATTCAATAGGAACTCTGGGTTGTGATGGAATATTTACCAGGCGGTTCCTTGACTGATGTAGTTACTGAAACCTGTATGGACGAAGGACAAATTGCGGCTGTGTGTAGGGAGGTTCTTCAAGCGCTCGACTTCTTACATTCGAACCAAGTCATTCACAGGGATATAAAGTCTGATAATATATTGCTGGGACTCGATGGGTCGGTCAAATTGAGTGAGTATTCTGCAAATGCTCTCGTACATGTTTACTGAACCTCTCGACTTGTAGCTGATTTTGGCTTTTGCGCTCAAATAAGTCCCGAACAGTCGAAAAGGACAACCATGGTGGGAACTCCGTATTGGATGGCTCCAGAAGTGGTTACTAGGAAGCAGTATGGTCCCAAGGTTTGTACAACATATTTATAAGATGTACTGGAGGTTTAGACAGCAGGTTAAATGCAATTTCTTTTAAACACCATGATATAACAATAATAAAAGAAAAAAATAAGGTATTCCAGAAACTGTGAATAAATCCAATTTAGATTTTACCGAGTTCAATTTTCCTCTTTATGAAAACAGGTTAAAACACATAAAAATTGCGTACAAGAAATATAGATTCTGAAAACTCTATTACCACTGATCCTTCGAAGTTCTGGTCTTTTATAGAGAAGAAAAGAGGCCACTCGCGGATTTCCGAAATTCTCCACTTCAATAATGTAGAGAACAATGATCCAAGAAATATTGTTAATGGCTTTACGACATTCTTTAGCAGCGTCTACGCAGCCTCTGATACACAATGCAATATTAATGAAACAGCAACTTCCAACAAACCTGTAATTAGTATAAATTCTGTGAATGAGAGCGAAGTTATAACAGCTTTAGAATCCAAAGCTTCCTAGTCAAAGATTGTACTCGTATCCTAGCCAAATCACTATAAATCATTTTCAATTTTGCTTTAAAAAACGACCACTTTCCCACAAGTTTGGAAAATGAGTAGTCATTCCGATTTTCAAAACAGGTGAGATAAATCACATGAAGGGCTTTGAGATATGTATCTATAATAGAATATCTCCCCAAAGTACAAAATATAATAATTCCTGATCACCATGGCTTCATCGCGAAAAAATCTACTATAACAAATCTAATAACATTTACACAAACAATAAGTTGTGCTTTAGAAAATCAGCTTTAGGTAGACATAATATATACAGACATCTCAAAGGCCTTAGACAAATTGGACCACACCATACTCAATGAGATTGGTTTCGATTCAAATCTGTTGAAATTCTTTTATTCCGATCTCATGAATCGGCTCCAGTTTGTTGAATACAGAGGACACAAATCTGATGCATACATTGCTACTAGTGGCGTTCCACAGGGAAGCAATCTGGCTCCCCTTCTATTCTCCCAGTTCATCAACGACATAGGATTAGATATAGATAGTGAAATTCTATTTGCTGATGATATGAGGGTATTTCGTGTCATAGAGTCACAGCGAAATACTACATAATGATTTGAATAAATTAGCTCTCTGGTGTTCTTCAATCTGTCACTCAATTTAAGTAAATGTAAATATACCACCTTTTGTAGCTAACTTACCACTATCGGCCACAATTATTCAATAAATAATTATTTACTGGTAAAGAAAGACTTGTTATTTTTTTTCTTTTGAATATTCCATGAATGTATTATTACTATTATGTATATATTTCTTATATTCAACACTTTCATCCCAAAATTGTATACTGTGTACTGTAATTGGGTCTAGTGCCTGTTTGGACAATAATTTTTTTTTGTTTTCAACAAAACTGTTCAAAGAAGAGTTTAAAAAGCATTTTTTTTGCAGGTCGATGTTTGGTCTTTAGGTATAATGGCAATTGAAATGATAGAAGGTGAGCCTCCCTACCTGAATGAAAATCCACTTAGAGCCTTGTACCTCATTGCCACTAATGGGAAACCTGAAATTAAAGACAAAGAGAAACTGTCGCCCGCTTTTCAAGATTTCTTAGATAACTGCCTAGCTGTGGAAGTTGATAAGAGGTCGTCTGCGAAAGACTTGCTGAAGGTGAGTGGAAACCGTATTTGTTGCTCGTGGGATAATACAGTGTGAATGATTTTTATTCAGTATATCGGTGGGACTCCTCCAAAATGGTTGTACACTGGTGTAGCGACTCGTTAAGAATTTTCATGCGAATCTGTCGACCTATACTTAATATCATCTGAACATGAAGTTTTTCCGAAATAACGTTAGATGCCTATTAATATTGTTGTTCATGTGACTGTAGTTTATGAATTTGGATGGTTGTCCTTCAGCTCTTTCCTTACATAATGCCTATAGGGTCTCAAAGTTAGTTTAATTTTTGGCAAAGCGGTTTCCTAGGTCTGATTGTCCCTCCTTTCACTTTTGTAGTTCTATAAAGCAGTGCGTTTGAGGGATTGTGTAGTATGTTCTGAGGGTGACGCATTTTGGTAATACTCCTTAGTGTAGATATTTCAGCTTTTTGGAGATTTTTTAATGCAGGATTACGACAACTTGAATAAATTACATGTGCATATTCAAGAAGTGAACGACAGATACTTTTATATATTTTAGTTGCAGTTTTAGTGTTGATTCCTCTTTTTTTGAATGTCAGACTCCGAAAGTGTTTTCCTCTATCAATGCATTTCTTTTTATTCATTTTTGTATGGCTGTTCAAGTTGATTTTGTGGTCAATATTAACTCCCAAGTATTTTACTGATTGCCTGCTTCTTACTATTTCGTTGTTGATGTTTATTGTTGGTAGAGTCTCTGAAGAGTTGTGATGAAAAATGAACCCTAGCATTCTGAGAGACTTATTAACAATGACTGACATAAAATCACAGTACCAGACGTTTTCTTCATGCTCCTTGCAATCGAAGTATAACTTTAAGGTAATGCTCTTTATTGACCATGTGGCAACAACTTCTGATGCAAACAGTGAGCAAAACCTTGACATTTGATCGACTTGTCTTACTTTTTTGGACTTGGCTCTCCCTGGCTCTTCTTGCACTTTGGTTTCGATGCCATAACCATATACTCATGATTTGTCACCAGCTATGACCATTTATAGCAAATCTGGATCGCCGTTGACGTCATTTAACAATTCCTGAGCGATGCTCCATAACCTTCCTTTCCCAATATTCAGTTCTTTTTTTATAGGCAAAATTTACAAAGTACGAAGTTACTGGTAAACAAAACTGGAAGTTTGCTCTTTCCACACTTGTATAAAGTTCTTCGATACAATTTTAATTATTTCAGATTGTGAAAGGTGAAAATATCCAAAAAAGTTAATGAAAAGATATTCAAGTTGATACAAAGTATTTATACTGTACTTACTAGAAAATTGTAATTGGAATCGCTCCTTAATAACTAAACGATTTTTTTTCAGCATCCTTTCTTGAAACTTGCTCGACCTTTGGCTAGTTTGACTCCTCTAATTTTGGCAGCTAAGGATGCAGCAAAACAGCACTAGCCCTTGCGTTGAAATGATTTTGAAACTTGTGTGGAATTTTATCCATGTGTCAGACTATATCCCATGTTACTAGAAGTGCATCATTTTATATTAGACCTTGTATTATATATGTATAGGTAGTAATAGTAGAATATGATTCGAACTTTTATATTACCGCTTTGCAGTTCTAGTAATATAGGTTGTTTTATAATTAGAAATATAAGCATTTAATAGGAAAGTTCAGTTGGAGTAAGCAAAATTCGAAGTGGTCTCAAAAGCAGTCTTTCAAAATGTAAGTTCAGGCCGTGCAGAAAGTATTTCTTTCGTAAGTATATATTAACCATAAACTTCAGGTTTTGAAGTGTGAATTTCGAGCATTTTGTTTCAACCATCTGAACTTTCAATTACATTATATCGACAGGAGACTGTGCCTAATTTAAAGATGATCTCGTATGACGAGGTTTCGTTTTATTTATATATATAATTTTAAAATTTTTTGCATATAGCTGTCTGAAATGCTGTCTTCTGGTATAGATAGTCGAGAGAAAAAAAGATATTTTCATAGCCAGATCACCGTATCATGTGATATTTGATAATTAATCACTGAAAAGCCAAGTGATAATACCTTTAAATTGATTGAAGTATTTGAATTTTATTCAGACATTTTTGTTTGTGTTGTCTGTGTGACTCGTAGAGCAATAAAGATCTCGAGAGAACTTTGATTCCCACACACTGGTAGTTTTGTAATTCGGCAGCATATTTTATTTATACTCTTTTTAGCGACATTGTCACCAGACTTAATGCTACTTACGTGTGTGCTTGTTCAGCGTTAGTTTTCTGAAAGAAAAATTTTTATTGATTGACGCGTGTGCCAAAAGTTGTATTGGTTCTCTGACAGCTTGACAAGAGAAAAACTCATTTTTTGTTTATTTTATAATGTCTGGATATATTTCCGAGTTTGTACTGATGTTATTTAAATTATTAGACATGTAAATATATTATTTTCGAGCTTTATCAATTGATATAAAAGTATTTTATACATTTATTTGTATTCGTATTTAGCTACAAGTGAATAAAAAAATATTTGAAGACTAGTAACACGTTTTATTTTCAAGTTCATCTGCATTTTTCAGTCAAGCCATAAGAGTCTGCTGTTTTTCAATAACCTTGAAAAAGAAGACGTTTCTAATAATTTGTTCCTTGTTTCCAGAGAGCTTAGAATGCTCACTAAGCCTAGGGCCGCTTGTCGTTTACGAGGAGACTCCAGTTAGTTAACGGAAACAACAATTTCAACCTAACCTAATCATAGATACCTACTCATTCAAATATGTTGGTAAATAATGTTTCGCCATTCCATTGGCTTGGAATATCTCAACTTTTTATTTTTAATTTTTGTTCAATTGTTCTATTTTTACGTTTGTGTGAAGAATTCAAGACATTTTGTCGAACTACTAGGGTCAATTGAAGTCACACAGGAAGATCAACTAATTAGTTTCGACGTGGAAAGCCTTTACACCAACGTTCCGGTCGAAGAAGCACTCCAAATCATACAGAGAAAGCTATCCGAAGACGGGAACCTGAAAGAGAGAACGAATCTA